CCCCCCCCCCCCCCCCCCCCCCCCGCCGAATGAGGCGGGATGTCATGTTGCTTCGTGATAATGAGATGTTCAGAGGTGTGGGATGGATATTAATCAATGCTAAGTAGGGTATAGAAAACATGAAAGCTAACAGGAAACGTCCATCCTCAACCGCGCACCACGAACTTCCCTTCCCTCTTCTCAACCTTACTCACAAACTCCAAAGCCCGACTCCCAACCTCTTCCGGCCGCTCAAACATCGGTCCATGTCCCACCCCCTCCAGAACCATCAGCTCCCCTCCCTGCGAGAACTGCGAAAGAATCCACTCAGCCTCCTTCTTCGGATCAGAATAATCCGGATCCTTATCCCCCATCACCATCAACACCGGTGCCTTGACCTTCGCCAGCCAAGGCGTAGCCACACTATGATCCAACCCGCGAACCGTCTTGTGGAAAGCCGACCATCGACCTGGTCGGGTAAGAGATGTCTTGGTCTTGATCGCGCGGTCAGTGGCTGCTTTCTTATCGAGACCGGGCCAGAGGGTAGGGGCGTAGTATCGCCAGACTGTGGGGCCCCAGGGCTGTGTAAACATGGCGGGGACGAGGTAGGTACCCAACGCGCCCATGGGATTCCTTGCGAACGGCGCAAGCAGTATGATGCCCGCTATAAGTTCTGGCGCCTGTCCGGCGGCTATAATTGCAGAGGCACCAGCGAAGGAATTGCCGGCGAGGATTGCGGGACCGAGATTCAGTTCGTGGGTGATGGTGAGGTAGTCGGCGGCGGTGGCGAGGTCACCGTAGGAGGTGAAGGTTGTGCTGCTTTCGCCGTGGCCGCGGGCGTCCATGTTGGCTACTGTGTACCCGTTGGAGGAGAACTGTTGTGCGAATGGGACAAAGGCATCGCGGGTATCGCCCATGCCATGGCAGCAGATTACCAAGGGTCCGGAGCCGGTGATTTCGAGGGAGAGGGTGCCGCCTGAGGTTTTGATTTGTTTGGTGGTGGACATTGTGATGTGATGTGTTGTCGGTGGATTCGTTAGGTGCTGTTGTGTGTTATGGTTGGTTTTTGAAGAGATGATGGAGGTTCAATTGATTGCTGTAATGCTGTGATGTGCCAAGTCAACTAGAAATGCTCAAGGTAACCATATATATGTATATCGTCGCCGGCATAACGATCCCCGCCGCCAGCGCAGGCTGACTTTCACGGCAATGCGAATGCGAGCTGCAGCATCCTCGACTACAAACCGAATTGCGCCACGGCGAGATTTTCGTACCGGCCTTGGTAGGCAGTGCTACTGGCTGTATGGTACAAGGATCCCGACTCAGCTCCTTAACGGCCGTATGTCTACAATTTATTCATGTCACAGCTCAGCACAGCTCAGCTCACCTACCACGGTCGTGGTGATGGGGAAGAGAAGCAGAAGGTCAACTTGGCGGAATTGTGTCACAGCCCTTGTGAGGCTGCACCAATGAAAAGACCACGGCCCGGGTCTGCCGTTGCTTAGTCATTGCCGCTCCAATCTGCAGCAAAAGTTCAAGAATAATTCGTCGATAAAGCTATACAGTCACTCGTCCTGCATCACTCACCCACAGGCCTGCCGCGAAGATGAGGATCGAAACGTGCTACTTCTGCTCGCAGCCCTGCTACCCTTCGAAAGGCATAACCTTCGTGCGCAACGACGCCAAGGTGTTCAAGTTCTGCCGGTCAAAATGCCATAAAAATGTTCGTCTTCTACCAAGACCGCGCTCTACCAACCACCCTCCGTACTAACACGTAGGTGATAGTTCAAAATGAAGCGCAACCCCCGCAAACTAGCCTGGACCAAATCCTTCCGCCGCGCCCACGGGAAAGAAATGACGGTAGACAGCACGCTGCAATTCGCCCAACGCCGCAACATCCCAATCCGGTATAACCGCGAACTCGTCGCCACGACACTACAAGCTATGCAAAGGGTCTCGGAGATTAGATCGAGGAGGGAGAGGCAGTTCTACCGCAACCGGATGCGGGGCAATAAGGCCAAGCAGTTGGAGGCGGATCGGAAGTTGGTGGCGGAGAATCAGCATTTGCTTCCGCCGCAGTATCGGGATCAGGTTGTGCAGGCGCTTGAGGGGGCTGAGGCGGTGCAGAAGGAGGAGATGGAGTTGGAGGTTGGGGAGGAGAAGGTGGAGAAGGTGCAGAAGGAGAAGGTGAAGGCGAAGAGGAAGCAGAGGTTGGTGCGTGGGGAGGGGGTTGAGGAGATGGACGTGGATGAGTAAGGTTGCTGGGAGGATGTAGGAAGAGAGGAGGTTGGGATGTGCATATGATACCCATGAGGATCTTTAGCAGCGGCGATCAAGGCGTTTTCACGGTTTTGCATAGTACGGAGTTTGGTGGCGGGACTTGCTCGCCCTATCCCCTGAGCTGTCAAAACAATGCACAGCGAGTGTAAAGGATACAGATCTTTCAAGCTGTCACATTGATTCCAATTCGAAAACAACCAAACTTCTATGGCAATCGTCACGTCACGTCACTTCAAGTCACATCAATCATACATTCATGCATCGAGGCCACAACATCTCCCTCAGCAGCATTACCACGCCCCTTCGCCCTCGCTAGATCTCCTCCCATCCGCGCTACATCGCGTTGCGCTCGGCGACAACCTTGCCGATCACGGCGCGAAGCACCGCGCGCTCACAACGCCGCCTCCAGCTGGCCCTTCGCCAAAGCAAATTGCTCCGCAGCAAAATCCCAAGATACCACACTCCAGTACCTACGCAGCACAACACATCAGCAAACCGTCCCCACCACACCACACTCCACTCCAATCCACCTGAAACCACAAAGGGATGAAGACTCACGCCTTGATGTAATCCGGCCGCACATTCCGGTACCTCAGATAGTAAGCATGCTCCCAAACATCCAGCGCCAGGATCGGTCGCCCCTCCGTTCCCGGGCCAGCTATACTCTCGCCCATGAGCGGGGAGTCCTGGTTCGCTGTCGTCACTACCCGTAATTCTCCTTCCGGTGAGAGGATCAGCCAGGCCCAGCCTGAACCAAAGACCGTCGTGGCTGCTTTCTCGAAGACCTGCTGGAAGGCGTCTACGGAGCCAAACGTGGACTCGATTGCGACCTTCAGCTCGCCGCTTAAGGTGCTGTTGGTGCTGGAGGGCGTGAGGTTCCGCCAGAAGAAAGAGTGGTTTGCGTGTCCGCCTCCGTGGTTCCGGACGCCTTTTCGCTTTTCCGCGGGGAGGTGGGAGAGTTTGGCTACTACTTCTTCCACGGACAGGGTGTTCAAGGTGGGTTGGTCGGAGAGCAAGTTGTTGAGGTTGGTGATGTAGGTTTGGTGGTGTTTGGTGTGATGGATCCGCATGGTTTCTTCGTCGAAGTGGGGTTCTAAGGCGTCGTAGGGGTAGGGGAGGGTGGGGAGGTGGTAGGTGGGCATTATTGCTGCTGGTGGTGGCGGGGGGGAATTGTTATTGGTGGTGGTTGTGGTGAGGGTGCTATTTGGGGTGGCGAAGAAGCTGGAGTTTGGGATGAGTCTGGTATGGTTTTGTGGTAGGGGGAATGGGCGTAGGTACCTCTGTTGTAGTGATTCGAGACCTGTCTGGGCGGAGGAGATGATCCAGCCTAAGCCAAGTGGAAGAGTGAGGTTGACCATTGTGGTGATCTGCAGCTATCGGAGTTCTTGGTACTATATTTATCCACTGAAGTGGTTTTGAGGGCGAATGAGGCAGTTTCTGCACGTGGGAGGTTTATGGTCAGTCTTGGTCAAGCACGTATAGCTGCTGTAAAGGTCACGCCGTATGCCCTATGGACGGCTTCTTCCCCTCCATGGATCACAAGCGCGTCTGAAAGCGTTGACAGGCAAAGGCAATAGCTGAGTCTCGCCACTGTATTCGAGCACGACAGCTGGCCGGATCGGGAAGGTACGCTTGGGGTGCACGGCTTCGGTGTTTGGACCACGTCTTTATCTCATATTCCGTACATAGCGATGAGATGTCGTCGCTTACCTTACGCCCTTTTCAACTTACGACTATCCTTGAGGCCTTCGTCTTGACAGTACAGAGATGATGTGCAGAGCAAGAAGGGCGAGATGCGATTGATTCTCCAGCTCAATCATCGGCAACGGACCACCAATCCGACCGAATTGCCGACGGGTCGAAAGAACGTGCCGTCTTGCTCTTCTTCGCACCTTGGCACGGGATATTATTATTATTCTGTCCATCCTGTCTTGCAATCGATCGTGCCGTCGAATGCACATCCATGGAGCCAATAGCGCCGAAAAGGTAGGCAGGAGGATGAGACGAGAAGAAGATCTGCAAAACACATGTCCCGGTGGCAGAACAAAGTCTCCGAGTCCCTAACCACCGCTCGTATTCCTTCACTTTGAACGGTCATCTGTCGCTCATGTCACCTGCATTCGACATATAAAGGAAGCTGCATATAACATCCGGTTAGCACAGGAGATTAAATTCAATTGACTCATAACCACAGGCAAAGCTCGAAAGGACACCGACTGATCACTTCACTCTGAACCTGAACCGTCGACGACGCCACAAACAACAAGCAAGCAAGCAACAATCGTTCCAGTACGGAAATCAACAGCAGCAATGTCAGACAACCACATCCGCAAGATCGCCCTCGTAGGCGTGCGTAGCACCTCACACCCATAACTACGCCCTCAACTAACATCCCCACACAGGCAAGCGGCAACATCGGCAGCACAACCCTCACCCACCTCCTGCACTCCCCCCACCCCATCCACATAACCGCCATCAGTCGCCCCGACTCCACCGCCACCTTCCCCACCCACTCCCGTCTCACAGTCCTCAAAGGCAGCTACGACGACCCCACCTTCCTCGCCCAAGCCTTCGCAGGTCAGGATCTAGTAATGTTCGCCCTGTCCTTCATGGCGCTCAACGCGGAGAAACCTATGATCGAGGCGGCTGCTATAGCGGGCGTGAAGTGGATTGTGCCGAATGAGTATGCGGGGGATGGGTTGAATAAGTCCATGGTGGAAGGGGTGCCGGTTTTCGGGCCGAAGAGGGAGACTAGACGATATGTTGAGGAGTTGGCGGGGAAGTATGAGGGTTTGAAATGGATTGGGGTGGCGACAAATCCGTTTTTGGAGTTTTGTTTGGGAAGGAAGTTGTTTGGGATTGATCAGGATGAGAAGACCGCGACGATCTATCCAGACGCGGGGAGTTTTAATACGAGCACGATGGAGATGATTGGGCTGGCGATTGCGAGGATGCTTGCACTTCCCATTTCGAATTCGGAGGATAAGAGGAGCAGTCTGGAATACTACGCCAACAACTTCCTCTACGTCTCCTCCTTCTGCGTCACGCAAAGGCAGCTTCTGGCTTCTGTTCAGAAGGCTACGGGGACGAAGGAGGCCGAGTGGAAGGTGGATGAGAGTAAGACTGTGAAGGGTTGGGTGGAGGAATGTCGGGAGGGGTTGAAGAAGGGGGATATGAAGGCGGGGTGGGGGTTGACGTTTGCTTATTATATGGGTGAGGGGTTGGGAGGGAATTATGAGAGCAAGGCGCGGGAGGATCGGAGGGTGTTGGGGTTGCCGGAGGAGGATTTGGATGAGATTGTTAAGGGAGTGGTTGGTGGTGGGAAGTAGCTGAGATGTTGAGGTGTGTGGTTGAGTGTAGATTTTGGTCTTGTCCGCTTCTCATACGACTTTGCAGGCGGGCGTCGCAGGAGTATGATATAGCAGTGCCGAATAAGGAAGTCCTTGCCGCAAAGTAACACATATGCAACTATCCATCCCAAGCTCGCTCGCTCGCTCCTTCCCACATGCCGCTCCTTCCCATATAATCACCGAAACGCCTGCGCTAAATCCAGATTGTAGATGTACAAAGTCTCCGCTCAATACACAGCGCGATCACACCTGCTGCATCACGTCCCCTTCTCCAACATCTCCTTGGCCTCATTAATCTTCGTCGCCAGGTAAGGACTCCCTCCCCGATCGGGATGATTCAGCAGCATCATCTGGCGGTGTTTCTTGCGGATCATGTCTTTGGTTGAGCCGCGTTCACTGTCAAAAAAAACCCCTGATCAGCATAAATCCTCTCCCATCCCTACCCTCCAAGCTCCAACTGACATCTCGGTGACACTGGTTGGTGGGCTTACGGTGTCTCCAGAATCAACGCCGCCTCCCTCTTATTCATCTTGGCTTCGAAACCGCCTTTGTAGAATGCTTTGCCTAGCGCATTCGTGCTTCCTCGGGATCGGCGAAGGGCTACTAGGCCTGCTCGTCCCTGCGGTTCGCTGTAGTGTTAGTACAATGTATATGGAGGCAACATCGTGCTATGCGGTGGGTGGTTGATGGTGTGGGAGGGCGTACGAAGAAAGCTGCTGCAGCAACACCGACGCCTACGGCTAGTACTGTCGCCATCTTAAGTATCCTCAATCGACGTGATATTATCTAGGTGAAAATAAAATAGCGAATCTACAAATCGCATCGGATGCGCCTCGGCGAAGGCAGACCTCTCGCCGCAAACATATCGCATACAGCACTACCTTTAGTCAGCCCCATCACGTGCAAATCCCACCACTGTCTAGCGATCCCGACCGGCATCTTCGCACGCAGAAGCCGAAAGGAAGAAAGGACGGAAGAACACGAATTCCGATCATTACGAGTTAAGCTCCAGCAGCACGACAAAGCACACCACACCACACCATTGCAAAAACGTTGATATACATTCTGCTGGCGTTCGCTTAAGCAAGCTTGTATCGGTTTTATGCTTGTCAGAGTTGACCGACTAAGAAGGATGTATGACTACCACGCAGGACTCATGCCGGCAATAATGCTCTTGCTGCATGCTAGTGATGTTGCTTGAGGGTCGGCTCCACAATGGCGGGTTAGAAACCTAATGGCAGCTATCTTTCATACTAGATGTGTCGTGTCTCTCTCACTCTAACCTCTGACATCCTTGCTGGTAATCATCTGTTTCAGGGAGATACATTAGTTCGACTGGGAGGACGCAGGCACGGCAGAGTGGATTTAGCCAATTCTCACCCTTCATCTTCCGACCGAAGCGATAACGACGGCGGCGACGGCACCGACTTTTTGAGTTGTAGCGATATAGCATTGATCTTACTTTTCTTATCTACATACATAATCCACTGGAAGCAATAAGACGACACCTTCACCCCTCTGGACTGGGAACAGATCTAACACTTCCACTTCCACTTCGCAACACATATACACACACATACACACACACATACATACAGACACTACAAAAATGACACTCGACGAACGGCAACCCCTCCTCCACCATGAGACGGACAACCGCGCGACCAAACCCCCGAGCGAACCACCCCCACCACCGGACCCCGACAACCCCCAAACCTGGCAACACACCTACAAACTCCTCCTCGTCCTCCTCCTCGCCCTAATGGCCTTCACCGTAACCTTCACCTGCATCTCCCTCGTCCCCCTCAGCCCCTCCATCATCGCCTCCCTCGACACCCTCTCCGGCACCCCCAGCACAACCTACGCCTCGATCCTCCTAATAACAATCTGGGAACTAGGCGAAGCCGCGGGACCCTTACTCATCGCGCCCCTCAGCGAAGTCTACGGTCGCGCGCCCGTGTTCCATGCCGCGAACGCGCTGTTTGTTCTTTCCACGGCCGCGGCGGCGTTGAGTCGGAGTACGGGGTTTTTGGTGCTGATGCGGTTTATTACTGGGGTGAGCGTGGCGAGTAATGTGTTGAATCCGGCTGTTATTGGGGATCTGTTCAAGCCGGAGGAGAGGGGAAGGGCGATGAGTTTGGTCATGTTGACGCCGTTGATGGGGGGTGCGATTGGGCCGGCTGTGGCGGGGGCGGTGGCGCAGGGAATGGGGTGGAGGGCGGTGTTGTGGATGAGTGTGGGGTTGGCGGTGGTGGTGGAGGGGCTGTTTTTGGTTTTGTTCCGCGAGACCTATCTGCCTGCTATTTTGAGGAATCGTTTGCAGGTTGAGAGATCTGAGGGGAAGGTTGATGAGGGAGATTATGAGGATGCTGGCGGGCTTGAAGAGTTGAAGGTCCGGCCCAAGTCACTGATCTGGCAATCGATCAAGAGGCCCGCTACCATCTTCGCTGGATCGTTCGTCCTGCAGATCATGTCGCTCTACGGCGCCGTGATGTTTTCCTTCTTCTACATCGTTTCCACCACTCTCCCCGGGATCCTCCAAGATCGCTACGGCTTCCCACCCGCACTCGTCGGATCCTCCTTCCTAAGCTTCAGTGAGTCGATCGAAATGCGTACAGATTAGAAGAATTGGTAAGCTAATACCGAAAACGCAGGCATCGGCTCCCTCCTCGGCATCCTCGTGAACAACACCCTCCTCGACAAAATCTACCTCCGCCTCACGCCCCCCAACTCCCCCCACAGCATCCCCGAAAACCGCCTCCCCCTCACCATCCTCGGCGCCTTCACCCTGCCCCTAACAATAATCCTCTACGGCTTCTCCGCCTCCCTGCACCTCCCTTATCCAATCGTCCTCCTCGCAGTCCTGCTAATGGGTTTCACCATTATGCTGGGCTTAGTACCCATGATGTCCTACATCGTCGATGCGTTTGGGGTGTATTCGGCGAGTGCGTTGACGGCTGTCTTGATTACGAGGTGCTTGATGAGTACGGTGCTGCCTTTGGCTGTGGCGCCGCTGGAGCAGAGGTGGGGGTATGGGTGGGGTATGACTGTTTTGGCGGGGTTGGGGTTGGGATTGGCGCCGGTGCCGTGGGTGGTTATGAGGTGCGGAGGAAGGTGGAGGCAGGGGTGTGAGTTTAGTAAGGGGTGATAGGAGGATGTGATGGGATTCGGTGGGTGCGTGCGTGCGTGGCGGTGTTACTGGTTTTTCTGGGGCTTGAGCTTTTTCAGCTGGTTTTCTGGGGGTGTTATTGATGAGCAAGGAATTTGATGGTGCGGGTGGCGTGAGGGGGGTTGTTTCTCGGCTTTCTATAGATTTGGTCGTGCTAGAGGTAGAGTAGACGCGCGATATAGAGGCATAGATATGGTGATGACTAGATTCGCTCTGCATGAGGATGGGGTTGTTAGTCATGTCTTATGTCCTTGGTCCATGCACACATCTATCCTTGTATCATGATCTGCGCAGTTCGTAAGAGCGATGCCACAAGCAGCGCTTTGTCACTAGTCACTACCTCCACCATAGAACTTCTCAGCCATCTCATTAATAGCCTGCACCATACTCCCCACGGCATCACACCTCGCAAAATCCTCCTTCAACTCCATCGCCCTCTCCTTATACCTCCTTTCCCCCAAAACCTTCTCCACTGCCTCCCTAATCTGCTCCGCACCAGGCGTCTGCGTAGCCAGATTGACTGCCGCGCCCGTCGCCGCCGCCCTCGCAGTAGCTTCAGCTTTATCTTCCGTCACGCCTGCAACGACCATGGGTATCCCCTCGGCGAAGGCTTGGGATATGGCGCTATAGCCGCCATTATTGACCACGAGGTTGACGTGCGGAAGCAGGAGTTCAAAGGGGATCCATTCTGCCCACCTGCAGTTCTCGGGGAGGTCGAAGCTCGCAGGTTTCTGGACGGAGACGGCGCAGACGATGAGGCGGACGGGGAGGGTCGAGCAGGCTGTTATTGTGGGAAGGATGAGGTCTGCGGCGTCGGTGCCTGGGAGGGAGCCGGAGGAGACGATCACAAGTGGGTGGTTGGAATGGGAGTTTATGACGAAGTCGTCGAACCAATCTGGTGGTGGACGGGAGGAGTTCGCGCCGAGGAAGGTCCCGATGAAGCGCACGTTGGGGCGGAGATCAGAGCGCGGGGTTTCCATGGCTGGGATGCAAAGTTGTAGTAGTAGGTCTGGTGTTAGGAACCAGCAGTCGACTGGATTCGGATGCGGAAGCGGCTTCTGGCAATTGAAAGGTTCTAGAACGCGATCAAGGACGTTTCGAACTGGTGTCAGCATCGCCGTTGCTTGCGCGTTCAGTTCCATGTTTTTGGCTTCGCCTTGGCTGGGTAGACCCATGCCGAAGGGCGCGGTGTCTTTGCTTTGCACGGCTATGGGGAAGAAGGAGACTCCTATTAATGGTACCCGACGTGTTCCAGGACTCTCGAGCATCATAGGCATAGGTCCCGTGAAAGACACATCGGAGATCAGAATGATCTTCTTCCTCGCCAGCTCAGGTCGGGTGATGACGGACTGAAGGGCAGCGTGCTGCTCTGGTAAACAGCCGAAGAAGATGTGTTCGAGATCCCAGAGGAACTGAAACGGTCCTTTGGGTTGGTTGGCGCGGTCAAGAAAGTAGTCGTTCAGTCTGTCCATGGTGTAGTTTGCCTTGCCTGACAGCGGCACGAATTCAAGACCATCTATATGGGTGAGACTGTTGGCGAAATGTGATGCAGTGATGAAGGTCATCGGTACGCCCACGCTGCTCAGACTCTGTGCCATTGAGCGTAGGGGTCGGATGTGGCCATAGCCTGGACAGGCAGAGATGACGAGGTGAACATCTGGGTCGATGGTGGGACTGCTTATCGAGCCCATTGCGGGAGAGAGAAATCAGGCGAGATGTTTGAGTATTGATCAGTGATAAAACCTTTTGCCTGAAGGTAGGGTAGAGAATGTATACAGAGTGGGTCATGAGTGATCCCACCAAGGAAGCTACAGTGTAAGAGCTGTTATATATCTTGACATGAAGAGCAAATTGCCATGTGTCAATGGAGCTGAAGTCATTGGGCCCCACAGGGATGGTTTCGTTCCGACTTGCGAGAAGGATCAAGACGATTCGCTAGCGGTGGCTCGCCTGCTCACCGATAGCCAAGTCGATGCGGAACAGCTAGGGTTTGCGATGCTGACTGAAAGCGAGGCCTATAAGTGATGTATCGTCTCTCAGTCTTAAACTGCCTGTGCGAGTAATGCATGCCATTGGTTTGAACTTGCATGTCGGCACGCATGACATGCTGTCAAGCGTCTTGTGTGAGTCTCTAGGTCAGAGCTTGTTGAGCAATGGCCACTTGGGTAGCTGACGCAGTTGTTCTGTACAGGAGTGGAGACTGAAATGTAGATAATGCCAAGCTTTGACACGTGATGACGCAACTGTATGTGAAGCTTCACAATGGACATCAGCAGCTTGACGGCAATTGCATTGACCGCGTAGCTTATCGACAGTCATCACTGACCGGGCGCTGATACCTGTCTCACATACTACAATGGCTGCACCAGGACGTCAGGCAATGCGCCTGCTTTCGCCACGCATACAGTACCTTTCACGACCAACCTCCATCACAACCCAAATCCGCCATGCATCGAGCAGATACAGCCAGCCAGCGAAACGTTCAGTGGCCACTGCCGCCGAAATACCTGTGTCCAACACAGCATCTTGGAGCCCGCTCGAAAGTCGAACGAGCTTCCTCGAACATGAGGAGAAGAGGCAATACCACCTCGGCCGCATGCGCTTCGCAGGGATGGGCTTGTTATTGACCATGGGAGGATTGGCAATGGTTCTATCAAACCTGGACCTGGACAGTATCGAGCAAGCGGAGAAGAAAAGAAAAGGCATACAGCTTGATGCTGCAAGCGAAGCCAATGCGACATTCCAGGGTAAAGACGTGCATGTGATTGGTGCAGGTGATTCAAAGAGGATCGTTGCTTCCGGATTGGGAGAGGAGATTGAATTGGTAGAGACTGGCACGAGCTCTGTGCCGCACTTTCCTAGGACGATTTACCTGCCTGCGTCATCTTCGGCGGCTGCGCCGGCCGTGCCTGCTGCTTCTGGATTGGTGGTCGATACAGCTCAGCCGGGCTCGGTTACGAACCCCTTAGACGCTTCTGGCCAGGAAGAGTATACGCTCGTGGGTTTGGGCATTCGTACGGTAATGTGGATACAAGTCTACGTGGTAGGCATGTATGTTCGCACCACCGACATCACGACTCTGCAAGCGAAGCTCGTGAAGCAGGTCAATCCTACTGCTTCTGCCCTGATCCCGTCCGAGAAGATGAGCCTAAGGGAAAAACTGCTGGACCCTGAGCAGAGTCGCGCAGTGTGGGGTGAATTGCTGCAAGTCCCTGGCATGAAGACTGCTTTCCGCATTGCGCCGACAAGGAACACCGATTTCGGTCATCTGAGAGATGGCTTTGTTTCGGGTATCAATACTCGGACGTCAGAAGCACGCAAGCTTACACAGACTGGTGAGACGGAGTTCGATGCTGAAGACTTCGGCCGGTCAGTGCAGAACCTTAAGGGCATCTTTGCTGGTGGTAAAGCACCAAAAGGTTCTATCCTGATCTTGAAGCGTGATGAACGGGGTATGATGGACGTGCTATACTCACCCCAGCCGGAGAAGAATGGTGTCGCGATGGAGACATTGGGCTCGGTGGCTGACGAGCGAGTGAGCAGGCTGTTGTGGTTCGGCTACCTGGCGGGGGAGAAGGTATCGTCGAAAGCGGCGAGGGAGGGTGTCGTGAACGGGTGCATGGAGTTTGTTGAACGGCCTATTGGCAGCGTGGAGACGATGGTTCATTGAGGGGCTTTGTAATTATATATGTATATTTATGCTGCCCGAAGAGAGGCTCTACTCTAGGTGGAGGACAGATCTGTGGTCTCGGTCTGTGAAGTGACGTTGAAGGCGAGGTGCTGGAGGTCGTGTAAATTCAGGAGCTGCAGACATGGTGGGTCCAACCTTAGCTGCTCGAGATCGTTCTCACTGCACCACCTTCTGGACATTGACACTTCTGGCAAACCACTTGGATATCTTCGACAGGACCTTATCGCGCCATCGCCGGCTCAAGGACCATCACGAACATGGCGCTCCGCACGCATAGCACCCGCATCACCAACCAGGACCGCCACCGCTTCTCCTTGACCAAGGCTCTTCGCAAGAACTCCCATCCACTCCCATCGGAGCCGGCCACTGATGACATCCCTAACCCAGCCGCCGCCCTCGCTGTCACTGCTGCTGCTGACTTCGCATTTGCAAACTCTACTACACTCTACGTGACATACACCGCTGAGCTCCGTTCTGACGAAGATCTGTATATGTTTAGTATCGATAAGTGTTACACCACACCCGAACAAGCCAACTCGCGCGTGAAATTACTGGGAGAGAGCAATTTCAGCCTGAGGCGGTATCGGAGCGAGAAGATGAGCACGATGCTGGCGGATGTCGAGCAAGGCGATGTCCATGCTAAGGTGGATGATCTGAAGATGGTGACGTGGAAACGTATTGGGCCGGGCAATAAGCCGCGCTTTATGGCGTCGACGAAGAAGATTGTGATGGCGGGCCGGATCCCTTGCACTGGTGATGAGGATTTGCCGGTGGAAGACGGTGGGCCAAATGATGTTTCGAGCCTGTTTGTTGCTTTCTCGCACCTTGAGATGCCTGGTCATGTGTGGGTTGTGGCGATGTATCTGCCGAAATGGATTTGGGATGAGCTTGCGGAGCTTGCGAGGACTCCTGGGTTGGACACCAACAGGCCTGCAAGCGACGCTCAGGGCATTTCGCTACAAGAAGTCATGAACGACCTCAATGCCAACGACGACAAAGTTCGGCCAAAAATCACCTGGAGAATTGTCTCCGTCCGTCGTACAAGCTTCGTCGCTGGTGTTCGGGCCAAACAGATCTGGAAGCAGCTTTTCCACGCCGTGGTGGGTCGCAGCACCAAAGATCACGAGCACTACGGCTTCGCACGCTTCGCTCTGAAACCCGCTTACGGGCCATCGGGCAACAAGATCGAGTACACAGGCTGTGATGTCGGGCCACAGATTCGTATCGAGCGGGTCAAGGTGACTGCTATTACTGATAAGCCGGAGTACTACGTCCCGCCACCCCTGAAGATGCAATTGAGAGCGAAAGTCAAGGGTAATGCTGAGCTGCAGAAGGCAAGTGCTGATCTGAGGAAGGGCATCAAGGGTTCTGAGGAAGGTAAAACGGACAAGATTCTCGTTGCGCCACCGCTCAAGTGCGTCAATGGCCAGGTCATCAGTACGGCTCAGGGCAAACGCACTTCTTACATTGAGAACCTTCAGGACTCCATCGACGAGGCTCTGCAGCCTTCGTTCAGCTACCAGGACATCCCGTTATCCTTCAAGCTCAAACAACGTAATCTCGAGCGCTGGGGCGAGCTGGAAGACCAGCGTTTCGGTGGGTCCGTCAACCTCGAGGAGCAGGAGGAGAAGTTCGTGGAGAAGGATATTTATCATGGCTTCATGCACAGTAATCATGGTAATGGTAGTCAGAACGGCAAGAGACCCGCGAAGTTGAGGAGTAAAGCGTACAATAAAGCGCAATTGCGGATGCAGAATGCGGTCGAGGAGCAGGGTTTTCTGACTGATATGGGTGCGAGTGCGATGGCGAGGGGGGAGTTGGTCACGACGATTGAGGGTGGGGATGGGAGGAAGAGTGTTAGTCGGGCGGGTGGGAGGGAGGGTTTGGCGGGTGAGGTTTTGAGGCCAGGGGGCTCGGTGCGTAGGAAGGATGGGCGGCAGCCGAAGACTGGGAGTTTGAGGCGTGAGGGTTGGGGCTCGCACCCGCCGGAGAGGAGGAAGAAGAGGGTTTCTTTTGCTGGATTGTGAACGATTGGGATTGAGTGGATGGAGTTGTGGTATCAGTCGACATCAGGGACTGCGAAGCTTCACTGGGCGGACTAAGCAACTTAGGCGTTTCCTGGTCAGTCTGCGAGACAACGTTCGGACTGTTTATGCTCGGCATAACGGACAGCTGGATGAGGGTTGTCTACGGGAAGAGAGAGAGAGCGAGCTGAGGATGATTGCTGAAGTAAGCTGCTGGACGTAGAGATTAGGCAGTCAGCGGATGCTTCAGCATAAACAAGCAGGGTATCGGGACTTGACTGTGCTTGGCAGAGTTGTGTTTGCTTGACAGCCGTCTCCACATGTTGCATAGAGTTCCACACATTAGCAAGGGATGCCCTTGGCCTGATTATATGGAGCTCGTGAAGATCTCAGCTTGCCGCTACATCCGGACTCGTGCAAGTGCTCCCGCCAATTGCGAGTATTGTCACGATTTCAGACCCGAACGTCCAGTCTGCTTGTTCTGCTGAGGTCACAGCGTACGTCGATGCCAAAGTCAATGCCAAAGAATCAAGATACGGTCGAAAGCATGTGTAAATAAGCTTTCCTACGAACCCAGCCATGCACCCAGCCGAAGCCACCCTTGCCCGGGATACGGCACATCTTTGACTTCACCATGAATCCTCTCACGAGCACCTGCCGCGTGGGCTCCACGGGGCTCAAATGATGGAGAGACTTTTGCATTCTGGCTAAATGCAACGAACATTCGACACGAGTCCGATAAGTCCGAGTATGGGTCTCGACAAACTGGCATAACGGGAGACTTATGAAAGAAGATCGTGATGAGTATGTGGACTACAAGTACTAGACAGGTCCGCCCGATGGCTGGCCGTAAGAGAAGTGGATTTGTTGGATCGATTGCTCTGTTCTCTCTTCGACAAAATGGCTCCAGGGATCGCTGAAGGCCTCTCGGGCAAACGGGCTCAACTTGCTGGCCCTACGGGTTTGAAGGGTATCATCTACAATGGCAAGACGACGGCCATCGCCTTCTTTGCGTCGTTGGGCGGTCTAGTCTATGGCTGTGAGTCAGACTCCTTGGTCTCAGGCGTAGCGTAATCTTTACTGATCATCGTTATTCTGCCAATAGACAATCAAGGCATGTTCGCCCAGGTCTTAGTCATGCACTCCTTCATCGAGAAGACGAACGGCTATGCTCAGCACGCTGGTCTTGGTCAAGGCCTTCTCACATCCATCCTCGAGCTCGGCGCATGGGTTGGCACTCTGGCGAATGGTTACCTCGCTGATGCTGTTGGTCGACGAGTCTGTGCTGTGATTGCTTCTGGCGTCTTTATTATCGGTGTCATCGTCCAAGCTTGCACGGAAAACAAGGACTATGTCTTCGCTGGCCGGTTCGTGACTGGACTGGGTGTCGGATCGCTATCCATGATTGTGCCGCTATACAACGCAGAGCTGGCGCCGCCTGAGGTCAGAGGTGCACTAGTTGCGGTACAGCAGCTTGCGATCACCTTTGGCATTATGGTGTCGTTCTGGATCGGCTATGGGACGAACTTCATTGGTGGCACTGGTGCTACGCAATCCAACGCTGCGTGGTTGAGTAAGTTGGTTGCGGATGCTGCCTGTCGGAAAAGTTGTGCTGATTCGTCGCTGCAGTCCCCATCTGCCTCCAAGTCCTTCCTGCCCTCGTCTTGGCTGCTGGCATGATGCTCTTCATGCCCCAGTCACCACGACATCTGATGAACAAAGGTCGAGAAGACGAGTGCTTGCAGACACTGGCAAGGCTCCGGAACTGCTCCCCACATGAGCTGAGGGTCCAAGTTGAGTTCCTTGAGATCAAGGCACTACGCGAATTCGAGAAGTCCGTTGCTGCCCTCAAATACCCTCAATGGCAGTCTGGCTCGTTCTCAGACAGTTTCAAGATCGCCGCGTACGACTGGGCTTCGCTGTTTACGAATCCGAGTTTGCGCAAGAGGACAATTGTGGCTGTGCTCATCATGACGTTCCAACAGTGGAATGGTGTCAATGCGATCGTGAGTAGCAGATCAGCAGTACACAACTCGATCGACGACTGACTACGCACTGTAGAATTACTTCGCTCCGATCATCTTTCAAGGTTTTCAGCTCCCAGGCAACACCATTTCTCTTCTCGCTACCGGCGTCGTTGGCGTTCTCGAGTTTCTCTTCACCATCCCGGCAGTCCTCTACGTCGATCAATTCGGCCGGAAAAACATCCTCATCGCTGGAGCCATTGGAATGGCCGCCTGCCACTTCATAGTCGCTGGCTTGATTGGCGGTCTTGGTGATGACTGGCCGGCCCACCGAGCTGGTGGATGGGCCTGTGTGGTCTTCATCTGGATCTACATTACCCAGTTCGCATACAGTTGGGGTCCCGTTGCCTGGATCGTGGTGTCCGAAGTCTTTCCACTGAGTATGCGAGCCAAAGGGGTTTCGTTTGGTGGTAGTTCCAACTGGCTGAACAACTTTGCTGGTACGTTAGAAGATGTTATTGTCATGTGCGAAACCTGCTAACATGCGAGAAGTTGGACTGTCGACCAGTCCATTCATCGCGACCAGCCAATTCGGCACATTCATCTTCTTCGGCTGTATCACTACAGTCGCTGCTATATGGGTACATTTCTGTAAGTCGACATCACCATATCACACTGAGTGTATATCTGACACAATCACAGTCGTTCCAGAGACCAAGGGCAAGACTTTGGAAGAGGTACGTTGGCGTCCCTTCCCTTTGCGTGAGTGGCACTGACACAATTCTAGATGGACGAGCTGTTTGGTGCTGCCGGCTTTGCTGCGGCCGATCTTGCTCTCAAGGCCAGAATCGAGCGTGAGATTGGTTTAACTCAATTACTTGGCGATGAGGACCGGAATGCGTCTGTCGGTGGTATGGAGAAGATGCGAAAGGACAATGAGGAGGTGGCGGACGAGAAGGATGAGGTCAAAACCATTGGCTGAGTAGAACAGAATAGAGTATGGCCGCCGAATGAATGGTCAGCTAAGAATCTCAGACTCCAGTGCAGTCTTCATCGACCGGCTTTCCGGCATGAACAACGTCCAGGAGATGTTGGATTTGATCACATCTTGGCCCGTTGTTCGCTGGGTGAGCGTGCGCAGTCGTACCGCCCCCGCGAGACTTCTAAGCGGCTGCAACCCGAGACCTCGTCGTACACGCGATGTAGATGGAGGTTGGTCAAATGCATCAGTCATCGCTCTCACTTGCGAAATTGCTTTTCGGTCGCGAGTCCGAATGCAGCTGATGCCGGGAGTGTGACAAAGTGCTGCCTACGAGAAGACAACGACGATGATTTTACAACCCTGAGCAAAGAACCAATGAGTATAGCACCACATACTCGGCAATGGTCTGATAGAAACACACTCGAGGATGATCAGTAGTCGGTCACGCTGTCAGTAGTCCAGAGAAGTACAGTATTATCAGTCCTCTCACATGGCTCCACTTCTCCCTTCCTCTCGTCATTGATTGTTCAAGTTCCCAGAGAGAAAGTATAGCAGACAATACCGAATAGAGATCATCCCATCCACCAAAACCTTATCATCGATCAACATTCGCTACCATGGTCAACATCCACTGCGCCTATAGCGAACAGATCAACCCCTCCAGCTCATCACTCACCCTCACCAGAAACCAGATATGGAAAGGTCTTCAACGCAAGATCCGGAATGCACAGGACTTCGTACCCGTGATAGACAAGACGGAGGTAGTGGAGGACAAGGACGGCGTGGTAACGCGAATAACATACTACGATACTAAGGAAGACCAGCCTGGACATACTGTGAAGGAGGTCTGTAAGGAGTATCATCCCACTAAGGTGAGATCGCCCGAATGAAACGAAGATCAGCAAGGGAGCTGTTGTTGACACTGTGGTGATTGTGCAGGTCGACTTCCACCAACCTAATGGCACCCTCATTACGAACACTATCTCAGACGGCCCTAGCCTTAAGGACGAGGGTCTCTGCATGACATATACTTTCGAGTGGCAGTATCCCAAGGTCGAGGATGGGAGCGACGAGCATAAGAAATTGATTGCTGAGCATGTGCAAATGGCCAAGGATGCGGTACAAAGTTCTATCGAAGCTATGAGGAAGATGGCTAAGGCTGGTGAGCTTGGACAGTAGAGGTCAGAAATACTTACTCCCACGGTCATAGCACGACACGAATCGACGGCTGGATGGCAATGGGCGCGGATCCTGGAAGCTTGCGCATAGAGGTCGACCTAAATGATGTATGGTCTACCGTATTTCGTATAGATCAGCTTGATTGACTGTATATATATACAGCTCGGACTATAAAACTGTATATCACGTCTAGATTGCACCTGCAGCCTTAAGTAGCTCAGGCAGCTGCTTCTTCTTTCCTTGCAAGTCCGAGTTACCTCCAATGTGCTTCTTGTTGATGAAGATGTTTGGCACTGATCGCTGGTGTGTCATCTCCTCCAGTGCGTCTTGGATCGCGGAACCGTCATCTGGAAGATTGTTGTGTCAGCAGGCTATTGGCGGCCGCAGGTAGTGTCCGAACTGGATTTCGTAGGGTTCTACGTACCAACCTCGTCAAGCTCAATGATATATGGCTTGACCCCCATCTCGCTCAATAGCTGCTTGCTGGATTTGCAGTAGGGGCAATATGATTTGGAGAAGACAGCTGCGCAACAATTGTCAGCATAGGTAGACGTAACGCCAGCTGCTCCTTGTGACACAGCATACCGACAGCATTGTTGTCGATGATATCCTGAGCCTTAGTCTTAGCTGCCATTATGTCGTCGTCGTCGGATTCGTCTGAAGAGTATTGTCTTGATGTGGTGGATGCTAGCGAAGCAGATCTTAGGAGGTGATTGTGATTAACACGAAGTGACGGATCTCGGTATGGCGTGCTTAGTAGAACTGGAATGTTCGGGGCCTTCGATGCAGCATTTCCAAAGCTGCGCACCAGGATGCAGTATGACGTGTGAGGGGCTGTCCGGAAATAGTAGGCACGTGAGTATACTCGTGGTAATTCAAGTGGATATGGTTTGAGTCCAGCGAGAATCATATAGACGATTGACAAGTCCCAATCTACGATGGGACACGATCTGTACTGAGGAAATGGACAAAGTGGTCTTGATCATGGTCGTGTCAACGATCGAGAGACCAGACGGAAGCCGAAGTCTGCCGAGATGCGAGCTTAGTCATGCTTCGTGATTGCCTGAATGGGAACACCGACTTTCGAAGCTTCGAGTCGCGTGTGAAGTGAATGCTTCTGTCACGCCAAACAGCAACGAAAAGAAGTGGAGAATGTATGAACGATAGCTGTACATACATGCGGTGCAGGGATTGATGCCCTCGCTACAATGGCGCGAAGAACATGAGCTGGACTCATTGGACACCACGACTGGAGCAAGCAGTGGAGAGATGGGATCAGCTGGTGAAGAGACGATGGAGCAGGGCCGTCTGCTAGACGAGGAGGATGATCATGATGCCGGACATGAGATCGATGCACAAAAGGATCAAGAATACGAGGAGCGTCTAAACAGGCAGACTGTCCGCAAACTCGACTTCATCCTACTCCCCTTCCTCGCCCTGCTCTTCCTCCTCAACAGCCTTGACAAGTCCAACATTGGCAACGCCGAGACTGCAGGCTTCACTCACGACGCGAATCTCTCTCCCGGCGACCTCAACGTCTCCCTCGCCTTCTTCTTCGCTTTCTTCGTTGCTCTCCAACCTGTGGGCGCGGCACTGGGACGCAAATATGGCATGGCACGCTGGGTCCCCGCATGTATGAGCCTGTGGGGCTTGTGTACGATCTTACACATTTGGGTCCGGAGTCGGTGGCAATTGATCCTGCTTAGGGTGTTGATCGCGTGTCTGGAGGCTGGGTTTTATCCTACGACTGTGTCTTATTTGAGTCTGTTCTATACTCGGTTCGAATTTGCGGTGAGGTTGGGCTTCTATTATGGGCAGACGGCTGTGGCGGGTGTATTGGGTGGGGTGTTGAGTTGGGCGGTGTTTAGTCGCTTTGAGAGGCATCATCAGGGCCCACAGCTTCGTCAGGCGGAAGTCGACCAGGGGGGCTGGAAGTCATGGGAGGTCTTGTTCGTGATCGAGGGCTGCACGACTATGGTGATTGCTTTGCTCGGCTTCTTTTGGCTGCCGCATAGCGCTGATACTGCGTGGTTTTTTACGCCCTCCGAGAGAATATGGGCTGAGCAGCGCATTCGGCTGGACCGAGACAATGTCACGGCCGCGCAGAAGACTCGCGCAAGTACTGCCCTCCATAATAGTATGCTGGAGGACAGCGAAGCTCAGGCCCAGGCCGGTGCCAAGGACGGCGATGAGGAGGATGCTGATGCTGGACACGAGGCTCACCACCGCCTTCTTGGCGACGACACAAACACCGAACCTATGCGAAGACGAAAGATGTCTACCGTGTCGGCCATTTCAGTGACAGCAGACACAGGTCTGAGTCGTTACGATGTGCTTTCTGCCATCTTCTCCTACAAAATATGGCACCTCCTAATCTGCAACATCCTCTCCGCCATCCCAGCAACAGCCTTTGGTGTCTTCCTGCCACTAGTCATCAAACAGCTCTCACCCACCCTCAATCTTAGCCCAGCCGCCTCGAACCTCCTAGCCGCACCACCCTTCGCCTTCGGCGCCGTGGTACTCTTCGTCTTCACCTACTGGAGCGACAGGACTCACCAGCGCCTCATACCCATCTTCTGGGGTCTAGGACTACTCCTCATCGGCTTGACCCTGACTGTTATGACGCCCCGCTCAAATTACATCCTCCGCTATATAAGCCTCTGCATCCTGCTTTCCGGCTCCTTCATCGCCTCGCCCCTAACAGTAGCATGGCTCACGAACAACACACCCGAACCCGGTAAACGAGCAATCTTGCTCGGGGTTAATGGCTGGGGTAATCTAGCTGGCGTTTTCAGTGCTCTGCTCTTCCGACCTGGAGATGAGGCGAACGGGTATATCAAGCCTTTCACATGGACCCTGGTTTGTGTCATGGCGAGTTTTGTGGGGTTCATCGCTTTTTGGGTTCTGTTGGTCAGGGAGAATAAGTTCAGGGAGGATGTTTGTGCCTCCTGGAGTGAGCGGGAGAGGGCAAAGGAGGAGCTTTTCGGGGATGTGGAGGTAAAGAGTGCCAGTGGTTTGTTGAAGATGATTGGTATAGGTAAGCTGTTGGGGTGGCTAGGCTATGAGGGTGGTAGAAGGGGTGATGAGAAGATGACATTTAGGTATGGTATGTAGAGGTCATCTCAATCGTTGACATGTACATGGCATCCGCGTGCGAAGCACATACATACAAAATTCAGATGCTTGTTCACACAAGCAATAAACTCGAACATTTCCCCTGCCGCCTCCAGAATCATTGCTGCTAAGTAGTATGGTATGTACTGGTCATATCAGAGAAGCATTGGTACTTGGAAGTTGTAAACAAAATCATATTGAGTGATCATCATGCACGAGAGAGAAGTGGTGCTTAGTACGCCAAGCTGTATTGCTTCGGCCCGCCTTCTCCAGTAGTGCCCTGGGCTCACACATATGGCCTGGGTATTAAGCCCTCGTCGCCGGGTCCTGGTGTCAGGCCTCCATGACCAGGGCCTGGGGTCAAGCCTGTACCACTCAGATCAAGACCAAATCCTGGATTTGGATGAGCAATTGGGATGGTCTCGGCGAAGTGCTCCCAGGAGTTCATATTGACCCAGCGGCTTTCAAAGGTGGCCTTCAAGTCGATGACGTCTTGGTGGACGTCCACGATTTCCCACGCGAAATTAGGCCTCTGAGCGATTAGCATGTCGCTAGCATCCTCACGGAAGTGCTTCCCGTAGAGTATGCTGACTGACCTTAACATCTTCCTGCGCAGCATGGTCGGGCTCTTGTGCTGGATTAGGAGGAAGGCTACGCTTCTGTTGAAGGGTTGAGCTAGAAGGGCGTAAAAGCACCTGCATCGGTATGTCAGCATAAGAGCCACAATACCAACATACATCTAAGCTTACCAGTGGCCCACCGAGAACTTCTCCTGATGGTCCCATCTTGACCAGCCTTTCTCATACTCACCCCAGCCTCGTGAATGTAGAGAGGAGGCGATCACTTCGTCCATCTCCACATCTTCTACCGCCTGGACGACGTACCGATTAAGAAAAGACTTCATAGTGATGATGTCGTCGTCGTGAATGTTCTGTCTTGCCTGCGGATACATGCCGCCGATTGGAACAATGCGTTCAAGCGCGTCCCAGTACAGATCACGTCTCAAACCAGGCTGCTCCCTCCCTTGTTTCGCATTTAGACCATATCTCGTCCGGTGTTCACCATGAAGCCTCTCCCACATTGCCCACAGCATTTCGGAATGGTGAGGTATTCGTGGCAGGTTCGTCTTGAAAGCTTGGCCGTGAGAATTGCCATGCATAGCGTGGTGCGAGCTTACCACGGACTGTACGACCGTGACACCGTCAAGGATATTGTACACATTAGTGTATTTTGCACCGCTCTTCTGCAAACGCATTAATTAGACTTAGGTCATTTCTCATGTGCGCCACGACTTACAGCTTCCTCAGCCTCTAGCGCAATGTTGTAGCCCGTATTCTGAAGTGTGTGGCGGAGGATGCAGTAAACCAGTATCTACATAACGTGGGAGCATCCAGCTCTGCTGAGCAAGATTCGCTTTTGGGTCACCAACCCGTAGGGTCCCTATAGCAGGCGCGATGGACGGCCAACGGAGCTCAAATTCTTTGCGCTCACTGCAGTCAAGGATATGCCATTGGCGTGCAAGTGTGAGAGGTCCGGCGAACATACGTGGAGGTCTTTGCCATTGGTTCACAGGACTCATAAGCACCGTGTCAAATGGGTCGATCACGCCGAATTCTTTGATCAAGATTCGATTCGCCCCGTCGACATCGGCTTCCATGGCAGCCTGCAAGAACAAGCGGCCGTAGTCAACGAATGCCTTCAGCTGATCCGGGGGACAGGGTTTCCCATAGAGTGTCGACACATCTGCAGTCTCCCCACCCGTTTGAGATGGCAACTTACGAGTGATCAGGGAATGTGACCTAGGAATCGTAGCATTTCCAAAGTCCTTGGATCGATCGAGTGCGTTCACAACTTGAGGATACCCGTTGTTGCTACTAATCTGTGGACCAGGGCGTTGTGATAAGGCGGCAAGGCTTACGAGTAGCAGCATGCACATGCCTAACGACCTGCATTTTCTTGTGCGCTGCATGGTAGATCGACGTCTGTTACTTGGACCGAACCTGTTGAGGTCCGTACTGATCTACGGTCAGCTTCGCACCTGAGTCAGTGTGCGATGGATATGGGGGTAGGACCACTCAGTCGCGAATATGTGGACAGAAGATGCTGGGAAGGGGAGTCCTTGCATCATTTCTATAGGCCGTGGCAGCTGCCTGAAGCTTGCCAACGAAGAACGTGCAATGTCAGCACAAAGGTAGAATGCTGAAAAGCTTCTAAGAAAAGCTTCCATTGACAACAACTCACCGCCCATGGGACTCATGCCACCTGCTGCAAACTCAGCGTACTTGTGCTGGTATGGTAGTGTTTTCTCTTGAGTCTGGGGCTAGACATGATGAAGTACTCGGTATGCAAGCTTTCACCGCAAACTCCACGTGCCATCCTTCTCAACAATGTCAACTTGTCTTCGCTCATCCAGACTGATTCGGCCAGCCTCCAAGATTGCGCCTGTGGCCATGGTATTCTTGAGTGTGGGCAAGCCTCTCGTGTCCAGGTCATCGATCGTCGCCCGGCCGTCCTTCAGAGCCTGGCAGCCATCTACAAACTTCTCGAAGCTGATGTAGCCATAGCCACCTTGGCCAGCAAAGTTGCCTTCTTCGTCAGGAGCGTATTTCTGGTGCACACGTTAGCTGATGTACCCGTGAGGTGGATCGGTGGTAGCGTACCATGTAGAAAGGGTTGTCTGTCCATCACAACGTCAGCATGATACATGATAGTTCGTCTAGCGATTACTTACACCACGTCAGACCGCTCTCGTCCTCCGTCACATCATAACCTCGCTTCGCCTGATTGACACGGACCTCACCCTTCGACGCCATATAGTGGAAGTACTGATTCGAATGCACACCGGCTTTTTGTGGAGCGGTCCAAGATGCAGTATATACGCCCGTGGCTCTTCGGCCAGAACCGTCTTTCTTCTCCCAGTCGACAAGCAGCGAGATGGTGTCCTCGGTCTCCTCAACGCAGCCCAAGTCCGTTGCAATGCCTTTTGACGCCGATCCTGTCACCCTTGTAGGTCGATAGTCTGGTACCATACTCTCATTAACATCGATGTGGTGGCTGTTGAGGTAGTACGAGATATCGCTATCCTTGCCCGCCCATGCCTTGAACGTCTCTAGCTGACTCTTGGGCTGACTCATGTAGCTATAGAAGTAGTTGAATTCGCCTAGATTGCCTCGAACAGCTCTATTCCTCGCATCTGCATATGCCGGGTCGAAGCGCTTATGATGTTCTATATAAACGAAGACATTGTTCTTGCGACTTTCTTCTAGCAGATGCTGGTGCTCCTTCAGTGTCTTGACTGCTGGCTTTGTGATCATGACATGGATCTTTCGTTGGATGGCATAGAGAGCTATCGGGTAGTGCGTTGGGTCTGGAGTGAAGATTGTGATGGCGTCTCCAGGCGACAAGGCATCGATGGCCTTCTTGTAAGCTTCCGGATCTCGCTCTTCGTTGCCGGGAAACGAGTCGAAGGAAGTATCGAGACCATTGTAAGCCTGGGTGATGTTCTTGTGAAGGTGGTCGCGAATGGCTGGAAATCTGCAACATCGTCAATGCCTGCATGTCGTCTGTTTATTTTCCGTCGTACTTATTCCCAGACGTGCCCACCATGGACAGCTTGCCAACCCTGCCTCGTTTCCGTAGATCGAACAATGTCAAGCCAACTACTCCTACCTTCTTGTCGGAGCCTGACATACCACCACCGACGAAGCCAGTGGTGTACTCGCCCGTCCCGACCATGCAGACATTGAGAGGGGCCATTGTGCTTTGCTATCAGGAAAGGTTGATAGTGGTGCTCTGAATCTACGCAACAGGTTGACAAAGGAAGTTCGGGCTAAGATCCAACCGCGATACTTACACTCACGAACGATCAAACGAGGAAACATATGATTCAAAAGCCGATTGACGACAGAAGTGGAGGGGTCAAGATTCGGAGGACGTCTGGCAAAATAATCATGCCGCCTCAAAGCTCACTATGTGGAGGGGTTAACGAGAAGTCGACATCATTCGTGGAATAATTGATTATTCCTCCAATCATTGTGCCAGGTTTCCTGTACCTGCATGCGATGGAATAGCAAAGACCGAGCTGGAGTAGGAAAAGAGCACCACGAAGACGAAATCGTCAATAGTCAGCTCAGCGAAGACGGACCAAGTACAATCAGCCGCTGCCATAGGTTGTCGTCGACAATTTCCTTCTCTCCTACTCTCTCACTCTCCCAATCTTGCCCCAACAAGGCCTACCGTGATCGACATTTTAAAACACTTACATATCCAGCAGAAGCCGAACAAGTGATTCGCGATGGCATCGAATGGCGACAGCAACGGCAGCTCGTCCCGTCGCCAGCTTCGTCATGGCATCTACGCGCCAACGATGACGTTCTTCGACAAGGAATCCGAGGATCTTGATATCCCGACCATCAAAAAGCATGCTGTCAGGTTAGCGAAGGCTGGTTTGGTCGGCTTGGTCACCATGGGCTCGAATGGCGAAGCTGTCCATCTCACCCGCGATGAGAAGACTGCAGTCACAAGAGCGACACGAGAAGCACTCGACGAAGCTGGTTTCAAGGACGTCGTCGTCATCGCAGGTACTTCGGAAAGCAGTGTCCGACTCGCAGTAGAATTGAACAAGGAGCAAGCGGCGGCTGGGGCAGAGTATGCATTGATGCTTCCTCCATCATACTACCGAGCTCAGGTCAACGAGAGTATGATGTTCGACTACTACACCACGGTCGCCGAAGCATCGCCCTTACCTATCATCCTGTACAATTATCCAGGTGCCGTAAGTGGTCTGGATATGGATAGCGACTTCATGATCAGACTCGTAGAAGCGACCAAAGGCAAGGTCTGTGGCGCCAAGTTCACAGACGCAAATACTGGCAAGCTCACACGAGTCGCGTATGCAACGAATGCATGCTCGGTCAAATCGCAAGGGTCGGGCTGGATGGCGTTTGGTGGGATTGCAGACTTCACCTTGCAAACGGCAGCGTCCGGCGGTTCTGGTATAATTGCAGGGGGTGCGAACGTGATGCCGAAGCTCTGCGTAAAGGTATGTGCTCGACTGCTCCCCCGCGGACCTCAGAAACTAACTCGTCGTACCAGGTGTGGAACTCGTTCCAAGAGGGAAAATATGAAGAGGCGATGGAACTGCAAAAAGTACTGTCAAAGGGCGACTGGGTGTTGACCAAGGCGGCTATCGCAGGAACCAAAGCGGCCATCGAGTTGGAATTCGGATATGGCGGATACCCAAGGAGACCGTTGCAACGCTTGAATGAAGAGCAGCGCAAACAGATTAAGAGTGGTATCGCTGATGCAATGAAGCTGGAGCACAGTCTGTAGACGGAGTCATGAAATCGATGTCGATCATGCGTGTATTCCGATTGTAGACTATGCACGGTGGCTTGCTCGCGACTTCGCGCACGTTCGTATCTCCAGTCTCCACCAGTCCCGTGTGGCTGGTTGAGGCTTGGGACTGTCGGAACCTCCGTGCGTATTCAATGAGCTTGTTCGTCCAGCTCGCGTGATCCTTGCTGTGGTCGACGGTCGTGTCGTCGATGCAGGATCCTGGCAATGAAAGATTCGCTTCATGTTTGGGAATTCTGCCTGTCGTGAAGTGATCTTGAACGCATCATCAACACTAAAGCAACAGCTAGAAAAGGCTCCGTAGCGCTGCCGCAAACCATCGCAACGTGCTCAGAGACAGCCAATCAAGAATAAAGCATGCACGCGATCTGCAAAGTGCGATAAGCTCGTCGGTAGCACGGGATCGACCCGGTTATTTTGACCGCGGCCGTCAGATCTTCTATCGCCAGCCTGCTAAAACCTCACCAAAGCAGGATCTCGTGCATACCGTAGCAAGAAATCCACCTGGCAATCGCAATATCCAGCCGTGCGTGTGCCTCGCTTAGTTGCGAACGCCTTGCTAGCCACGTCTGATGTAAAGTGGTCGGTGGCGTGGTGCAGGTGTCACAATCCAGTCAAGGTGCTCAAGCCTTGCAAAATCGCCGGAAGTCAATCACGCCGCCACAGACGACCACGAGTGGATGCATGGCTTTTAGTGCCGTGGCGCCGCTCCGAGAAGCGCGTAGCCAAGAAAGCAAGTCAGAGACTTGGATCGTCACTGCAGGTCCGGCAAAGTAGTAGAGGTTGGTTGAGTTCCGGCGGCGCTAGTCGTACAATCGCATCTCTATCCCTCTTCTCCCGACCTTTGTACCACCATCCATATCGTATCAGCAACCAGAAAACGCTGACGACACAACTGTCATCCCGGTCGCGATGCGTTCCTTCATCGCCAGCGCCGTCGTCGCGCTTTCGAGCGTCGCCATCGTTAACTGCATCCCGATCGCACAGCAACAAGTTCTAGCCGAGATCCAACGTACCGAGCAGCTGGTAACACAACTCGAAGCCGACGTTATCCAGTCCAATGCGATGGCAGCACAGACCGATTACAGGAACATCCAGCACGAGCTTGATGCATTTGGCATGTACCTGGGACAAATCACCGACTCGACTTGCGTCGCCGACGGGCCTGGAAGCAGCACTGTTTCCGTCACAAAATACTACGATGTCCTTACCGCACTGCAACTCCTCCAGGCCGATATGATCAACATCTCTGCTGGCGTACTCAACAGGCAGACCAGCACTTCCGTCGCCGCCTACCAGACCGCACAACAGAAGCTTGAGAGCACATATGAGTATGTTTTCGGCTCCGCAATCAGCTATGGTATTCTCCAGGGTCTTCAGAACTAGTGAGGAGAGTGCATGCGGAACATTCGTCTGCAAACAATACAGGCAATGCTGTGATGGCGTATCCGGCAATATTGGATGGTTGACGTCGGCCGAGGGTGGCCGGAGGTGGCGTAGGGGAGTACTGAAGTCTGGGGTGGTCGTGGTGGCAAGGCATAACATTCAAGTCCACGGTCGAAGGTGGCGGCCGACGTGGATTACGACTTTCATGAATCTCATACCCGGTGGTAGAGTGGAGGGTCAGTGGTATGCTTGGAGGTACTTGTACATACGCACAGTGGTTAATAGAATAGATACATATCGTGAGACTTTACATCTGATTTCTCGTCGGCTACTCACCCACCTCCGAATCGTTGCCTATACCTGTCGTCGCCGTCGGGCTCAGCAAAAGCGCCTCACGCTTGGACCACAACGGCGCTGTCGTCTTGTCTTTGGTAGGTTCATCTCCGCTGCTTCTGGCGGACCACGCGTACACACTGCACCATTGTGTCTACGACATTGTGATGAGACCCCTGGGCCCGTATCCGAAACACCGAGGCCATGAGCTGGCTATACCCGACTGCTACTTGTCAGTGACCCATCACGGCGGGATTTGAATGAGCACATCAACCAAGCCTCAGCACGCTGGTTGTGCCTATGATACGCGTTATGCCCCGGGCAACGAGTCCGAGACTCCTCGACGAGAGCCATATCGAGCACAATGGCCTGCGTTGCTCCCATACGCGAGCAGGACCTTGGCGAGTTGATAGCCAAGATGGAGCTTAGTGACGCTTGACCCGGTTCGCCGCTGGGTTGGGAGATCGCTTTCCATTGAGGAGCTTGCCTTGGACGATATCTCGAATAGTGAATCCCCAATTGATGAAGTAATCGATCAGTAGGATCAGAAATAATCCGGTTGCGAGTACTCGGAAAGCAGGCGAGTCGAAATCCTTAGCAAAAGATATGAATGCTGTGCAGACGGTCGCCACTGCATATTATAATCAGCACTAGTCTAAGATTTGGGGTTTGTACGACTTACTAGGGAAGATAGTACTCCACCATAGGAGTGAGTACTTGCATTGTCGCTTAAATGCCGTCTCAAGTATGCAATAGACGGCCAAGGTCGTGAACAGGACCGACATGCCAGTCAACATCAAGCCCAATAATGTTCCAGCGGCGGAGAATATTTCACCGGCTGTGTCCGTGAAGATCGTGCCTTTACCGTATTTGCCAAAGTGCATTTTAGCCGCTGTGCCTAGAAGCTGAAGTGCTGCACTACCTTGGCCACACGGTCCGACCAGCATTACGAGACCTGGACGCTGTGCTGGTGGTGGCAGGCCGATGTTGGTCATACGGATGAAATAGGCGGAGTAAAGGATAAGAGCTGCAAAGGTGCCGATGCCCGTCAACATGTAGCCGACGATGATGACGGGTATTGCAAGCCGTGTGTTGACGTCGTCGGAGTAATTCACGATCAGGGCACCCTGTGCGGACAATGGTCAGCCAACAACCTCAGCTAGACATTGTTCGACGGTTGACCTACCACAACGGCGTTCGTTGTCGTCCCGACGAATGGTATGACAATGCCAGGGGTGAGCTTCTCGGTGGTCGTTATGTCGGTCTTGGAAATGACAACAATGACCAAAGTAGCGATAGTGAGCATGACTGCTGTGCCGATCCACCACATCACATAGGCAACAAGGAAGAAGGCATGTGCGCCCCAGCTAGCGGTGCTGACCGTGATGCCGACCTACGTTTGTGTGAGGAGTCGAGCCTTGGAAAGAGCTACAATGCATCTTACCTGCGACAAAAGCGTGAACCATGCGATGGGTACGGCGCCGGTAAGCGCCAGCTCCGTCAAGTCGTTTGAACATGACTTGACTAGCGCTTTGGGATAGATGGCGACCCGCAACAGGAATATGCAGAAGAAGAGAATGAAGAGCGCCAGGTTGAACACAAACATAATGGTCGAAAGAATGCCAAGGCCCCGGAACTACGGATGAGCGATGTCAGCCTATTCATGCCTATGCAGGTGTGTAGGTTTGCGAACCTGATATGGAAGTTGATGCATGAGGATCGAAAGAATGCCAGTGTTCATGCTCAGGGTAAACCACAGGAAGGAGAAGTCCTCGACTATGGCCGCCAAGCGGTCCCGAATGCCTGTAGACTCCTGGGTCTGCTCGGGTTTGTTGCCATCGCGCTCGATATCGTGTTTAGTGTCTTCGTTGCCGTTCTGATCAAAGCCTGAGTCGGGTTTGGAGCTGCTCTCGGCTGATGCCATAATGATGGATTGCTCTCGCGAGTGAAGGACGCTCGCTGTCTGTCAATGGTGCCGTTCTCGAGCGCGCTACCATCATCAATCAATCGTCCGTCGCTGTCTTTCTAACATCGTCTCCCACATGATGTGAAGTCCTGATTGCTCGACAAGGGCCGAAGTACGTAGATGATCCATTCGTCCAGGGAATGACGTGCGCGGAAATAAGGTTAGCCGCGTTACCTAATGATAAACATGGTGCTTTGTGTTCGAAAAGCCTGTGTCGGGAGTGAGCACTGCCATGAGTATGTCAAAGCATATCCCTCTACTTCCAGGGAGATCAATGTTGTAATGTTTCAAGATAACGAAGTTGCAACATAATTGTGCTGGTTGTGAAAAGTGGAGCACGCTCGGCATTGCTTGACCTCACTCGAACTTCGTTACGCTTCTTGTTCTACATCTTTCTCCCCACTGTACTTCAACAGTACTTTCCAGTCCTTCAGACACCGTGTCGCTATCATCAGCTCCAATAATGAGTCACTACCGGGCAGATGTTCCCGCAGGCGAGCTCGTCAAGGCGGAGATCAGGTCCTACTACGAGCATTTCTATGCTATTTCTGACACACCAGAGGCGCATCAGAAGTATGCTGAATTGTACACGAAGAACGCCAGACTCATTATGGCTTCCAATGAAGCCAATGGTCGAGATGGTACGCAACGATCATGATCTTGACATTATTGAATCTGCTCATGGTCGGGGAGTCTCAGATGCTGCGTGGCACTGATCGTTTGACAGAGATCTTGAATATGCGGCAGGGTATGTGGGAGAAGGTGGCCAAACGGTCTCACAAGCCTACGAAGATATACTCGTTTGGTGGCGACTCGGAGGAAGTCATGCTCTATGGAACAGTAGACTACGAGCTCAAAGACGGCCGTAAGACAAACGTGGACTGGTCGGCCAGATCACACTTCACACATGAGGATGGCCAGCTCAAGATGGACTTCTATCAAGTGTATCTAGTAAGCCTTGTCGTCACCATCGTGATACGTGAACTGACTTTGATCCCAGGACTCAGCAGCTATGGCACGAGCAAAGTGAGGATAGCAATCTCACTCCAGAGTCCTCGTTCATCCGCGGTTACTCGTCACGTTAATTTGCATAATTCCCACAACAAGTCACAAGCTTGATCAACTCACCTACTGTCATGCATTTCTTACTCCACGACAGCAATTTGGTGTGAGTCGACCGCTAGCGCGATTCGTGCCTGCGTGTGCTTCTTGTACGCACGCATCCTTACATCAAAGCCCGAGCAATAAGTCGCTAGATGAACAGCATCTCATGGGCGGATCTTGCAGAGGAACTTTGTCATCCAGGATGGGGCTAGAAAGGCTTTGGCACAACATGAGCCAGTATGGGACAAAAGAAACACAAACTTGACAGAGTGCAGGCTGTGATCTCGCAGATATTGGATACGCTTGTGGTATCCTGAGGGCCTGCAGTATAATAGCTCACATTCTCTTGCTCGGGATGGAAGCAAGTAGCATGAGCTCGCAGCCGAAGAGGATTGCTTTATAGTATATGCATGGCACGGCAGGCCCGTCACAGCGTTATCGTCTACGAAGATGTGAAGCATATTAGAAGCTCTTGATCGCCCTAAATCTCTCCTCAAATGCTCGTTTAGAGACTGCAGTATCAGGTGCGAACGCTTCAAAAGCATGAGGTACACTAGGCCAAACATGCAGCTCACAGCTCACGGCAGCTTGTCCCAGCTTTCGAGCATAATCCATGATCTCGTCGTGGAAAATGTCCAGTTCACCAACGTCAATGTAAGCAGGAGGCAGATCCTTTGCGTCCTGGACAGTCATTCTGTTCGGCACATCTACTGGATTGACGTTGGATGCCTGGAATCGATCTTTGCCGAGCACAGCTTCCCATGCCTGTTCACCGTGTCAGCCATAGTTCATATGAGTACAGTCAGTAAAAGCCATTAGTCATACTGTGTGATTGCTGTCAGCGTCCCAGGTGGCGAATGGGGCGATATTCGGATTGTCATTCGTTGTCCGGTCGTCAAGCATAGGGTATATGAGGATCTGCTTGCAGACCTGGGTTTCTCCCTTCGATTTGAGATAGTGTGTCAACATTGCCGCAAGGGCACCACCGCCACTTAGACGTGTCAGTTCCATGCTGAGAGATAGAGAGCGGGTGCGCATCTTCTCACCTGTCACCCATGACAGCCACCCTTTTCGGATCGACCCCCAGATCCTTAGCATGCGAAATCAGATACTGCAAACCAGCAAAGCAGTCCTCGACGAGCTTGGGTGACTGGACTTCAGGTGCTAAACGATACTGGACCACCAGGAATGGTACACCAGTGTTCGAGACATAGTTCTTGATGATTTCGCCATAAGTGTCGATGCTGATAGAGATCATGCCACCGCCGTGGGCGTACAATACGGCTGAAGAGTTGGACAGCGGCACGCCCTCCTTCTTGAACCAGCGACATAGCACTTCGTAGCCATCGGCGGACTTGACATGAAAGTCTTGGTTCTCGATTCCCTGGATCGACGGACGGAGTTGGCTGAGTTGGGTGAAGAAGCCTTCCGTATTAGCACGTCGGGTTTGCACGTCACCACGCTGTCTGCTGTCAGTTGATTTTAGTATGCCTTAAGACCATGGTTAATAGTCACACCGGAGGCTTGGGTGGAGGGCTCTCGAACAGCTTAGCCAGGACCGCGGCAACTTCTGCGTCCAATTGGAACGGCATAGCTGCTGAAGTCTGACTAGGAAATTGTCCGAAGGTGAGGAGGTGGTGTCAGGTTTCGATATAGTCTAAGGGTGGTGTCCTAATGGTCAACGAACTAGGAGGAGGTATGTGAATACGGACCATCAGAGTAGCAGCTGGAGGTCAAATATACTTCGGACACCATTATCCGGACAGAGCCGACCAAGAAAGTATCACACCTAAGGCACTGCTCGGGTTGTAACGTCCGACCACAGTGAGCAGTCTTCGGCCGTCTTGCTAACTGCTGCCAAAGCAAGGCTTAGCATTAGCCGAAACGTACACATGATGGTGAGCGTGCGATGGCTGTTCGCAACATGATATAAGGTCCCGTGCGAGTTGCCATCCTACGATAATTGAGGTGCTGGAAGCTGGAAGTGGAGTTTGTGAGTGGAGGGCCGAGGCTCTGGTTGTACCATCGTCTACGCCAGAAGGGTCACGCTGTGCTCCTGTGCTTTAGACGTCGTACATACCGTGGATAGGGATGATTGATGTGAACATTTGGGGAAGTAATCACGGGCTACACGAGCACTCATACAGGCTTGCCCTTCGTCTCATCTACATGCACGCTCTCCCGCCCCGTAGCTTCGCTATCCATCATTCGCAAACGTAAATCAGAGTCCTTGGTCCCATTCCCAGGTTCATGAATCTGCTCACTGTCCAGAGCATGTGCTTGCTTCGGTGTCACCCCCTCTATGCGCTTTATCTTCCGACCTTCGAGATAGCTAACAAACCCTCCCAAGCCAGCAATGACAAATGCTAGTCCGATGAAAAGTCCAGTCGCCCAGCTCGGCCGGTCGTAGCGATTCATGCCCCACATGAAGCCGCATAAACAGGCTTGCATAAAGGTGTTGACGACCTGCGACCACACGAAGAAGTCGACCTTCCATAGTGCTGTAGGTGGTGCTCGGGCGCCTGAGATTGGCGGTGGAGGTGCTTTGGTCGGTGGGGAAGGTACACGAAGATCGCCTGAGTGCTTGTTGCCAGCTTCTAGATCGTCGTGGGCACCTGCTGTGCCAATGAGACGATCTTCCGAGTGCCCAGGCATGAAAGCTGTGTCGTCGAGAGTCTCTGATCCAGGTAGTCGAAACCAGCCGTTGTAGATACCGGCCAGCGTTCTAAGACCATACAATTTCTGAGCTCGCCCGTGCCTCTTCTCGCTTGTGAAGCGCCAGCGGAGGAGATACCACAAATCTCGGAATCGCCATGGGATCAGTCCAAAGCCAGTAACGCAGAACAGTGCATTCAGAATCTGGCTATCAATTTCCAGCCAGACACGTCGTGGACTATTTATGTCGTTGCAGTTGTAGTAGCGTGGGTACTTGCTGTTGAGCGCTAGAGCTGCAGCAGGACTTCGCTGCCCTTGAGTGTTGGCATTTGGGATCGGGGCCCAGCACATTGGTTTGCTAGCATTGCAGAGGAGTAAGAAGAGCATGCCGCCCCAGGCTACCACATTCAGACCGTATATCGTTAGGAGGAAGCCGAAGGGTGTGCAGAACCATTTCCAGAAAGCGAGAAGTCCGGTGGCCGTAGATGCTGCCCAGGACTTCTTTGGTATCTCTACGTCTGCTGGTGCGTCAAGCCTCGTAGCTGCAGGCTTGCTTGGAACGGAACCGTTTGCATGCTTAGTATTCGGCCCAGCAAAAGATTTATTCTTCGTATAGCCATAATCGATCTGGCTGGGTTCTTCTGTCAACGCCGGAAATGCTTCTGTGCCTTCAGCATCCAGAAATTGATTTGTGCCAGACTTCCCGCCAGACCTTCGATCTGCGTTTGTTCTGCTAGTCGTTCGTTTTCTGCGTCCCGAGTCGCCGCTGGACTGCCACCCGTTTGCATCAAAGCTGCCTCTCCTGATCTCCCCAAACGTGGGCGCTCGTGATGCGACACCAGCAGTCGCCGCAAAGAAGCCTGGCGGAGGATCGGATCGGAGGATGTCGGTCGCAACATGCTGTACGCCCCCAGTAATCGACTGCACGCTGTTGGCGACGCTGTTCAAGGTACTGCTCCGTCGTGGGCGATCGAAGCTTTGCGGTTCGACTGGTGAGGTTTCGGGTGCCATGATTGTATGCTAGCAACCTACCTACGATAAAGGTCCAGGATAGGCCTGCTCATATATACTCAGTGCTGCTCCTCGCACCGAAACCGAGCGCAACAGTAATGCGGTGTGCCTGGCCATAATCTATTATGCTTCCAGGCGGCCGTATTCAATGGCTTCGCATTGGAAACCAAAACGGGGCTGTGGCGTTCCGCGTGGAGCACTGCCACACAAGCCAAGCCAAGCCCTGGAGTTTTGAGCGGTCGAAACGTGGTCCGGTGAGTGTATGACATGGTAACGACCGCGATTCTACGTTGCCATGCAATGAGTTCTTGCACATTGGCATTCTCGACGCGTTATTCAGCTCTTGAACAAGGGAGGTTGCTGCCTACACCTTGTCGTTCGGGCTTATCAGTCTCTGAGCAATTAGGTGTACATGAAGGCGTTCTATGTCCGTACGGAGTTATGCTCGCTGTTCTTCAGCAGGACGATGCTATCACTCAAAACAGAGACGCTGTTGAACACTATGCGAGCGGCTATTGCTCTCATACAGAGCTCGTTTGTGTCGATACCGGCAACGAGTCTGCGCATTACGCAAAAGGCAGCTCGAAGCTAATCTGCGGCCACCTTATCTCGAGCTTATCCTTGACAGCACCTAACCCGTATCTATGTCGGCGGAAACCAACCACGATCAACAGTCAATGACAATAGGTTCTCAGACCGATAGACACTCTCACACGGCACTCTGGCCGCACCCACCTGCCAAGTTTGGACAGCATCCCCACCCTAGTGCATCTTGATGAATACCTCGCGGTGCTCAGGGAGCCATATCATGCTCCAATAGTAGACAATCTTTCGTACGTGAAGGTAACCTTTTAACTGTTGACACGATCTTGCACTCTTCATCCGTCGTTAGACAGCACTCTTAATCTCAGCACAAAGGTCTGCCGACGCAGATACAATCGATCGAGGACGACGAAGCAAAGCCACCAGCCTCACATATGGATGACTATCTCGACCCCGAGTGGCCACCAGGGACCGTAAGACTACAGCAACTCCTTCACAGCGAGACGTCAGGAAAGTCCAGCGAGCTCATACTCCAGCCTCGCCCGACAGATGACCCCAATGATCCCCTCAACTGGCCGACATGGCAGAAAAGTCTCAATTTCTTTCTAGCGGCGTTCTACGCCATGATGGTCTATGCCTTCGTCAATGCCACTTCGCCAACATGGGGTCCAATGGGCACCGAACTCAACTTCTCGACGGAGACGCTCACGAATACGTACGCGATCGGCTGCGCAACTCTTGCTCTCGGAGCACCAATGCTTATACCATTCGCATTGAAGTACGGCTCTCGGCCAGTGTATGTCTTGAGCAGTATCGCTCAGTTCGCCATCTCTATCTGGGCTGCGAAGACGATGACAGCGGGTGACTGGTGGGGTGTCAACGCTTTGCAATGCTGGCTGGGTGCTCTCTGTGAGGTCTTGATTCAGATGACGATTGCCGATGTCTTTTTCGTCCATCAGCGCGGACTGATGAACTCGATATACATCTGGGTGCTTAACGTGGGTCAGAATTTGGCCGTCGTGGCTTCTGGTTTCATTACGCAAAATCAGAACTGGCGGTGGGTATGGTGGTGGTGTGCCATATTCTTCGGTTTGCAGATTGTCATGTTCGCGTTCGGCTTTGAGGAGACGAAGTATACTGGCCATCTACATGAGACACTCGAGGCTCGACAGGGCAGTATCACGACCATTTCGGCGGCTACAGGGAAGCGTCTGGAGGCCGACAGTGATATAAAAGCATCGTCGATGGACGAAAAGACTATGCCTGAGAAAGAGATGCATTTCCCACCTTCCGACAAAGAGCTGCCAACCACTCCAACACAAGACGAGACTGAAGCAGAAGTCGCGCATAGGATGAGCGTCATCCACCTCGATCCCAACAAGAAACGCAAAACATACTGGCAGCGGCTGTCTCTGTTCAAAACCACACCAGGCCCGTGGTCTCATTTCCTGCGACATTCATGGCAACCATTCATGATATTGGTGTCCATCCCAGGTGTGTTGTTCTGTTCACTCACCTATGCCGTCCTCTTGGCCTGGTCAACGGTCATGACTACCGCAGTATCGACTTATATGCTCGAGCCTCCATACAACTTCACGGCCGCACAAATCGGACTCATGAGTTTGGGACCTTTTATCGGCAGCACACTTGGGGCTCTGATCGTCGGGCCAGTGAGTGATTACGTTGCATTGCGGTTGGCGAGGCGTAACAATGGCATCTACGAGCCAGAAATGAGGTTCTGGGTCTTCATCCCTTTCATTCCTTTTCAGCTCGCTGGAGCGTGGTGGTTCGGTTATGGCCTTGCCGATGGAGCGTCATGGCCTCAAGTGGCTGTCGCGTATGGTGTCTGCAATTTTGGCTCTGCACCGCTCCAGGCTATCGCCTTGACGTATATGCTAGATGCATACAATGGTCAGTACTCGTACCGTTGTCCTTGACATGTATCTACTCAGTACTGATAATGCGCCCTCAGATATCATCGGCGATGCTTTGACTGGTCTGACAGTACTACGTAACACCTTTAGCACAATCTTCGTCTTCGCAATGCCGGCTTGGGCGGCCGCAGTAGGCATTCCGAATGTGTTCAACACGATAGGAGCGATCGGCTGCCTCGTCCTCTCCTTCGCAGTTTACTTCATCTGGAAAGGAAAGCAGCTGCGGGTACGAACGGCGAAGGTGTATAGATACTATGCAATGAGGCAGTTCGAAGCAAGGCCGATATGATGGACTGGCTGCAAACCCAGAGACGGCGGATCGGTCGCAGATGCAAATTGGTGCTCGTGCTTACCAAGGGGTAAGATTCTTACAACTACGAAGTTCAAACTAGCTTGATAAATTTGCCTAGTCACGAGCGATGATACCATGCAGGTGAGAAGGATCTCCGAGACAGAACAATCCCTATCGCCTTGGAAGCAGAAGGTAATGCTCAGTAGTTTCTTGGTGGAGGATGTAATGATAGGCATCCACACGTTTCAGTCAACTTGCCTGTCCTTGTAGGCCTAACGTCTATGCCTAGACTGCCGTAAGCGCTGGTCGGTCGTCTAGATTTGGTTCTGTTTGCATGACGCCGTCGTGGGTACGAGTTTAGACAGGCTTCATGTCTGTCGCAGCTTCGTCCGTTAGTCTAGTAGTACTATGATGCAGACGAATCTCCTGCGACGCAATTTCTCGGACGTGGCATCCCCTATTCCTGATCTTCCGCGTGGCGTGGCGTGGCATGTTCTAGACATCATCTGGGAAGTACGATTCAAGATGTGGGTGCAATCAATGCTATCATTGCTATTCGCTGCTGTACAGACACGAGGCTGCAAGCTGGGTTCTCAACCTTGGAAGCGAGGACTGCGGTCGCATACACGAAAATGCAAGCTATAGCTACCCTAGCAAGCGTGCTTTGTTGCCAACAAATGATGTAGGCGGTGTCGTTTTCTCGTCGCAAAGCGCGCCTCGTTGGAATTGCCAATCGCGAAGGTATGATCAAGATCACGTACCTATGAGCAGAAGAAAAAGCGTTTCCGACTCAAGATAGGCCAGCCTGGAGAGCCTAACCTATAGCAGTGCCACTGATCCCCGTGACGTTCTGCTCATGCGGCCAGTTTAGTCGGCCGGCAATTAGCTGAGACCACTGGCTTACGTCTGAGGTTACACAGATTGTCTGAAGACGCGCCGTTTGTCCGTGGCCCTCATCGGAGGAGTCGTCGCCACCAGCATGGATTCGACAATAACCTCGGTGAGACGACAACGAACGGCAGGACGTCGTCGATCTGCGAGGTCGATCTGGAGGAATGTCTGAGCTGCCGGTACGGCAGACGCCGCCAGCGGAACGTACCTCCAACGGTGAAATTTAGGCTCGTCGTCGTCGATGAGCCGATGAGAAAAGGTTCCGATGAACGAAGTCACTTGCGGACGGATACCGTAGATCGCAACAAGGGTCGTCTCAGCGAAGTCGACAGTGAAACCGCGACGAGGGAGAGTTCGAATTTGACAGAACCCGCCGCGCTGGAAATATGTGCGGTCATGCTTTGCCACGATTGGGCTGCCGTGCTGCTTTTCTGCATATCTCAGCCAATGGCGAAATGCTGAAGCATTGCCCCCACTTTTTCAAAGCCTCGTAATTAACCACCACCTCACTCTGCTTCGCCTTGCTGCTTTGCGAGATGATGAATACAGTCGAGCTCCGCCTTTCCTCAGCATACGAGCGCTATCGTCGCTAAGTTGATTGTAAGAAAGGCTGTTTCGGGATACCGACGGCTCCAATCTCCGGGTCTTTGTCGAATAGTAACCAAAGTACTTGTTCCCGGTGCCTGAATGGCCGCTGTTTTTGGCTTGTGGCATCGGTCCAACGTCGCCATTGCTATATTCGAGACAGTTGTAACGAAAGTATTGGGCTCAGCATGGCGTAGTTGAACCTAGGTGACACTGTCTTTTATACTCGTGCAATAGTATTCGAGAGATGCCAACTCTCCCAAACTATTGGTAGATCACTTTACAGTCTAAGAATGCGGAGGGAGTTATTAGCCCCATGCTTCATGAGGAAGTGGGTCCCTGCCAGTAACCCCGGTTGGCCTTCCGTCGGCAGGCCGCTTTTTACAGACCTGCTTCTGGCTCTGTATGTGTCGCGGACGGACGAGCTTGTGTGTGGCGGCCTGCGTCAAGCTCGTTTTGAGCAGCAGGGAGTTCAGCTGAAGGATGTTCAATCGTATGGCCCTATCCACTAGGCCTGAGTCACAATCGACGACTAGCAATCCTAGATGCTCGTTGTTGGCCTCCCACGCCTGTCTCGCCCTGTCAGATACTTTGAGGCTTGACAGATCGGGTGTCCGCAGGGATCCTCCACCAGAATGGCAGCCCAAAAAGCCATGTACGCTTGCTGGTCAAGGGTATCTCAGTGTTGTAAGCGTTCCGGACCGTCTCTCGGGAAGTACCTTCAACCTTGATAGATATCCTCGCCTCCGCAGTTGCTCAACCCGCCCGTCAGCACATCGTCTACTTCGTCTCTCTTGCTTTGGCACCTGCATATGCATTCCGCGGTCCGTATCTGAGGCAGAGATGCCCTCTGGTCTAGCGTTGCACACTTCATGTTCGTATGCTGCGCGACACCACTGTACGATCGGGAACGCTGCAGGTGCCGTGCGTCTCCCTGGTAGCATAAGCCACAGCGTGCTCTGGTCTACAAGCGCGGCTCCGACGCTCGCGCTTATTACGGCTTGGGATCAACTCTCACGGAAGAGGCACTCGCCTGAGGCCTGAATGATTGTCTTCGCCATGGCCGACGACGATCGTCACCATCAACGATATCAGTCGTCACCACCAGTTGGGTCGTGGGAGCACGTCTACCCACATTCTCACCATGGCACACCGGCACAGGAATACTCTGGTTTCAACTTCAGCAGTCCACCCATGCCCATGGAGTCAGGTATTTTTACAGCTAGCATTCAGCCAAGACCGATGCCGCCTCAACTACAACCGCTGATTATGCCGCAATGGCCGTCGATGCTGAACAGCCAGGCGCCGGCAGCATACCAGCCTATGTACCCGCAACCTGTACAACCTATACAGCCAGTCACGCTCGGAGCACTGCAGACGCCCATTTCAGCGGTATCGACACGATCGGTACCAACCCCAAGGAAGACTTTGACAGATCTCGACCGTAAGCGGATGTGTCAGTATGCCGAGGAGCACCCCAGCAGCAAGCAGACGGAGATTGGAGGTACGTCAGTGATTTCGTTGTGATGACCAGACTGTACTAAGCCTGATAGCAATATTTGGAGTCGAGAGAAGGTGAGAAGGCTTCCGAGGAGATGAGGCCATGCAGAAACTGACACAGCCATATAGCACTGTATCGAAAGTACTGCGACAGAAGGAGAAATATCTCTTCCAAGACGATGGCAGCAAATCTCCCGTCAAACGAGTCAAAGGTCGTTCGCCGGACATCGAGCGCGCACTCGCAGTCTGGGCGAAGAATCAAGTACGTTGTCTAGAACTGCTTTGCGACACATCGACTGACCCAGCGTGCAGGAGAAGAAAGGGTTTCCTTTGACGGACGACATGATTCGTGAGAAGGCGCGAGCCTTTGCTTCGACTTCGTCCTCAGCAGAGACACAACAGATCATGAGTGCTAGCTGGCTGGAGAAATTCAAGCTGAAGAACAACCTGATGGGGGCACGATCACGCAAAAGCTCCCTAGCTCCTGACGATGCAGAGGGCATCTCTAACGCTGCTTCTTCTGCACATACACCTAGTGGCACGTCGCCAATTTCACCTCAAGGAATCGCATCTCCGGCGTCAATCGAGCTGCACAGCGCAGAAAGCCGTGAGAGCCTCAAGAACGAGAGTCCAGACGACTATGCCGAGTTATCTGGCCGCAGTGGCCCCTTCCACTCCCAGAGCGGCACCTCTCTTAGCAGTGTCTTTGCTGAACAAGCGCCCTCTGCTTTCTCACCTGGACCGCTTTCGCCCACCTCACCTTTCTTCACTCCAGACTCAGGCACCGCACCGAGTCCCTTTATACCAGCAGCACCGTTAACTGCACGCCCGCTTCTTCCTGCGACACCCACAGCCAACAGCCAGCGACCGCGAAGTCAGACATTTCCCTTGCTAGACCAGTTCACCATGGGTGGGACATCCTCTGAAGTAGCGACACCACGGTACATCAACACCAATGTTCTTGACTCGCCTATGGAAGAAGCCCCGGATCCTATGAGCAGTATCGATGAGGCCATGAGATTCGCACGACAAGAGGATCGACCATACACCATCTCACCTTCCGACACCATGCGACCACCTCCACTACCTGCGCATATCTTGCTAGCCGAAAAACGACGTGAAGTCACGCCGTCAACTTCGAGCTCATCTCTGAGAGCAGGCACAAGTGCAGAGGAAGCTCTCCGAGCACTTGAAGTAGTCCATAGCTTCATCGAGCAGCAGCCCAACGGCTTCCTTGAATTCCAGGAGGGCGTCACGATCGGCAAGCTCATGGAGAAGCTCAAATTACAGTCACGATCCAACAGTACAGCATTGTAAAGACAGATCCAGCATTTCTACTCGTTTCGATCGCCTTCGCGAGTTCTTACAGCGAGCATTAGATGTATGCGCCCGAGCGCTTTTCACTTCGATCCTACTGGCAGATATTTGATTGAAATCCTGCACATAGGTTTGGGAAAGACTGGACAACTTTGGAAGGGGGGTGGGGGGGGACAGGAATCAAGATGGAACATGTCGCTCGCGCGACCTCATGACGGACTTGGGACTCGCTGGCTTTGCTTTTTCGGCCATTGTATTCAACAGCATCACGACCTCAAACTTCGCTTCTTGCTCAGGAGGCGTTACATGGTATAGTCTGGTTTCGGTGCAGCGAGGAGTACGGTAGGCGGTATGGTAGCCTGCATCAACTTCACTCGGTACTATCTGCCGCTATAGCAAGCTCTGGAAAGAGTCTGACGATTATCAGCTCCAAAGCTCCCGCTATCAAATGCTTGTTGATGTAAGCTGATCCAAACAAGTCGAGTGTCCTTTCTACGTCTTTCTGTACCAGGTCTCCATCCGTCGACGCGAAATACGATCTCCTTATAACCTCCGGTATAGCGTCGATGATGGATGTTGCACAATTGTGCTTGATGATGGCGATCTCGTCGATGCTAGGCGGCACTCGGCCAGGCGCCAACGCATTGTTTGGAAAGGCAGCGGACCTGATCGATCGAAGGAGCTGCAGCGCCATGGTGGTGTCAAGCTTCCGGTGGATCTGGTCCGATAGCAGCCTGCATGGACTGATTAGCATGAAGTTCTCTCATTTGGTCAACGTGTCGTGCGCCATCATGCGCATATGCAAATACATGCAAGACATCTGCACGAACGCACGAGCGTGGGAGTGCACTGGGATATAGCCGAGCAGGTCTACATGTCCACACGACCCGGTAGCTCCCGTATTTTGACGAATGGTAGCTCGAATGTGGTCATCTAGACTCTGACTGGCAGTTCCCATGTGTTGGTCTCGTATACCAACAATAGCATTTGTGTCCGAAATCGGCCGACCAGGCCGAGGTCCTCCATCAATAATTGCTGTCTCTGATGGACTATATCGGGAAGGGATACTGCCATTCCTTAATGGCGTGTTCGCGCTCAGGTGCAGGCACGGACAATGACATGCGTGCCGTCCTAGGTTCGCACCGCGACGGAAGCCAGTGAAGACTCCGCTGGGACCACCCCGCCTTGGTTGATGCCCAGAATTTAGGCGAATCAGCCCAAGTGGTGACGAAGTCCGTAAGCGAGATCGAGGCATTCAACCGAGTCGAAGGTCGGCAACGGTAGCTATGTCGTGGTCGTTTTGGCGACCACGCGAGGTGGATTACAGAGGTGGAGCTCCTCTGAGACAAGGGACCATGCCAAGAGATGCCATCTTAGCCCTTTGATTGGTGAAGCTCCAAGTCATATGACCGTTACTTCATGCGCGCCTCATGCAGCCAGGCGGGAGATATCCACTTGTTGGGTGAGCAGTAGTCCAAAGGCTGTGTATCGCCGTACATCATACAATGGTGTAACACACCGATCTCAACGACGCCTTCGCATTAGACGACTCGTATGAAAGTGTCACTGCTTACCTGTTGATCGTACTGTTCCAACCACAGACGGAACCGGGACCATACAGCAACCACCATCGCAATAGGCTGAGAGATCCAACAAGCCAGGGCATCCGTTTGCTCAGCGATGAGACATGGTTCATGCAGCTCCAGATTGCCATGCTGACGATGGGCCGTTGAAGACGAGCGTGCCGCTCCTCAGGGTCTGCGGACGGGTGGATGTCGGATGCGCCAGCGTGGCCCTTGTGCTTGTTTGCAGTAGTCTGTTTTGTGGGTTCTGGCTGTGAGCTCGAGCTGGCGTTCATGAGAGCTATCGCGAGGGCGCGTAACAAACTCCAGAGCATGACGCCGTTCTGCATTATGGACCAGAACGTCAATGCAGATGAGTCAAGCACGCCACGACGGCTCTCAGATGCGCCTGTTTGGACAGCGTTTGCCTCTGCACCCGCCAGTAGTCCAAATTGGTCCAGTCTGTTTGTCGGTGATTGCAAGACATTTCCAGTTGATCGTCCAGTGCTTGGCTTGAAGATGTAGATCAGCTTAGTGACTGCATCCCAAAGCAGCCATGGTTCTGATAGCTTCCCCATCACGGCATTGCGCAAAATCAGTTCCGAGAAGATCTCTGATACGAGTACGTTCAGGCACGGGTTGACAAGGTCTTCAGGCGGGAGCAGTAAGGGCAGGATTTCATTGACCAGGGTTTGAGACCACACAGCTTCGTGGTTCCGTTGCGCTACGGTCGAATCGTCGCTCGTTGGTAGTGGAAACAATGCATTGTGTGGTCGGAGAGTGTGATAGACCGCTGATATACGCATCGCCTCGTCATCGGTGCCACTGTCTTGAAGAATGACCGCTCTCCTCGCAGTCTCGATGGCTGAACGTTGTCAGATCATGAAGCCTTGATTCTACGAGCTCGACTCCATACCTCCCACATGAGCTTCCAGCAAGGCCGGTAGCTCGTCGAGCAACAGCACCTCGAGGTCAATGTATTGGAGTCTCTGTTCCAGGCCTCGCGTGCAGTGCGAAATCACACCAACGACTTCCTGCACAAAACTAGCATCTGGCGTGATCTTGTTATACCACGCCTGCACAAACTGGCTCAGGATCACTGCCAGTATGCTATACAACTGGATGTCAATTCGGCCGTCACTGGTCAATGGTGGCAGAAGCTCGCTCAATGGTCTCTCGTCAACGCCATCGCCTGCAGTATCTTTACTGTTCGTAGTGGCGCATAATACCTGCTTGACATAAGCAATGGTAGCTTCGTCCCGCTCTTCATGCTGCAGTTTTTGCGCTGCTGCTATGTCCTTTTCAGGTGTGTTGGTCAAGGCAGAGAGCCTGCTAGCCTGTCGATTGTGCCGCGCTGGCCTTATGCCTGATGCCATAGCTAATGCCCATTGCTGTTGGGCCAGTGTCAGTATACTCTGTCCTGCGCGATGGCATCAACTCTTTCGTAGCATATTTGACGTGACACAAGACAGATGCGGATCAACGGGCCGTGGCGGCTTCTGGCGGCGATCCCGGATCAACAGTTCGATCGCGCAGTGTCAACTTCTTCGTGCACACATCGTTGATCAGCAGTCGTCCTCTTAGCGGTGATAAAGATGGCCGCTGCCACACTGCAAGCTGTGGATCGTTAGTATCATGATTTTGTGAGCACATGGTAAGCTACTGACGTCCACAGAACGCCTTCGCTCCATCATAACCAACCTGTACATGCTCATTCTCCAAGCCCACGACTACCATGGCCAGGGCACGCAACATGCTATGACAGATGAAATGTAATGGTAGCGCTTGTTTACACTGACCGACCAGCAGCTGACCCACACGCAGCAAACGCCTCATCCAGAATCTCGTCGAGGTCAGCCAACAAGCACGGACGCTGAACATCCCAGTTCCGATTGGCATCATTCAGTACATCGAGCAGTCTCGCAATCCCGATGTTTACACCCGCGAGTTTGTCGAGTCAGTCATGAAGTGGAATCAGCAGTTGAAGGGCAGGAGTGAAGCTTTCGCACAGTTCCGGGACATCCTGGCGAGGGAGATGATGAGCGGTATACCTGATATCAAGGACGACGTGAGGGAGATCGCGGCGTCGACAGGTGGCTAGAGTGTTGATGGTGTGTGGGATGATTATCAATGGAATTAGCGATGGCGTTCGACGGACGATACCCTCCATGGACACGATAGGATTGTGACAGGCATTTGCATGATAATCAAGCGTTGTGCGGAAAACTTAATGCTCTGCTACATATTCATACCCCGGCGCATCATCCTGAAATCGGACGGATCGATGTCGAGAATGCTCGACACAGGCTCGATCTCCTGCAGACTCGGCTTCGAAAGGGGCAATGCAACGGCGCTCTTCCTGCCGTACGCATTGGTGGTCGTGCCTCGGCCATACATCCGAGGGGTGATTGGAATGTCTCCGTGATGATGGTTCTTGTCCGCGCGCTTGCCACCGTGCACAAGGCTCAAAGCGCCCAAGTTTGCAAGATAAGTCAGGTAGGCGTTTGCGCACATACTAAAGCTCGCGTTGATAGAAATTCTCACGGCAGAGCTGTCAGGCATACCATCCTCGACGTCCTCGTCGTTTGGCATCGTAAGCGTGCGGAGTGCTCGTAAGGAGTGGGCCCTCGATAGCGCTTCCTATGCAGTGTTAGCAACGACAGACAGAGCAAATGTCCCATGAGATGATCCTTACAGCAAATGGTCGACACTGACATTGTGTCTCCTGTTCCTCAATTTCCAGAATTGGCTCAGGCATGTCCAAGGCGAGCTGTTCTAAGTTCGCGCATTCTGCCAGAAAGCTACCAAGCTCGCCAACCTCGTAGTAGGGCTTGAATGGGAGGTCATCGTCGTCGAAGTCATCGGGGAGAACCCAGCAACAGCCGAGATAGAGGAGTCGAAGTGTAGAGCTGTGCGCGGCTAGTGCCTCCAGGCTCGGACGAAGGTTCTCATCCGAAGGGCCATGGATGACCAGGGTATGTAGACCACCGAAACTACCGAGGAAATCGTCAATGGCATCGTCGATGTGTTCAGCAACACCAGGAGGCTCCGTCGGCTGGGTCAGAATGAGTTCGGTAAGATTCATGCGCGCAGGCAAGCCCGTCCGCTTCACCAGCCTCAGTAGAGAGATCATCCCTTCACACTTGAGCAGGCTTGATGAGTCGAGCCGTGCGAAGTCGACCTCACGCACTAGCCTATTCGCTGCTTCGTCCGAGCAGAGATCATAGATCTGGAGCGAGCGTAAGATGCGTTTCTTACCCAGTCTGTCGATGTCGCAAGGCTTGTCGACCTCACGGTGGAAGACCGTGTTGATGATTGCCTTGCTGGCTTGTGCGTGACCCCATGGTGGGACAGTGGTAACCAAGAATTGTGTAGCTTTACAATACTGCTTCAGATCGGCTCGGATCTCGAGATGCTGCAGCTTCACAGCACTGTTCAGAATGGCGTTGGCTGTCTTTGCGGTCTCTGGGCTGTAGACTTCCATGTGTAGCTGGGTAATGTTGACGAGCTTATCGACCATCCCGAGCGTGCGCTTCAAATCTCCATTATCTGTTCGAAAGGTACGGAGGTACCGTTGTCGTGCGTATAGCGTCTCTATGGCTTGGCGATCTATAGCATAGGAGGCGTCGCAGCTATGTATGTCAGCACCACGAAGCAGCTCGGGATTATATTTCAGCACTTACGAAAATGTAAGGAGCCTATTGCGTGGGAGCATGTCCGCAAACATGGTAAGGACAAAGTCCAAGTCTGGTCTCCTTAGATGATGGTTGCCGCACGATGGGACTATCTCAAGATGGCGTACGTGCTGCAACCCAGCATTATCTGGTGTAAGGGCTGCCAGGAGGAGCGTTTGTTGACACCCCTCGTCGACCGAGATAGTGCGGTATAGTCGTGGTATGGTCGCAACATACATGTCCTTGTAGCTGGCGTACAAGTTGTTGAGGTCTTTCTTTCCAGATATCCAGCTTGTGATGTGCCATCTCACATCGGCTGGCAATGGTGATAAGAGTGCTCATCGCGACGGAGATGTAAGTCTTGTCGTGCAATGGAAGCAACATGAGCGAAAAGAATTCATAGCAGGGTGGCGTGCTTCAATGTCGCGTTTGCCCGGTGCACGGACTCTAGCGCGTCCATTGTTCGAAACAGGAAGGAGCAGCATGCAAATTCACATGTTTGGCATACATTCATGTTACTGAATCTACTGTATGTAATTCTTCAGACCTCGCAGTCTCTCCTTAGCCCTGTCCAGCACTTCATCGTCCTTGCACACAGCGAACCTCAACCAGTCCTCGACAATATGCGCGTTCTTGTCCGTGAAGAATTCTGTCGGCGGAATGGCAGCCACGCCCAACTCCTTAATGCAGAACCAGCAGAGCTTGAAGTCACGTGGCCGACTGGCGACGTGTGGCGGGAAATCATAGTCTTCGGGCAGCTTCACCTTCGCGAGATTCACGAGGACAAAGTACCCACCTTCTGGATCGGAGTAGGGCAAGTCGAGCTCGCGGAAGACTTCGGTGAAGCGGTCGACCTTGGCTTTCATTTCCTTCTTAGATTCGTCCCAGAAACCATGCGCATCTGCTTGCTCGAAGGCGACAGCGGTAGCTTCCTGTAAAGGCGAGACAGAGCTGTAGCAGATCCTGGTATGTGCTGCACTGACATACTTGATCAAATGCTCGGGTCCGATCAACCAGCCCACTCGCCAGCCAGTAGCATAGAAGTTTTTGCCTCCACTTCCGACCGTGAGCGTGAGCTTTGCCACTTCCGGTGAAAGAGTCGCCATGCGTGTGAATGGGACGTAGTATAGGCGGTCATAAACCTCATCAGACAGGATGATGATGTTGTGCTTCACGCACAGATCCCCTATAGCTTGTAGCTCGTCCTTCGAGAAGACCTTGCCAATTGGGTTATGCGGGCTGTTCAGCACAATCATGCGGGTGCGGTCCGTAATCGCGCTCTCTAATGCCTTAAGGTCCAGGGACCACTCTCCAGCTGAGGTAGTTTTGGTGGCGCCGTCCTTGGGAGGATGTAATGGCACATAGACGACCTTGCCACCGGGCATCTCGATGTTGGAAATGTACTGGTCGAAGAACGGCTCGAACACGATGACTTCATCTCCTTGCTCCAGGAAGCCCATGAATGCTGACAGCATTCCCTCGTTGGCTCCGGTGGTGATCGTGACTTCCTTCTCGGGATCAATAGTTCGACCAAAGAATGGCGAGTACGCATCAGCAATAGCTTTCTTCAGCCTTGGGCGGCCCTACTAAGCGCCATTAGTGCCTGGTTGCATAACAAACTATAGAGGCCTCTTCAAAGTACCTTCGTCGGTGAGTACTGATTGCATTCGACCTTGCTCAGAGCATCTCTAGCAGCATCTAGCACGAATTCAGGAGGGTTATAGCCGAAGAAACCTTGACCCATGTTGACGATGGGCTGCACGGGTGAAGCCTGTGCAGCCTCGTTGACGATGCTCCAGACATCCTGTCGCTGTCCAGCAACTCGAGCAGCTGGCTTGAATGGATCCTGTATCATCGTGCTGGCTGAGAAGGCTCGTACGAAATGGCTGATCGAAGAAGTCTTGCCGCAAGCTGCCGTTGGGTGTCGGCGGGGAGTGGCGATGAAGAAACCGCGCCGTGCTATTGGACTCGATATCGCTCTTCCGAATGGTTGCATTGTCAGCCTAGCATTGATTTGAAGGACTGGCAAGTGCCTTCCCCATATATCTCAGCACGTCATCGTACCTTCCGATGCCGGATTAACCTCACGTGCAAGCACTTTTGGCGCGTTGCGGGCCTTGCCGTCTTAATTAAGTGCCCCTCGTTCAAACAACCAAACATTGACCCAAACAAGCGCCGAACCGTCCCTAGACATTTATCTGGCTACTGCCTTGCATAACAAAGCGATAATCCACGTCAGACCTCACTCATCACGACCGCTGGCTACGAACTGATCAATCGCAAAGATGGGCGAGTCAAGGTATGCATATTCGTTGTAGGTGAATGCTTGACACTTCTCTGATGTTCTCGTTTAGGCAGGAGCTGCTCGCGTGGCTCAATGGCCTGTTGCAGCTCAATATCACGAAAGTTGAGCAGTGCGGTACTGGGTATGTCCTGGGTACAGGCTCGCCATACTGGATATTTGCGCTGACATTGCTTGTAGTGCCGCGTTCTGCCAAATATACGACTCCGTCTTCCTCGACCTTCCTATGTCACGAGTGCGGTTCAACGCGACCAGCGAATATCAGTACCTCGAAAACTTCAAGATACTGTCGAATACCTTCCGCAAGCACCACGTTGATCGTACACCTCCCGTTGAGCAGCTGGTGAAATGCAAGATGCAAGACAACCTCGAATTCCTGCAGTGGAGCAAGCGATACTGGGACCAATATTATCCTGGTGGCGATTACGATGCGGTAGCAAGACGGAAAGGTGCTGGACCAGGTGCTGCGCCCGCGATGCCACCTCCCGCAAGAGCAGCTCCAACAAACACAGGTGCGAGGCGACCAGTGGGTGGCGCGGCGGCCGCACCGAGGACGACTAGTAGGCAGACGGGAAGTGGCGGCCCAGCAAGCGCAGCACTGCAGCAGAAGAACACGGAACTTGTGGAGACGGTGCAGGGTCTAGAACGGGAGCGGGACTTCTACTTTAGCAAGTTACGGGACATTGAGCTGTTGATACAGCAAGCGATGGAGGCAGATCCTGTGCTGGAGGAGGATGAGGGCAGCCTGTTGAAGCAGATACAGACGATCCTCTATTCGACAGAAGAGGGTGCGTAGATGACGACACTTTGCGCCGCCACTATTCTGCTTGCTGATTTGATTGCAGGGTTTGAGATACCAGCAGAGGCCGAAGGTGAGGTAGCGGGCGAAGAGGAGACGTTTTGAAAAGATACCACATGTTGATGCGGCGATTGAGCATGGCATTGCGACCGAAGTGCAGAAGTCACTATCTTCTGTTAAGAAGCTAGCAAATAGAGTGAAGTGCTTGTTGCGAGACTCCGGGGTCCCAGCAGAAATGCTCTCGGATTCGAAGGATCGATCTGAACTCCATGTCTATTTTATCCAGGACCGCCGACGGCTGCCAAGGCGACATACTAGGCACAGTAAGCATGCGCGAATGGCTAGACAATCGACCTGTACGTCGCATCATACACAACTCTCATTGCTTCAAGTACGCGCCACGGCTTCCACTTCTATTCTATGTTCTCCCTCCCTGAACTAGGGGTGAGACCGACTTTCCTCTCGCCAGCACTAGCTCAATTCTGCATCATCGATAGGTATTGATGACTCCTGACTGATCGAGTGTGCGCTAAAGCTTTTCTGACTTGAATCCAAGCACTGACATCGCTCGTCACGCTTAAATCTCCCTCTCTTTTGTAGGTGACGTTCTTACCGACAGCTTTGAACTCGCCCAAAGTCAAAAAAGAAGCTTACACTCTGCAGGAACTCCTTATCAGTCCAGGAATGCTTAAGAAGCGCCGCGGAATGCGACATCTCGAAGACAACACGATGACCAGAAATGCTCGCGAATGAGAAGACGAAGACGACCTCTGGACAACCGTATAAGCATGCTTCCACGTTTGCGTAATCCTCGTTGCTGATTTCCCGACAAGCACATTTGTTGGGCTTCACCACGCGCATGCTGCCAGGCCCGCTGTAACGTGGCCTTGAACACGTGCTGGCCTCCCGCCTTGCTCGTGTCAATAGCATCGCGGTATGGATAAATATCAGGCCACTCTCCTACGTGATCTCGAGAAAAAGTGCATCAACCGTCTCTCCACTAAAAAGCTACAATCAACTAATCATGGAGCTATCGCACCAGCGCCCAGACCGTCCACACCGCCCTCCCGGCCTCACACTCTGGCCTTCAAGCTCCTACTCATCCTTCACCCCCTCGCACACCTCAAGCAACCCCTACATCAGCACTGCACCCACCGCCTACAACCCCACTTCATCTCCACCTCCACCACGGACCGACTCGCGTACCTCCTCCTCCTCCTCCTCCCTCGACAAACCTCCTTCCATCGACATCCCCCGCCATGTCTCCGCCGCCCTCTATGCCAAAGGCCTCAACGTCAGCGACATTGGCCTCGTCACTTTCCGCACCGACAGCCGGTCTCATCCTCGGAATTGGCCATTGCTGAGGAAGATTTTCGATACGAGTCTAATTTGCTTTCTTGAATTCTTCATGACGCTGGTCAGTATCGCCGGGTCTGTGGCAGCGGATATTACTGGCAAGTCCCTAGGCTTCAGCTTCGTAGGATCGATCTGCTCGTGGGTGACGTTATATATGCTTGCGCAGGCTGTCGGTGCGTTGGTATTCCCGCCCATCGTGGAACGCTTCGGTTGCAGGCTCATTTATACGACGTCAACATTCGTCTTTTGCTTGGCGTGTCTCTTGATCGCGGTCTGGCCGACGAAAGAGAGCGTGATTGTCGGGCGGATCGTCTCGGGCCTGGTATCTGCTATGCCGGCTGTTGTGGCGACTGGGAGTCTGGAGAATATGTGGGATACGAGAGGCAGGATTTGGATCATTCATCTTTGGATCAGTGGGGCGGTGTTGGGGATGGCGGGTGGGCCTGCTGTGGCGACTTATATCTCGCAGTCTGCTTTTGGATGGTACGAACCCTGAGCACACTGCTTATCACGACGAGGTCAAAACATTGACCAGTCTTCCAGGCCATTCGTCTACGGCATCGCCGGCATCACCGCCTTTGTCCTAACTCTCCTCTGCATCCTCATGCAAGAATCCCGACCCACGCAAGTTCTGCAACAACAAGTCCGTAAGATTTCCAAGCGTGTGCAATTCGACCAGCTCTCAGCAGACACCGGCACTCTCCCGTCATTCAGAGAGTTCGTCCGCTCTTCCCTCTGGCGGCCAATGCAATTCTACTTCACGGAACCGATCGTGTTCGTCGTCTCGTTCATGGGTGCGTTCGTCTACGGCCTGATATACCTCTTCTCGGCGTGTCTCACGAGAGTCTACGTCGACGGCTTTGGGATGGAGCGAGGATCTGCTTCGCTTGTGATGCTGGCGCTGGCAGTTAGTATTCCTTTTACTTTCCTGCCGAGAATTTATGACATCCGGCTTATCCACAGGATCGAGCGGAGTGGCAAGAGTGTCAAGCCGGAGGACAAATTGTTCGGGTTTTACCTTGCGGCTCCAGTTTTGGCAGCTGGGCTCTGGTGGTTCGCATTTAGCGTTCCACATGGTTCTTCATGTACAGCGGTGGCGTTGTGGTCGTCGATGGGAGCCTTGATACTGGTTGGCTATGGTGTCATCGAATTCGACACTACACTCAGCGGATATCTCGTCGATGCCTACGGGAGCTACGCCGCTTCTGCGAACGCGCCCATGTCCTTCCTCCGAGCCGTACTGTCAGGAGTCTTCCCTCTGTTCGCTAACCAGATGTTTGAAGGTATGGGTAATAGGGATGCACTGATCTTGCTGGCTAGCCTCGCGACTTCATTCTGTGTTGTTGCGGCCGTTTTCAGGGTGTATGGACGAGGACTTCGCCAAAGGAGCCGCTTTGCGGAGGAGCAGCAGGGTCAAGAGATTCTCGTTGAAGACAAGTGGGATGAGCCGTGATTCACGATGTAGGTATACGAGTACTTTGGAGCGTACAGATCTCACTGTTACTGAAGCGTGTTACTGCCTCAAAATCCTGCACGAACTGCCAACTGCACCTACTCCTCTACGGGCAATCAGATCCGCCATTAGGCTAGGCTCACAGAGATCTAACACAATTAATCCATCTTGAATATCAGCCCAAGAGTCTGCCTCGAAGACATTGCTTCTTACTATCGGGCGAGCTCGTGCTCGAACGCAGCTCACACGTGGCACACGTCACTTTACATGTAGTTTACAGTAGCTCCGTTGCCCCGTGCATCGCTCTATTTACTTTCTACGCGCACGAGCTCCAGAACGCGCGCCACCAGCTTTTCTCCATCATCACTTCATCAGTAGTCGGGTACAGAATTGACGTGGCAAGCGGTGAACAGTCGCCGCTATAGAACGGACTGTGCAAGCTGCATAGAAGCTGCAGTAGATTGCATGACAGGTTGGTGAGTGCCGAATGGGATGGGGAGGGCGAACGGGCGGTCTTTGCATAGCGCCACGAGTCAGCGAATGGAGAGGAATTGATGCCGGGGCGAGTCCCTATTCGTCTGCTTGTGGGAGTGGGAGCTGGTAACACGCTGGCGGGAGGGGCTCGTGTGATCAGTGATGTTCGTATTGTTGCTGTGGCCTTGGTCAAGATATTCCAAGTCCAAGTCCTCAGAAAGGATCTCGTCCACACCTTGCAGCCCTTTGTTAAGACGAGCTAGAGGTTCGTAGAAGAGTGACAGTGTCGAAGTGCCGGCGTATGTCCATCCAGCCGGCATAGGCCTGTCGCAGCAACGGGTGCTCGCAGCGGACGGGCCGGGGAGCAACGAGCTGTGGGTTTGACTTTCTTGGGTCGCAGGCAGACTAAACAATTCCAAGACGCAGAGGACAACGAGATCCAACTGCCATAAACAACCTTTCGCAACGACCATTTCATACTCAGACACCATCTCAAACAACACGAGCATATTCCGTAACTGTACCAAGTCCATTATCGCAATTCCCGAATTGGATCCCAGTCTCCAGCCATCCAAACCAAACACGGAAACGAGGTCCAGGCAACCACCCCTACAACACCACTACACAATACCACAGCAGCGCCTATGGGCCGGTTACGTCGGCGAAGATTAAGTGCTAGCATCAATACGTCTCACAATCCTCGACGATAGCCGAGTCATACACGTGCGACATTGCGACCGTTGTACCCGTGAGACAACCACAACACAACAGCTGCCAAGCCAGAGACACAAAACGAGATGGCCGACCCGCCCCCGCCACCGCCTCCACCGCATGGACAGGACGCGCGACCGCCGGGTGGGAATGCGAGTGGGAGTGGGAGCGGATTGCCGGATGGCAACTACGACATCTTCATCATCCCGCCGCATTCGGCTGGTTCGGGGTTTCTTTACCTGCCGTCCATGCAACCGCATCGGAATAGTTTCCTGCTTGGTGTTGCGTGTGCGCTATTGGCTGTCGGGGTGTGGACGCTGGTGATGCCGGTGCTGAAGCAGTGGCTTAGTACTGTTGTTGCGAGTGGTGGGATGGGTGTGTTGTTGTTGGTTGCTGGGGTGGGGATCGCGGGATGGGCTTGGGGAAAGACACAAGGGGAGGCTGGGAGTGGGGAGGGTGAGGGTGGTAGTGGTAAGGGCAGTACGAGTGGAACGGGCAAGGCAAGGTATGAGCAGCGGCAGCATGAGTCGCATGCGCATGGGTATGCGCCGCAGCCGGACGCTCAAAGTACAGCTCCTCCGCCTCCACCTCGCCCGCCAGAAGAGTCGACTCCCCCGAAACCGGCGCCGACTCCGAAATCAGCGGCAGCGAGTGGATGGGAGAAGGCGAGAGAGGAGACACGGAAACGGGAAGAGGAACGTAAACGTGCAGAAGAGCTGAAGAAGAAACGAGAAGAAGCGCAGAAGCTGCGTGAAGAAGCGGAGCGAGTAGCGAGAGCTAAGGCGGAGAAAGACAAGTGGGAGCAAGCTCGATCGAGAGAGAAGGAGCAACGAGAGCGAGAAGCACGAGAACGCATAGCACGGGAACGACTAGCTCGAGATAAAGAGACTAGAGAAAAGGAAAAGGAAGCAAGAGAAAAAGACACACGCGAGCGCGAAGCCCGAGAGAAAGCAGAAAGGGAAAAGACCAAAACCTCCAGCAAACCTGCAACAAGCAAGTACGAGAAACCGACCGCAACCTCCTACGTTGCCAGCGAAGCAGGAAACACCCACTCCTACCGCCCCTACGACTCACCTCCCAGCAAGAATCGCCCAACCTACAAATCCTCCGCCTCCTCCATTTCCGGCCTGAGCGAAAGCAGCTACGCCCCGACCGTGAGCACCGCCCGCACCACCCCGCCACCGTCCCAGCGAGGACCATATAGCACTCAAGACCCGGACAAAATCCACCTCAAAGCCGTCTACCTCTTCACCGACTCCTTCCCCACCAAACCCGTCGCCCAATTGATCTCCAACACGGGCGCCGTGACGGACGGCCTAATCCTGCGCATAAAAACCGAGGGATTATTCATCGATGATGATATCCGGGGTGTGCCGCAACGGGAATGGGATGTCAAGGCTTGGACGCTGAAGTTGGTTGAGGATGGGAAGGTGGGCGGGTTGCATGTCCTCAGGGCGACGGCGAGGGATGCGGAGAATAAGCGGTATACGTTTGTGTTGGAGGAGAAGGAGGCGTGGAAGGTGGCGGTCGGGTTGCAGAAGTTGAAGAAGGGGAGTCAGGTGAGGAGTTTGGGGATGAATGGGATGAAGGAGGGGGAGGTGAAGAACCTTTTGAGTTCGATGAGGTGGGTGTAGGAGTTGTAGAGGGTAGGGAATGGCAGGAAGTGGCGAGCGTGCTGGGTTGACATTTTTGTCGTTTGTTGCTGGAGCGAGAGGATTGGAATGTGTGGTTTCTGCATTTTAGCGATCGGCGTCCGGGGTGTGCACACTGGAACGCAAGAAGATCCACACACGAAAGCACACAAGTTCCTGATGGAGCGTACGTTAGCGGGCTGCTTTTAATTGAGATTCGTCGACAGGAGATCGAATTCGTTGTACACGCTGTATATATGTCAGTCAGGACCATCGAAGCTCTCCACCACAGACTCCATCGTTTTTGGATCGATCCATGCCCATTCCCGTCTCCGTTGCTAAGGCCTTGATACCGCACGAGGTCCGTGGTGCTGTTGTAGGGTGGCGTGCCGTCGGACAGATTCTCGGATTCGATGGGCCTCCTTCATCATAAAGGCTGCTGCTTCATGCGTACTCCGGCGCCTTACAATGATTCGCTCTCGTCGCCCTTGTTTCTGATGAGCTTCGAGCACGATCGCTGCCGTGTGGCTCATCACACGTTGCAACGGCTTTGGCCTTTTTGCATCATGTGGCGTCAACCATTAGATTGGCTGCACGCGTCCGAGCGCGTCCACCAACGGCTTTCTCTCTCCCCATCGTGTTCGTGCCAAGTTCCAACCTCGTCGATGTGCAGCAGGGTATATATGTATGATAAGCACAGGCGGATCTGCTGCTCTGCAACGATCATGTCTCACTTGTGTTCCGTGTACCTGGGAAAGTCGAGGGCGCCACAGTGAACAATGGTTCATATTGCCAAAGCACGTCTGGATGATGGACATTTCTCCACCGAGGAAGTGAGGCGTAGTGCCAAACTCGCCTTGACAACGAGTAGGATCATCGCCTTCCAAAAAGATCAATACGACGAGCCACCTAACATCGCCGCTGGATTCGACTCCCTCAATATCAGCTGCGAAGGACCGATCAGAGCGAATCTCATCGCCAACGAGATCACAGCGGATACTTTCCGGATAGCTATCGAGACCTGGGGTGATGCTACCTTGTACTCGGCCAGCACGACCTGGATCGAACACAAAGCGAACGCGAAACAATGCATCTTCGGCCAATACGACACCTCCATCGACAAACAAATCCCAGCCAAACCAGCTCCATCGACAAAATCGAGTCCGGTCAAGACGAAAACATCGAAGAAGACGCCAGCAAGTCTCCCCCAAAAATGCGCCAAATCCATCACCTTCCCCCAACCCTTCACGGAACCCCCCTCAGTAATCTGCTGGCTCAACCGCCTCGACCTCCCCTCCGGCCGCGAAAATGACTACAAACTCCGCGCCTTCCCCGACACCATCAGCCCTGCAGGCTTCACCGCCCACCTCAACACCTGGGACAACGGTACCATGTCCGGCGCGGCAATGTGCTGGATTGCTTTCCCTTCGTCGAAACGCCACGTCGATTCCGGAAGGTTTAGTACGAATGATGTTCGGAAGCGGACGCAGCCGCGGGAGCGGACGATGGGACGGGTGGTTTTCAGGAAGAAGTTTGAGGTGGTGCCGACGGTTCTTGCGGCTTTGAATGCGGTTGATGTGGCGGGGAATGCGGATTTGAGGGTTAGGGTCCGGGTGGAGGAGGTGAGCAAGGAAGGGTTCAGATGGTATCTGGAGACGTGGGGGGATAGTACAGTCTATTCTGCTGGAGCTAGTTGGATCGCTCTTGGGTTTCCGGAGTAGGAGTTCCTTTGAAAGGCGATGTAATGGGTGTGTTGGCGGCGGTTCGAGAGAGAGATGGTGTGATTCTGTACTTCATCAGGCACCTCACACCGGGCTGGATGGTGGCGAAGTTACTTTCGAGTTGGGTTTCTGGCGCCTGAGGCGAGACTGCACAGAGTGACCTTCCAGCGACGGTCTGGTGAAAGGTGGCCCGGCCACGAGTCGTATGGTGTGGTCGATCCCAGAGGAAGATTCTTGCGCGGATCGGTCGAGCTGTGCGCTGGTGGAATGCGATGTTAGATGAGAAGCGAGATGGAGACCACCCGGCTACAGCCAGGCATGCTGACTAGTCGCGAGGATAATTCAGTCACCGGAGAGGTGACTGTCAACATCTCCTTCCAGGAGTACGAGTACATACTTATGTAATATCTATACTTCTCCATACACCAACACGTTCAGGCATGCTCAACACGCCCACCCCCACCCACTCAACCAAGTTAACTCTCTAAGCATAATTAGCACTAGCAGTAACAACCTTATCACTTGTCATAGGCACATCCTTAACCACAACCTGCGTCCCCGTCTGGCTCGTCACGCGAATCCAAGCCGAATTAGCACCAACTCCACCAGAATTTTCAAAGAAATTGTACGTCTGCCTCGTCGTCGCCTTCCAGGTCTTACCCTGATCCGTGGAAGTCTCGAGGGTAGTGGTACGACGATGGGCATTGACGACTTGGGCCGAGAACCAGTACGGGCTGACGCCGGATTTCATGTGGATTTGCAGGTTGCCAACGACGGGGCAGGGGACGTAGTCCCAGTTTATGTCGATGATGCCTTTGGAGGCGGGGGCGAGGGAGGTGAAGGCGGTCGGGAAGAGGTCGAGGTGGTTTGTTCCGCAGCCGGGGCATTGGTCGACGATCTGGTGAGGGGTGTGTTAGTGGTACTGTTTGTGCAGATGGCGTGCGAGCATGACATACCATAGCTGTGATTGTCTTGCCACCGTATGTGACGGCGACGCAGCCGCCGCAGTTGGCGGAGTTGCTCCAGTTGCTATCTGACAAGGCGGTGCCGTACAGACCGGAGGGAAGGGTGTAGGTGCTGAAAGAGCAGGTTCCGCCTTGGACGTTGCCGCCGTAGAAGGTCGCTTGGCCGGAGAGGGTCTGGCGAGCGACGTGGCGTTGATCCAGGGACATGGGGGCAGTGACTGCTGCGAAGGCGGCTGAGGCCATGGCTAGGACCGGGAGGGTGAAGCTGAACATTTTTGCTGTGGGAGCCGTGGTTGACAGGCCTGCTGTTCGAAGGAAGGACTTTGGTCAGAGAAAGGAATCGTTCATGGGAGTGTCAGAATAGTAGATCTTGGTATGAGGGGAGCAAGGGCATCTTTTGTATGAGATCGAGAGTAGCACATCGTCAATCTCGAGTTGAGACCTAGTCGTTTCATCTAGACGAGTAGCAAGCCAAGAATCTGGTGAGGGCCCGCAGACTCATGAGAAGTGCTTTGAAGGACTGTCTAAGATCCCCAAGGCGTAGGAGAGACAAAGCTGATCCGATCTGTGTTTTATGTTGCAGCACATCGTGTGTTCATCGCAGTAGCAACTCACGAGATCATTATCGTCTGGTCGTGAGGTGGATGGCTAGCGAGGAAGTCGGGAAGGGGAGCACAGACACAAGCAAACTTGAGCCGCCTGCCATGAGCCGCTCATTAATCTCTTGGAATAATAATCTGCTGCATCGCACCCCCTAGGATACTCGAATAAGTGTTGGAATAGCTTTTGATACATTGCCCTCTACCTTGCCTGTATCGCACTATGCTAGACTCTGCCCACGACCAAGAACAACGAAGCCATCTTGTGTCAACGGATGTTTGTCGCAGAGCATACATTTTGCGAAAGGGAGACATTGAAGTTATTGCACGGTCTCTGACTGCACCCTACTAGTACGCCTTTGATAAGGCGGATCACGGTACTGCTGTCACCGGGCGAACCTGCGGCTTCGACTGGACGACCTCCTGGCTCTATGCTGTGCAGATGGCTCGCGCAGATAGAAATGTGCATTTGCCACTCACCCGCTGGCAACTCATGGCTGCATCGATCGCATCCCGAAGGACGCGATCCTCTGCTGAGTGTGGAGACTACGTGTGTGTCGATCGTACGGGTTGCCCACGAGCACGACTGCATTATGCGGTTGAGAGTAGAGGCGCATGTTTGTATCGTTACCACTGTAGGTCGAGACATGTCGCAGATCCCCCTCAAGTACAATGCGCTGGTAGGGTCAAATCGTCATGGTACACACTCATCGCAATGTCATTCATGTTGTCGCAAGAACAATAGTCAAGCAAAACTCGGTACGACACTGTCCCAGGCTCAAAGACGAGAGCTCGGTATAGCTCACTTATATCATGTGACCGTGCCCGGACGAAGCAAGGAGAGTACCTTAGATAATACCTTCGACCATTTGCTTCCGCATAGACAAGAACAATCATCACCATCAAACCTTCACTAACGACACACCTTACCCAAATGTCGAACCTCATGTCACAAGGCACATTCTACACTACGGACATGGGCACGCCCCTCAGAATTGCTCAAGTCCTCGGCCTCACCACCTCTGCCTTCCTCGCCGGCAAAACCTTCGCAGTCAGCTTCGGCACAGTACCTGCTCTGTTACATGCGCCCGTCCCTCTCTTGGCGAAGCAGATCGATGACGTCTTCCAGGCCGACCTCATCATCAATCCCGTGCTCGTTGCGCTCGGGACCGGAGTGTTTGGGTATTTTGCTTACAGAGGTACGTCCCCCACAGTTCTGGCGACGATGAAGGGAGTGTATCTCTCCCTCACCATAAAGCATAAGGCCCTGTGCCATGGGAATGAAGGAAAGCCCAGCTAACACACGTCTCGCACCCACCAGATCCAAACCGCGGCTCCCCAGCCCACATTCTCTACACAACCTCATCCATTCTCCTAGCATCCGTATTCCCGTACTCCCTCCTGTTCCTCCATCCCATCACCGAGAAGCTTACCCGCAAAGCTCATTCCCTCTCCTGCGCATCATTGACAGATACCGCGATCGAGAGCGGTGTTGCTAAGGAGGAGACCACGCATGCGCTGGTTGACAAATGGGCAACGGTGAATCTGGGCCGGACAGTGCTGAGTACATTGGCGGCAGTGACGGCGACCTGGGCGGCGGTTGACAGATTGGAGGTCGTGCCTGCTGCGGTGAGATTGGGCGGCGGTGCAGGGCGTATGGGGAAGTAGGCTTTGGACTTGGATGAAGGGGGAGGGAGTAAGATGGGCATCCTGGTGGGCGGAGATGAGGGTATGATGTACGTGGATGGGGCCGACTTCACTCTCGAGAACGGTACTGGCATCGAATGCTCTATCAACCAGTCTTGAACAGCCGTGATCGCTCTTCCGTTACTAGATTTGTCGCAGAGCTGTAATCAGAGAAGGCAGGAGCGAACGTCAGCAGACTTTTCTTTCACTATATGTTCTGCTCCTATCTTGCTCTCGCAACACAGCGTTAAGCATAGAGTTCCAGAACATATAAGACGCACTGAACGATTCCTGTACTTGCATACGTTCGCCAAGACGGCCCATGCCTGTTCCTCGAACCCCATCTCATCACCCCGCACACTTTTCGCTTGACCATACCGCAATGGTCGAGGTCTCCTCAAACCTTCACGGATCTCACCACGCTGCTATGGTAGAGATGACGGAGGACGGTTGAAGTACAAGTATCGACGCTCACGGTAGGTATAGCCAATTTCGATTTGCACTGTCGTAGCACGCAACTATGTTTTCCAACCCGCTTCTCTTGGTCGCCCTCGCGGTCACAGCACACTGCGCAGCACCTCCCGTTGACAAGAACTTGAAGCCGTGTGGAGAGTCGTATTACTTGCCTTCACAGTACACCTGCTACGATGGCAACTTCCTGTGCCCTGTCTCCGATGGCGAAGCTTTGCTTCGCTGTGGCGGCGCATGCTACAGACCCGCAATGTACGGTTGCAGCAATGGCGAGCTGATCTATCCACCAACTTCCGGATCCAACAGTGCTCTTACTGGTACAGCATCAGGCCCGTCGGGCACAGCTTCGTCCTCTGCGACGGCATCGTCAAGTGCAGCGACCTGCACAGGCACACCGACAACACTTCATCTGAGCGATCCTCCATATGAGAATTACTTCTACTCGGACTGCCACAGCGCCAGCCAAGTCGTCGTTACAAGTCCGTTGTCAGGGAGTAACCTCACGATCATCGGACCAAGACTACTGGTTGCCTGGCCTGCTGGCAACTCAGGCGTTGTGGCTTTCTTCGCGCCGCAGAATGGCGTCAATGGTTCGTTGGGAATCGAGTTGTTTAATGGGACTTCTGTCCAGCCGTTGGATGGGGTGTACAGTCCTGCCAATACCTCGTCCTTGACTGGCAATGCAAAGGTCGGTATCAGCACGCTGGTCAGATTTAATGCCTCAGCTGTGCTCACGGTCCCGATCATGGGCAGCATAAGGACGATGAGGGACTTCACAGAGGGTCCTTCTATCCTGGTTCCGTCTGTACAGAACGCTATCACGTTTTCGCAGACGAGTGGTGGAGGTGCTGTCCTGTCACGGCTCTGGTTCGACAACATCACTACGACGTCCATGTCTTTCGTGCCTACTACCACTACCAATACCAGCAGTAGCATTACTATCAACAACCGCAGTCTCGAGCTTGCAGCCGGGACGTACAACTTCACGGCGACATTCGACTATCCGCAACTAGAACAGCTTAGCGAGACTGAAGTGCTGAACACACAATCGCAAGGACTGATTGAGCAAAATGCCGATCAAGTCACGTCGCTCTCCTTCCTCTCCTACACCAACAAACTCACAGCCGGCGCCTGGAGATTCCTGACCTACTTCGGTCGAGACAGCATGATCAGTCTACTCCTTCTCCAACCAGTCCTGTCCGAAGGCCAGGGCGGCGCAGTCGAAGCTGTCATCTCAGCCGTGCTTGAGAGACTGAACAGGACGGATGGGAGTGTATGCCACGAAGAAACGATTGGAGACTATGCAACCTATCTTAATCTGCAGAAGAATATCAGCAGTACCGCACCAGGTTGTACATATCAGATGGTCGATACGGACTACTATCTCATGCCGGTCATGCAGAATTACTTCCTTGAGAGCCCAGTTGGTCAGAGCAGGAAAGATGCCTTTCTCGCTACTGTTTCGAGTCAGGACTTTGGGAACCAAGGGTTGACTTATGCTGAGCTGGCTCTTATCAATGCAGAAAAGATTATGAACACTTCTGCAGCTTTTGCAGCGGCTGGGGGTCAGACTGAAGACAACCTGATTCACCTAAAAGAAGATCAGGTGGTCGGTGAGTGGCGTGATAGCACGTATGGCATTGGTGGTGGGCGCATTCCATATGATGTGAACTCCGCTCTAGTCCCGGCAGCATTACGCTCGATCGCTACGTTGTCAGCCTCTGGCTTCTTCCCGGAATATCCCGAGTGGACCACCCTTGCTGGGGAGTACGCGCAAGTCTGGGAAGACTCGGCCTTGCAATTCTTCGAGGTCACCGTTCCAGTCGACCAGGCACGAACGCTGGTCACCAACTACACAGCCTCCGCAAGCGACGGCTTCCCATCCTACGCCTCGAACATAACCTCACCCATCGTCTACCATGGCCTGTCACTACAAGGCAACAACGACCAGCCCCTCGTCAAAGTAATGAACACAGATGACTGTTTTCGGCACTTTCTCTTGAACACCACAAACCAAACACAACTTACGGCCTTCATCAACCAAACAGCAAACAATATCCTCAACCCCTTCCCAGTCGGCCTAAGCAACCCAATAGGTCTTCTCGTGGCCAACCCAGCCTACGGCGGCGATGCAGTCTACGCCGCAAACTGGACAAATAACGCTTACCACGGCACGGTCGTCTGGTCCTGGCCTATGGCTATGATGGCTGCTGGACTTCAGCGACAAATAGGCCGTTGCTCGACCACGCCCGTACCGGAGTTTTGTGCGAATCAAGCCGTGAGGACCAAGGCATTGGCGGCGTACAACCATCTTTGGGACTTGATCGAGGCGAACAGTGGGAATCTGAGTAGTGAGGTGTGGAGCTGGATGTACAGCGGTGGAACTTTTGAGTCGATCCCGCTGGGTTCTTTACCGCCACCGCCTGGGCAGAGTCCGACGGAGAGTGACGTTCGGTAAGTGCTTGATATTGACGAAAAGTGAACATTGTCTGTTGGCTGACGGTTCTCGTAGACAACTTTGGAGCTTGACGTATTTGGCGGTGACTCGAGACACGGGTCTTCAATGATTTAGCCGTTGATTATGATGACGCTCTTTGTCTAGAAAGGACTTCCGAAGCATGGTTCATCTCCAGGACGTGGTGTGGCCATGATCTGCGAGCTTGTCCGATCTATGCTGAAGATGTCGCCGTGATCGCGAAGAGTGGAAGCGGAGGGCGGACATTTGGAATCCGCCGTCTCAGACGAGTCGAGGTTAGCGTATGCGAACGCACGGACAATTCCTCACAATCTCTTCGTCCCGTTCCTCGTTCAAGCTGCAGATGTCACCTAGAAGCTCTGATGTACTGTATGCAAGTCAGTGAGAGTGTGTCAGCCATTGGCTCCCAGAGTCGTAGTGATTGCGCCGGGACGTACTTCGACAGTATGACGAGTAGGCTCAACAGCTGCGCTCGTATTGCTGGTTTCGATTGTGGTTGATGCAAGGAAGTATTTAGGTCATGCCACTGCCTGCCTCGAATCCCCTATTCCTTCGAGCAGGTCTTTACCACCAGATTTCTAAACTCACTCCAGTCGCCTTTCGGCCTTGCCTAGAAGCAATATCTCCAGCACGCTGCTACTGCTCAAGAGGACTTATCCCACCTGCCTACCTATACTTCGGCGCACACGAAGGTGACCATGACCAGCAAGCCCACCATCCCCAGCACGATGAAGGCGTGGCAGTACACCGATGTCGTCGGCGGACTCGAGAAGAACCTGGAGCTCAAGTCAGTGCCCATGCCGGAACGCAAGCCGAATCAACATCTGGTGCAAGTGACCTGGGTTTCTACCAACCCAGTCGACTACAAGCCAGCAGAAATCGGGATGATCAACCGTTTCATGATCCCGAAACCTGCCACTCCCGGTCTTGATCTTGCTGGACGTATCGTTGCACCTGCTGCTGGCTCTTCGCTCAAGGCTGGTGATCTGGTATATGGCTGTACTGGCCAGTCCATCTTTGCCGGAGGTTCGCTTCGAGAGTACGCTATTGTTGCAGATAGCAAGGCTGTTGTTGCAGCACCTGAAGGTGTGTCCGCAAAAGATCTCTCGACTATCGGCGTGGCTGGTGTGACAGCACTACAATCCATCAAGCCCTTCGTCAAGAAAGGAGACAAGGTCTTCATCAATGGCGGCTCTGGCGGTGTCGGTATTTTTGCTATCCAGCTTGCGAAGGCATATGGACTGTCAGTCACAACGACCTGCTCAACCGCGAACGTCGAATTTTGTCGGTCTCTAGGTGCCGATCAAGTAATCGACTACAAGAAAGAGAATCTTGTCGAAGCTCTGAAGAAGAGCGGGCCATACGACCATGTGGTCGACAATGTCGGTGCCGACTACAGCTTGTTCTTTAAAGTGGCGGACTTCACTAAGCCTGCTGCGAAGTACGCTTTCGTGGGCGCGACACCTAGCTTTGGACTGGTCGGTAATCTGTCACGGGCCGCTTTGCCACGGATTATGGGAGGTGCTGGTCGTAAGGTATGTCAGGGTGATGACCTGGGGGAGAAATCAGCAGACACTAACAGGTGTGCCAGATCGTCCCCATCACGTCGGTGTCACTTGAGAAGGACCTCATCGAGGTAGCAGATCACATAAAGAGCGGCCAGGTGAAAGTGTTCTACGATTTCGAGTACACATTCGAGAACGTTCGCGATGCGTTTGCAAGGCAGAAGACTGGCAGAGCGAGAGGCAAGATTGTCGTGCAGGTTAATGCTGATGCCTAGAAATGGGAGAGATCAATTTCAGTTGGGTGCGATCCGTTTGCCAACGTTTCAGCGCTGCGATAATGTTCCGGCGTTGAGCACTCACCTAGATCCATATCCTTGGGGGATGAGCACGATCCCGCGCAAACTCCGAAAATGACAGGAGGTGAGGACGTTTGATGAGATCGTAAGTTTTATAGTAGGCTACATGGTTTATCGTAGGGCCCGAAGCATGCCAATTCAAACACTTCCTCGCACACTCCGGCAATGTAATCGAATAGACCTGATACATCCAGAACCCAGACACCCTTCGTTGGTTGGACGAGGGTGGCAATTTGGTTGAGCATTTGATCTGTTGCTTTGGAGCAATTTGCTGCTTGGAAAGAGGAAGCGTATCGTTTCGCCGATGGGCGTATCCGCTGAAGCGTGGGCGAATAATGATATCGATTTTTGTTTATTGTCGGCTTTGAATTGATTGGAATTGATGGCGTCGATATCGTAACGATGCCTAATGATTGGGGTCGTCGGAAAAGTGTATTGTTTGGATATGATTAGGAAATATCGCTAAGACATGCTCTCGATCGACTCACTGTTGATATGCTGGCTGGTGAAATACTGTCTGCTAGAACGCTGAATGTGATCTTTTGCTCGCTATCGGTGCTGAGATTGGATGTGTACGACTGTTCGTGGTCTCGTCGTACTTGTAATTCTTGCCCAGCGGCCGAGCGACCTCCCTATAGACCTTATACTCTTCCTATGCCTAGTGCTCGTCGGCCCACAGTGACATACAAATGGTCGCGTGCACATTTTCTTCAGCAAAGCCGAAGACAGCCACAGAAAGCCAGGTTGAAAATCCGTCAAAGCAGCGTCATTGGCGATGCCGGAGCCAAGCCTTGCCTCTTTGAGCTACTCACTAACGCGTTATGGTGGCAGCCACCATGGATCCTTGCAACTCAGTGGCTGAAGTCGAAGAAAAAGACTTTTGCTACGTCACTGTTATCACCATGTCGAACTCTACCGTAGGCTAGCATTCCATGGAAAGGAGTGTCTAGACTTCGTCAACGTTGCGGTGGTCATGCTAATGCTGTGACGTCTGTCAGATCACGATTATACTCATCTGCCAGCAAAGGTGTATATAGATATGTTGATTAGGCTATCTATCAGACACATTTGAGACTCAAAGCTGAAAGTGAGGAGTGCTTCAACTATGAAGAAGGGGGAAGTTCTCCCAAGTGCAAAGTTTCGAAGGTACCCTCCGAACGGAACCCTTGTGGTTGTCAACAACCTTCGTCGATTAGCGTAGAAAAGGAGGAACTCTGGGGCAAGTCGGCCACTCCTTGGCTATCGACTGAGACTAACATATGTTTTTAGAACAGTAAACGATTTCCATCCATCGGATACATCAGCGTTGGTGGTTTAGTGGTAAAATTGGCCGTTGCCAGAGCATTCACTCCGAATATTCCCGTCTCGGCCAGCCCCGGGTTCGATTCCCGGCCGACGCAAACCTTTTGCTTCTTGTTATGGACCTAGACGGACTGTAGTTTAAGCAATTCTTTTGTGGTCGGCGGGGGCGATGCCCGCTTGGTAAATCAGAGGTCCATTCACTTCCGCTTGCCAAGCTTTTGAAGGCTCGAAAGGGCAGATGTACCAACTCATAGCCCCAACCGTAACGATGGAGATATTGTTGGTCTTGCACAATAGCCAGGTATGTATGCCAGCCGACAGCATGTGTGCAAGAAGCTGTCGAGGGGAAGAACGCGTCTTCTCTTTCAATGGGGACAATGCTGTACACTCAAGGTTGCTAAAGAAGCTTGTAAGGTTCGAGATGCAGCTGGGTACGACGTACCATGATGCAGAGAGAGATGGACATCGAAACGTCAAATATCAGGGGAGTCGTAATTCATTCTTCGTCTCACAAAACTATCTGGCTTTCTTGTCACCACCCGCGGCAGTCTCCAACGCTTCGAGTAGCTCCCCTCCAAAAACATACATCATGTAGATCGGAAAGACGATCCAAGCACCATTCGGAATGATCCAGAGAAAGATGAGGGATATGACATCGTTATGTCCGATGTTGTCGAAGCCTTAGATCGTTAGCAAACGCAAGGCGGACATGATTTTCAGACTTACCTGAAAAGGCCTCGTTCAGCCAGTACAGCACAGTCTTGGAGAACGTCAAGCTCGCCGTGCTAAATGCCAATAGCACCGCCCACCCAGCAACCCTCCCGTGAACAGTCCTGCTCTCACCCAACGCCTGCAATCGTCCGAGCGTACTCATATCCGGCGCTCCTCTCCCCTGCACCTTCTCCTGCTGACCGTACGCATACACCCAATACAAGTAAACCAAATACGCCGCCGTCTCAAAGGTGTTCAGCGTCGCCTGCGCAGCTGTAAAACCATTGTGCGCATCCCAGGCTTTACTGCCGTAGATATGGTCCACTTGTCCATATAGTTCGTACGGAACCCAAAGAGGCCATTGGAGGGAGCCACCGGGCATGCTATAGGGTCGCAGGAAGACGTAGCCAGTATCCCAGATCACTAGCGGGAGGCTGATGGCGAGCCATATTAGAGTCAGGTTGGAGGGGGTGTGGGACCAGGCTTTTGGTTGGCGTGTTCGGGGGATGTATGGGGTCGAGGTGCGTGGTGGGAGTGGTGATCGCGCTAATTGTGATATCGATACCGGCTTGCTGGGGGTTGGCTGTGCCGCTGCTGCTGTTGTTGTGGTCACATGGTTGGGTTCTGCGGATGAGCGTGTTGATCTCTTCGTCGGCGAGGACCTGGTAGGCGTCTCCGATGGTGGACTGGGGAACTCGGTCGGATGATTACGTGTAGCGACCATTTCTGCGACGTTTGCGACAAATATTGGAGATTATGTAGCAGATGTGAATGTGTTGTGGTTGTAGGCGCAAGTCTCCTCTTGATCGAAAGGTTGCCCGCACTTCCCCAGCCTCCACCTCGTTTCGCGATGCAAGATCGTCGCACCACTGACGTAGAGGCTTTTGGTCAGATTGGACTTCGATCTGGTAAAAGGCAGACCACTGTACTGGGGATCAGCTCTGTACGCGGTACGCAGTCGACGAGCTCGCAATCGCTCCGAGTACGAGACAGCCACGGCACGAGACGACTGTGCCCGGCAATGTGGGCTCAAGCGCATCAATCGTACAAAGTCGAGTACACGTGCATGCCTCTGAATATCATACATTATGTGCATCGCTGCGAGTTCCTAAGCACGCACCCGTGCACGTCGGTACACCTCCGATATCCTGCCTTTCGGTCTCCATCGTACACGTCGCGAGCCTTCTGATCTGCCACCTAGTAAATACCAGGAATGATCCTGTACGGCACCTTCTTGCAGTAGTCCTCCCAGTCCTTACCGTACTTGCGCCGGCACTTCAGCTCATCTCTCCTCTCACGATGAAGTAACAAAACACCAAAGTACAACATAAAGAAGTACGTGACTGGTATCGCAGCGCCCTCCATACCATCGCGGGTGACCAGACGGCTCCCGGGTGTAAGCACACTGTCCACGATCCTGTAGCCAGAGAGAAGCGTAGGTAGACAGTACGACCAGGACATGAACCAGTCGCCCAGGTAATTGATGTGGCGGGCGCGACCCCACCAGCCCGTGATGAGTAGTTTTGAACCGGTGTGCGTGGTAATGTATTTGAGGTGGGCAACTGAAGGGTTATTGGGATCAGTACGGACGGTGTTTTTCTCGCTGTTGCTCGCGCGGAACACGTAGTAGCCGAAGCCTGCGATGGCGAGGATGGCGAAGCTGTACCATGGTCCGAGGATGACTGGGTGCACTGAAAGATATCGTGCCTGCAAGCTGTAGATGAATGGTACCCAAACGAGATCGCCGAATGCCAGCATGAAGCCGAAGCCGTCGGTGGTCAGATCCATCTGTGTGAGGATGGATGATTCATTGTAGAAGCAGTCCATCGCGTAAATGCCTTGCGCGATAGTGACCATGAGCATGGAGTCGGTAATATAGCCATAAGAGCCGTACTGTCTGGCCATGAAAGCCAGATCGAGCACGAGCCAGCCAAGAAGTCCAGGGCGCACTTCCATGAATGACTTAATGTCGATCTCACCGAAGTAAGGGATAGTGACGCGCGGGTTGAGCTCGCGACCAATGTACCAGTCGTAGATGATGTTGCCGCTGTGGCCACCAGCAGCCAACTCACGTCGCTCTGCATTTCCTTGTTTGACCGTGAATGATCGTAGGTAGACGTAGGTGGCAAGCGCATACGAGATGACGATGTTGGTGGTGAGGATCTGGATGTAGTTGCGATTGATGAATGTCCAGACCTGAAACTCTGGTCCTAATGCGAAGGAGCCCGCCGCCAGGATGAAGAGGGTCAAGCAGGCGGAGATGAACGAGTTGAAGCGGTACTTCAGCCTACCGCCTGTTCGTAGCTCAGTGCCCTCGACCTCTTCCGCAGGTAGCATTGCATAGAGTGCCAAACTCCAACCGTACCATGCCAATGATCCTAGCACACCCTCGACAGTCACGAGACCAGTCCATCCAGGCCAGCCAACCTCACGTGCCAAGACACCACGCGCATGCTGCCATCCAGATTGCGTGGAGAGTAAAGGCGCATTGAACAGCTTGCGAGGCGAGAGAAGGGATGGTGCAGGACAGCCGGTGACGTCGTTGCAGAGGAAGGCGAACGCGTAGCAGGCGATGGGCAGACCGAAGGAGATCAATGCCGCGCCAATACTACATCAAATTGTCAGCAATCGCGTCGTTTGGCAAGGCTGTGTGGTCAATCGCGTACGGTCCACCGAATTCATAGCCATGCGCTGCAGGCTTCACCAGCTCGGCGGCTTCTGCTCCCGCATTCTTCGCCTTATCAACCGTACGTCGGGTAGACATGATCGGCAGTGAAGGTCAATGAGATATGAGAGCTTCGATGTGAGCAAGTCAAGGAGGAAGAGTCGCGACACCATCGTGTTTGTACATCGCGAAAGTTAATCGTACCACAAATGACGCAGGCGGTCTGTGCTCTTCTCGTGATCAACGTCCAGCACCATCACGTAACAGTGGTTCGTATATGGCTCGTAGACAGCAGAGTCGAATCTCACATGGTCCAAATCATGAAGCGACAGTCATGCAGCGTTCGCGCAATTTCATCCGGCAAAGTAGCCACAACGAATCCACGATCCTTCACATATCAGTCACACTTACTTCTGGAGTGCATTGACAAGAAGGTAAGAGTCATGCTCTGGTCGCCTTGCAGACAGCCCCCTCAAAAGAGAGCAGGGCAGCTGTCACCGATGAGCGTAACAATCACCCTTTAATCGGGGTTCGAGGTTGCCATGCTGTGGCGACTGCACTTGCAGGAACGGCGTCAAGTATGCCTGCCCCGAAACCACCAAACACAAGTATCAACATACTCTTCATTACCTTTTGCTCAGCTCAACAGTAAAATCTGCATCAGCATCACAACCAGAGGGCCATTGATCAACTGCTGGTCTTTATTCTCCATTCCACTCCTCTACCCACTAGCTGTGATCAATCGCCTCACATCCTCCACAATCAATACATTCGCCTCAGTATGGACTCCATAGCCAAGTATCTTCGGGACAAGACTATGTGGACGACCGTTAACATCACCGTAGCTCTCCACTTGATCGGAGACCTTACCATGCAACTACTTCCACAATCCTGACGTACATGGCAATGGGAGGAGATACACACGGGAATCCCTCAGGCGACCTCTTCGTTACCGTCACTCCGCAACTTGTCTGGTAAGGACTTAACGTTACGAGACTCTTCAAGGGCATCCTCACGGATGCGATGTATTAATGCGTAATCGACCAGTGGCTGCAGTTTCTGCAAAGGAAGTTTCTCGCTCGCGGAAGATCGTACTGGCGCGATACATTGTCCAAGCTGCTCATCCACAACCTCATCGGGAATGCTCTGTTCGGCTACGTCCTTATGATGGCGGCCGGCAGCTGCCAGCTGCACTGGCCTAGCACGATGTTGAACGCGACACTTCAGATTTTATGTCATGCCACCTCATCATCCCTGCTGATGCTGACATGGACTCTACAGAACCCATTTCGCGTTCTCTTTGACAGACTCTTCTCGATGGATTCCTTGATCTCGATCCCGTTCTTCCTTTGGTTGCAATTAAGATATCTCCAGCCAGGGCTTGCCAGCTGGGATCTGCTTCTCGAGCTGTTCAATATTATGCGTGCAAACGGCGCCAATGTGACTGAGCTACAGCGGTACGAGACGACACAGCTCGCAGCCAAGCAGGTGCAAACGAGAGGTATCGAGATGGATGTCGGTGTCTGGGAAGCTGGGAGGGTGGACTTCGCGTAACGACCGGACAGCACGGGAGTTGTGAGGCCATTGTGGCTGTTCGAGCAGGCTCTAGTACTCACGACACCGCGAACCACAGACCAGATTCTTCCGACCTACTGGAAGGAGATGTTTCGCTGGACACTCCACGATCGTTATGCAGCACTGTTGTGTGCATGACCGCTTGAAGTGAATTGTGGTACATTGGCAAGATGTGATTCGGCTTTGATATCCCCAGATGCTTATTGTCTTATCGTGTAGACGAAGTGGTCGGTAGATGGTTAAAATCTTGCTCGCTCTCGTCGAGATGATCGTTCGTCTCACCTTCACCGTCCTGGATCGTGATTGCCGTTCTCTTCTCTCATGGCTGTGTGCGCCCTCTAGCACGTGCACCGGCCAATGCTGCTCTGCCGAGATCAAACCGACGCCTCCGCATCTCAGCCGCCCCGCTAGCGCCGAAACTCGAAGCACGACCCGGTCAGTCAGCCAAACGTCGCGGTCGCAAAGAAGAAACATGACCATCGCGCCAATTGTGACCACATCCACCTCTCCGCACGCGACCAAATATTACAGCCAAGCAGACATCCGGGATTAGTAGCAAGTTAAAATTAGCAGGCTTAGCTCATCACCACGCTCGCCAGTACTCACCCAGGCGTTATCCCGTAGAAGCATGCGCCCGACGTTCCCAACGAGCACGGTATGAATGGGCAGACCTCTCCACTGCCGAGCGATACTCCAGCAGATGTGCTACCGGAGAGAACGACGATAGAATCTACGACGAATGGCACAACCGGCCCAGGAATCGTGGCGCAAAGCCATGAACAGGAGGCCACGGATGCGAGGCCTGCACCCGACATTGCAGAAGGAAGACGCGCAGACGATGATATTGCACACGTCAAGGCCGATAACGATGTGATCATGAATGGAGACCACGACGATGCTGCTTCCGAGGCCGAGACACTCATCGACAGCCCAGTGAAGAAACGCGAGGCTGAGAAGCAAAAGCAATTACAGACGCGGAGTAGGATCGGTGGCCTACCGGTGCCTGGAGAAGATGACGAAGAAAGCGAGTCTGTGGCCACGCCGCTACAAAGCACCGAGATGAGCGACGTCAAGGTTGCATCTGGCATCGATGGCAAGGAATCTGGCGATGAGATGGATGTGGGTAGTGATAAGGAGGAGAGTAGTGATCCCCTCAGTTCCGCCCCATCTCCGGCATCAACAGCGCTTTCCCTGGTATCTGGAAGGTCTCGCGCCATGTCTGAGGGGCTAGAAACTGCTCACAACGATGCCGAAACCGAGAATCCACGTAAGCGAAAACACCGAGCATCCTCTGTCGGCTTTCCTAGCAAACGCCAAAGCATGGACCCGCCAAAACGTAACCTGCGTGGTATTCAGTCTGAGGATCTGGCTGGTCAGGCAGACAGATCTCCTTCTCCCAAGCTACGGAGTCATCGGAGAGCGGCATCTACACAGTCTGCATTGTTGGACGGCACGGCAGATAATCCTAGACCACGACGAGGCGCATCCCAACTCCCTATGCGCGATCCAAAGTCCAGAAGTACGTGGGAGGAGTCCGATGCCTCATCTGAAACTGCTTCGTACGGCCACACAGATTTGCGGCGAGCGCAACGTGGTGTCGGAAGATCGACATCGACACCTGGACGACCGATCGGGCGGGAGCTCAAACGTCACGTCAACAAGTACGGCTTTACACGGCTTGCAGAAGCCTGTGATAATGGTGATCTGGACCTGGTCAAGCAGTGGCGAGAACGGGATCCGGAGCAGCTGGAGGTAGCGGAGTATGCACAGAACAAGCCTCTTCAGATTGCATCGCTGAGAGGAAATGCCGAGATTGTGCAGTATCTTGTCGACGAAGGCTGTCAGATTGATTGTGCGAATGTCGACAAGGATACGCCACTCATTGATGCTTCCGAAAACGGCCATCTGGAAGTGGTCAAAATTCTGCTCAATGCTGGTGTAGATCCATTGGGTCAAAATCTAAAAGGGCAACAGGCTCTGGATGTCGTTAAAGACGACGAGGACAACGCCGATGAGATCCGGGTGATACTACGCAATGCCATCGAACAATGGAACAGCGATGGCGCAAAGCAGCGACGCGAAGAAGATGAAGAAGCACGTCATCAGCAGAAACCCAACAAGGAGATTCACTTCATGGCACGAACGCACGAGAATTTGATTAGACTCATTACTATTAATGATCGGAATGGAGTAAGGGAGTTCCTCGATGCCCGTGTACCCGTCGACAACGCGGCCATCGCAGCCGCGGCACGTACTGGTGATCAGTATCTTGTCAACATGCTGCTCGCAGAACTGTCAGATAAGAAGGCTAATCAAAAGCCGGAGAAACCCGTACTAGCAGTTCTCGGAACATCGCACTTCGAGATGCTTAAGATGCTGACATCGCTGGACCAATTCAACCCTACCTGGATATCGCGAGGCGGGAAGTCGTGGGCTGAGATTGCAGAAGAGAGGGGTGGCCCGCACTGGCGACAGGAGAAAGATTTGTTTGAGAGGTTGACAGTGGGCAAGGCTAAGAACATGGGTATCCGGCGGAGCTCAAGTCCAGTGACGAAGCGGGAGAGCATTAAGCGTAGACTACCGCCTCAGCTCAGAGATCGGGATGAGAGTGACGAGGAGGACGGACCGAAGCCGAAGAATGGTCGCAGGTTGATGTCGAGACGAGCGATGCGAGCTGCGAGCAGTAAAGCGAGGTCGGACTCGGAGTTTGAGGGCGAGTCGACGTCAGATACTGGCACTGGCCACACGGTCGAAGCAAACGAGCCGGAGCCGGAGACATCAATGCAGCCGCCTGGTAGCCCGTCTCGCAGAAAGGCTCCAATTCGGCAACGTACGAAGAGCATCTCTTCTGTGCCTACTGAAGTGTCACCGAAGGCGAGAAGGCGGTCTTCTTCGTTTCGCGGTCTGCAGGAGCATGCTCTTCCTGTGGTGGAGGAGACAGCTGAGGATCGGGATGGAATGGAGATTGATGCCAATGAGAAAGCAGAGGCTGTTCTGCGAGAAGCGCAAGCGCGAGAAGAGCAACAGCGCAAGGCGGCAGCTGAAGCCGAAGCCAAGGGAGCCGAGGAGGCAGTGAAAGCGGAAGAGAGACGCAAGGAGGAGGAAGCACGGAAAGCCGAGGAAGAGCGCCAGGCCCAAGTCGAGCGTACACTTGCAGAAGACGCTCGCCGACTAGAGGCAGAGGAGATGGCGCGGAAGGCCGAAGAGCAGAAGAAATTGGACGAGGAAAGGCGGCAGAGTGAGGCTCAGATGGAAGGCGCTAGGCGCGATTTCTGTCGGAAGCTTTTTGATGTCCTTCCGCGGTCCATGGCCGAATCATTCGATCCAGATGGGAGTGAAGGGGGGATCACGGACGCCATACTCACTGACATCTGTTTGCCACTACACGTCGTACGTGACGAGAACGGCACGGATCAAATACTCAATGTGCAAGCTGCGGCGTTGCTCGGTAAGCGTGGTCAGGAACTGCTCTTCCCTCGCAGCTCCGAGCTGGGCTTCACGCGGACATTTAGCGAACAGTGGCAGGCTTCCACACCCGGGTCGAGCTTTACCCGCCGCATTGCGCACGAACTTGCGAAGCAAAGGGTTCTAGATGAGATGTCGTCTGTGGACGATGATCACGAAATGCAAGACGCGTCTGGTGACTTTGCTGCTAAAGTGAAGCGTATGCATGATCGTCTTGACCGGGTCGCTCGGTATCGAGATCAGATCGTGGACACGCTTCCACTAGAGCTCGTGCAGCTTCAGGACGTCCTCGCCAATCTCGACTCGGCAACTCGTGACCTGCAGCTCTTGGTCCAGTACTCGCAGCTATCTGCGCAGCGATCCTCAGTAGTACGGACTAAGCTTGACAAGCAGAGCTTTGTAGGACGCATACAAGGGGTTTGGGAAGTGGAGCCCCTGATGAGGCAGTTCAAGGCTGGTGAGGAGGTCAAGACGCATGCCGAGGCTTGGGCTGGTGAGACGGTTGTTACGATTGTACATGAGAAGTAGATATTGCTGTGTAGAGCCCCAGTATCGTGCAGCTGCAGTGGTACCGCTAGAGGTACTGGTTAGGTCGAGAATGCGTGCCAATCTATCATCCCTCACACGTCTGTGGTAGCCACATACCATCGAGGGGCATCGTCAATGGCTCAGTGTATGTTCACACCTTGGGGATCGTCTACATCTGTCTATACCTGGGACAGAGCGTGTGTGGGAGAGTGTTGGTAGTAAGCCGATGGACCTCACGCGGCACCCTTGCTAACGTGAACCACGAGTGGAAAACAGACCACGTGCCCGTTGCTGTCCTTGTGACACCGCGAATTCCCGCCGCCCAGGTCTCTAATGTACTGTACCAGTGGTCCTTCTGGAATCGTCCTGGCCAGACTAACTTCTGCAGAAGAAGAATAATAGAGTCTGGGTCGGTTCGCGGCCACGACCTCGGCAGTGGCTTGTCTGATAGGCGAGCGCTTTGAACGTGGTCGTGGGGCCGTCGTCAGGCCAAAGCGCACGGTGAAGTTTACTGCTAGCTTGAGGATATCCCCGCAATTGCGGTTTGCCCATCTAGATTCCAAGGGTCTCCTTGTTCGAGAGGGTGCTTCGCTAGCTAAATGGCGATACAAGACTATGGATTGTGTTGGCTGAGACGAGATGGTATGTGCAATTCGGAGCGAGCGGCGATGAAATATCGTTGAGCTGTGGTTATCAAGAGGTGATTGTGATGTTCGTGTAGCAATATAATTAGGGATGAAAGTAAATATGGAACTGGTCATCCGACACTTTCGGTACTGCTCGAACGTGCATATGCTTGGCGACGTAGACCTGAACAGGGGGCAAGTGGGAAGGTGGAAGCATAAAGGCAAAAGGGCGTTGTCCGGTGGGTCTAACGTAAAGAGATGTGGTGTTGACTCTCCGCGTGATCTGTCTCAATTATTGACCGTTGTTATTCTCCCTTCTCGCGCGACCTTCATCGCAAACACCCATCATCTACGTCTCTCTCGTCTTCTCGTAATCGAGCATTCCAGCCGCTGTCCGCTTCCTGCCAAGCTGGATCGCCCACACCATCTCTACGCCCAAGCAGGTTTATTCGGCTGTACATCTCTACTATACCTCCCGCGCGCCTGAATCGCCGGACCGCATTGGTTACGTCGTTGGCACGGGAAGGGAAGGGGAACTGGCCTACTACTGCGCACCTCCTCTTTCGAGACGCACGCTTGGATTACCCTTATCCGCAGAACCTCACGAGCCTGCATCTCATCATACATACACCACCGCACGCGTTCCTGAGACGACACACAGTAGCAGAGATATAAGCGGAGCATTTGCCAGAGAGTCGCACAGATTATCCCACGCACAAGCAACAACAAATAGCCCAGCATCATGGCCGCCGCGATCCCAGCAACGCGGACCGCTAGTAGTGAGTTTGCTGCCCAGACACAACTCCTGTTTCACAAATCCACCCAAACCCGACAATCACATAAACTAACAGAATATCCTCTTCATCGTATTCACAGACCGACAGCCTTCACCGAACAGCTTGCAGCCAGCCAACCTGGCATCCAACAATCCTTTCCGCAATCGCGCGACCTCGCCGGCGCCGGCGGGCACGAGCCCGAACGATAACGCCAACATGCGCCCAGTATCCAAAAACCCGTTCCTGGACGATAGCGAGGTCATGATGAGTCCGCCGAAGAAGAGTACGACGACCAGCGGCAATGGCTTGACGGAAGACATCTTTGTATGTTGTGCGCCTCTTTCACTGCTTCGCTATCTCGCTTGTGCTTTCTAGTGTAACGCGCCGAGTAACGCGTCCCTGCTCGACCCCTCCACCGTCACTTTTTTGCACATGTTGGGAGATCTCCTGTGTCCCTTGCATGATAAGGAGCAGAACTTGTACACAAACATTATGGATCGCTTCAAGATCTTCAGTAAGCGTTTTGCTGACTATCCTCTCCTACAACAGAAGGATCTCTCGCTGCTGGATAAACCGGCGGGTAATGGTATGTACTACCTCAACACATGCGCAGAAGCGCATTGTTTGTCATGAGTGGGTAGATACTGATATACTTCCTTCGCGCAGGTACTGCACCGCCGAACAAGAACGGTCTTCCACCTCCTCGACCTGTAGGCGCACCTCCACCATCTGGCGCTAGTCGCGACAGACGTCCACCACCACCTCGAGGAGGCCCTCCTAGTCCTGGAAAGAGAGACCAGAAGCCTCGACCACGCGGGATGTCCGAATCCTCAGTCATGGATGAGAAGGAGAGGCGGGACCGCCGTGAGCGCGAGCGCATCGATAGGCCCGAGAGGACCGAATCAGAGGAGCGCAGAAGGCGTGAGAGGCGGCGAGAGCGCGAAGATAGGCACAAGAGGGAGAAGGAAAAGATTCGCAAGGGTGATCGTCCGATGAAGAAGCCGCAGGGTTTGGATATCATTGATAAGCTCGACGTTACTGGGATTTATGGTCAAGGACGTAAGTTTAATCATCATCTTGGAAGTGAAATGATCGTGCTAACATATATTAGTCTTCCACCACGACGGCCCCTTCGACGCCTGCAACCCGCACCGTAACGCCAAAGGCGGCCGCCGTCCACCACCCATGCAAGCTTTTCCCGAAGGCAGCGCAAACATGGCTCTTGGCGGCGCAGGTCCAGTCCGCTCACGCATTGACCTGGACAAATTCCACGGCCGAGGCGAAGACGCCTTCTCCGATTACGCCGTTACCCGGAAAGCAGATACCGCCACTATTGTCAACCCACACGATCGCGTCGAACCCGTCCACGGCAACGAGACTGAAGGCCTAGGAACTTCCACTTTCCTCGATGGTGCACCAGCCAGTAGAGCGGCACTGCAGCGACGAGAGTCCGAGGACCCAACCCAAATGGACGGAGGAGCCATGGGAGGTGGACTCACACGAAAACAGTCAATCGTCCAGCGCTTCAGAGGCATGTCCAATTCCCGCCGCGGTGGCGCAGCCGGTCTACGCAGTCCAGAGGCACGCTATAACGACGCCATCGAAATCAGCCCTCCACGCTACGGAAGCAACAAGGCTGTTTCCGCCGGTGGACCCGCTCGAGCTGTATACACGAAGGAGAATGAGATCAACCCGTTTGACAACGACTACGATGCCGCGTTCGAGAAGAAAGGGGCTGAGATCCGCACGGTGGAGCAACAGGGTGGACTCGCGCCACGACCGAGCAGCAATGGTCTTACTAGGAGTGTGACTGCTGACTCGCCGGCTGTGAGGGGGAGCTCGAATGAAGAGGATAGGCCGGTGGCGGCTAGTAGTTCTGGGACTGGTGGGTTCTTGAATAGGATGAAGTCGCTCAAGGGTGGGAGAAGGGCGAGACCGGAGAGGAGGGATACGTGAAGGGTGCTGGGAATGCATAGAGCGAGCTTTGGACTATGAGTGGGGGGATTTGGGCATGCTTGCTGAGGTGGAAGCGTGGGCTGGAGCGCGAAGAGGGACTTGACTATTGCGGGCTTCTGGAGATTATTGCTGGAGGGGTGCATTTTCGTCGCGTAGATCTCCTTGAGTTTTGGCATAGGATTGCGGGGAAGGTTTCAGAATGTTCAGATACCCACTAAAACTTGAGATGTCTTCATTCGCTTTGTTCTATCTTATCTGTGGTCGGCATGGCTACTGTGGATTGCCGTGTGTGGGAAATCCCCAAGCCCGGCACAGCTGCACTTCCCTCTCCATGGCACTCCGGCGGATGGTGCATCGGTCATTGCGTGCGAGAGGATGCCTTCCACTTTGGCAAAGCCGTCCAGTGCATTTACCATTCGGCTGATGGACAACTTCGGCAAGTCGTCCAGCGTAGTTACCCTCCGGCTTGAGCGACGGACTCGGCACGTATCTGCCTGCCTGCCTGCCTGTTCACTTTGCCACCCACCAACCAAGGCATCGTCGTGCCCTCGAACTGTGCTTCCCACGACGGCAACTATCAACACGGACGGAAGGTGGGTTGTCGATATCGGGGCTCTCTCTCTCTCTCTCTCTCTCTCCCCCTCTCGCCACTTCAGTTCTCCCGCCACTCGGTGTTGCATTCGGTACAGCGGTAGAACGTCGTCATCGGCTCGTCGGCACTGCGAATTTGCACTTGACGGAAGTAGGCGCTTTGACTGGGGCAGATGTCGCGTTTGCAGCGGGCTTTGGGATTGTAAGTACGGTAAGTATGGAATGGCTTGGAAGGAGTAACTGCGGGTGTAGGGAAAGGTGGCGTGGTGTGGCGTGACTCGGCTGGGAAGCCGGCCGAGTGGTTCATGGCATCCCGATATGATATGATATTGCCTGTTGCAGACCGAAGGGAGGGCAGGAGGGTAGGTGAGATCGACAAGAGAAGTAGCAAGTGGGCTTCGAGAAGGAGATACTGCTTACTCTGAGCCCGATCGACGTTCTTCCAACTATCCGCTCCTCCCAGTACATCCTCGGGCGTCTTGAGACTCATTTCCTTCCGTTCGTAGTATCGCCGATCCAGCACCATTTGGTAAGGGCAAGTCCGGCATTCGAAGCGGGTCTTGTTCGCATTGGTGTCTTCGTCCGGGGCGGTATGTGATGATGGGATCCGGGAGATTATGAGCATGTTGCTGCATGATGGACAGACTATGGAAGAGGAGATGTTTATGAGATTCTTGTCTTGGTCTTACCTTGAGTTGACGGGGACTTACATAGGAGCATTGTGAGGGCTGACGAGCCCAAGGGGCTGGAATCGTAATTTGGTCTTCGTGACAGGAAGGCACGAGTTTTGTGGCAATGAGTAAGTGAGGCTCGGCCTTGAAAATGCACGGGCCGATAGCACGCGGCCGCAGCACGCGAAAGTGACGCAGCGTCAAACGCCCTGCCGCGTTTCACTTTCTTCTGTTCGGCATGCCGTTGAATGTTCCTGTTCACACATATCAGGAGAGCAAGAGACATTGAAGTGAGGAAAAACTGCCTGATCGATTGAAAGAATACAAAGGAGTCCCCTGCCCGCGCGGTGCTCACCCATCCCAATCCCATACGAGAACATATCAATCCAACTTCCAACCTATGGATCTGAGGACCCTCATTCCTACTGGAGAACAACACTAGGCAACAACTACTGGCCACAAGCTTCTCTACCTCTCGTGCGTGTACGGCGCATTGAGCACCACCCACTATGGCAGACGAAGGCGCCTCGCCCAAAGAACAATTGATAGAATCATGCCGCCGCAACAACCCTGAACTCCTTACAACCCTTCTCCACCACCCACCCTTTCACAAGCATCCCAAAGAGACGGCTCACTTCCTCAACACGACAACCGACGCCCTAGGAGCTGGAGCACTGCACGTGGCGGCGCAATACGGCAGCTATGAGGTGCTGGACCTGATATTAGATCAAGAAGGAGTGGAGATCGATGGGAGAGATCGAAGGGAGGGTGATACGTGCTTGCATAAGGCCGTGAGATATTGCAACACGTTGAGTCCCGAGGAATGGGCGGATGGCAAGATGGTGGTGGATATTCTCGTCGATGCGGGGTGTGATCCGCGGTGAGTCGTGCAGTGACATATTCTTCAAGACGAGCGGTTGCTGATATTGTGTGATGGCTCCAGGATAAGAAACAAAGCCAAACTCCGACCTATTGACCTCGTAGACCCGCGAAACAAGGACGTGCGAACGGCTTTGCAGCATGCCGAGATGGCTATGACTGCTGGTGGTGACGTGGTGGTCGAGGACGATGACGAGCCGAATGGTCCTGGCAGCGAGAGTGACTAGAGGGATCCTTCGACTTCTGGTGTTAGTCCATGAGCTCGCGCACTCGATCAAAGTGCCAATACCTGGTGGGCAGCAGTGAGCGATTCATGTATGCATAGCGACGGCGTTACAGCTTGGCGGACGAGGTGAATGTTATTCAATGCTTCGGATGTCCGACCGCCATCCACGAAAATTCTGCGAGCCATAGATCTAGACGTGCTTTCCAGCATCATGAGCATTGCTCCTCACGTAGTATGCGATGAATACCTCGACGATTGTACAACATGAGATCATCTGCGGCAAGGCAAATGCCTAAGGTATGGTGGCCGAAGTTGACAACATGCAACGAGGACATGACGCGGAGAGGAGGACACGTGCGGAATAGGAAGGTACTGGTCAGACACTACATCCATAGAATGTCAAAACCAGATATATGTTTATGTTCTGTATATGTATATTTAGACAAGCGCAGGAGCTTCCCGCCGCGACGTAAACATGATTAGCTGCTAGCTAGTGCTGCCATCTACTGTACGTTAACAGTCGCTCACTGGGATGATGGTGACTGATGCTCGGTCGCCACGGCTACATCGACGTGCTGTGGTTTGGTGCCAATCTATACCTGCAAGAGCCGGATATAATGGGACCGCAGAGCCAGGATAACTCTAAACTCTCGATCATGTCGTCAACCACCTCACCCAATCCTGCCACCGCCACCAAGTACATCCGTCAAATTAGCCTGCCCCGTCCCTCTCTCCAAAGGCTTCGGCGTATTGGCACTCTCCTTCCATCCAATCATATAGATCGTCCTGAACGTCGCCGGGATAGTGATACTCCCATCCTCCTGCTCCTCCCCATAAAGCTCCCGATAAATCGCCTCTGTCGCGAGCAGGACATCCCGGGACAAGGGCGTGTGTTCTCGTCTCAAAGCCGCATTGGCTTCGCCCATACTTTGTAGATCGGCCATGAGAGCTGAAGTGTTAGGATAGTCGACCACGATGTCGTCAACGTCTACGGTTAAAAGTTTGAAGCCGGCTCGGGAGAGGAGGTTGCCCACGTCTCGGACGTCTGCTAGGGGGGAGATGTGGGTTCCTATCCCTCCTAGCCTTTCTTGCTCCGCGAGCTGGAGACTTCCTCTCAACTCATATAGGCTGTCGCCTCCACTCATGGCGGCTATGAAGGGAGCATCGGGTTTCAGGATATTGTTGAACTGGGTCAAGACGGACGGGAGGTCATTGATCCAGTGGAGCGACATGGAGGACATGACCAGATCGAAGCTCTCTGGTTCGTAAGGGAGGTATTCGGCTTGTTGTAACACCTGGCGCTGAACAGATATCTCCTGGTTGAAGGGCTCGTTCTCGTCACGGTAGAGCATTGCTGGGCTGGTGTCCGTACATGTGAGCTCTCCTATCCTCTTCGCGATCGGCTCTCCAGGCTCTGTGACTTCTCCTTCTTCGTTGCCCGTCAAGTCTGGCGCAGGTCGCGTGAGCACGCGAGCAATGTTACAGGCATTCGCGCCGAAGTCTAGGACCTTGGGGAAGTGCCGCTTGATATCCAACAACCTGTCGCATAGTCTCGCAGCAACTTCATCGCGGATATAGTCCACCTGTCTACTCTGCTCGACATCCCTAGCCGACCGCTCTTTGTGTAAGTACTTCGCCCTGCTGTCGAAGACTTCTGCTATAGGCGCTCTGCCGGCCGAAATGGCGTAGGTCCGTCGTTCATGGCGGCATGATCTTAGCGCATGGGTAAGCAGCGATGCCTTGCCCAGAGGTCGAAGAGTGGGCAAGAGAGTGCTCATTGGCGCTGTTGGAGCTCACATTATAGAGCATTGATTTCACCATTGGAGATCTCAAGCCATCTCGTCGATGTGATGACGGCTCCCTCGGCTGTGGGGGCGGAAGCCGTTGAAACGATCGGGACGACGAGCCGAAATCGACACCTCTTCGATCTTAGATATTTACTACACGCATACACTCCCATGTTCTGTTGACGACCTCACTCGCCAAAGCCCCAGACGGCATACTAGTGAGCACTTACAACCCATAAGCAAGTCTTCCAACCATCCCCAAAACAGAACTCACTTCCACATCAGTGGCTCCGCATACGCCGACACATGGCAATCGACGCTCTACCTGTTTAGGAGAACGCCGATCCGCTTCACGCCACACCTCTACGACTTCCGCTTCTAGAGCTTCCAAACACACCCGGCGCTTCTGCCATTGACCGTATCTTCGGGTTCTTGATTTCCACCATCCACATGACCTTGCTGTCCTGCACTTGTTGTGGATATACCTTTTACGTCTCGGCTGTGCATTCTCCGCCGCAGTCCAAGCAAGGTCATCGCACCTCAGCTCTTCCCCGAAATAGACGTTGCAAGGACGGCTTTTTGCACTTCCTTTAGCTCGCTCTTCGTGAGCCCCAATCATGCCAGAGTACCAGACTATGACCGCAAGACATGAGCTGAATCTGGTCAACGCAGCGATTGTCGAGTGCAAGGTCTGTATGCATGATCCCGGACTGGCCATTGACTCGAGGAGCCGGAGCCGAAGCTGGAGTCCGCGCATGAGCTGTACAAGCCGGACGGACTCCGGTTGAAATGGATCTCACAGGGCTCAAGCACCTTTAGCTAGTCATTCGGAGCCAGATGAGAATGAAGGCTACAAGACGGTATTGGGACCATGGATTTGACAAAATGATAGATGCTGACCGTTCATATCTGCACTGCGGTGCAACGCGGGACCTAGAAGCACCATGCACTGTAAGCAGATCCACTTCCGGCACCTTCTTGATGCCAGATTGGCTGCTGATGCGTGATAGACCTCACACGGGTGGGTCGTGTGAATACGCTGGGCACCGTGGTGGTCTTTGCTAATACCATGCATACTCGCCACGTCATGACAGCCTAGCTATGCCCAGCAAACGACGTGGACAGGACAGAAGCAAACCTTAAGATTCACCGGATCTCTCTAGGCAGTCCTGAACAGTCCAATGTAGCTTGCATAAACATTACCATGACCGCACATATGTACAAGGCATTTCCCCCTGCTCCTATCAAGCCCACATCATGCCCCATCCCCAGCTATCACCTCAGCTCGAACTCCTTCGACCCCTCAACCAACCCATCCCCCGCCTTCGTGACTGCCGCCCAAACAGGCTCAAACCTCTTGATCTCGTCCAAAGCTGGGATCTCTCCATGCTCGCTCTCACTCCACAAACACACCACCTTTCCGCTCTGTCCCTTGGCCTTGTGCTCAGATTCCCACGTCACATTTACGCGGAACACTTTGTCCCAATCGCGACTGAAGAGCCGGACCTCCGAGCTTCCGTTCTCACCTACTGTGGACCGAGAGGACTCATGGGAAGACAAGGTGCCGAGTATGCTGACTGCTGAGACGGGTTGGTTGAAGAGGATCTTACATTGTTTTGTCTCTTTGCCGCGAAGGGAGAAGGTGGCGGTGTCACTCGACGTGACCGTCGCATTGAAGTCTAACCAGGGCTCGGGTCCAGATCTCGTCTTGTTTTTGTACGGTGCCACGCCCTTGACAACCTCAGGAATGACCTTTGGCGCCAGACCTGCCCAAGAACAAGTCACCAATTCGTCCTTATCATGCTGACTACATTTCAGTGGTCTTCCGGCAGCACTTGGGAGGTCGGAGATGATGTCCTGGATATATCCATCAAGGCCTCTGAGCGTGACGTTATTGACTCCTGTGTCCAGATCGAGATGTTGTTGGAAGTAGAACTTCATCCTCGCATCTCGTGTGAAGGGGTCGGCGATGAGGTTGTAGACCAGACATCCTGCGAATACGAGAAAAAGCAGGGTCGGGGCCTGGTACGTGAAGCGATGCACAAACGGCGTCAAAGGCAAGAGAAGTAGTATAGTCATGACTGCCATGATCAAGTAGATGCTCAGGACCGAATTGCCATCTGCGGGCGTCTGATGTATACCCGCCACGACCAGGAGTCCGATTTGGCCAACAATGATGATATTGATAGGTGCAAGGATCAGAAATTGGATGATCCAGGTCCATTGTAGGAGAGAGCTAGACCATGCCTGTTCGTCTCCGTAGGCCTTTGATAAGAAAGGATCTCCGCTCTCCTCTAGACCCTCCTCTTCGGCTTGTCGCGTTTTGCCTCCGCTTCGGCTGTTATTGCCGCGCAGGAGAGAGGTGCGCTCGGTTGCATCGTCTTCTTCTCGAGCACCGTCTAACGCACCTGGTCGTTCACGGCTTTGACTGAGCAGAGTTCGGGACGATCGACTGCCAGGTCGTATAGAGTCGTTGTCTGTCGAGGTGACGCCGAGCACGTGCTCAGCATACTTTTGCTTGGTGGGTAGTCCAAAGAGCTCAAGATAAGATGTGAGAAGCGCAACGAAAACAGCAGCGTTGTAGATCACGATGAAATAACCCGAGCCGAGCTTGAAATTGTTCTCACCCACTGTAGCGGCGACAAGAGCGATCCATGAGAGGACGTACAGCCAGATTAGGCAGAACATCCTCTGCAAAGCAGTCGGTCGTACTCGATCTCCTCCAGCGAGTATAAACCACGATACGGCGAACCAGATTGTGATGAGTTCAGCCCAGACCACGTACTCGTGGGAATAGACGATGTAGGGGTTGATCTTCGTCTGCAGGAATGTCAAAGCCACCACAGCCGCTGTCGCAGCAATAAAGGCGATAGGGAAGCGAAAGAAGCCTCTTATGCCGTTGATCCGCACAGCTTCATCGTCGTCGGCTGAGCGCAGGTACTTCTTTCGACTAAGGAGGTACCACTTATCGTTTCTTGCCAGGATAGCCTCCAGAATAATGAGCAGGACTGGTCCAACCACCAGCAAGGTAACCGATAGCGCGAAAAGCGTAGTCAATTGCATGACCGCGAACGCCTGCCCGAAAAGATCGAACCATACGCCCACAGACCCCTTCCCTTGATCAATCTTGCCTCTTCTCGTAATCCCACCCGCAAACTCATCCCCGTCATACCTCGTGAGGCCCTTCATCGTCTCAAGAGAAGCGGAAAGCATATGAAACAGACTATCGACGCTAACCTCCCTCGCCGCATCCTGATCGGTGTGATACCTCGCTCTCGGCCCAAAGAACGCGACGTCCAGTCCTCTCATCCCGAGAGCTTCGGTGAAGACAGAGTAGTCTGTCCCGCTACGAATGAACCCTTGTTTGAAGCCATCGCCACTGACGATGGAGCCATAGGGCGAGGGCGAACGAGCGTAGAAAGATGTCACTTCGGCGTCTGTGGAACGGAATAGGGTGGCTTTCCCTCCGGCACCGGCGCCTTCGAGGTTGAGGAAAGTGTGAGCGAAGGAAGCGATGGGGTGGTTGAGGTAGGCGTGCGCGCCGTAGAGCCCGTTCTCCTCGCCGTTGTTCAAGAGGGCCACGACGCCGTGTTCGGGTTGTTGACCTTGGGTTGTGAAGTACGAGACGAGTTGTAATACTGTGATGACTCCCACCCCGTCGTCTGTGGCGCCATAGCCTGTTGAGACGCTGTCGTAGTGTGCATTCACTAACACGCCACCGGGACCGGAGTATTTCTTCTCGGATCGCCAGTCCCATTCGCCATCCTGTTTGCCGCGAATGTAGACGACGATGTTGCTCGACTCGGTATATATCGTCCACGGCTGTTTTCTCCAGGACTCCTCGAAGGTCGCATTGGCGTGGTCATATTTCCACAGCGTAGCATGTCCCTCGTTCCAGCTAGGATCTTTAGACCCACGATCCTTCTCCTGCCCACCCTTTCCCTTGCCAAGCGCACCTGTCTCTTCTCCTTCCTCCCCAACAACACTGTACCCGACACCACTGCCCTCCAGAATCTCCTCGATCCTCCCGATCAAATACTCCCTCACCTCGTCATTCGCACGACTTCCATGAGGATGTAGTCTCGCACCAACCACATCCAGATCCAGCCAAGCCTGCGTCAGGTTAACGCCCTGCACCGGCGTAGGATCGCTAGGTGCACTTGGGATCGTGAAATGGCTCCACAGCAAGACAGCGAAGAGGGCGATGTAGATGGCGGAGGAGATGAGGGTCACCTGTGTAGGCGCGAAGGCGAGCGGATTCCAAGACGTTTTCTTCGCCATCTCAGTGAGGATATCAAGCCGTCGACATGTCTAAATGGGATGTATGCAGCTCCTGATTGCAGCTTGTTCAGAGAGCTCGAGGCATGGCGCTAGAAGCTTTGGCTTTTGGTGGGGTCAGCAGATTCCATACAACAATGTACCACCGTACAGTACGCAAAGAAAGATAATAACAGTCGGAAATACATCTAGTTAAGTAGGCTATCATATACGACGCACGAGTATACATCCGACAAGCCTGAGCCTGTTTACCAATCCCTCTCAACGCCATGCCATTTTGCCCATGGGTATCATTTTCTTCATATTACAACAACCAATATCATATCATAAACGCCATGTGCTCCCATTGAGCTACCGTGACCACCACCTGTCACCTCCTTACTTAGACTCCATCCTCTCCTTTACCCTTCTCTCAGTATCTAGAATCCTCATACCATGTGCGCACCCACTGCTCACTATTGACTCGGAAAACCATGCAAACCATGCACCATGGGGTTCCACTCGGACCCGCCGAATAGATTCTGAATATCCAGGTTCCCGTAACTCTGCGTTGCCGCCTGCTGCATCCACTGATTATTGTTCCCGTCACCAGCACCAGTCCCATCGATATTATTGTTACCCAGACCTCCATTCGACATCTGCATACCAGCCATGCCTTGATGATTCGAGAAAGCAGGCAGGCCGTTACTGGTGGCGAAACTCAGATCTTGCCGCTGCTGCTGTAGCTGTCGTCGTTGTTGCTCTTGCATGTAAGGTGGTAAAGCAAAGAATTGCGCTTCGATATTATCGTCGCGTCCCCTCGAATCCGGCCTCGGTGCCATGGGTACCGTAGAATCGAGATTGAAGTTCGGTTGGTTGTTGCTCGTGTATTGGGTATTCTTGGCAAACTGCTGATTATTCTCAAACGTCGTGAGGGGCTGGTTTGGATACCCGAAAGGTTCGTCTGCAGTTGGGAAGATCATGGCGGAGAGGTCGGGTAATGCTGGGTTCGAGAAGTTCTGGGGCATGAGTTGATTGATACCATTCAGCATGTTCTGATCAGTCCAGCGGGCCATGGACCCGGTGTCGAAGCTGCCGGAGACGGGGGTTTGGGGTCCGAAAGATGAGGCACCTGATGGCCATGATGCATCGAGCGAGGTTGGTGAGCTCGAGACAGGCATTTGCACACCGGTGACACCATGTCGAGGGAATGTGCTGGCTCTGCGGACTTGCCCGTTGGCAATTGGTACGCCACGACCGCGTCCCACGACAGAGACATCAGGATGGCTTCTCGAGGCTTGCGTGTTAATTGGTGGTGGTGTATCGTGAGTCGAGGAGTCGAATTGGCGCTTTCGTGTGATTAGCGGGTTTTGCTGTCCTTCTTGCATCCAGTCTGGCAGTCTCTGAAAGATGCCATTGAGTGTCGCCGTGCACCGATCAGCTGCCATACTCCGTCTAGCCAATGATGCCAGGCAGCGTCTGCCTTCCAGCGCATCCTTCATCACTGCCTGCGTGGTAGCGTTGTCCGGATTCTCAGCAGCAAAGTAGACCAGCGACAAGATGGCGAAGAAGGAGGTGTACATGATGAACCAATGTGCGCCGTTGAGTAGACCTTTCTGCTTCATCTGCGTAACGATGTGGACAATGTTGCGCGAAACATTGACGTACGAGGCAGCGCAGGCATAGGCTCTCTGATCGACCGGGCTAGAGCGCTTTTCCATTGCCACGTAGTGAAGGAACGGCCGATAGAGCATGACCTGCGCATGGGCGTAGGATAACCGGAGGAGTTGCTGCACCCTGATGTATCGTGTTGGCGCTTGGCACGGGTTCAATATTGGTGGCAGACTGTTCTTCCACTCCTCCAAATCGCTCTCGATCTCGCGAATCACAGAGAATGGCACGGAGTACGACTTGTCTGGTGTATCTTGGGTCTTGATCGGGTAAACTTTGCGCACGATCTTGGATAGAAGTACGACCAGTCTTGTATGCGCGTTGAAAGCCGTCATCAATGACACTGTGCCTTCCGGCATGGGCAGGATGCCATCGTCGGTGATGTACTCATCGTCGATCTCGAGCGGGAATTCCTGGTCGATATCGTCGTCGCTCAGAGTTTGTGGCAGGCCAAGCATCGCGCCGACGTAGATGTCCATTTTCCGCACGATCCAGAAAACACGCTTTCGCGTCTCGGCCTCAATGGGCGTGAAGTTGCCAGCGTGGGACCGATGCAGACCCATGCGCAGAGCAGAACGCAAGGCAACGCCAACGTAAGCGTAACACTGTGAGAGCTTTGCCGAAGATTGCAAGAATATGATCATGAACATGACAGCTTGTATCGAAGTTAGATCTCGACAGTCTGCGATGTCCATGAGTTGCCTGGCGGTCCTGAAATGGATGAAGCCCTGTTGGATAGCGTTTTCATAGCCTCGCTGGTCGAGAGATCCAGCCTCGTCCTTGCAGAAGAGATGGCCAAGTGCCATTGCGGTATGATAGAGTGGCAAGAACGTGTTATCCGCGTTAGTGAACTGCTCGGGCGGCTTGTTATACAGCCCGTCGAAGGACTTCCAGAAGCTGGGCGCATGTACGACTCGTAAGAGGACAGCTGCATCATTGACAGCATATCCGCAGATCTCTCGCGCATAACCTTGAGGTGGCAGGTCGGTAGCAGCGCCGGGTGATATATCACCACCACTGGGAGAGTCCAGAGTAGACCGTGGCGATTCCAGCAGCTGTGACATTGGTCGAGATTTCACAAACGGTGTCGCCTTTGTGTCTGGTCCCATAAGATCGCCGAGCTGTTCTCGCATGCGCCGCACAAAGCTCAGACCGGAAGAGTGTCCATGATAATCCCAGTGACCTTGTTCATCCATGTCTATCTGTGCCACTGCTCGTACCATTGATTCTAGATTTGTATCGGACTTGTTCTTCTCGATGCCAGCATCTTGCACGGGCGGAGCTACTGAAGCAGTGTTCAGAGCAGTAGGGTTGCCACGACCTGGGGCTCCAGGGATCCATCCTTGCGCGACAGCTGCTTCAATGCCTGGGTCATTTAGGTCGAGGTTCGGTATAAGGATATGGAGTAAGGTCTCGGCACGATGCACTCGGTGTTCCAGGTTCTCGACATACTGCGGCGCTGGGTTGCGTCTACGGTTTGAAGGTTGGTCGTAGGTGCAATCTAGTACATGGTCAGCGTTGCGTCTTGGCAGCATACATCACAAGCCACTCACCATAACTGTAGACCGTGCAATGGGTGCAAGGCTGTTTGCCGTCACACTTGATCTTCTTTCTTCTACACTCATCACACGCTCGGGTCACTCGTCTCCGCTTCTGCATATGCGCCTTGATGCCCGGCGCATGCAAGCCTGTCCCATGGGTGCCATTAGACGGTGATGCGTTAGAGTCCTCCAACTTCACTTCCTGATCCTCTCCGGTTGAGAGATCCCCATCGCTGGCATAGTCCTCTGGTGAAGCGTGCTCCATTGCGCCGGTAGGCTTGCTGTCCAGGTTCATGGGAGGGTCCAGTGATGTCGTTTCACACTATGCTTTACCTACGGCAGTCCGTGGATATCTTGTTATAAAGGCGCGAGCATTGTTGCACTCAATTCAGCATAAAAAATCCACCGCAAGGCGCAGCATGTAGATCGAAAGGCTCGTAGGATTGAAGGCCGAGTCTTGGCAGCGAAGATGTCGGGCTTTGGGCGATGTAAAGACCGTAGTGGCGTAGCAAGCTTCTTTGCACGCAACTGATCATTACTCGATGGAGTAGGTGGTATAGACTCTCAGCGGAGGACGGGATCACGACGCCAACAACGCCTAGCAAGATCGATCGTCGGCTATTGGTGGAAAGCTGTAAGAGTCAGTGTCGCAGTGAGACTTTTGCTGCTAAGGAGAGAGATTGAGTAGAATTGAACCGTGAGACATGCTGTTGGCTCAGAGGTGAAGACGACCCCACAGTATGACGACGCCTCAATAGGCATTTAATCGAAAGAAGGGATTGGGCAGGAGTACCAATATTTACTATGCACGACTAATCAATATGCACGTGAAGGTCTCTTCGTATTCGCGATTATCAGAAAGCTAGAATCTATCCTTTCCTCCCTCGACTCAGTGACATTCTGGTACGCTGGCGACGGCAAAGGAAAAAGAGCGCGATCTGGGTCCTGCGTTGTAATCATGTCTACACCGACATATTGCCAACCAAGGTGGCGCGGGCAATGCCCAAAGTGATTTGGCTTGAACAGAAAGATATGTCCGCCTAAACTCCTTCAGGTCCTCCGCGATCGGGGGCGGCAATTTATGCCATGCGCTGCCATACCATGCAGGGCTGCATGGCTATGCAATAACACCACTAGTCCGGTCGTACTATACCTTATTAGCCATGATTCCAATTCTCCACAGCTCTCTTGGGGGGCGGAGTTATGACCTTGGCTGCAGAGATCAACATACCTCGTGGACAGGGCGAGCGCCTGCAGAGCGGCGAGCTCACACGTGCAACGGCTGGAACCCTGACCTCATGCCATGCACTGCCAAGAACATGTTACAATTCTAGCTCTGCTCTATGATCGACATGGCTGCATAAGTCCGAGGCTTATTTTGGACTTCGGCCGACGACTACGCACGACGCCATGGCGAGTGTCATAGATTTACCGATCCAAGGTCAACAAAAAGAGGGCGACTTCACGAGAGCTTGCGTATGTAATAACTTCCAGCATTGTACAAACAATGCGATATTCGAGATGACGATACAACTGAGTGAATGGCCCGCGGTAGCGAGCGTAGCACAACGGGGTGAAGAGTATTCGAGCATATCCGTTTCTCAACTGTATTCCTCGACTAAGCTAGTGCTGGAAGCCCTTCGTAGTCCTCTCACACAGCCACTCACATGGGACCACGGATCTGTATGGCAGCGACAATGCCTCACAAGACCATCCGAATCCACAGAGAGGCGGACGATGATGTATGGAGCACCACTAAATTGACAGTCGCTCAAATCCTCGCGGTCAAGCTCCGACTCTGTACCAATCGAGATGCAGCAATCAGTGCCGCACCGACCATAAGGCAGCTTCCAGCCCATCCAGCAAGAGCGATATAGCCATATTTGATAAGCTCGCCAGCTACCGGAGGACCAAAAAGTGTCCTGTGATAACAATAAGCGTCGTCTAAGTGATCACAGAGCCAGGGTACTTACGCAAGAGATACCGCGCCCATTACTGTACCAACAGCAGCACCCGCAGAGTCAGCATCGGCGAGAGTGGTTGCACAAGCCAGTTGAAGACTCAAGATAGCCTGGAGAGATTGTCAGTGACGGTATGCACAGCGCATTCCGTGGCCAGGATACTCACGCCGGAAGTGAAGCCGAAAACAACAGTCCATACAACTAGACCTGCAACACTTGTCGCTGCCGTCCAACAGAAAGCTACGATGCTCGCAGCGAACATGGAGAAGGCGAGCATGTTGAATCTACCAAGGTGATCGCCGACGATACCTGGAAGTATACGACCGAATAGAGATGCGCCGTTGACGATGGACACTAAGTAGAAGGCCAATGAAGATGACATGCCAATGTGGACTGCGTATGTCGAAACGTAGAAAATTGGAATGAAGAAGCCGAAAATGCCGAAGAAGAGGCCCTGATGACTGGTTAGCAGTGCGACTCGCGCAGAAAGCGTACAGCTTTGTGTGCTTACAAGACAGAGGAGCACGAAGGGCGGTTTGCGTAGAACACTCAGATCCTTCTTCTTCTCCGGAGCTCCCTTTTCGCTGCCTGCAAAAGTCACACCTTCCACAACGACATCGCTCTGCTTCTTTGGTACAGCGGGCATCCGAATAGTCAAGATGCAGATGATACAAAGCGGGATCATGACGAACCCAGCAATGCGCATCGCCCATGGAAACCCGATCCCATCATGGTGTAGCATCTGATTGAATGCTATCGGCCAGATTATACCTCCCAATGATGACCCTGCGACTGTGATGCCCGTCGCCAGACCTCGATTTCTCTTGAAGTATCTCGGGACCATGCCAGAAGCCGGTATAGCGATGAAGCTCATCCCAATCCCAAGAAGTACGCCCTGTGCGAGAAAGAATTGATAGTATTGACGACAAAGCGATGTCATGAAAATCGCAACAAGCAGGAGGACGGAACCCAGCGAGACGGGGATGAGTGGCCCGACCTTGTCCGCAAGTATTCCAACACCAGGAGCGAAGATGAACATGGTGAAGATCGTGAATGAACCCAGCCAAGAGATCTTGAAGTTTGATTCGCCTTTGAGATAGTAGCTCGTGTAATACTCTTGGAAGATGCCAAAGGCATTTTGCAGGCCGACCGTGAAGAAGTAGGCGAGCGCTGAGCCGGCAGCTGCTAGGCCAGATCGCCAACTGCGATATATGTTTAGTATCTTCTATGAGGGTGACGATAGGAGGGCCTACGTGAGTTCTGGAACTACTGCTTCCAAGCTGGGATCGTCTGTAGTGTGGTCAATCTCTTGCTCAGCTTGTGGGACACTTTCCACGGCTGTCGCATTTGGTGCCATTGTATAGAGCTGCCTTTCGCAATGCAGTGACCGAATGTCTTTGGAGGCTCTCTGCTTGTATCATCGATTGGATGCTGCTGTCGTTTTGAAGAGGGACGAGATGGCAAGGTAGGTCAGTACGAGCCAAGGACAGTCCGCGGAGACACGGAGGAACCGCGGAGAGTCCACGGGCGGAATGAAAGCCGACCAAAGGAATGCTACGATCGGGGTAATCGATCTCCTCACTGCCTGACGTTCGAGAATCTCACGGGACGCATGGCTGGCTGTCTCTTCCATTTTTTAGAGTTGCCGATCGACGTGAAGTGGCGTATCTGGTAGGGAAACGCATTTTGAAGCGCTCTCTACAGACTATAGAAGGCAGATCGCCATTGACCACTCGTTGGCCGGAGGGTGAATCTTTGCTGATCTGCGCATATACGACGACTACGACTCCGAACAGAAGTCTGCCGTCGTATGATGAAAGCAATGGCCACTTGACTTGGAGTGGTGCTGACATGAATGATAAGGATCGCGATTCCTCAGGGGGCTATGACTCCTGTCAATGTCTGATTTGGCATGAACAGGGCTTGAAATTCGACCAGTCCTGCACCGATATCCACAAACCTCCATGAGGATTACCCGGTACTGTGCTGGGATCGCTCACAGCACGCATATCACGGGTACATTGTAGAAGATTCCCCAACAGTATCAGAGAGTCAGGCGCCGGAGATTGTGAACGCAGATCCATCCATGTCCAGTGAGCCATCCCAGCCTAGTCCAGAGTCGAAATCGAGATAGCTCTGCCACAATGCATCGAAGTCGATATTCATATCTATATCATAGTCTGGCGCGTCTTGTACCTGTACGCTCCTGTCAAGACTAGGTGGAAAGAAACCAGCACCAAATGCAGGTACCTTGCCTTGAGCACATTTAGAGATCCTGGGCGAACCCATCCCACCATGATTCCGTGGGCGCAGCTGAATGTTATGTCTGCTGAGGATGAGGTCGACGGATCCGGAAAAGGACGCAGCTACAGGAGAGGTCTCCTTAGCGTCCTCGACGAGCTTGCAGGCGGAGACGATCTCCTCCTTACGCATTGCATCATCGGCGTCGTTGGCAGACTTGTTCACGCACAAGTCCATGACCAGTATTATGATGGCGCAGCAGAAGTGGTGTAAGAGGCCAGTCATCTTGACCGAGCAAGGCAGGTTTGATATTTCGGAAGGCAAGACTCGTCGCAGCCTTAGAATGTTGCGTGCAGACTGTAGACATGTCTCGCGAGAGAAAGTGTAATCAGGGTTCTGTTGCACGCGGAAGAGGTAGGGTAGATGGAGCTTGCAGCGTCGAGCCTCGGTCGTGAGATAAGTGAAGTATCTCTGCTTGATATTTGGGCCATTTCTGGAGCCGGTGTCTACCTGGCTCGGTTTCAAGACAATATCGCCTTCGAGACGCAGTGTCTCCGGAAGTCCCTCGATCAGCTCCACAAACTTCCGGTCAAGGGCAAGTATACGACCGTATGGTATCGAAGAGATATCTGAGGCACTTTGCATCTGCATGAGTGTGTCTGCGACTTCTCGGCAGATACTACCAAGTACAATGCGGGACAGGTAGTAAGTCGTAGATGTAAGCTCAGTGGCCGGTCTCTCGAAGTCTGCTGGCTTGGTTGCAAGATCTTCGTCGGTGATGTTTCTAGGTCTCTTCACTTGCATGTGATGCGGATGAACCGTGTAAACGCCATCATATGGGCCAACAAGCAGAGCCGCACTCCAGTCGGTACTGACTAGATGCCACCATACTCTCCTACGTATTTCAGCATCTATGATCTCGTCCTGAGTTGTCCCTCGCACCTTACTGCGCGGTGCGTCGGTCATGTGAAGCCCAATATTCCGGGCATCCGACACGGCACTCGACATCATGTGACGGCCCTTGACTGAGAACCCCTCCATGTGGAAGATGAAGAACATGAACAGAATTTTGGCTTGGATTGTACCAACATCCGGACCAGTGGTCCGCCACACTTGCTCCAGGACGTCCAAACCCGATCGTAGCCAGTACTTTGCGACGGTAAGAGCAGCCGCTCTAGACGGAAATATTGAGTCCTTATCATCCCCACCGAGTGTCCAGTACTCGGTGATGTTAGCTATGACTGCAAGTAATACTGCCAAAGAGCTATACATCGGCGCAGAGAGTGGCAGACCAGCAGCAATGGCGTCAAATAATACAGCAGTATTCTTCTTGACCGTGGGAACATGAAGAATGTGCTCGAGTGCGTCCAAATGTTCACGCCACCGCTGTATTAGAAGGAGGGATTCCTCAAAACGTGGCAGAAGGATTATCGCGAGTGAGTTGGACGATGTGCGGAGCACGATATTCGCTAGTGTATCGATCTGTGGCGTGAGACTCTGGGCGACACGCAGAAGTGTGGTTGAGTCCTGGTAACCGAAGCTCTCCAACTCCTTTACTATCTCTCCATATCCGTTGGCTGATTCAGTATCGGGACTCGATGTGGTCGTTACATGTCGCACGGGAAAGTCCACGACCGAGGAGGATCCAGTTGCAGTCGTGGGAGGCTCATCTTTAGCAAAGACTACGGCCTCCAGTCTCCGCAACCTCTCCTGCATCCGAGCATTCTCTGTTCGAAGCTCGGTCAACTCATCGCCCTGAAGATCATCGCCAGGTGTAAGCGCTCTGCGACCCTCGAAGCTGCATACTATCGACCGGCCGGAGCAGTTACTGCAGGGAAAGTTGCGATCGCAGCGTAGCTTCTTTTTCCTGCAACTCTCACAGCTTGCTGGCTCCTGTCGCCGTGCAGTGCGCGCAGGCGGCATGTCGACATTCCAGCGAGCAGATTATGGCGTTGAGATACAAGCAGCCTGGCAGACCTGTTTCCAGACTGTGCATGGCGATGAAAACGCAGAATCGGAAGGCAATGTAACGATGTACCCACGGCATCCCACGTGTCGTGCTGCGGGCCGTGTGGCACCTCCGTAATCTCTTTTGTTTGTGACTTATTAGTCGCCTCCCACCCCGATGAATACGATGAAAGATACAACGTAGGGATGCAAGGCAACGAATCTACTTTTGGTTTGCGGGGGATGGAGAGTTCGTAAGATGACAGCGTCGGACGCACGTTAGTGCTCTCTTCTAGACCGCTTTGCTCACGTGAGATCATTATGGTAAGTACTGCATTTTTCGTTATCATGATTCTTATGGACAGCTCGCCCACATCCGTCCCATGGTCCAGTCAGGTTTGACTCTAGCCACGAGATGATCTTCTAGACTGGAAAAACTGCAATGGCCAAAAGCAACTCTTTGGTCATCAGCTATGGCTGATATAGTTTTGAATGTTCATAACAAGCTCCTGCGAGCCCTAGTCTTACCACTCGTCAAATCTGACCCTTCTTCTACACATCCAGAGGTGCTCCACCGGTTGTGTACAATCCACGGGCAGACACTGGCGGCGGACGAGGCGGACCATGTAGAGCTCGAGCAGCCTTGGTCTTCTTCGACTCGTAGTCTTCCTCTTTAGGCACAATAGCCACACCACCATCCTCGCCATCAGGTAGGTCCCACCCCTCCATCTCATCCGCGCGACGCTCGAGTGCTGCGTCTACCGCTACATTCGTACGCTGCTGGTTCACAGCTTCACGTTGAGATACAGCCTCCTCCTCGTCGTGGCTCATAGCGTCCTTGATGCAGATGGCCAGCATAGCCTGGAGTGTGTATACAGCGTCATTGCCTGCATTGTGCAGATGCCAGCCCATCATGTCGAAGTTCGAAAGGATTCTGCCGAGTGATGTTGGGTTGACGTCTTTGGTAAGAGACTTGAACATTGCAGCAGTGTCAAAGGTATCGGTCAGATTACCACGATTGAGGACAGAGAAGCCGATGCTGTGGAGAAACTGGACGTCCTGGCCGATATCGTGGCCCAGCAGAATGAGATTGCGCTTGTCTTCGCCGCTTGTAGAAGGGAGAAGAGTACCGTCGGCTGCTTTCTTGCTGAACGGCTCGTGGAAGCAGGAAGTAAGAGTCGAGGCCAGGTCCGCGCTGCTCACGAATTCGCTCTGGCCGAATTCGAAGCGATCTGGGCAGCCTTGCACGAATTCGTGGTTGCATAGATGCTTGTGCTCAATGACACGGAAGTGACGCCCGCGGATGTGTTTGTTCCACCCACAGTCTTGGCCAATAGCGCCTGGAGGTGTGTCGTGGAGGTCGCGAGTGTCGAGTGTGGCGATGCCAACTTCAGTGATAATCCTTGCCGATCGCTCGTATGCCTCAACGTCTACAGCAATAATGATGGCATCATCTTCAAACGGAAACGGCGCAAGCTTGGTCGGGTCGAAAGCAGTAATGTCGAGCTTCGCCATGCTGCGCTCTAGATCATCGACATCGTTCTTCTTTTTCAGTCCCAAGCGACGCTGAGCCCGTAAGACCTGCTTTCCCATATCTTGCCTGCTCTGGATTACCATTTGATGACTCGCTCTCTTCTTTGCCTTGGACTTCGCCTTGCCGAGCTCCGCAGTCGCCTCGAGCATGGCCCTGAACGCCTCAAGACTTCGATCGGCGGGCATCTTGCCCGACTTTGGTGTGATGGGTGCTTCGAGCATCCAAGTGTCGTACTGCTCACGAGACTGTAAGCGGCCTAGACAGCGAGGACGGAGCTCATCCGGAAGGCTGTCAAAGTCTAAAACCATGCCCTCCTCGCGTATGTCGTCTCCGAGCTTGATGTCTGCCTTTGGGAAGGCGTGGTTGACTTCGTCAAGTAGTGCTTGAAATTGGTACTGTGAGACGTATGTGTGTGGCTTTCCTGATAGCTCGTGGGCGCTGTGGATGTAGTACAGGTCCCACCCACGCTCGTAGATCTTGTTACTGTCCCACTGTGTTGTTGATCAGTGATGAAGCTCTCGCAGCGAAAGGAGTGGACGTACAAAAGCTGAGGCAAGAGCCTGCGAGTACTGTTTGGGGACGTATTTGTAACAGAACTTGGTGACCGCCACAAAAGGACTGAATGCGAAGCCGCGTGGGGCGGATTCACCCATGTGAGCCATAGATGTTGTGTCGAGTTCAGGCTGGTTGACCAGGGGCTGTGGCATGGCAGGACCGATGCTGTGATGAGCCGCATTAGCTTCGTTGGCAATCTGCACTCTACGTTTTCTCCATTCCCAAGCCTCTTCTTCGAACACTCTGTTGCGAGATATGATCACTTCAGGCGGAGGAAGACCATCGAGATCGTGCATAGCTGCACCATTGGTCTGTTTTTGTTCATGCTCGAGCGGCTCAGCTCTTGCGCTGATTGGAGGTAGATTGTGTTCCCCACCAATCAATGCTGTAAAGCGGTCCATAACTGTGTGGATGGAGACTGTGGATGAGGGCGTCTGAATGCAACTTGTAGCGGAAGTATTCGAGGGATATTCGTATCCCCGGCATATAAGGCTACGCAATGTGACTATGGCAACGTTCAGCACCTTGGCTTACTCAATCCTTGAGTGAGATGTCAATTGTGAAGGCAGCAGTGACGAGAGGTACCTGCAGTGATGCCTTAAACCGCCTGACGTGAACGGTCAAGATGCTTAATGGTGGTAGACGACTAACAGACTTACATACATAACAAAGGAATTCACGGATGTGCCACACGGACGTCTGTCGCCCCCGAAGAACGGCATGCCGCGTTCTTAGATGCCATAACTTCTGGAAGAAATTTCAGTGGGGTGGACGCGCGAGAGGTTGCTTGACTTTTCAACAAGAACTCGATTTCTGGACTTGCTTCTGTGAGGTAGTCTACGGGGACGCTATAGATGCGATACTTGAAGGCCGATCCTGGTCAACTCAATTTCATGGCTGCGCTAATTCCAGAGCGCGGGGAGGCGCCGAGACGGGCGGATCAACTCTCGTGATTTACACTGTAGCTCCACCAATACGTGCCTTGTCTGCTGTTGGCAATCAAGTAGTGCGATAAAGTACGTTTTTCGCTGGGAATACTGGATCCATTTTCTGAAGGGCATCTGCTCCCAATCTGGACGTGTGTGAGAGACATCCCAAGGGCCGTTCCCTGTTACACACCACTAGCGTCCGTTCCGTTGGCGATCCCCGTTCGTCCTGCATGAGATCAGCTGCTCCGTAAATCATCTTTGCGCCTTCAATCTGGTATTCTGCGAGTTCTCGACTTCCATTTCCAATCTTTTGTGCTTGTGAGCTGCTTGTGGAGGGTGCGGACATTAGATTGCCATTCCATGCCATCTGGAACTATCAATCTTGTCGAGGAGAAATCAGCTTACCTTCACGACAGGACACCGCCATGCATTAGCTTTCAGCCTTACCACTGAGTCCGGTGACCAAGAGAACCTCCTCAATAACTTCAACCGAACTGAAGGCATACGATTCTCTCACTTCTCAGTTGTCCACAGGAGCACTGGAGCTGGATATCGATACACCCGAAACCGCCAATTCACTGTAAGTATCGCACGAGGAAGGTATCGGGATAGGGCGACGCAAGCCTTCTTGCCCGCCTCACTGTCAAGGAGAGGCCGCCTACGCGTGCGTACCTCCAACTCCTGGTCTTGTTCGCCACACAACTTGTCTCTTGCTTCTTCGCTGGCTATGCACCCATAAATTTGACACAAGATATCGCTGGTCACTACGTTCGAGCTCGGCCAAACAGCTGAGCGTCTTCAGCGGCTTTCGGCATAGACAGCGCGCTTGTGCTTCCAGGGGCGGTCGTGTGTGCCACCGCTGCTCTTGCAAGATCCAATTCGCGAGCCCGTGTTCTTACATCTCCTCGACTTCATTGCCACATTACATACCGTGCGAACAAGGACTGGCAATCTAGACTGTACTCGGAGTGCCTTATCAGACGACACCAGTCAAGGACACGCAGAATCGCCATGGAGCAGCTCAATATGCCGCCCGGCGGCATAATGCCGAACATAAACACAATGCAGCGAGCGCAGCCTACAAATGAGCACCAGCAAGTGTATGCTGTCATTGCGAAGCAGCTGACGGAAGGAAAGACCGCACTCGGTCAAGGATGGCAGTCCACATTCGACATGGGTCAGCGTGCGGGTATGACTATGCAAGTGTAAGCCATCACGAAATGCCTCTCATATTAGATGTGTTGCTGGAAATATACTGACCGGTGTCGGCTTTAGTGTGAGCGCCTTACGTCTCCTTGGTAATGGGTGGAAGCAATGCCTTGAAGTCGCACTTTTGTTTGAGTCACGCACCATTCAACAAACTCAGAGCAAGGAAGAGTACTTCCAACATATGCAAGGTAAGCTTCGAGACATTCAGCAGAAGCGACAGGAAGGTATACAGAACGGTCAACTCAGCCTGCAAATGCCGAACGGCAATGGCATGAACAGCATGCCGAACAACTCCATGGCCGGTATGAATCTACCCAATAGTGGCATGGGGATGGCGAACGGTCAGGTGAGCATGAACGGCAACCCACAGAACCCGGCTATGCTGGCACATCTGCAGCGTCAGATGCAACCCGCATCTCTTCAGCAGCCGCAGCAAGGCAACATTGACCCTGCTGCCCTGCAGAATTCCGGAATGCCGACCCAGATGCCGAACATGAACGCTGGCAACATGCAGCAGATGAATGGCAATCTTGATTCTCGCATGCAGCTCCAACAAGTGGATCCTCAGGAATTGTCTAAAGTGGCTCAGCAGTTGAAGAATAATATGCCTGAGGATCAGCAGAACAGCATTCGCCAGTCACTCTTGGCCCGCATGTCAGAACCTGAACGCCAGAACTTTGCTGCCAGAGGCCAAGACCCTTTGACGCGGCTGCTTCTTTCGCGCGCGAGAGAGATCATCACCCGCAGAAGACAAGGTCAGCAGCAGCAACTCGGTGGTTTGCAGACAAATGGAGGCACCTCGCAGCTGTCAGGGGCACAGGCTGGCGGGGCCAATATCGACTTCTCCAGTATTCTGGGCCAGCAGGCCAACGCACTGAAGTTGCAGGAGTCTGGTGAGCAAGTTGTGCCAGCAAGCAACAACAACAACTTCAGCATGGGAGGTCTTCCGCAGAACGTCAATCCGCAGATGCTGGGCACCCAGAATAACAACCCACAGCAAGACCAGATGCAGCGTATGTTACTGCAGCAGCAACAACAGCAGCGGATGCAACAGCAAAATCTGCTCGCACAAAGGCAGGCGTTACAGCAGCAACAGCAGCTCCGTGGCCAGCCCGGCGGACTGAATGCTCCAAACGTACTCAACGGCGGTCCGGCTGGCCAGCTCAACAGTCCTGCCATGTCAATGTTGAACAGACCAATGGTGCCTCCTGGTCAGAATGGACCTGGTACACCTCAGCAAAACAGGGTACAACAGACTCCTCAGACGCCTGCGAACTCGGCCACACAATTGATGCAGCATCATCAGCAGATGATGAACCAGAACAGCGCAGGTGTGCAACAACCTAATCAAGGCCCACAGGTAATGAATCAGCAGCGCTTGGATTCTATCAAACAGTTCGTGGCACGTCCTGAAATCACTACTCGGATGCGTACTATGTCGGAGGCCCAGCGCGCAGAGTTCATGCGAGCATTGACATCTGGGCAAGGACCGAAGCAAGCCTTCGAAGCAGTGGCACGACTCGGTCAACAGTCTGGCCTACCACCGAATATGAGCTTGAATGCAGTTCCACCAAATCAACTCTCGGGTTTGAACGGCGTTCCACCAGCTATGACTTCCGCTGTACCGCAATTCAACTCGCAGCCCCCTCCAAACCAGCAGCCTGCACAATTCGACCCCGTGCAAATGCAACGCCTGCAGAAAAACCAGGAGTTCAGGCTACAAGCCATGAGTCTCCGTCCATATCCACCACAGATACTACCACAGTTAGGCATTAAAGATCTTGTGCCGGATAATCTGAAGACCTGGGGCTCGCTGAAGCACCATCTTGGGCTCAATAGGAACTCGTTGCCGCCTGGGACGTTGGAGAAGGTACAGCATCTCCAGGACCAGTGGTTTCAAGCACATCCGGAGGAGCTCAATGAAGGCGGCAAGCAGCTTCGTGCGAACATGGCAAGGCTGCAAGCACAACAGGCTCAGCAAGGCAATCGTCAGCAGCCTGGTGCTACTATCAATGGCCTGTCGAACATGCAGATGCCCAATGGACAGGCGCCACAAGCTCAGATGGTACCGCCGACCGCTCCGATGCAGTCTGTGGAACAGGGCAATGCGAATACTGGCCAGATGCAGCTGAATCAAGCACAGATGAACAGAGCAGCACCGAACGTCCCGATGCCTAATGCCGCCGACTTAGTTGAAATCAGGCAGCGCAACCCTAGCACGGCAAATATGTCAGACGAGCAGATTCGCGGCGCCTTGATTCAGAAGCGGCGCGAGGCGCACGCCAGAATGCTCACCCAGCAGCAGCAGCAACAGCAGCAGGAGGCAATCAGAAATGCACAACTGAAGCGTGCTCAACAGCAGAACCAGAACGGGGCTAACCAGCAGGGTTCGCGAGGTCAGCAACAGCCACCACGACCTCAACAGCCAACTCAAGCGACGCCAATGCCTGGTCAGAAACGGCCACAACAGCAGGGTAGCGACAGCGACGATATCATGGAAATTCCAAACCCAAACGCATCCGCCAACAGGCAGGCTCAGATGCCGCAAGCTGCGACAGCGAAGGTCAGTCAAGCACAGCAGAAGAAGCCGCAAGCACAGACAGCTGGGATGTCGCAGATGCAGATCGAGCAGTACAACAACATGTCTCCCGAGCAGCAGAGAAATGTTATGCAGGAGATCAAGAATCGGCAACAGGCGGAAGCGTTGAAAAGAGCGCAGATGGGGCTATCCACGCCGCAGCAGTCTAGCTCTGCCGGTACCGGACCACAGCAACAGCCTGGCCCTCAGACTTCAGGAACAGCGTCAAATAACATGAGTATGCTACAGCAGAAGCTGAAGAACATGATGACTGAAGTAGCGAGGACCAATCCCAAAGGTCCTCCTATTCCAGTTGATGCCCAGACTCTCGAACAAGCTCAGGAGGTCCTTAGGCGACTGTGGATGCCTGTAGCTAAGATGGAGACAACCTATGTCGTCGCCGCGCAGCTACCGGGGTTTGAGAAGAAACTGATGGGTGTCATGAGGGCCAGACTGTTGGTCAATCAAAATGCCAAGGACGCCTCGGGTGCTATTAGGGATTACTTGAGCTTGAGTCTGCACGACTTGAAACAGCTGGAGCTCATGCTGCAGGTGTACTTCCGCGAGTTGAAGGCAACAAAAGACCGAATGGACGAGCAGAAGGCGCAGGCTGAGGCAAGGCAGGCTCAGGCTCAGCAACCACAACCAGGACTTCAGCGTCAACCGTCGTTCACGGGCAAGCAGCAACAGCAACAGGCAACTGCCATGGGTCAGAGCGCCTCGCAGCAGGGGCATATCAGGAAGGCGTCCTCGAACTCGAAAGCACCGCCCGCGCCGATAGAGAACAAGAGTTTCGACTGGCCTGGCTCGGATCCGAGTCCGCATGGTGTGCCGAAGTACGATGGCCGTAGTGAGTTGACGCCCGACAAACTCAAATTCCCTCCTAGCAAGAAGCGCAGGACTGGCCAGCCAGATAGCCAGGAGTCGACGCCTGCTGGGCAAGCCGGAACTCCGAGTGGTATGATGGCGAGTCCCAGCAATGGGCCCAAGACCTCGCAGACCCCGGAGCAGATGCGAAAGGCGCAACCTGTGCCTGTCAAGACCGAGCAAGAGAGCGAATCGCGGGCCAAGGGCTGGAGGTGCAAGGATGTGCTGTGCGAAGCCAATGCCAAAGGTTTCGAGACGGAGGAACTGTTGCGAAAGCACGATGAGGACGAGCATAGTCCTGTCAAGGATCCGTTGGCTTTCATGCTGGAGAATGCGGCGAGCGCGCTTGGGGTTGATCAGGAAGGTGTGCCGTTGGCTGTCCGACCCAAGCGTGAGACGAAGATTGCTACCAAGCCTTTGGCTGGTGCGAGCATGAAGCGTGATGTGAGCAATACTCCGATGATCAAGCAGGAAATCGGTACGCCGCAAGCTGGCAGTTCAAGCGTCAAGGCGCAAGGTAAAGCTTCTGAAGTCGCGGCGTCTGTCAAGGAAAAGACTTTGCGAGAAGTCATCGAAGCGAAGATGGGCTTCGAGCCGCCTCCTCAGCAGGCATCCGAGACTCTGTCCGATGCAAACACCACCACCGAAGATGACGACGACTTCGTCTCCCAACTCCTCCCCTCAGCCTTCAACAGCGACCAAACCTCCGGCATAGAATCCTGGACCGACCTAACCCTCACCGACTTCGACCCCGTAGACCTAGATAACATTGACTGGGGTCTCCGCCGCACCCTCTCGTCGCACAGCTCCTCCCCGGAACTAACGCCTCCGAGTAGCGAGTTGAGTAGCAAGGAGAGCGAGCTTTCGCCGTTGGAGAGGCTGAGGATCAATTTCGAGTATGATTATTGGGGGACGGGGGTGCAGGGGCATGTGCCGGAGGGGTTGGCGAGGATGGCTGAGGGGTTGGCGATTGGGGACGATAGGGACAGGGAGATGGGTGAGGCGGGGGATGGGGATGAGGATGGTGGTGCGGGTGGGGATGAGAAGAAGGTGGAGGAAATGGTTGATGAATTTGATTGGTCTGGAGATCTGGTGGCCGAGAGTACGGATTGGGAGGTTCTTTTTGGGAGTCAGTGATTTAGCGTATTTTCACGGCCACGGGTATTTGATCGGATGACAAGGCGTCGATGTTGGGGTTGTCCCTCGTGGGTTGCTAGTTGGATGATGGGCTCAGAGGCGCGCTGCTGCTTCAGCGTAGAACTTTCTCTTGCGGGGATTGAGGTTTGGTGTAGATACCACTTTTGATTTCAATTCACGGCCGGTCTCGTTTCTCTGTATATCGCGCATGACCATTCTCTGCTATCTAGCTCTATACTGCTGGCTTCAGTCTCCCAACCACAGGCTTGCTCACATACCCAGTCACAACTCCGCGAGAATGTTTTCCGCGGGACACCCTGGATCCTTCTGTGGCTCGATAGTGGGCACCAGGAATCATGAGAGTCTTCGTATTTGCCAGTGTCTCTACGACGTAGTTTGTACTTGAAGTGATGCCATGCTGTCTGTGCGAATGACCGGCGGAAGTTGGCTGTGGGAAAGTCGTCTGGCATACGCGTGACGCTGTCATAGTCCCGTGTACACTCTCACGCCTTCCACTTCCCATTAATCTCCTCCTTACTAAACTTCCTGACCTTCGTCTTCAATATCGCCTCCACCTCCCCCACCGTCATCCCAGCCTGCTCCTCACTAATCGGCACAAAGCGTCTAGCTATATAACTGTAATCTTTACTCAGAAGCTTGATCGTAAGCATGATATAATCTATATCGTGGAAAACCAGGGCTCGGCCTTGACTATAGGCTGTTTTGGAGGCGAGGAAGTGGGAGGGTTGGTCCCGCCAGTGTCGCAAGGGGTTGAGGTGGTGGGCGGTGTGGTAGCCGTCGTTGAAGGAGTGGCGGTTTGACTGCAGATGCGTTAGTGGGTCGGAATGATCTTTTGTAGCGATGGGTATGAGCATGCTTACGGCGACGTCGATAAGGGTAATACTACTCCTGAAATCACTATCCGGTTCGATTTCATCCACGAGGGCGTGTTGGCCCCAGTTGCCGACCATTAGGCCCACGCGGAGGAGGGCGAAGGGGATTAGGAAGACGAAGGTCGAGGCGTGGGGGCTGAGGTAGTAGGTCATGGTGAAGTAGAAGGCGTAGCTTATTACTTCGGAGAGGAAGGCGCGGAGGGCGAGACCAGGTTTTTTTTTGCGGAGGAAGTACAAAGGTAAATCGGCCCAGATGAGGAGGAAGAAGCGGAAGAAGTAGTGGGCGAAGTGCCAGGGGTCGTCGCGTTGGTAGCGGACGGTTGAGGAGAGGTCGTTGGGTCCTATACTGCAGGTCAGTATGCCTAGCGGGCTGTCAAAAGCCAGAGAATATGAAGAGATGGCTTACCATTCCCTTCGACATGATGATGCTTGACGTGGTGGTAGAAATACGAGTCCCATGTATGTCCCATCAACGGCTCAAGCACATAGGGAAACGCCCAGTCCAACCATCTACAAACCAGACTATCCTTGCGCAAGATCCCGTTGTTGTGGATATGGTTATGCAGCATTAGGGTGAAAGGGCCGGCACACCACATGGTAAAGACTGTATGCAGGACGCCATGGATCCAGGTGAAGTTTCCGGGGATGAAGAGGTAGATTGCCGAGGGCAGGATGGTGGTGGTGTACAATAGGATGTGGGAGAGGAAGACGACGTCGGTTGGGTGGCGGAGGATGGTGGTGGCGAGGTGGGTGTAGGGCCGGATTATGTACTTGTTTAGGCTCGGGTGGATGTCGGTGGCGTTCCAGATCGTGAAGATGGTGGGCTCGAAGGATGGATTGGTGGGGCCGTTGAAGGATTTCAGGATGGTGAGGTCGGTATCGTCCCGGGTTTTGGAGGTTGTGTAGCCGCCATTAGGTGCGGGTTGCGTAACTTCCTTCTCTGGCTTGGATTGTGGCGTGAATGTCTTGGCTTGCTTCGTCTCCTCTGTGATTGAGCTAGTCTTTCTCCGATGGATGTCCTGGAACAGATTCTCCAAGACTATCTGATCCGGTCTCGTCAATGCAGGGTCGATATTGGTAACGAATGACATGGTTGAGATTGTTTCTTGATCGTATATCGATTGCTTTGGTTGCGGTGTAACTCCTGTTCAATGGTTAGAAACGCACGGTCCTCCAGAATCTAGACCCTGTCGGAATCGGGGTATCTCACATGCACTCGCATAAATTGTTTCATGAACATATCATATTCAAGGCCACGTCAAGCATGGCGGCGACCTTCCCTTACACCCACTACTCATGCCCCTGCTCTGATCTCGCCTCCTCCACCCCAATCATCACACCCGCACGACGTACCTCGACAGCACCCAGCAACAACACCACAGACGAAGACACGACCTTCAATTCCCACGACCCACGCGCCGAATACGCCCTCTACCCCCTCGACCACCTGCTCTTCTGCGACGAATGCGACGCAATTCGCTGCCCCATATGCTATGGCGAGGAGATCATCAACTGGTACTGTCCGCAGTGCCTGTTCGAGGTGCCGAGTAGTACGGTGAAGGCGGATGGAAATAGGTAGGCGGGTGAGCTTGGAACAGCACATCTGGCCAGCTTGAGGATTGGCTGACGTGTGTGGATGTAGATGCGCGAGGAACTGTTGCAATTGCCCAGTATGCACGGCCCTCTTGGCTGTAGCTGTCATGCCGCAGGAGAAGAATGGCAGTGAGAGGTTGAAACCCAGTGATGCTGCTGGGGAGGAAGCATATCTTTTGCAATGTCAGTATTGTGATTGGAGCTCGCTGGACATCGGCGTGCAGTTCAGCAAGTCCACGAAGATTACAGAGCAACTGGCCAAGCAGAGGAAGAGCCGCATCACGTCCCGAACGGACAGCGGAGGCGATGTGACGAAGAAGACCTACACGCAGCGCTATGGCCGGGAGGATGCTTTCGACAAGCTCCTCACATTCTACAAAGCACAGCTTAGTGAGGCGGGAGATCCTCAGGCTGCTTATGGCAGTAGTCCATATGGGTCGCCTGCTAATCTGGCTCGGATTATGAGTATCTATGGTGGGCTGTCTGTCAATGCGCTGAAGAAGAGTCGGGAGAAGCCGCAGCCGATGAGGGAGGCTGGAGGGGAGAGTGAAGGCGCCGTCACATATGGCCAGGACGACAAGTTGGCCGAGGACGCATTGCTGCAGCAGATCGAGGGACTCTCTTGGGAGGATACTACAGCGCCGGAGCAGCGATTGTCATCCGCCCACAACAATAATGCACGACATCTGGACGATCTCTGGCCAGCCGCGACACCACTACGAACGCGAAAAGGAAGACGCTGCAGAACATGCCGCCAATTCCTCTCGCGTCCAGACCCAAAAGTCAACAACCTCCGCTACAAGATCCGCTTACTGGCACAAAACCACGTCCCCCGCCTCTCCATCAAACCACTCCATGCGCCTTCCCCACTACTATCCCACCCTTCCTTCCGTCTAAGGCCTACAGACGTGGCTGAACAACCTACGTTACGGCCGCATACCGCATACCAATACATCCTTACCGTCCGCAATCCGATCTTCGAGACTGTGAATATCACCCTCGCGACACCAACAACGACACCGGGTCGAGTGGCCTCGCGTGTCACGATTCTGTGTCCTACTTTTACGGTGGGGCCGGCGGGTGATGTTTGGGATGAGGCTCTTTCTACTAGCACCACTTCCTCGTCGTTTTCCACAACCCGGAACGACGGCGGAAGACAGGCAGCTATGGCGTCATTGACGGGTAGGAATAACGCAGGCATATCAGTCGCCGATGAAGCAGGCGATCGCCAGCCCGAAGCAGGGAAAGTGTGGGAGAGGTCTCGGAGTTCGACTTCCGTTGTTGTGGAGGTTGTCGCCGGGTCTCTCACAGCGGGGTCTAGTATTGTTCCCAAAACTGAGGCGGAGATGGAGAGGGAGAGGCTGGAGGAGGGTGATGAGGTGTTGGAGGTTCCGGTGTTTGTTCGGGCGGAGTGGGAGGTCGTGGAGGAAAAGGAGGGTGGTGGTGAGGTTCTTGGGGTTGAGAAGAGGGCTGGTAGGAGTGTTGTTAGTGGTGGTGGTGGTGGTGGCGGGGAGAAGGTGAAGAAGGATGTGGGGTTTTGGTGTGTTCTCGGTCTTGGGCGGATCGTCGAGGGTGGAGTGTGATAAGTTAGAGAGAGTTGACTAGTTTTCTCGCTCGCCATGGGGCTGGCTGAAGGAAGCCGGCATGCTGTCTGTACATACGCCGTGATATAGGCTCCGGGTTGCTTGTCACAGGCGTTTGCCATGTGACCTGCTCCTCCCTGAAGCATCTTGATAGCCAGTTTTTCTCGTTGGCACATTCATGCATATGTGCGCACGGACCCATCTCGCTGTCTCTTCACCTCGTTCACACCGCACATGATTTGTCACTCCAGCCACATACACACAGATAATGGGAGGAATAGAGTCGCTTTGGTGGCGTTGACCTCAAAGTCAGCTGTCTGAACGAAATCCGACAAGATACACCCAGGCACGACAGGAAAGGAAATCCCGATTGTCTCATCCCAGGATGCAGGACCGCCACCGTGTCCCCGGTCCACCGGAGAGTATCTTCTACATCCCCAACTTCATCACGAAAGCAGAAGAAGCCAAGATTTTGGAAAGCATCCCGCCGAATAAATGGATCGCGCTCTCCCATCGTCGCCTCCAGGCCTGGCCTGCCCGGCTCACGGCAACTAACACTCTCATCACCTCCTCCTCTGCATCATCGTTACCGTCTTGGCTTCAGGACCCAGTGGTGAGTAGGATTCAGGCTCTGGGAGTTATTCAGGGTTCGACGCATGGGGATGTGAATCATTGTCTTATTAACGAGTACCTTCCCGGTCAGGGGATTATGCCGCATGAGGATGGGGGGGCGTATTGGCCTGTTGTTGCGACGGTTAGTTTGGGGGCCAGTGTGGTGTTGCACGTTACTGCTAAGATTGCTTCTGGGCACATGGCGGAGGGTGAGGGTGAGAGTCGTAAGGAGGGTGAGGGTGTTGAGGAGGAAAGTAGAAATGAAGGGAGTTGGCGGATCCTGCAGGAACCCCGGTCTTTGCTCGTGACGTTCGGGGCTGCTTATACGGAGACGTTACATGGGATTGCGGAGGTGGAGGAGGATGTGGGGTTGCGGGAGGGGACGGTGGCGAATTGGAATCTATTGGGGGATCGGGAGGGGATTGTGAAGGCTGGTGGGAGGAATGTGAGGGGGACGAGGGTTAGTTTGACTTTAAGGGATGTGAGGAAGGTCTCGAAGCTGGGTGGGAAGTTGTTTGGGAAGGGCAGGAGTTGAGGAAATGCTGTGGCTGTTGCAGCGAGTGGAATTTTCGACCGTCTGGCTGCCGGGATTGTGATTCTACTGGACTGGACTGTGGTACTTAGTGACTGCGAGGACGAGGCCGAAGAGGATGATAAATGGAATGGATTGCTTCCGTGAATATGGCAGAGGTAGAGAACGGAACTTGAAGCACACACACTATATCTCAGCAAGCCTCTCGAGAAACATCAAGCAACAGTCCGTCACATTCGCGACACTCATATTCTGGCTGTCCCGAGATCTGGAATGGTGTCGCATCGACTTGCTTGTCTGGACTGCATAGACTATCAGCATATCGAGGAAGTCATCTCCAGTGATCCTGACCAGATCTGAGAGCTACATGGGCACGAGGTCGTGTCTTCTGAAGCACATCATTGATACGACGGCAGCGCAAGGGTCATGGGAATCACTACGTCTAAGCAGGAAGCGGAAGAGGAGGACGTCCGGAGCACCACAACTCCTGCGCAGCTGCCTACCACCCATGATCAAGCCGAACAGGTGATATTACATCGCTCTTCAGTTGCAAGGGATGAAACTGCTGGGCTGACTGCTCCCACTCTGCCACCCGCCACCGTCCCAAGAAAGCGTCCAGTCCAACGACTGGACCTCTCACCAGATCAGATAGGCAGGAAGAAAGCGAGGGCTGCAGTGCATACAGAGCCGGCACGAACACCCCAACAACAGCAGCACGACGATGCAGAATTTCCCCCAGCGCCTCTGCGCAAGCACCGCTTGTCTCCCACCACAAGCCTAACAGACCTCGATACACCAGTCAAGAAAAAAGTGAAATACCCACCTGCAGAAGTGTCCCAAGGCCCGTCGACATCAGCTCCGAAGATAGCAGAGCCGTTGCCGGTACACGACCGCCATCAAGAGTACGCAGTGCTGCAAGCCCAGACAGACGGGATCAAACGACGTTGCCAAAGCCGGCAGTATCCAAGTCTCAGTCGAGATCGGAACGCTTATGTATATGTTTGTGTCTGGCTGCCCTACTCGCCACACGACGATGACAAGGAGACTGCACTAGACAGACTCCTACCCTTCCCGTGCAATGGCATAGGTGCCTGGCCAGATTCCCACCATATCCCCGGTGCTGTACGACAGCCTGTGGATCGAGCTGAGGAGTTTCCGCTAGCTGGTGGGACGAGGCGGGGTTTCGTCAGGCGTAGGGGGGGAAGAGGAGTGGGGGTGTATGCTGGGGCCTGGTGCTGATGCGGGGAAGCGCGGAAAAAGTACGGGGGAGCGTGAGGTCTCATCGAAAGGGATGAGATTACTGGGATTGACGGCGAGGTTCTAACGAAGTCAGAGGCGCCGCTACTGAGAAGGGCAGTTGTGCGGAAGTGAGGGCTTGTGCGATCGCTCGCCTTCGTTGTTGAATTTCAATATAGTCCTACATCGCAGATAAGTAACGCAATCTAATTCCCTTACACCAACTTTTCCCAAATGCTCACGAGCCAGGGTCGGCGAGCTGGAATCTGGACTGCCATACCTATCCAATACGCCAAACCCCCCCAAGACCAAAAACAATGCAGAACACAGCCCGAACCCTCTTCAATCATCCCACTCCTCATTCAACTCATCTATAAGTCGGTTCTCCGCATCGCTATCGCCCCTCCCTCTCCCGTTCCCCCCACCGCGGCCCAGACCGCCATTCACACGCGTGTAGCCTCTTCGGGACGGGAAGAGGCGGGTACAAGAAGATGTGAGGATGATGAAGATATCCTACATCACCAAGTGTCAGTACCGAAAGGCCCGTCAATCGTGGAAGAGAAAAGTCGCGCGGGCGATTTCTTACCTTGAGAAACCCCCCCACAGCCGCCCAAAGCCCATAATTAGGCAACTGCTGCCACCCCCTCTGATGCAGCACCATACGACTGTACACGCACCCTCCAACCAAGTACACGAGCACGGCTATCAGCACTATCACCCCGAAAACTCCCGAGGGGGAAAGTGTCTGCTTCGCCGTCTCGATCCCGCTGCAAGACGCGGAACTCCGGGCTTCGAAGACGTAGGTGCATTCGTCTGGCGAGGCGGAGATGAAGGAGAGGGTGAGGAGGGGGGAGAGGGGGTCGCGGTCGCAGAGGAAGGAGATGATGGTTGATTTGCGCTGGATCGATGCACCGGCGCCTTTCTTTGGCGAGTCCTCGTCGTCGTTGTCGTGGGAGGGTTTGCTGGCGCCTTTTTTCGGTGGCTTCTTCTTCTTCTTGTTGTCGTCGTCTTCGTCTTCGTCGTCATCATCATCGTCGTCATCGTCGCCGCCGATGATTTCCCTCCTGCCTAGATCTTCAATCACATGCTCCCTCTTGCCAACATCCCGTCCACAGGGCGAACCATCGGTATAATTCATCACCAGCTTCCTGCCCCTGAAAATCGGCCGGTCGTTCATCTGACCCAAGCTGTAGATCTTGCCGCCTTGCTCATAATAAGCTCCCACATCCCCCCAACCCGCCTTCTCCACGCCCACCACCCCTCCCTTATCACTCAGATCCTCAATCACGCTCCCGCAGAAGTTCATGGTGAAGTTGTAGCCTAGATCATAGCCCGAGGCATTCCAGGAGTTGGAGCGCGGGTGCTTGGCTTTGCTGTCTTCGGGATGTTGGAGGTGCAGGGGGTTGAGGTCGAAGAAGGCGTGGGTGTTGGGGGAGCGGATGGTGCAGGCTGCGGCGCTGGTGGTGACGTGCGCCGATTTGGTGGCTGTTGCTGAGGGGGAGGAGGAGGATGATGGGTGGGAGGCGGAGAGGGCGGGAGTCAGGGTGAGGTAGAAGGCGAGGGAGTGGTAGAGTAGGTTCATCATTGCTGCTGGCGCTACGATGATCTCGTGATGATGCGATGGTGGGATATGCACCGATCAACGGCGCGGATTGGTGTAGAGGATGTACTGCGACAATTGCACGTTGTCGTCAGTTTGTCCCTTTCCCGAGACATGACATGGGCTTAGTCATCTACAATTTTCCCGACTAACAAAAGCACTTTCACATGCACAACTCCTCCGCTTCCAGTCGCTACTCCTATACGGTGCAATACGGCCAACATGTCAAACAAACGCCCCCGCGACGAACCGCACACCCACCCCTCCCGCCTTGCCCTCGTCCCCCCCGACTCCAACCAACAACGCCCCACCAAACGCCCGCGCAAAGAAAAACCCGCCCATATAAAAGGCGCCTCGTTCAAAAAAGCCCACACGGTCCACGACCTGAAAGCACGAATCCGCAGTCTACGCCGAGGACTCGAACATAACGATGCGCTCCCCGCCACGATCCGGGAGGAGAAGGAGCGGGCGCTGAGGAGTGCTGAGACGGAATTGGGGGAGACGGAACGCAGGAAGAGAAGGAGCGAGGTTATTGGACGGTGGCATAAGGTGAGGTTTTTTGAGCGGCAGAGGGCGGGGAAGAGGGTGAAGTTTTTGAGGAAGAGGGTGCAGGAGGTAGCTGAGGCGGAGCGGGGTGGGGGAGGAGAGGCGAGGGGGGTGCTGGAGAGGTTGTTGGGGGAGGCGGAGGTGGATGTTATGTATGCTGTTTATTTTCCGTTGGAGAGGGAGTATGTGCCGCTTTTTCCACGGAAGAAGAAGATGGATGGGGATAGGGATGAGACTGCGGGAGGTAGTCCGGAGGCTGATGGCGAGGCGAAGGAAGGGTTTACAAGGCTAGGTGATCGGGAGATGTGGGAGCGTGTGCGACAATGCGTGGTTGACGGTACACTTGAGGCTCTGCGCGAGGGCAAGCTGGATCAGGCCGAAGACGTCGCGGATTCACGGGTGGTGGAGAGGCTGGAGATTCAGAAGAAGAAGAACAGGAAGGATGGAGCGAAGGATGCGGTGCCCAAGAAGACGAAATCGCAACAGAAGGCCCTGGCGAAGGCGGAGTTGGTGGTGGGTAATAGACGGGAACGGAGGAAAGCTGCGGCGGCGGCTGCACCGCTCGAGAGCGATGATGGTAGTGATGCTGGGTTCTTTGACGAGGGGTGAATGTTTGCTTCATGGAGTGTTCGACAAAATTGCGCTATCAAGGACAGAAACACTTCGCCTTCAGCTCGGCAGCAGGAATGAGCTGCCTCCTACGACTCTTGATAAGTCGATCATGCAGTTCTTTGATGATGGATCATACGTGCAAACCACGAGGGTCGGATGACGCCTCATGCTGGCACCACAATCGCGACTCATCATCGATTAAATCAGCAGTCGGGACTAGATGCTATCATTGACCTTATCGGCGGGCCAGAAGTCCATTTCTGGAGCAATGGCATGGCTTGCAGACGATGCGTAGTGCGATTACGAGTCTTTCGCAGGTCTACCGGACGTGGTCGCACGGCGGAGATTGGAAGGCAGAAGACGCATAGGGATCATACCATGTACGACTTCATGTTCAGCAAGATTCCGGAAATTAGCCCATGTAGAGGCGCTTGCGCTCCTCCTCGAAGACTCGTGGAATCTTGCTGCGCTTTCCCTCGAATTCGATGCTGGTCTAGCGGAAGTTCAGTCCTGACGTGACGGCAGCTTTCTCTTCCCACCGTTTCATGTAGATATATCACGACTCTACAGTAAGCATAAGCAGATCAGATGATCTGTTCGGGTGAGTTATAACGGCCGGACCCATCTGCTGTCATTGCAAATGTGCGCACAGACCGTGTCAAGCGAGATTTGCCTTTTGGCGGGGCTCGGAAGCACTATTGGAAATGCAGAGAGCGTTTGGACCTGCAGGACTAGTTTGAGCCAAGCGGGTTTTTTGAAGTGCAACTCGTGGCGAGGGGGGTGCGATGGGAATTAGGAATAGATCGTGTTGTTTCTGTCGCGTTTGATGGAATAGTAATTAGTAATGATAGTCGCGACAAGCTATACCAAACAACACGTGCATGCATGTATGAAGACATTGGCGTTGCCTGTTGAGATCCCGGCCTTTGCCCATCAATTCATTCTACACACGAAGTCTCAATCTCCAACCTGCAATCGTTCAATCTATAGTGGAGTCGAGCAAGAATCCCATCAACCAATCAAAACCCTCACGACCTCCACCTCGGGAGGCAGGCCGGCTTGGATTCGTTAGCTGTGGCGTGGGAAAGGCAAAGTGCAAAGGCGGTACCCTATTCTGATCATAGCCTTTGCCCCCGATTCAAACCTTCGCCATTGCGAGCAGTCGACCGTTGTATGAAACACTTGCGCTTGAGTTGGTCGAGTTGACAACTGCAGCCAGCACCTTCGATCGCTGTGGGCTTTCTTTCGCCACCGAGTGGCAGCAGTAGCAGCGATAGGACGGAGGGGATCACCCACTGACAACAGGATATTCGTCTGGCCACCGTTCGCTTTTACCCGGCTTTTTCGCGTCGTGTCGTCGTACCTGGCAGGAAAGGCGCAGCAGTACAGTAGCAGCAACTTGTCTTGCCTTTCACTCGCTCGGCACAACGTTTCGGGTCTCTGGCACAGCAGCCTTCTTGCACTCTACGTCGCATCACAACGCATTATTGTTTCATCCATTTCACCACTGCACATTACTTTCTCTCGACATCTCGACTGGTTGGGACATAGAGTCATCAGCGGCAACTAATCGACCGGCACGCTGTCGCAATAATTCGGCAATACTCACGTGGTCGGACTCGCAAGGTCGGGTTCGGCGTCCACTCGTTTTCGCCCTCCTTCGACCTTACGCATATCAGCCTTGTTGCGGGATCACGACTGTAGACCACGCGGATTTCATCCTCATATATCTACACTTCACTCGACATCGAACGCATACAAGGGCCTCGCAATATCTCTCGACTAGCCGGGACGCCAACCGGTACTAGGCAGCCGGACAGAGAAGTTGGCAGAGCATCAAGGGGCCAGCACATGGACGACAGTATGGCGCCGCCGCAGAAACGGAGAAAGGTGGTTGAGACGGCAGACTTTGGAGATGTCGTGTATGCAGATGAGGTCTCTGCCGGCACACATTCGCACGTAGTCGAGCACATCTCACCGATACAATGGCATTCGGCCCCTACACGACAGGTGCCGCAGCATATCGAGGAGGTGCATTTGCAAATACATAACCAGGCTATTGGGGCGGTGGACAGTTATGCTGAGTTGCGGAAGCGTCAGGCAGCAGGCACAGGATCGTCATCATTGGAGCAGGTTTTGAGTGTCACAGTCGCGGCGGCTGTTGCGATTGATGGGAGCACGACCGCCGTCTCTACCACCACATCCTCAATCTCTGGCCAGGCCACTTTCTCCAGTACGGCTACGATCTCGACGGTGGTGAGTACAGCCGCCTTGAGTATCAGCCCGAGCGCTGTCATCTCCTCCAGCGCGAGCACTTCTGTTGGGAGCTCGGCCATCTCTTCTTCGTCGGAAAACAGTACGCAGTCCTCTACAAGTTCGGGCACCGGGATATCATCCACCAGCTCCGCGAACACTTCGGACGGTCTCATAGGTCTCTCACCTGCTGCAGCGAGTGGTACAGTCAGTGGTACTTCTACCAATTCCACCTCTGCTACAACGACTAGATCTGGGTCTTTGACGACGGGACTGAGCGCGACTGGTTCGACTTCGCAGAACCTCACTACGTCGGAATATCTGTTCCTCTCAGACGGCAAGACTTTTACTACCTCGACTACTATCAACCTCGCCAGCTCGGCATCACGAACTGCTTCAAGTGACGAATCATCCACGACAGACTCATCGTCGACCTCATCACTGACTCTAGGCGCGGCATTCTACCTTTCTACTCTCGAGGATGGCACTCTGGTCACGATCTCACGTTCCAACGAAGCTTATGCGACGACGTTTGCGAATGGTTTTCAGACCACCATCCCAGCCGCCAGCGGTAGCTACCTCACCACGACAGGCAGTGATGGATCCGCCTTGACATCCTACCAATCACCGAGCCCCACGAGCACAAATTTGAACGGACAAAGCGTTACTAGCGCACCAGTAGGCGTCGGAGCTGGCGTCAACGGCCAAAGCACGCAGACGTCCGCATCATCAAGCAGTACCAGTAGTGCCGCCAGCTCGAACGACAACAGCAACAACAATAATAACAACACCGCACCCCCCGGCACCATAGCAGGCGGCGTCGTAGGCGGCGCGGCAGGCCTCGCCGTAATCCTCCTAATCGCCATGCTCTTCCTCCGCTGGTCCCGCGGAAAAGCCCAAGGCGGCCACCAGGCTCTGCCCGCCAACACCGGCGTTTCACCCACCAACGACCAAGTATCTTCAGTATCTCGTGGACCGGGCATGGCGGAGCGTGCAGGCCTGATGCCGGTTTTCGGCGCCGTGCCGGCACTGTTTCGACATCAGAACCGGAGTCAGGATACGGCGGGTGCGGGGACGGAGCGGAGTTTCGAGAGGGTGGCGGGCACGGGGAGGAAGATGCCGTCGAGTTTTAGTCCCGGGATGAGCGCGGTTGGGGCTGGGGCTGGGGTTGGAGGAGGAGGCGGTGCGGCGGCTGCTGGTGGGGTGCCTTATGCCATGCCCTTGCAATCGCAGGAGAATAATCTTAGCACGACTTCTTTTTACAGGGATAGTACCGGCTTCTATGGCGGCGAGGGGAGTTCACCGCCTGAGAACCCTTTTGAGCCGGGGACTGCTTCTGCTGCCATTGGAGAAGGAGGTGCAGGAGTTGCTGGGGCAGCGGCAGGGAAGGAGGAAATGACGCTCTCGCCTGGTCCCCGTCGGACTCCGACTGTGCATGGTCCTGGTCCGTATCGGATGTCTACGCCTGCTGCTACGGCTTCTTCGCCTGGGATGGAGGGGTTTGGGCCTGCGGGGACGAGTCCGGCGGTGGCGAGTTTTGAGCGGAGTGAGACGCCCGGGAGTTTGGAGCATAGTCGGGGGAGTCGATTTACGGAGGAGGTGTGAGGAGGAGGAATGAAAGAAAGAAAGAGAGGGGTGAGGGGGGTTTTTTCCTTTGCGCATCTTCTGATCGAGGTCGTAGGCTCATGGTCTCCCTCTGTGTTATTCCTTGTCGTGGTGAGCTGGTTCGATATCATGATTTCCCTTTCCCGCCTAGGTGCGGAAGGGGGTTTGTAATAGCTGTTGTATAGGAATTTTTAGTTATATTTGTGAATGGATGTGTGCAGACGACGACGGCAACACGAGCAGGGCAGTCTGTACCACTTCACTAGATCCTGGTCGGCTGTTAGTGAATATGTGAGCGGCAAGTTCCGCTTCTGCAATCATGCTGTGCTACCCTGTGACGCTGCATCGTTCAGGCAATCGTTCCGAAGCTTCTGATATTGCGCCTGTGCCACCACCATCGCCACACCAATATCAAAAGCTGCACAATCGGACAGGCGAACGAGATCAGTCAGTGGGGCCTCTACTATTACTTTCACTCAACAGACCATCAAAGTGAGCTCCTACAACGTCGGCCGAAGCCTTCGGGCGAATAAACCTGCTTCACCACCATCACTCGCAACAACCTCGACAAGCTCATCGAACATGGCGGACTCGACACAGGCTGCTGCGGCCCCGAAGCCGAGCAGTAGTGTCAAGCTCGTTCTACTCGGCGAAGCGGCAGTAGGAAAGGTAAGCCCATCCTATCTATCTATCTACCACCATACATGTCCAGATCTATTGTGCCACCACTAACACCCATGCTAACCACAGTCCTCCCTCGTCCTCCGCTTCGTCAACAACGACTTCCAACCCAACAAAGAACCCACCATCGGCGCCGCCTTCCTGACCCAAAAAACCCACCTCCCGACCCGCACCATCAAGTTTGAAATCTGGGATACCGCGGGCCAGGAACGTTTCGCCTCCTTGGCGCCGATGTATTATCGTAATGCGCAGGCGGCGTTGGTGGTGTATGATGTTACCCGTGCGAGCTCGTTGGGGAAGGCGAGGCATTGGGTGGCGGAGTTGCAGAGGCAGGCTAGTCCGGGGATTGTGGTGTGTTTGGTTGGGAACAAGGTTGATTTGGCTGAGGGGGATGATGGCCCTGATGCTGAGGAAGAGGAGGGGGCTGATGGGGAGGAGGATGGGCAAGGGGAGGCGGCGGCGGCGGCGGCGGTGAAACCTGCGGCGGTGAAACCTGCGGCGGATGAGGGTGCTGTGAGGAAAGTCTCGACCAAAGAGGCTAAAGCTTATGCAGAGGAAGAAGGGTTATTGTTCTTCGAGACCTCGGCCAAGTCGGGCTTGAACGTCAGTGAGGTCTTCACCGCCATCGCGAACGCGATACCCGAGGCCAGCTTGAAGGGTGGGCGAGCAGGCGCCAATGCTGCCGCTGGAGCTGGGACACAGGCGGCGATTATGGCGGGCGCGGATAGTAGTAAGGTCAATCTTAATGCTAAGGCTGGCGGGGACAAGGGGCAGGAGGGTTGTGCTTGTTAGAGTTTTTGTTTTGGAGGAGTGGATTTGTTTGTCTGAGGGTGGATGGATGGATGGATGGATGGATGGATTTAGCTGCGGCGTTTGCGGAGGCGTTGTCAGGCGTTGCGGAAGTCTTGTATCTAGGTCCAGAAGTCACGCGATACTGAGCGAGTTCAGAGACTGCGAGGATCGTCGAAGAACAGCGTTCTTTCAAATCATAATCGGGCCATATCCCTTGGCCTGCTACACTGATCGCTAACTTTGTATCAGACTAGCACCCGATTGTCTCATCGCATGCCCTTGTGAGCATACAACAGAACGTGACAAGACCAAGCCAATACATACATATTTACCCTATATCCACCCCCCCGTATCCCACGACGTCTTCCTCCGAACACTATCCCACAATCCCAATCCACGACCTCGAAGACTACTACTCGTACTCCCCTTCCGTCTCACAGGCTTGAACTCGAACCTCGTCCTCTCCCGTCTTGATCGGAAATCCTGCGGCTCCTCCATCTCGACCCTCGTCCTTGTCCCGATAGCAGTAGCTGGGCGGGAGATCCGTGGTTTGTGCTTTGTGCCTGCTTCTTCGAAGGCTGGTGGCGGCGGGGTTGCTGGCGAAGCTGATCGGGTTGGGTTCGGTTGTAGTGGTAGACCGAGGGTATACGGTTTCAGTGTCTGCGCAGTGCTATGGCTGCTGGTATCGGCTCGCTCCCGAATGTGAGGTGATGGCTTCGTATTCTCGTGCCAAGGTCCGAAAGCACTTCTGGCATCGGTGGCTCTCTTGCTGCTGCTTGTATATGTGTCGATACTGGCCATACGTCGCATACGCTGGCGTATACTATCGACCCCCTCGGCCGCGGCTGTAGCCGTCACGTTCGAGCGTGTTTCCTTGCGTCGTCCGTATTTCACGACGGGAGGTGTTGGGAAGGTCGACCCGGCGTAGGGTAGTCCGTTGCGCTCTCCGCTGCCTCCTAGTGAACTGATACTGATGTTACTGCCTTGCTTCTGGACGGTGAAAGCATGTTGGATCTGCGGCATGTACTTGCGTGGGGAGGAGTCGAGCATGTGTCGCAAGGTGTTCAGATCGTCTCGCTCGGCTCGTTGCTGCTCCAGGCTGTGTTGGTGTGGTGCTGCGAATGCTTGGCCAGGTCGGTACGAAGTCTTTGACCTCAGCGCGGTGCTTTCGGCGGGAGAGGAGACGGATCTTTGTCGAACATGCTTGGAGCGGCCATGTAGTCGGGACTCCTGGCTGTGTTCGCGTTCGTGTTTCCTTTGTTGCGCCCTTCGTTCTTCGATCGCGGCTGCTACCTGTGCCACGGAGTTGGGGACTACATCGATCGAGTTCATATGGATGAGGATGATCGGCAGCTGTAGTGACACTGACTTGGAGCTCGAGATGAAAGCGGTGATGTTCAGAAAGAAGCGCACTTCGAAGTACTTTCCACACCTGATCGTCGCATGGTCTCTTGCTATCGCCAAGTCATATGTTCGGATCTCTGAGCTGTGTGGTGGTACGCCATTCCACTCATTAGCGCCGGCTTTAAGTGAATTTGTCGCTATCGTAGACTGATGGTTGCTCTCAAAGACACGAGCCTGGCTTACTGACAGTGCTTTAGTGTCTGCAGCTGCGTGCTTGTAGCACAGCACATCTCGCTCCAAGCTGAGCTGCAGCTTACGCACCGCCTTACCACTCTTATTCGCAACATGCACGTCTACGAAGATCGTGCTCCCACTGACCCAGATCTGCCGGTGTAGACCAGCAGTGACTCTGATACGTTCGTGCCCTCCAGTCTTTCGCAAAAGCAGCTCATCTGAAGCAGTCAGTGGTGTCGGCAGAGATGCCAGCGCTTTTTCCGGATCGTATGTGGGCAGTATCTGAACCTCCTTCGATACGCGTACACGGTAATGTGTGCCTGCGTCTCGTATGAGTGCTGTTGCACAGAGCACATACCGGATGCTCGCGTGTCGAGACTGAAAGGGAGGCGGACCGGTATCAAGTGGCAAGCTGAGCATGAATGGCAACGTCGAGCTCGAAGGACATAAAGTCCAGAACTTGTCCCCTGGCGTCAGTGGGTTCGATGGCTCAACCATGCTGGCTGGTGGAGGGTGATTCGCATCGATCACGTCGCTACCAAGGGCAAGAAAGGTTGCCTTGCGATCACCACTCGTCTGCTCGTAGCCAAGAAGATCGACCGTGACCGAGCCAACCCCCAATGTACGGCGTTCTTTCGCTCGCTCGTTGTGATCGATGATGACTGTGACTAAGCCTTCCAGACTACCGCCACCGACAAAGACGGGTGCTGTGGTACGCAGGTCCAGTACGACTCGTGGGTGTTTGCACTCTGCAGCATTGAGTATATCTACTGGGTGAGGTCGCCGAATCAAGGTTCTTGAAGGCACTCTGCGCGCCGAATCCGCACTGACTGGATCCGATCTTCGTACAGCCTCCTTGACAGGCGAACGACAGGGGCCGCGGTTTGATACGGAGAACTGTGGCTGTTCCTTCGACCACGGCACCCTTATTGAGGTGTTGCGTCGTGAGGGAGCTCTGGACGGTGGTTCTGACCTCCCAAACGACGACGATCGGTGTGGGACACTCGACTGAGGTATGGCATAGCAGCTCGACTTCTCCGGAGTACTCGAGTAAGACGAGGATGCGACGACCTCGTAAGGGTTACCGTACCGCTCGTCTTGTGACCTTGCCGTGTCCTTTGATCTCCCAGACAGACTGCGTCGCACAGACGACTTGCGTTCGACCGAACCTTTATGCTTGACAACTCCTCTGTCCTTGGCAAAGTGGTGCCGTATCTCCGGACTGATTTTGTGTGCGTTCTGCTCTCGTCGGCGAGTTGGCGCGTTGGAGTATCGGGACACCATGTCCATTAGACTTGGCTCGGTGATCTCTCGAATGTCGGACAGTGGCCTTGATAGTGGCGGCGGCCACACTGAGGCTGCAGCCGCTGGTGTAGGTTGCCGGGTAGATTTAGTCGGATTCGGTGGCGGTGCCGTTGCTGGCTGCACCAGCGGAAGTGCTTCTGGCAAAGGCTTTGGTCTTGAAATCTCGTATGCCCGTACACGGCCTGCCATTGGCGTGATCGGTATTGCGCATAGAAGCGCTTGGCATGTTTATCGGTGGTCATCGTGAAACAAGTTCAGATGTCCCAGTCAAGGTTCAGCGGGAATGATGGAAAGAGAGTGAATCTGAAGGAGCGACGAGAAGACGCAGAAGGAACTCAGGGTCAACCAATTGTCCTGTCAGCAGAAATCGAAGACCTTACCTTACACTTTCGTCTTGTAGGTCTGGCTGGTCAGTGCCTGACTGATTATGATCGTGATGTACTGGAAATCTCATCTACCATCTGAGCTGGTGGGGTGTCGAAGGTTGCAAATGACAGGTCTGATCAGACGGGAGGTCATGTCAGTAAAGTGTGAGCTCACGGAAGTGGCAGTCGTGCCCTGAGATTGCAGCAGCGGTACAAGACGCGAGCGTTACCGGTCTCTCGAAGGAAGTGCGCCTTAGGTCTGGTTCCGGATCCGTACTGATGCTTGTGAGCCGAGATCGCAGACGTCGACTGTCAACATGTCCGAGAGCATGCGAGCGTCATATCGTCTTGACCTGCACCTGATGATCTTCGGTTGTGTTTGCATCTCTAGGCATCAATGCATGTAGCTGTATAAGAAGCGGGCGTTACACCAGGTTGAGATCTTCAAACTGGATGGAGAGCCGAAGCTGTCATCCTGAGGCGACATCCGATACTTGCCCCTGGTACACAGGGCATGCGATTGTCACGCGACAGCACATGCTTAGGCGGTGCCCTGCATATGTAGAAAAGAACGTCGTATTGGTACTGCTAGGATGGCCTGCGGAAGTGCTGATCAGAAGGATATGAAACACTGCATGTTCTTTCCAGAGCCATCTGGATGCAGATCTGGAGGATTCTGTGATCTCGAAACGAGACGACGTAGGTTTTAGCGCATCCTGGCCGACTGTAAGCAACGGTGTGAGGACCGAATTATTCTGTATGGCGTAGGCACTCTAGACGCAGGATCGACATAGTGATCGTCCCTGCCATTGAGACATCGACCATATGCATTGCCGTACCACACCCCACGACCACGAGTCTTCGGCATGCGTTTCGTATGTCGGCTGAAGCATGGTCTCAGCTACCCCATTATTGCCCAGCAGTGTCTCTTCTGCTAATTGCGCAGAGCACAAATGCTGATGTTGCTATATCGCTCTGATGTAGGAACGTAGCAGCGGGTAAGACCCGAGGAGATGCACGAGTCTGGAGCATGGGTTTTCGGTTAAACATGCTCCTTCAGATCTAGCGCTGAGCAAGAGTGATGCTCACCGAGGCGACCGATCCCTGCAGTGCCGCGTGCGAGCTTCTCCAACGGCCTCGTCTTCCACACCTTCCACTTCCGCAACAAGTCAATCAATATCCATTGCGTCCTTTGGTTGGCAGGGCTGACGGTCGGATCATAGAGTGGACGGAGAGGAGTTTCAACCACACACGCGAATCAACAGTAAGCCCTTCGAAGGAATATATCCTCGTCGTATCTTCAGGAAGCAGGCGAGAGAGTCAAAGTGCCCTCATGACCACCTCCACCACCGAGCAGGACAGAATTTTCATTTGGCACCTACCTTCCCGGCCTGTGCCACATCCGTCTCGACCAGAGTACTTTTGAACGGCTCCGCACGCGCGCTCGGCGGCCAATTCTGACGTGTTTCCATTAGCTACCTCTTACACTTCGTTTCTTCTTCTCATAGCACTTTAATTCTTATCTGAGCCTATTAGCAAATCCGCCCATATCGCAACACCCAACCACGCAAGCACGCACGACTCGCACCCGACGCTCTGGGCACTCACTACCGTTTTGTCTCTGCTTTGTGGGTCTAGCGTCTGCTTGACGTCGCAGGCTGACTGGTCTTGGGTCGGCGCGGTCGCCCGGGTACCTGCAGATGGGCGATAGCAGTATGATGGATGAAAGCATGGCCGCTTCGACTAAGCTTGAGGATGCGCCCATTGCGGAAGGCACGCCTAGTTCTGTGGAGTCGTCGCCGGAGCCAGACGGTCTACCCGATGCTTCGCAAGAACAGCCAGTTCAGCCAGTAAAGCGGAAAGGTGGAAGGAAGCCTGTTAGTATTATGTCTACTTCGCGTAGTGTACTTCGACTGATATGTCAATCAGATATATGCGACGTCTGAAGAGCGAAAGCAGCGCAATAGGCAAGCACAGGCAGCGTTTCGAGAGCGTCGTACGGAATACATCAAGCAACTCGAAGCAAACATCAAGCAGAACGAAGAACAACTCTCGCATCTCCAACAGAGTCAGCGGACAGCTGCCGACGAGTGTCTCATGCTACGATACAAGAACTCGCTGCTTGAGCGGATCTTACTCGAGAAAGGTATGTCCCAACAAGCCAGATCATCCGGACTTCACACTAACATTCCTAAGGCATCGACGTGCAAGCGGAACTCAACATGAAGACAGGCAGTCCCATATTAGGGCCAGGCCTCCTACCTCCAGGCATCTCGCAACCTAGACAGCCTCCAGCGCCTCTACAGCGGACCACCGTCCAGCAACAGCACGCTCGACGTACTACCGGTCAGAGCCATCTTCCAAAGCTGGCTCCTGGGCACTCGAATTCAGACATGACCTTCCCCCAAGCATCACCACAAGGCCACCCAACACCTTCCTCTCACGCTTCTTCACCATCTAGCGTTCCGACACGATCACCACTAACAATGCACCAAGGTGGGATTACTCCACCAACATCTGGTGTACTAGCTCAGGGACAAGTGCAGCAATACCACGGCTACAATCGATCATCGCAGCAGCCGCTTAACTCAGCCTATTATCCACCTCCTCTGCCGCCGCAGCCGATGTTGAACCCTCAACCGCAAGCTCGACCGACTCCACCAAACCAATTCCAGAGCAACGCCAGTGTAATTTCGAGTCACTCGACCGCAAGCCAGCACAGCAGCATGAACCCACCAATGACCGCCAATTCTACGACCAGCATCGCAAGCGCTGTCCCACAACCCTCACCAGCATCAGCATACTACCCCAGTCCATTCCAAAAACACATAGATCAGCTCGGCAAGTCTCTCCACTCCCTCTTACAAAGAACTGTGTTCGTCCTAGATTGATTTTTGGTGCGTGTAGAGCAGGAGTACGATACCCAACAACAGTCGATGCTCGATGAGCCCGCCGATCCACAAGACCAAGACCAAGATCAGGTCTCCGATCCTTCGCCAACGCAGTTACATGGTGCTTACCCACCGGCGCAATATGATGTCGACGAGCAACTGCAGCAGCAGCACGTCCAGCAGGAATACTATCAACAGCATTACAATCATGCGCAACAGCAGCAGCAGCCAGCCTCTCATCACCCGGGTCCCACACAGCAGCAGCAGCAGCAGCAGCATCATCATCCTCAGTATACGCAGCCACATCAGCAGCCATTGATGCCCGCTTCACGCCCGCCAACAAGCCAGATCGGTATGAGTGCTGGAGGCGGCCCGAGTGGTTTCGCAGGAGGTCAGATGATCGACCCGAACGATCCTATGCTCGACGCAGACCCTTTCGGCTTGTCGGCTAGTATGCATTATCCCACCGCATACTCCGCCCTCGATCAGCCAAGACTGGGGCAGCAACAACAACAACTACAGCATCCGTCGCAGCCGCAGCCACCGCCGCCGCGGTAGACCGAGGTCCTGATACAAGATGCACTTCCGGACGTCTAAAAGCTCACGCACTTGCAAGATTTACCTATAATGCAATGAAGCGCGAAGAATCCTACCGCCAGGGAAAGCGTGAGTCCAGGGCCATGGTTGCGATCATGAGCAACGAAGTCTAGTAGACGGGGAAAGGGAAAAGGAAGCGCAGCGTCTAGGTCCAGCAAAAGCGAGCTTTGCAGCGTTCGAGCGCCGCATTCTGTTACTTGATAGCATTTAGACAATCTTTCACCTTCTCACGCGGTGTCACATTCGGATTGTCTCCCAGCAGTCGAAAGAAGCAATCTGATGTGACGCAAACCCCTGGTGAGAAGTCCAAGTGAACTTTACCACGCATCAACATTTCCATACTTGACAGTAAAATGTAAGCCTAGCCCTACGTGCGCCATGCGGTCGCAATGCTACATACAAGCGCAGTGCAGTGCATACCAATCAAAAGACTTACTCCATACCCACACACCCACCCACCCGCGCTCAATGAACAACTGCAACTGGTAGCAAATGGTATAGTGCTATGCCAAAAACACCTTTTCCGCAAACAGAAAGCGACAAACAAAGTCCATTCCACCATGCGGATACTGCAGTAGAAGCACAAATGCTGCTGTGGTCGAACTGTGAAAGCGCCCGCCCAGTCAAGTCCAGCAACAAATGATGCTGTTTCGATACGTGTTGATAGGATGACAATGAAGTGGTGAAAGGTAGTCGGGGTCAATTAAGGGCTCGCCAGTAACGTTTTCAGCCGTTGTTTTTTTCGTCGTCGTAAGAAGCGTGAGCATCATGACAATCGTTATGAGCATGAAGGAGAGGATCTGTGGTCGGTGATAAAGTTGGGGGGGTTGTCGTGATCGATCACGAAGAGAGAAGACATGCTTTTGGTGTTGGTGTTGGTGGTGGTGGTGTGTGTTTCCGTGCTCGTCGTCCTAGTGTAATTGTTTGATGCCGCAAGCTGTAGCTCTTTGCTGCATGATGGACCTCAATGACCAAGCATAACACTAGGGATACGTCGCTGAGCTCGAGGGTATGGAGATCCGTGACCAGATGCGTTCTACGCTGCGGCCTCGGGGATCTGACTGCGGCGCATCTTCTCCGCCTCAAGGTTCTCATACAGCAAGTAGAGAGCCTTCTCGTTGGCAGTCGGGCCACCAGTAATAGTGAACATGCGCTCGCCACTCTCGTCATGAGGTGCCTTGGCAATGCTGATGCGTGCTCCGGATGACTTCCTGATCTCGCTGATCTTGCTGCCACCACGACCGATGATGCAGCCGACCATGTCTGCGGGAATGCTGATGTTTTGAGTTTGGATGTCCTCGCCATCCTCTACTGCTCCCGGTGGGCCACCGTCTTGGCCGCCTGTGCTGCGACGTTGATTATATGCTGGTGACGGGCCTCCAGTGAAGTCTGCACCATTGCCTGTGCGGTTGAAGTTCCTCGGTGATTGGTTGTAACTGCCGCCGTTTATGGCAGGTGCAGGTGCACCGCCTTGTACACGTACAGCAGGGCTGTACAATACCGTGCCGTACCCACGCTCCTGGTCGTCGATCAGGCACTTCCCGATCTCCCACGTTGCCTTCTGAATCCCGTCTGGTGTGCCTTGAACCTCGACGATACGCTCGGTCGATTGCGGCAACATCTCTTTCTGAGCTACCATACGAACACCGGAGGCGTCCTGGATCTGCTTGATCTTGAGGCCTTGGCGACCAATGATCGTGCCCATTTGGTTGTGCGAGATGAGGAGACGAATGGCTGGTAAAGAATGGCAATTAGCAGAAGCTCAACCAGTACACAAGACACAGTAGACTCACGGTGAGTGTTCGGGTTAGCCACAACGCCGCCCATGCCCACCTGCGGAGCACCCTTCACCAACCCATCAGCCACCAAACCATACGCCTCGCTGATTGCCGTCAACGCCCCCGTGACAGTCAACACACGATCATGCACACCCGGCACAACCTTGCTGACACCAGCACGCACACCCGTCTTCTCACGAAGATCGGCAACGTTTTGACCGGCTTTGCCAATAATCACGCCGGCTTCACGTGAAGTGACAATGGCACGGAGGGTGAGCTGAGCTTGAGCATACTCCTCTTCCGTGCGCGGCTGGTCGGAAATCTGAGCTGAGCCAAGCTTGTCAGCTAGGTTGTCGACACCGGAGTCGACGGGGCCATTGTTGTTGGTATCCTCGGCAGACATGCTGGGTGTTTGGTCTTGGTAAAGCTTGTCTACTTGTGCGATTCAATTGATTGATCGATTAAGTAAACGGCTCGGGTGATCGGGAGCTGCAAGAGTTGCAGCCTAAGGCGAGCGGTAGGCTTGGGGAGTCGATGTCTGGTGTGGTGGTGGTCGGACGAAGCTGCAGCATGTGTTAGCACATTTTGAAGCTGTGTTGGGAAGAGAGGTGGGGCTGTAGCATACGCGAGAAAAGCTGTAGAACAGCGGTGGGAGGCGGAGGTGGAGGAGAGGGTCGTGTGGAAGAAGATGAGAGAGTGAGGGTTAATGTGGGTCAGGAGGAGGATTTGGTGATGTGTTTTGCAGCATCTGTCGTGGTGAGGAGGAGGGCAGAAGGCGCAGGTGTCGTGTTGTTTCCCACAAAGCTCCACGACAAGTGCGATAATTCGGCAAGCGCGCCGAGAGCTCGAAACCCTGCGTTTGCTTCATGCGCCGCACCACCAATTATGCATCCCGCTGCTTGTATAAAATATGTATTCTGAGGAATATATATAATACCAAGTACATATGCTGTATGCTGGTTTGATAACAATGTTCAAGTAATGAGTCCACGATAGTATCAAACACATGCGTGCTGGCACCAGAACAGCGGCAAATTGCACGCTGGAGGCAAAGCTCCGAAGTGTAAAAGGAGACAATGACAGTAGAAGGCAAGAATGTAACAGTCTACTGCGACGACATAATCTGACGAGTGTCTCTGTCGTCACTACACATGAACTTATCACGTAAGGCCGCCCGACAGAAGCCGGGAACGCCTCTGGAGACTGCCCATGCATTGCCTCCATACCCCCTCTTGAGGTCATGCATACCCATTCTCTGACGCCAACGCTCACTTTCGTATGCCTTGAGCTCAGTCTCGGAGATCATTTGGATCAGTGCTGTCGTCTCTATATGCTTGCGTACTCCTTTTCTCTGTTAGTTCTGCCGTGGCTTGACGAGGCCATCGTGGATGATGTAGTACACGACTGTACTGTCGTCGTCCAGACTCGCCAGCAGCATACGCTTAGGCTGTGACGTCCGCCACGGATTCGCCGGCGCTGCAGCTGTGGTAGGCATACCTGTTCCGGATTCTGTGGACGAAGTGTCCTTGGACAGGGCTGGTGGCGTTCTCGTGCGCTTGCTTGTGCCTTGTGATGGGCCGATCACGCGGTTCGGGGTCGATGATCTCGCTTCGCTGTTCTCCTGGGATTGCGTGGTGATGCCGCTTCGCGACCATGACTCGGCTTCGAAGAAGAGTGGACCTCCTTGCTTGTCCGGCGGGATACAGCTCAGAGCGTCGAACACTTCCGCGAAACGTCGTAGAGACCAGCTCTCACCTAGCTGTGTGGGTAAGACCCATTCCCGTTCGGACGCGAGTTCAGGCCATCCAGCTTTACCCTCCCGCCGTTGCCGCTGTAGCAAGTCGACCTGTTCGTCCGCATGGACGTATAGGCGCTGTGGTGGGAGACCAGAGATCACGGGTCGTGGTAGCGAAGCGATACCCTTTTCACGTCTACTTTGGTAGTGAAGTCGCACGTCTGTCCAGTTGTGTTGGAAGCGAAGGTTATGCGCAATCTGCAATGCCAAATGATGGGTATCCTCCGATTTGTTCGAAGCCTTGGGCAATTTATTGGCTTCGATGAATTGCTGTAGTCCTGATACAGAGGAATCTGGACTTGACAAGGTGTCTTGTGGCCGCGATGATGAACGGTCAGACATTCTCGTGGGACCTTCGCGGCTCCGCGATCTTGATACCGATATATTCTGTCGTAGATTCGGACGCGGCGTTGAGCTCCGCCTACAACTAACGGGCAGCACGTTCTTTGTCTGCGCGGCTTAGCGATACTATCACAACTTCGTCTTACGTAGCGTGTGACAGGGAAGAAGATGAAAATCGCGTAGGTGGGAGCGTGACGTCTTCGCAGACAACCCAGCGCGGTCTCAAGAAGTTCGATCGGTCGATGTTGCGATGAGGGAGAGCTTTCTGGATCGTTACCTCGATTCTCACGCTCGTGCCTTCCTAGGGATCGACGATCTGAAGTTCTCTTCTGAATTCCTTTCGAAGGACCAGGGCCTGCGAAATTTCCTACACAGCTCCGAGCGGCGGCGGTCGTTTCGCCTGCGCCTTTCTCACTGGCCGGCTGTAAGCCCAAAAGTGAGATTGCCGGAGCCTTGATATGCATGTGTGAGATTCCTCCAGTCGCTTGTAGACGGTATCTGTGAAGACCGTGCGATCTTCATGGCGGACTGTCCCGCCCCGCTCGAGGCTGAAAATCTGCCCTGCCCAGCTGGATTCCGAATCTCTCCTATTCGATGCCGGTGTTGGTGTTCATACCGAGACGCATTGAAGGGTCTAGATCTGATCGAAGCAGTGTTCTGGATCTGATAGAATCACTTTCACCCTATGAGCATAGCTGAGTCGTGCAAGTGTCCAGACTGATCTTACTATCGACGACGTGCTTAGCCGAGCTAGCGATCGCACATGTACGACTGCAGGATATACACCTCTGTCTATCGGCGTACACCCCGGGTTTACTGAATAATGGTGCACACACGATATACACACGATGATAGCATGAGGGACCTCGGACATCAAGTCCGTACGGAATAGTGCTTCGAAACACCCAGGCTGATAGACGCTTCTCATTCCCTTCTCGGAGGTTGGAACTTTGTCTACAGACCGGCTGCGGCACAAACTACATCAGGCTGGCTCGCAGCAATTGTGTCTCTACCCAAATGGAAGCTTCTCATTATTCCAGACTGCTGCAACTCAGCCATCAAACCGCGGCGGAGGGAGTCCGATACGTGAGGACTCCTCGTGTCCGATGTCAACCCCCCATTGGCCTCATTCGAGAGCTTGAAGGGATTGACAAACAAGCTGTACGTCCAAGCATGCAGCTTGGCAGATCGCTCCGGATGACCTTACAGACCAGATGGGATATATTGTTTGGAATGCGGTCACAGTGTCGTAATCCCGTCTGCAACTAAATCTTGAAGGTGACTATCGGACTGCATTACAACATTGCGTTTAATCAGCAGCCTGAAACTTGTCCATTGTGAATACAGGCATATGTACAAGACTTCTGATCGCTCGATCGCCAGTCATCACAGAATAATCCGATCTTTATAGCGCGATAGAGACAGACAAGTTTGACAGCTTGCGTGTCCTGTGGTCCCCTCTAGTCACGCCGTATTCTTCCACGCAATTCTAATGGGGCAACAGAGTGTTCGTTACAAGCGCGATCGAACCATTAGTCTGAATACATGTCAGCGGTGTAGGGTAGCTGTGCGCAAGATTGCACACGAAAGGTGCCGAGGAGGTCGAAGTCATCAGGGTGGTCGAGGCGGTGGTGAACGGGTTGTAGCCAAGGCAGGCAGCGTACTGGGATGCGCAGTATGCGTGGTTGGCATTCGGGGCGGTCGAACAGGCGTTGAAGTTGGTACTGCAGGTCGCTTGGCAACTTGCTGCTTGTGCAGAGCAAAAGGATTGGTTTGCGTTAGGAGCGGTGCGGCAGCTATTCTCTTGTGATGTGCAGTCTGTTGGTGTTGGGGTCGGGGATGTGGTAGGCGGTGAAGTAAGTTCAGGGGAGGTCGAGGTAGGCTGACCAGATGGAGTGATGAAGGCACCCGCCGCCGTGAAGTAGCCGATAGCTGTGCACACCCCATTCTGAGCACCTGCAGTATCAGCGTCCTGGATGGCAAGCGACACAATGTTGAGCTCGAGCTGGACTTCCTGTAGATATTGGATCGCTTGGTTGCTGGAAGCTGCAGCAGCCAAGGGCGCAGCTGGAGGACAGGTGAAGGTGACGAGTGGAGCTAGGCCGGCTTGTAAGGCAGAGAAGTCGGCCACGGCGGATCTCTGTTGAGCGAGGTCGTTGATGATGGTCAGGATGACGCCTTGAGCGGCTTGAATGTTGGCCTGGATGCTGGCGACACTTTGAGGCACAGGATTTGGATCGGCCGATGTGAGCGCGTACAGGCCCACGAGAGCAAGAAGGTTCCTGGAGTACATTGTGAAATTCGCTGTGATAGTTCTGGTTTGTAGGAAGAGTTCTGCTGGAAATCCAGGAAGCTTTGAGGTTCTTGGCCAGCAGTGCGACAGCCGTCCTACCTTTTATAATCTGGCGGTTACCAGAACTGCATAGCAGGCATGTAGCCAGCTCGTGTTGCTCAAGTCCACTGCCTCATGCAGCCAGCCATTGGCAAATACCCCACCTACAACAGTCGCTTTGAGCAAAGTCAGTACTATTCCGGCAGCGAGGTCGTCGGTCATGCCGTATTTTGGCACCGTATCCATGCAGTCGTATGTGGGTGGCGCCATTCCCTAGCCAGCATCACGGTGTACAAGAGCCGAGTTGTCGTACAGGCCATCGAAGCTAGATGTAGTCCATGGATGTTATGGCCGGTAGTCATCTTGTTGTCTCTTTCTAGTCGCGCAGTCGCAAACAAGAGTTCGCCAAGCATGTTGCCAAGTAATGTGTACCTTCTCCTTTCATCGTTTCTAGCATGATGACGCTGGAGGAGACCTCTCGCTTACCACTGTCGCTATATGATTAGGTACGAAGGTACCGGCGAGTTGTCAGACCACCCAGCTAATACATCGTCTTCAGCAAGCTGCAGGTACGCCACCACAATGGTTTCGATCAAGCTGACAGCTGACATCTGACAGCGCATGGACGGTGAAAGTGGTGGGCTCTAACGGTACACGGTGCGACTCAACAATGGGCCGAGAGTACCATCATCGACTGTTGCGTACATCAACTTCCCAAGTTGTTTTCATATGAGTGGAGAGGTGAAGCTCTCTGCGCAGCTTTCTTCACCTCAATTGATGCTTAATGATATCCGGATTGGGCGTATCGAGTCGGTACGAGGTCGTAACGGAGTTAGGGCACAGCTTTTAGACCTATTTGACGCGATCTCGTCGATATCGGAAGTCGGCAGACTAAAGTACAACTCCTCAAAGCACACTGCAGTCATCGACCTTACTATCCCGATCAAGCACAATTGCACTACGGTCCTTATTGAGCCATGCATCATGTCACCCCTTGTGAAACTGAAGAATGATACAACTTCCTCCGGGCTCGACCTTGTGGACCGGGTGCTTTTGCAGCAGCCTAAAACACAACAGGGGGTAAGGCGCTGACAAGCATCATGGAAGCTGAGACATGCCCAGCAAAAATGGGCGGCACATCGCGCCTGAGTGAGCCTAACATCACTGGGCAGGCTTACTGCGCATCTCCAATCGAGGATAGTGGTCGATAATGGAGACCTTCCCAGCGATCTGACGGTTCCATATATGAACTGGTCCTCGCTCGACCTTTGCAGAGATGCCCTTCCGCCAGCCAGCAGCGGTTCGCAGCAACCTTCCAATATGGCGGTCTCGGTCAGCATGATCCTCGTAGTCATCGGCCTGGCTGGGTATCTGGTTCTGTCGATCACGTACCGACTAGTATGGCATCCTCTGGCTAGGTTCCCAGGCCCGAAGCTGGCTGCAGCTACCAAATGGTACGAATTCTACTACGAAGTCCTTCATGGCCATGGCGGCCAGTTTTGGAAAGTAGTCGATCGAATGCACGATCGGTATGGGCCGATAGTGCGGATCACGCCCGAAGAACTTCACATTCGAGATTCAAGCCAATATGACACGGTCTATACCGGCAAGCGCGACAAGTCTCGCAGTGTGGCACGGTTGGGTGGGCAAAAAGTCAGCACATTCGCAACAGAGGAATCCGACCTTCATCGTAAGCGTCGTGCCCCGAACATGCTACTGTTCGGGAAGAGGACGGTCGATCAGGCTACACCAATGATCCGAAGTAAGATTGAGAAGCTCTTGACAGAATTGCAACGCGCCAGGCGCACCGGCGAGGTAGTCGACGTCAACCTTGTATTTCTAGCACTTACAACCGACATCGCTGGGTGCCACGTACTACATGAAGAACTTGGCATGCAGAATGATCTTACAGGCAAGGCTCTGCGGTGGAAGAAGGGTGTGCACCAGATAAGCACGAATGTACCGCTGGTGAAGCAGTACACGTGGCTGGCTGATGCCATTGACTTGATACCGAGCTGTTTATGGCGGTCTATGGCGCCTGACATAGCATGTCTGATCGATCTCAAAATGACAGTCCTCAAGAAGGCCAAGGCTTTCTTACATCAACAGCGAATGATATCGGAGGATGGATCGAGCATCGAGCCGACGAACGAGAAGGATAACACTCCCAAGGCTCTCTTTGAGTATATCTGGACTCATCCTTCAACGGCCAACGAGCGAGATCTGGCACGACTTTACGACGAGGGCCAAAATGTTATGATAGCTGGATCCGAGACGAGCGCAAGAATCCTAACTCGAGTGATCTATGAATTACTCACTAACACAGACGAGCTGAGCAGACTTCATACGGAGCTGGCAGAGGCCGAGGAGCAATACCGTCGCTGTGCGCAGGATCTCACCTGGTTGGAGCTTGAGCGTCTACCATGGTTGACAGGCATTGTCAAGGAGTCGCTACGCATTGCCAATATTGCCACGTCGCGCTTGCCTGTGAAACCACACGAAAGTCTACGTTACCTAGGATGGACTATACCCGCTATGGTGAGCTTAAATTTTGAATCTTCCCTGAATGCTGCTGACCGGTCGAAGACACAAGTTAGTCTCTCCCCGTACGATGTCATGCGTGACGAGAACATCTTCCCCGAACCAGATGTCTTCAAGCCGGAGAGATGGGTGACCAAAGAGCACAACGGGACTTGGTCCACCCACAATCGACTTGACAAATACCTGGTCGCTTTTGGTAAGGGCGCTAGGATGTGTCAAGGTATCAAGTAAGTCTTGATGAGCTCTTTCCTGCCAAAAGTCCGTCACTTTTTGTGCTGATTTGATTCTAATAGCTTGGCATATGCTGAACTCTACATGACTATCGCCAGCGTGTTCTCACGCTTCAACCTTGAGCTATTCGATGTTGTGAAGGAGCGAGACATCACGACCGTGGCAGACTATTTCCTTGCTGAGGCACGAGCAGAATCGAAGGGCGTTCGGATGAAGGTGTTGAGCGAGATATCATGAATTGGATCGCGATCACAAATACCATGAATTGTTGAGCATCCCAAGTCACTATGGCACACCTATATTCACGATTCAGATGTTCCAAGGGCCATTCTCCTTTGCCCACTCTTCGACGCTGATGGTCGAAGTTCCAGGAAGCAACCACTTCTCACTCTCAGCTTGCTTCTTCTCGGAACCCGGCCCATAGTAGCTATAGTCACCAACCAAATACATGGTCTCGAGAAGCTCTTGTTTCACATTCTCAGGCAGAAAACCTGCGAAGACGTCTCCGGGTATCGTCTGAAACTTGACGATCTTCCCAGCTGCCTTGCTGAACGCTGCAGCAACTCCTTTCGGTGTCGTCCAGAAGCTGACAGCGTGGACGTGAGCGCCGTCGGCCTTCTCGGCACCCTCGAAGAGACCCCACTGTCCCGAATGTCAGTACTCCTTGCTTAGGTCATGGTTTCGTAAGTGAAGTGGTCAACTTACAACGTACTTCCCACCATCACGACGTGGGGCGATGAGTGGCCATGGAATTGCATCGGACGGGAAAGGCATGCTGATAGTAGGGGTGCCATTGACATCGTTGACGCTTGTCTTGACAAAGTCAATGAACATGGCCGGCATGAAGTGAGACACGATCATATCGCCTTTGTTGGCATCGGCATAGTCGCCGACATCTGACTTGCCGTCAAAGTGGTCAACGTGCCTCAGCTTGCCATTGGATAGCTTTTCAGCATTCGCCAGATCGGAGAATACGAAGTGCTTCACACCAGCGGTCTTGCATGCTTCGAAGATGTTCTTGCCTTGCTGGATTTCACGCTCCTTGGATAGGTGAGACCAGAAGTCTGTGACACCAAAGACTCCGTATGCTCCAGCAAAAGCTGATTTGAGGGCTTCGAGGTCGTCTAGCTCAGCTTTGACCATGTCGACTCCCTTGTCCTTCAGACTTTGTGACTTCTTGCTGTTGGGATCACGTGTGACGCCACGGAGAGCGTACTTCTCCTGAAGCGTCGGCTGGGAGAAGAAGACATCAAGGATGCTGCCGCCTTGGTTGCCAGTGGCTCCGATGATGGTAAGAAGACGCCTTCCGGAAGACATGTTGTGGCCTTGTCTGGATCAGTATTGGGCTATGTGAGGTGGTATGTTGTGCGAAATTAGCGAGTCGAATGATGGGAGATGTTGTATTGAGGAGGGACTGAAAGCTATACAAATACCCGCTCAGGCCATCGTACATAGCAGACACTCTTGGGACCTAGTCCGCTCAGCTGGACTATTCGAGCAACATGGTCGCACCACCTCGCCACAAACAATAAGGCCGGCCTGCAAGAGCTTACTCATCCACAACAGGATATGTGTCGAGCGACACGGCTTGCATGCACAGGGAGCTTCCATAGGCCGGCTAAGTGACCAAGCACTGGGTGGCGCTGTTGCGAGAGGGGTAATTATGTGTCTTTCCATGCACAGATTGGCCCCAGCATTACATAGACTGTACATCGGCGTATCGTATCAGACGAATGCGAGGCCGAGAGAGTTTTGATACTCCATAGAAAGTGCGGATGCAGTCGGCGTCCAGACGTCGGAATCTTCGGGTCCTCGCCAACGCCAAGACCCGAGCGAGTACGGTCCTCCACCGGAGTGCTGAGTAATTCGGAGGTCATCAACGAGAGTTCATGCAGCAATTTGTGCCGATTGACGAGAGTGACTAACGATCTGCTCGATAGCTTCGCGTGCGCCCGTCAACAAGGACAGTGAATGCCTGTGTTTAGCACTCATTATTGTGCGTCATCCACATCTACGGGCTGTGGGATGATTAACACGCTGCCGACAGGTCTAAGTTGCCTCTTTGCATGTCTTGCCTATATGACAATGGTATGATAATACTCCCGGTCTCAATCTCGCGGCGGCTCTCATCAGGATTTCGATGGTCCTCCAAAGTACATGCTGCGTATTCAAGTCAGCCGACTCGTCGTCTTCGTCGCCACATACGTCGTCAGCGATGTCGAAATTCAGCGCCTTGGACAGCTGCTTCTCAGATTTTCTCGTGACAGGGAAGTGGACTCAAAATACAAGGAACATTCATTCGAGTGAGCTGGGTATGGTCAAGAACAGGTTACTCAGCGCGCAAGCAGCCCAATGCCGCACAGCGCTCATGCAGTTCTTGGCGCCAGTGATGATTGACGCTTGGCTGAAGCAGAAGTCGCTGCTCATATAGAGCAATACAGTGCTTGGTCACGATGGTATGCGTGGTAAGATAGACCTGCCATCTGCAGGGAGGATATACTGCTTGTTGCAGATCTCGAGTCTGATCTGGTGGCGGTCGTAATGCGCCAATACTGCTACATGATATAGCAAAGGGGGAAATTTTTGGTTAAGCAGGGAGCAGGTATTGAAGAGAAGATGCCAGAATTCGAATTTCTCAAAGCATAGCATGGACTCCAGCCCTGCCTAGTTTGCAGTAGTCTAGAAAGAATGGACTGGGTGAACAGAGCCAATTGACTTGGTGCCAATCGAAGTCTAAACAGCTACATAGCGAAACTGATCTAGACTTGCCTCCATAGCTCCGGTGTGGTCGAAGGTGGGGTTACGAACCTCAAAAACAACTTCACACCGTCGATCACACAGAGGCCGTTGCGACGATGGCATCGGAAATAAGCAACAGCATCATAGGTGCGACAAGATAGTAGAGTAACGCCAAAGGTGAAGTAGTAAGTAACCAACCTTTTCCTACTCTCGTACGTACTACTCCATCCTACTGTCAAGAGCAATCATCCCGTATACCACAACATCATCAACATGCCTCACAAAGAACAACCCGTCCTCTTCCTCTGGTCCTTCTCCCCCTGGTCCAACAAAGTCGTCTCCTACCTCGCCCTCCGCGGCATCCCCTACGCCCGCTGCGAACAACCCATCGTCCTCCCCCGCCCGGACCTCGAAGCTCTAGGGGTGAACTACCGCCGCGTCCCCGTCATCTCCCTCGGCCGCGACATCTACTGCGACAGTCTCCTATGCATTGAGAAGCTCGAAGAGCTGTACCCGGGCTCCGAAGGTGGGTATAAGGCGCTTTCGGCTAGTGGGGGGACGGAGTTTGCGCTGGAGAAGTTGTTGGAGAAGTGGACAGATGTGGTGGTTTTCAAGCCTGCCGCTGCTGTTATTCCGACGAGTCTGGATTTGATGAAGGATCCGGCGTTCCAGAAGGATAGGGAGGAACTGTGGGGTCGATCGTGGAGTGCTGAGGCACAAGAAGCTCTACGCCCGGCTGCGTTGGCTGAGATGCGCGCGTGCTTCGATTTTTTGGAGAAGGTGCTCGGGGATGGTCGGCACTGGATTTTGGGATCGAATGAGCCGAAGCTGGCGGATATTCATTCGTGTTGGATCTTCGACTGGTTGTTTCAGCTTCCTGGTGCGTTTCCGGATGACTTTTTTGGCAAGCAGAAGTACCCTAAGTTTCATGCGTGGCGGGATCGATACAGTGCTGCTATTGAGAAGGCGAAGGAGGTTGCGCCGAAGCCTACTGAGCTTGAGGGCAAAGATGCCGTGAAGCAGATCTTGGCCGCTGGCTTCGTGGACACGAGTCCCAAGGTCGAGGCTGATCCTAGTGGATTGAAGGATGGTGAAGAGGTGGATATGTATCCTAATGATACTGGATATAACCGCAAGGATACTGGGAAGTTGATCAAGTTGACGAGTAGTGAGGCTGTAATCAGTACCAAGAGTAAACAGGATGCAAAGGAGCTGAGGATACATTATCCGAGGTGGAACTTTACTATTACACCTACTTCGAGGAGGTCGGAGACGAATGGACATGCTGATGGGCAGCCGGAGAATGGCGTTCAGCCTGTACAGTAGGATGTATATGCTGTCGTCTCTGTGTCATTGTTTCGTTCAATGTTCGAGTCTTGAGCGGGCGAGCCACATCGCCATCTCATGCTGACTGGCCACACCATCTGGCCAGCTGTATGGTGACATTTAAATTGGCAACGTGGAAGTCAAATTGGATTAGAGACAGTAGCGTTCCGGCTCGTTCATAAAGGCCATGGCATGTCATGCTGGAGAGGCAGATAAGCAGAAGGAGTTGGACTCCGCACTGAGGACCGAACGCCAATGCAGAGTGTAGTACGGCGTGTTAAAAGCATGCACCGTCTCTGCACATCTCGCACTGCGGGCTCGGAATATTGATGTCGGTATCAGCGACTGCCAAGCATATCCAGCGATGTTTGTGCTCACAAGGTCGTCCTGAGGATGTTATCTGAAGTTCACTTGCAGCAGCATCATACCTGAACTCTGTACAAGGCAGTGCTTGAGCCCGAAGAGCGACGATTCTTGCCTGCGCCAGTCAATGTTGTGTTTGTGACATGTGTTTGACACTCGGGTTGATGTTATCGTGGAGAGAAACACGCAGGAGATGGCGAAGTCAAGCCATCCAATCAACACCTGAAGATCGCCATGACTCCACTTTAATAACGGCGCGTTTCAGCAATGATTAGCGCGCGTCGTTCTGTTACGCAACTCGAGCAAGAGGAGGATTGGAGCAGGACGGGGGCAGGCAGTTGATCACCAAACGCATCGGACAGCAGGTCTGGACTTGCGTGAGATCAAGCGGCAGTCAGCCACAGCACCTACACTATCCTGTACGCGCCGGAGTTGGATTCGAAGCTCCAGCATCACGAAGAGGGAGAGATAGAGATCTTCACCTCCCAAGACACGAGCGAGATAGATTGTCTTGGACCTCCTGTCCCGGTCTCCACCGCACACATACACTCCCAAGATCGAAGCCACGACCTCCTCCGTAATCTGTCGCAAACAGCATCAGTGACTGGGATCACTGACGTCTGATTGTTCCGTCACCCCCATTCCTTGACACTGCTCTCCGCCACAGGAGTCCCTCGCTTGTGCGAAACGTCGAGATCTTTCACCCCCGTCGCTCACTATCAACGGCGTCTAGACCGTGTCGTCCACGCACACGATCCTCTCTTCACGTCTTCTCTTTGTTCCACAGAGACGTACGACGGACAAAGACATCTCCCACCCCACAAGCCACAACGCTTCATTGACTGAAGCACGATCACGCTGGTCGACGTCTCTCGACTGCTTTTGCTGCCGGCAGCAACCACATTCGTTACTCACAGCGCGACGTAGACTACTCGCCGTCACCGTCACTCAGCCACCAAACAGAGCAACGTCAGTCCCATTAGCACCTCACGATTCCTTCAATGGCCACCACACTCGCGCTGCTTGCAGCCGCACTACCGTACACACTCGCACAGACTTCAGGAGGACACGCCGGTGCGAACGAAGGGCCAACGGCGGCCGATTTAGAGAACATTCAGATCTGCAAATATACGGCGTGGACATGGGCGGCAATCATTGGCGGCCTGCTGATATACCGATGGACTCGCTACCTTCTACATCACGTGCGGCGACTAGCCAATCTCAACCAGGGTTCCACGAGCGATGGCAGGCAAAAATACTTCAGCCTACCTGACGAGAATTATGCCAAATTCAAGCGCCACCTCATCACGGCACCATTGTTCAGGAAACGACACAACCGCGAGTTCAAGCTCTCTTCGGCTCTCAATGTTGGCACACTTCCCGGCCGTCTTCAATCACTATTCTTGATTGGCTACTTCGCCATGAACGCCGCACTCTGCGCCATCAGCATAGACTGGAGCAACACCAAGACCTTCTACGATGATGCACGCAATCGGACTGGTGTTTTGGCTGTCATGAATATGATTCCTCTCTTCCTACTCGCTGGCCGCAACAATCCTCTCATCTGGCTGCTGGACATCAGCTTCGATACGTACAACCTCGTCCACAGGTGGATCGGCCGAATTGTTGTCTTCGAGGCCGTGGCACATACTGCCTTCTGGATGGCTGGCAAAATTGCCGTGATGGGCGATCACAAAGGCTGGGCCATGATCAAGGTCGCCATGGGCAGTAGCCAGCTGATCATGAGCGGAACCATCGGCACGTGTGCTTTCGTGGCCATCCTCTTACAATCACCTTCGGTCGTACGACACGCTTTCTACGAGACTTTCCTGCACGTACATATCCTGCTCGCCATCACTGCCACGGTCGCTGTATGGATCCACTTGAACATGCTCCCACAGCAGGCACTTCTCCAAGGCGCCATCATCTGTTGGGCCATCGAGCGTGTGGTCCGATTTGTCTGGCTGATCCGCAATAACATCAGCAGAGGCGTCACCAAAGCCGAAGTTGAAGCACTTCCAGGTGATGCGGTCAAGGTCACACTCCGTATCGCCAAACCATGGAAGTTCCAGCCCGGCCAGCACATCTACATGTACATGCCATCTGTGGGCCTCTGGACCAGCCACCCTTTCTCCCTGGCCTGGTCCGACGAACAACCAGAATTCGGTGGTGAGAAAGGCCTACCGATGGCTCGCCAAGACATCCTCGCTGCGAACAAAGCCCGCAGCATGTCCCTCATCATTCGTCGCCGCACAGGCTTCACAGACAAGATGTACCGCAAGGCCGAGAACTCCGCCGGCGGTAAATTCATCACCACCGCCCTCGTTGAGGGTCCCTACGGAAATCAGAGTTTCCAATCCTACGGTACTGTCATGCTCTTCGCTGCGGGCGTGGGTATCACTCACCAAGTCCCTCACGTCCGCGACCTCGTAGCCGCCCACAGCAACGGCACCTGCGCCACACGCAAAGTCGTCCTCGTCTGGATCATCCAGAGCCCGGAACATCTCGAGTGGATCCGGCCCTGGATGACGTCCATCCTCTCCATGGACAAACGTCGCGATATCCTCAAAATTTTACTGTTCGTCACCCGGCCCAGAAGCACAAAGGAGATTCGTAGTCCGAGTTCTAGCGTGCAGATGTTTCCTGGGAAGCCGGATGTTGGGGCGTTGATTGAAAAGGAGCAGGCCACTCAGGTCGGGGCGATGGCGGTTAGTGTTTGTGGGACGGGCAGTTTGAGTGATGATGTGAGGAGGGCGGTTAGGGAGAGGTGTGAGAGGACTGAGATGGATATCTTTGAGGAGGCTTTCTCGTGGTAGGGTTGTGAGGGAGGGTGGTGTGTGTGGTGGGGAAGGTGGTATGGTAGCTGGGCTGCTGTCTGTACTCCACGACTGAGTTTTGAGAGCATAAGACGATGATGACTTGCTTTAGCGACCTCGCGTCTGGACCATGGGATGCCGGCGGTGCTGAGAAGCTGCCGAGCGGCGAGGATCCGCGGGCCACTACCTGTGGCAATTCACTTCTATGTCGTTCCTTCCATATCTGTACAAATAACGTACTTTTAGCGCTATGCTTACACAATACCTTACGACACGAGTAGCGCCGTCATTACGTTGGAAGTCTCGTGCCGTTGTACACCACGTTTCATGGCTTACACATGTCCTTTCTATCCTCATCCTTACGAATGCCGCGCAGCTGTGATGACGAATGGAATGAGAATTGGTCAGTGTCGTAGGGCGCAGGCACAGTCTACAACTTTCACGAGCTGGAGGTCCTCCCTGTTTGAGCAAGCACTGAGGTCGACGTCTGGAAAGCTGAGAGAGCGTTTTGGACTGAAGCAGCATGAGGTGGCGCACGTCGACTGCTGAGGTGATGGATGCGGTATGTTCTCCGCCTTTTACGAGCTCTGCTGCTGAACACCTCGGCCAGGCGAGCAGGCGAGCTACCAAAGGTAAAAGGGATAAAGGCAGCTTCATGTCTTGAGCTGCTGGGAGGTGATTTATAGTCTATACTGAGAACTTCCACAATAACGGGAATCAAGTACTTGGACATAAGTTTATACGACATGGCATTCTACAAATCAAAGGGTCCAGTGGACTGCAACACCGACTTTGACACGAGCAACGTCCAAGGCAAGACGGCTATTATTACTGGTGGAGCCAGTGGAATCGGCTTGGTCTATGTTCGCACTCTTCTGGACGCCGGCGCCGCACACGTGGTCATCGCAGACATCAATGAATCCATAGGCAAGAAACTCGTCGACGAGCTCTCGGCCGAGAAGACGACGTTTGTGCGTTGCGATGTCACTTCCTGGGCTCAACAGGCCGCCACTTTCAAAAAGGCTAGGGAAGTCTCGCCGACAGGAAGGATCGATATTGTCGTCGCCAACGCAGGAATCGTGAGCCAGGATGATATCTCCGAACAAAACGACCTGGAAGCCGAGGAGCCGAAGGAGCCCAATATTAAGGTCACGTATGTGAATACTATCGGTGTCATATACACTGCTAAGCTGGCCATGTGGTATTTCACCAAACAGTACTCTCAAGCGCAGGGTAAGAAGCAAGAAGATCAGGTTTTGGTGCTGCAGGCGAGTATTGCGGGTTATGTTGACCTGGCGGGCGTGGCGCAGTATACGAGCTCCAAGTTTGCGGTCAGAGGATTGATGAGGTCGCTGAGGCAGACGGCGGGGATGAGCGGGGCGAGGGTGAACTTGATTGCGCCTTGGTGAGTTCGAGATGAGGCCCAGATTGTCTCACCCAGGTCGCGTGCTGATTGGTATGCTTCCAGGTATATCGATACTGCCATCATTCCAGACGAAAGCCGCATCGCGATCAAAGAATCCGGGACTGGCTTTGCTGAGCTCGCGGATGTTGGTCCGACATTACTTCGGATCGTGGCGGATAAGGAGGTGCACGGTACGTGTGCCAGACAGTATCGCTTTTGCAACCACTCGCTGACATCTCTTTGTCAGGTCGTGCTCTGGCCGTCTTCCCTCGTAGTTGGCCAGAAGCCCCTCGTGGTTATGTCGATCTTGATGCGGACGATCTGGACAAAGCTGGCTCGTTCTGGGCTAAGGCGCAGGAGAAGGGTATGGCGCCTGCGGTTTGGGGCGTTGAGCAGATGGGAAAGCTGCCGATGTCGTAGTAGGTCTTCTGATGGACTATGTTGCTGGGATAAAGTCGAGCTGTGCAGTGGGTATCGGACTGGGCGCAGAACAGGTAGCCCAGTCTTGTGTACCTACTCTCGAGGTACTCGTAAGCTTGTCATAACAAGCAGCAGCGATGTTCAGTCACCTTGGACATGGGTGTTATATTTCCGTTTCTCTACCTTGAAGTTCTTTATTGCGAGTCGGTATCTATAATCCCATACCAAGATCCTCCGCCAGAGAAAGGGTAGAGTCGTACAGCCTGGCTACCTGTTCATATCGCTGGATGTTCTTGATGCATCTTCCAATCCGCCTTGGCCGAGCTTGCATGGAGATACAGGATGCCATGACGTAAGCATCACAAGTATTTCGATCAAGACGCTGTTATGCTCGCATCTAGAACACAAAAGTTACTAAGCAGCACGTCTTCGTCTATCTTCTTATCTTCAGCAAGTCTGGCCAAACATAACCCCAGCAGGTTGTTGAATCGATGCCTAGCCAACGAGTGGAGGAAGATACGTACGCATCGATGGTTCAGAAGAGGGATGCCGAGAGTATGTTGAGCCAAGAGTGATAGAGTTCGTCATTGCCACGAGCCGCCAAGCTTTGTGTCCTCCCCAGGTCCTCCGCTTTTGGAAGTGCACTGATGTTCTAGCGCGGTGGCTAAGAAGCTGGCCTTGGCTTCCATTACTTCTCCGATTACACTCGTGCACTGCCTCTGCATCCTCGACCTCACCGTTCCGCTCCGCTCTTGGCGCCGCTCTTGTGGTCCGCTCGCTTACCTTTGTATATCATAGGCCCGCGATACGTCCGAGTCAGATGCTTGGCCTCGGGCCGGAGGACAACTTCCCTAACTTCGCACCCCTCTGATTTCCTCCAGTGACAAGAAGATACTTTGCTTGGCCAAGCATATCTCTTGGGCACCAAGAGTATGACCTCTTGGTGGAAAACCACCTCCCCACTATGAAGTACAGTACTCAGTATATATGAAGGCAGCATACCTCAGGTGAGACCTTTCCCTTGGCTACTTATCACTACATCCTTCGCTCTACACAGCACATTCGATTGCTACTACCACTTTATGTTATCAAAGCACTTGGCAGATACGCTTTCACTCCGTAGCTCACGGCTTCATCGATCTATCACTCAACATGGGGAAGGGTAAAGAACTTCCCACCAACCACGTCTCCGGACAATCGAACAACCCACTATCACGACCTGCTCACGCTTTGTCATGGCAGCAAGTCTCACAAGAGCTGCAAGCCGATGCTGAAGATGGTCTCACTTCCGGCGAAGCGAAATCACGACTGGACGAACATGGCAGCAATGATCTTGGAGACGGTGGTGTTGTGAACATCGCGAAAATTCTCCTCCGCCAGTTCGCGAATGCCATGACTCTGGTCCTCATATTGGCCATGGCGGTGTCCTTTGGCATCCGCTCCTGGATCGAAGGTGGTGTCGTCGCTGCTGTGATCATTGTCAACATCACTGTCGGCTCCCTCCAGGAGTACCAAGCAGCCAAGACTATGGATTCTCTCCGATCCCTGAGCTCACCGACTGCAAGCGCAGTCCGAGACAAACAGAACCTCACCGTGCCAACCATCGAGATTGTTCCCGGAGATCTGGTCGAGATGAAGACTGGCGACACTATACCAGCCGACATCCGACTCATCGAAGCCATCAACTTCGAGACTGACGAGGCACTGCTGACTGGCGAATCACTTCCTGTGCGCAAGGCTGCTGACGATGTCTTCGACGCCGATACTGGTCCTGGCGACCGTCTCAACGTTGCCTATAGCTCCTCTACAGTCACCAAAGGCAGAGCTACCGGCATTGTCTTCGCGACAGGCATGTACACCGAGATCGGCAGTATAGCCGCTGCTTTACGCAAAAAGGACAGCAAAGTCCGTCAGGTCAAGCGAAGAGAAGATGGCACAGCACAGCCTCATCGATATGTGCAAGCAGCCGTTCTCACCGTGACCGACTTTGTTGGCGCCTTCCTAGGTGTCAGCGTTGGCACACCTCTACAGAAGAAGCTGAGCAGACTTGCAGTCCTCCTATTCCTGGTTGCTGTTGTATTCGCACTCGTCGTCCTCGGCGCCAACGATTTTCGCAACAGGCAAGAAGTCATCATTTACGCCGTCGCAACCGGTCTTTCCATGATACCCGCCAGCTTGGTTGTCATCCTTACCATCACAATGGCTGCGGGCACGAAACGAATGGTCGAGCGACACGTCATCGTCCGCAACCTCCGATCACTTGAGGCTCTTGGTGCTGTCACAGACATCTGTTCCGACAAGACGGGGACGTTGACCCAAGGCAAGATGGTGGCAAAGAAAGCCTGGATTCCAGCGAAAGGTACGTATACCATCGGCGTAACGAATGAGCCGTTCAATCCTACGACCGGCGACATCAGTTACGAGGTTGAAGAGCCACGAAATATGACTGGACAAGAGCAGGAGAAGAGGAGCGAATACTCCGAGCTTGTGCAAGGCAATGAGCCTTTACAGGACTATCTTCGCGTTGCCTCCCTGGCCAACCTCGCGAACGTTCACAAGGGGGACAATGGCGAGTGGAGCGCTCGCGGTGATCCAACTGAGATTGCCATCCAAGTTTTCGCCACGAGATTCTCCGGCTGGAATAGGCGTGCTTCTGTTGCTGGAGATCATCCACAGTGGAAGCTTCTACAGGAGTTCCCATTCGATTCTGATGTTAAGAAGATGAGCGTCATCTACAGAGACCTGACCAGCGACCAACTTCATGCATTCACCAAGGGCGCCGTCGAGCGTGTTATCACCTCCTGCACCCACTACGTCCCAAAGGAAGACGCAGACCCGATCGAAATGACCGACAGCTACCGCGACCAAATCCTGGAGAATATGGAAGGTCTTGCCAAGCTTGGCCTGCGAGTCCTCGCCTTGGCTAGTCGTGACTACAACGAGCCTTACGAAGAGGGCGCAGAGATCGACCGTTCTATCGTTGAGAACAACCTCACCTTCCGCGGACTGATTGGCTTGTATGATCCTCCACGACCAGAGTCGGCACCATCCGTCAAGTCCTGCCACGAGGCTGGCATCGAGGTACACATGCTCACTGGCGATCACCCGGGCACAGCTCGTGCTATCGCCGGACAAGTCGGTATCCTCCCAAGCGACATGGACAAGTACAGCAAAGACGTCGCGGACAGCATGGTCATGACTGCGTCGCAATTCGACAAGCTCTCCGACGACGAGATCGACAAGCTGCCCGTACTGCCTCTGGTCATTGCTCGCTGCGCACCGAACACGAAAGTAAGGATGATAGAGGCCCTGCATCGCAGGAAGAAGTTCTGCGCGATGACGGGAGACGGCGTCAATGATTCGCCGTCGCTCAAGCGTGCAGATGTCGGTATCGCAATGGGCCAAGCCGGCTCGGACGTAGCCAAAGATGCTTCCGACATCATATTGACCGACGATAACTTCGCCTCCATCCTCGCCGCCATCGAAGAAGGCCGCCGCACATTCGACAATATCCAGAAGTTTGTGCTCCACCTCCTCGCTCAGAACATCGCTCAAGCACTGGTCTTGCTCATCGGCCTCGTCTTCAAGGATGGGGAGAACATCTCCGTGTTCCCCATCTCACCGGTGGAGATCATGTGGATCATCATGATCACCTCTGATATTCCCGACATGGGTCTCGGGTTCGAGCGTGCCGCCCCGGATATCATGCAGCGGCCGCCTCAGAGCCTGAAGAAAGGTATCTTTACCTATGAGATCTTGGTCGACATGTTCGCATATGGTGTCTGGATCGCGGCACTCTGCCTCAGCGCTTTCGTCCTGGTGCTATATGGGTTCGGAAATGACCAGATTGGTTTTAGGTGCAACGAGACGATCGGTGACGGCTGTGATACCATCTTTCGGGCGAGAGCTACTTGTTTTGCTACTCTGACTTGGGTGAGCATTATCCCACACCATCGCACCCTACTACGTCTACACATCCACTAACACGAATCTCAGTTCTCCGTCTTCCTAGCCTGGGAAGTCATCGACCTCCGCCGCTCCTTCTTCCACATGCGGCCCGACAGCAAGAAAATCTTCCAATGGGTCTCGGACGTCTGGTGCAACAAATTCCTCTTCTTCGCCGTCCTCATGGGCTTCATCACATTATTTCCTATCCTCTATATCCCCGTCATCAACGACCAGGTCTTCAAGCATACGGGTTTGACCTGGGAGTGGGCGATAGTGTTTATTGAGAGTGTGCTTTTCTTTGCTGGGGTGGAGACGTATAAGTTTGGGAAGAGGGCTATGTTCCGTCGACGGGCGGTGAAGGATGAGGGTACGAGCCAGGATGTTGAGGCCAGGATGTTTGGGCGGTATTTGACCGATTCGAGTTTGGGGAGTGGGGAGAAGAAGTAGAGTTCTTGGTAGATACTTTTATATTATGCTCTGTTACGACGAATTAAATGATACTAGTTGTGCGTTCGTCTCCTGTTCCTCCAACTTGGACCTGTGGTATAGGAGAACTCTGCTGTTGTAGATGTCTTCGACCGGATTCGAATGCGTTCAGGCAGAAAAGTGACACAATCACGGATTTCGATTGCCACCAGAGTCTTGGACCAGATCGGGATATTCTGGCAGATCGTGCCCACATGACTCCATCTTCCTGAATTTTACCTTTGCTTTCACAGTGTCAGGCGGAGATATGGTACTTCTCAGAGCATCGAGTACCGACTGTATCTTCCAAGCTCTCGAAGTCCGCCGTGAAAGCAGAAGGGATGCTACGACCAGTGACAGGGTGCGGGAGTCTTGAGCAACCCCCATCGCTGTTCGATTGATCGTTCTGTGACCTCGTCACGGGCGTCCCCCTTGCAGCTGCGCCCTTTCCATGCAGGAACGATCGCTAAGATGTTCGATTTGCACGAGGTCGCTTCTGTAATGCGGATGTTGCTTTTGACTAGCTCACTCACCCACTGGCACGTCTGTGATGTCGTGCCACAAGTCTGTGAGGCTGAAAGGTGTTGTTCTACTGTTCTCCATGATAGCCTGGGCACGTGGACTTCCGGCATGGATAGGTACTGGCGATAAATTTCACCGCGGGCCCGTTGCAGCGGCCTCCATGCCTTCCTGTAGCACCTGCTCGATCAAGGCGGGATTGAGGGCATCCTTGCGGAACTGCTCCTGTTGGAGGAGCTCGAGGGCTCGGAGTGTTGGACCGGGATATCTACCGCGTGGGTCAGTCGGACATGACACAGTGTGCGTGGAATGAATGATTATTTACAGCAGATACTTGATGTATTCCGGCTGGCGAAAGTACTCTAGATATTTGAGGTACGCCACGAATGTTGCGTCGTCGAAATACTTGTTTGCTGCTAGGTGCAGGATGTAGTGTGGATTGCTGAGGGACTGGACGAACTGTTGTCGTGTTAATTCATATGATGAAGTTGTGGATCCTGTGTGTGAGGCTCACTTCACACTCGATGTCGAATCTTTGGTGGACAGCGAACCAATTGACATCTCGTGACTTCGTGCCGTTGACATTTGCTTCAGCCATTGCGCTACTGTGGTCTCCAACGCATGGGGATCATTGGTGGTGTATTTGACGGCATGCACAAGCTTCCATATATTCTCCATATATTCCAAGACTCGTTCCTTCACGTCAACCGAAAGATGGAGTGGCGAATCGTGGTCGTCGGGCACAGACCACTGACGTCTTCTTCACCCGAGCAACAGAGCTCTGCGCGCCGCGCTCCTGCCGCAAACAAAACAAACTACATCCGTCTCATCACCCATCGACTGCTACAATGGCCTCTCACGTGCCCTTCCTCGCCGTGCGCCCGGACGAACAATTCAGCGACGACGTCGTCAAGACCCGCGACTTCGCCTCCTCCTCCTCCTCCCTCCTCGACCGCATCAACGCCGACGCGAACGCGATGGACGCGCCAGCCCTACCTCGCCTGCCGCCTGCCACTCGACTACCATCATGGGTCAGATTCCCCATGGTCGTCGTCATCAGCTTGACCTTGAGCGCGTTTCTGAATACTCTCATTGCCGACTTCACAGGCTATGAGCTCGCGGCTGTGAGTCGTGAGGTCACGGAGCAAGGACAGATTGCCGCGTTGATGGGGTGGAAGCTGGTAGAGTTGGGCACGGCTTGGGCGGCGGGATATGATTGTATGTCTCGATACACCACTTCCACAGCCCACGTGATGCGGACCATTTTTTGCTAACCAGGATTCAATTACATAGGGCGAGATCTCTCCGCACTGGCCATCTTGAGTAATCTCCCCTTCTACTTCCTCTTAACAACCTTCTACGGCATCGACTACTCCGCCGCCATCATCTCCCTCACTATCGACGTCGCCACCATCGGGATCCCATTTGCCCTCCTCCGCCCCTTGATCCGCGCCCATGCGCCTGGCTCTGCTCCCAACCAGCAAGTCGCTCAGGACCGCTCGGTAGGCGTCGCTGTCGGTCTCCTAGGAGCCAGTATATACGCCGTCGTCATCTACGGTAGTCTCTACACCTGGCTTCCAGTCTACTTGATCATCAACTTCGACGGTTTGAGGAGTCTGGATGGAGCGCATAATGCTAGCGTGCCTATGCTGATCGGATCTTTCCTGCCGCTGGGCTGGGCGACGGTGCAATTTCTTTTCACTCCCGTCATTGGCTCGAAGGGGAACCCGGGTCTGACGGATCCGGAGATTTATCCGGAAAAGGCGCCTTTCAACCCTGAGACGGCCACTTTGATCGATACGCTGGCTTTCAATCTGGGGTATTCGGACGGGTTTTCCAAGCGCGCCGAGGTGTTGGTGAAGAGGACGGCGGTGCTGGTTGCTTGTAGCGCGGCGAATACCTTTACGAGGGTGTTGCTTACGGTTGACGGCAGTGAGCCGGTGGGTGCGGCGGGGTGGGCGAGCGTGTGGGCTGTGGCGGCGTTGTTGACGAGTGTCGCTTATGGCTATGTGGCGAATGAATAGGTGGGAGCATTTGTGTGGTGAGGAATGCACGGAGAGAGAGAAGTTTGTATTGATGCTGGATACAGGCAATCGGCGTAAGATACCCACAGGCAGGAAGGCGGAGCACAGTGCTACGATACGAACAGATAGGTAAATGTAGTATAGTCAAAAAAGATTGTCTTTTGGATCCTCAATACGTTGAGACGCTCGTATGAATACCCTGAGCAGTCTTTTCTTGTTCGTGCTTCGGTGCGAACCGCTCCTTCGTTTCGTGCTGGACGAAGCACGTCTCTTCTGTCTTTAATTCCAACTACACGCCTTACTTGCCAAACGAACCTCCTACCGCTTCTTCTTCGCATCCCTCTGCTTCTTCCGCTCCACGAGCTTTGGCCCCTCCCTCTCCGCCTCTTCTTCCGTCCACCCCTTCCCAAAAGGCCATGGCAAGAACACACCCACCCGTTTCTGATAGAGTGAGTACTCAGGATACTTCCCACTAGAAATCCACTCCGTGATCGGCGTACTCCCCGCGAAAACAAGGACATACGAAATCACACCCCCCACCGTCCAGTTCCACGGGACCCCCGTCTCCCACGCCGCCCAGCTATACAATGTGATCCAGATGGTCTGCTCGGCCGCGAAGTTCGGGTGGCGACTATATTTGAACAAACCCGTTGTGTTGAACCCGCGATCGAGTTGTGCGCGCGTCCAGCCTTCGTGGACTTTTGCGGTTTCTTGGTAGGCGTGTTTGGCTTCGTGGTAGGTCCATTGTTGGCCGTCGGCGAACCATTCGAAGGCTACGAGGCAGAGGAGGAAGCGGGCGAGGAAGGTCGCAATGCCTTGTTCGAGTGGGGTTTGCAGGGCGCTGAGGCGCGAGGTGAGGACGAGGAGGTAGGTTGGGGTTGTTACGGCAAAGAGGAGGACCTGCTCATTCATTATTAGTATGGTTGGTTGGGGTTGGGGTGGTTGGGGTTGGGGTGGGGGCGTACACTCTGCATGCTCGCGATGAAGACCACGTTAAGGAGGAAGAACCATGGTTGCCCGATCTTGCCTTTGATCAATTCCCATCTATAGTCCTCACTGCCGATGTTATATCCGCCTTTCCGCCAGTAATTGTACGTCAGTCGCGCCGTCCAGATCAAACTAAATGTCAGCACCGAGTCCACTTTCCCCGTCGGTAGGCCGTTGGCTCGTGCCCAGATGGCATAGTGGATGTGGTAGATCGTGGGCAGGATACTCCAGACCCGGTCGACTTGGCTGTAGTTTTTGTTGATCTCCGAGACGACGAGGAAGATGGGGAAGCAGAAGAGGGAGAAGGCGAAGCCGGAGATTACGGGGTTTGTCGAGGCGTAGATGTTCTTTAGTGCGGAGGGGTCGGTGATGTGGGTGGCTATGTTGCCGGGGAGGGCGTAGAGTTGCGGGATGTAGGGTTCGACTACTTTGCTCCAGGTCGCGCAGTCGGAGAGGGAGGTGATGGCGGGAAGGACCACGCCGGTTGGGGGGATGAGCATTTTGGTGGTGTTTGGTGAGGTTTGGGGTTGTGGTGTGAAGTTGGATTGTACAGTTTCTGGGTGGACAGAATGTGGGACGATTTGTTTACGGTGACATCATCATGTGCGAATCCGGCATGGCTTCACTCGCATTCGTCCCCGTTCCTTCCTTCTTCGTCTTGTCTTCTTTTTCTAGTAGATGAATACTGATCTTACGCAATCTCGGGTCGGTTTTGAGACTGGGAGGGCGATCGATGTGGGCCTGCTACCATATATGAGTGATTTCGTCAAAGAACGATATTCGGATGGTCATGGGCTCCTCCCTACCGCTGGGCCGTCACGCCACGGGTTCTCGTGGTGTCAGACTTATACAAGTTCTCCTTCGCTTACCTTGAAAGATTTCACATGCCCTGTCTTTTTACTTGATGGACCCCATATCTGTCCTCGGCGTTGCCGCGGCATGCGTGTCACTCAGTGCCAAGCTCGCAAGTTTCGGGAAGGACATACACGATCTAGGAAGCTTAGAGTGGTACTGAGAGACAGCATCCGAGCAATAATAGTCGAGGTCAATACGTTCAAGATTGCTGTCAAGAGAATCTCACGCTGGCTCCGAGGGCCACAAGCGGCGGGCCTCTTAGCTGACAAGAAGTTCTGTCTTGCTGAGAGTCTAAATGGTACCTCAACTCATGATGAACGACAGGCACGTCCCAGCAACCCCAGATTGGTCGACACCACCACGTCAACAGCAATATCACGATCAGGATATAAGCCACGGCGCAGTACGCTGCTAGCACCTTAACGATCAAATTCAGTCGATGCAGTTTGGACGTCAGTCGCCAGAACATCAAGCAGAGGCAGCCTTTCACCGTCCAAATGACAGTCAAGGTGAACATTTCCATGATCAGAGTCTGCTTGCTGCCATAGATGGTTTGCTGTCGTTCGATGGGCGTGAGTGCTTGGGCTTGTTCAAGCGACATGTAGTTGCTGCCATTTTGGACGACCTCGTTGGCAGACCAAGTGAAGGCTGTGAGATTTGCCTGCGGATATGGTCAGTTGACTGATTTTCAGGAAGTAGTCGGAAAGCAGGGTACCAGGACGAAGAGCATGGCATACTCTTCGATCCACAATCGCTTGATAGATCCCTCTTGTATCATCCTTGACCATCTGCGTGTGACGTAGGTCAGTACTTGTTCTTCTCACGAGCTTGTTGATACCGGCGAGCTTACATTCGAGCAAAGATCAGAACGACGCCTATGGTGTTTACCGTCCATGACTGAACGAGGATCTCTGTAGTGAACAGCATGATACTTGAATTATGGTAATCGGGCCTGCAAAGCTCAGTTCGAGGATACCATCCGCTCTAGTCCTGCATTCAAAGCGACCGGAAAGCTTACAGTATGATGAAAACCAAGTCCTGCTGTCAAAGGGGTGGAAAACTCGTCGAGACGGGAAATGGTGGAAAGCAGTAGGAGACAGAGGTGTGGATGAGTCGTCGATCCCACATGGCCAACGAACAGGCATCGAAAGCTGGGCGATGTCTACATACCGTCGGTGGCTGTGTTCTGCCCCTGCAGTAGATGTCTTATCGTTCAGAAGCGATCAGGAATGCCATTCCATCCTGGTCGACCGAAGTCGTGCTGGCGTGCTCACGCTGTCCAGCTTTTATTGCCGCAGTAGTAGGGTCGATGTCTCGAAGACTTGATACGTGGAAATCTAGTTCGAGCTCCAACGCCCGGTAAGCAGGCCTTCGCAGCTAGTGTGTTCGCGCCTTCGGTGCCATAGTTTGTGCTAAGCGAATGGGAAGTACTGGAAGTGGTGACTTGGCTTTTCGGTGTCCTCCGTCTCGGCGTAGGATGGAAGCCTATGCGTAGACTTAGTGTGGTTGTAGCACGCGAGGTATGGCTTTCATGGAGGAAGCACTTCATGCCCACTACTTGCTTCTCATCCGCGAACATAAGGCTGTGAATGGCAGCGTCCTGCGCTTGATGCTGACTGCATAGCTGAGTAGACGGTTGACGAGACAGCTGAGACCTATTCGTCAGATGACGAGCGGTAGCGAACAGGCTCGCTTCAGCCCGTCCCCCAAAGGTCGGCTTGATCCAGTGGTACACGATCAGACTGCCAAGTCAGCAGTGAGTCAGCGAATCGCAATCGAACGACCCTCATCCTCCCTGGCCGCTGGCCTGGTGAGCATGACTAGTGACATCTTTCCGGCCACAAAGCTACCTCACGGAGCTAGCTTCAAGTATCAAATGTGCTCTTATAAGTCGCCGGCGTACTCGTTCTCGCGACCATAATATGGCGGGTGACTAATGAATTCAATCGTGAGCGATAGCCATTGATCTTGGTCAACTGGCTAGATCTGAGACTGATTCACACGGAATCATGTTCGTGCTGAGAGCGATCTCAAGTCTGGAGTATGAGGAGGAACTTGCTTCTGTCCTATCACTTGGCATCCTTCGGTGTCTGTCGCCCCGAAACCTTCGCGGGCTGGCTACGATCCACGCGTAGCTAACATTAGTTCAGACCGACTGCAGAGTCCAGCTCGTCTACATGCAGGTCCGGCATGTTGCATGATCTCCATCGGCAACAACAGAGTGCTGGCGCAAATGGCAAGCTTGTTGCTCTGTCTTGACGTGGCTCGAAGATCAGACCAGCAGCTTGGGCAGTGTCTTGTGCCCGATCAAATCCGACATTATTATGTCTCATCCACAGCCTGATCCGCAAGTACTGACCGTGAACGAATTTGTATCTCGCAGCTATGACTTCCTCATCGTGGGTGGCGGAACGGCTGGTCTCGTTGTCGCTGCCCGCTTGAGCGAACGGTCTGGTATCTCTGTGGGCATTATTGAAGCTGGCCTGGCTTCGTGGGACACCCTTGCCATCAATGTGCCAGGTAGATATGGAGAGACCATTGGGACCCATCAAGACTGGCAATATGAGACTACCGCACAACCTGGTCTTGGAGGTAGAAAGCTCCCCTGGCCTCGAGGCAAAGTACTCGGTGGCACCAGTGCGCTGAACTTCATGGCATGGGTGAGACCGAATGCTGAAGATATCGATGCGTGGGGAGAGCTAGGCAATAAAGGCTGGACTTGGGCAGAGCTGGAGTACATATTCCTATCATTGTCGATCGATTACGTTCCTACTAACAAATGATAGACCATACTATCGCAAAAGCGAACACTTCACCGAACCCAGCCCTGAGGACAGCAAGCAGCACAAACTCACGTTCGACAGGAAAGCGCTGGGTACTGATGGCCCTCTGCCTGTGACCTATTTGCGGGAGTACTCGGCCTCTCATCAATACTGGCACGACAGTCTCAACTCGCTTGGCATCGAAACGAATGAACATCACTTCTCTGGCTCAAATGTTGGTGTCTGGACTAACATAGTGGCCGTCGATGCTAAGAATGTCTCGCGAGCGTACTCCGCCACGGCGTACTATCTACCCAATGCTGGAAGGAAGAATTTGGCACTCCTAACGGGAGCATCTGCACGTGAGATTGTGCTGGAGCCGTCCGGCGATCATTTGGTTGCCAAAGGTGTACGCTTCCACCACAACGGGCAGGAGCATGTTGTTCGAGCGTCGCGAGAGGTCATCTTGTGTGGTGGAAGTGTTGCCTCTCCGCAGATGCTCGAATTATCCGGCATTGGAGATCCAGCCATTTTGGCCAAGGCGAACATACCTGTCAAGGTGGCAAACCCGAACGTCGGCGCGAATGTGCAAGATCATATCAGTATGTTCATTGCTAAGAGACAAGTTTCCCCTGCTGACATCGTGACAGTGACTTCACACATCTTCGAAGTCAACCCGTCCGTACAAGCACCGGAGGACTTACGTACAGATCCCGTTCTTGCAGCTGCAGCTGATGTACTCTACGGCGACTCTCAGAGCGGGCCACGCACCATCGTACCGGGCTCTTACTGTTACCTGCCACTCTCTCACTTCGTCCCTGTCGAGGAAGTAAAGGCTCTCGGTAGTCGTATTCAAAATTCGGCACAAAAGCATTGCATTCGTTCTCGACGACTGACTGAAGCTCAGCGGCTCGGCTACATTGAGTACATCTTTGACATCGGCAACTGGAGTCCTTTCTGGCCTGCTGAGAAAGGCAAGAAGTACGGCACACTTCTGCAGATACTGCAGTACCCGTTCAGCCATGGCTCGATACATATCAATCCGGAAGATCCACACGGCAAGCCCATAATTGATCCTGAATACTACGGTGGGGAGCATGGCCAACTTGACCTGGAGATCCATACCCTTTGCGCTGAATTTGGCCAAAAGCTCGTGGCTACACCTCCGTTGTCACAACTCATCGTGAAACCTGTTTCACCATCCGCTGAGACGGCGACTAGTAAGCAAGCATTGAAGCAGTGGGTTGTCGATAATACCATCACAGACTGGCATCCTATCGGCACGTGCGGTATGGGTGGGAGCGAGGGCATCAAGGGAGGTGTTGTTGACGAACGATTGAGGGTGTACGGTGTCAAGGGACTTCGTGTCGTGGATGCTAGTATCATGCCTCTACAAATCAGCGCTCATTTACAAGCGACAGTATATGCGATTGCAGAGAAAGCGAGCGACTTGATTTTGGAGGATCTGGATCGGCGTACTTGACTGGTAGGCGTTGCATACCACCTTTGATGGCAAAAGTAGTGCTTTTACTCCATGCAAGGGGTCTTGGAAAGGAGCTCTTACACTCGGTGTATGAGCACTCGTGGCAACGAACCTTTTCTTCCAGACCCAAGATCCTTCACCAGAAGCTACAAGCCGCACCAGCGATTACCTCGTCCACTTGGTGATGGGAAAAGCCTCAGAATGCCAAACAGAATCCTTACTCAACGAATCAAATATTCCTTCCTTGTGTTTCCTCGATTGGAGCCACGAGCTCAGATGCAAGATACACTGTGCACCTGCAGTCCAGCCAGCTCGGTAGTGGCTGATCTGGTGGCTTGCGGGGATCATATAGCAAAGGATCTAGTGCCGTTGTGAGAGCTAGGATGCATGCTTTGGCTGCAGCACGCTAACACGAAGGCTTCGTTCGACCGGGGCCGGGGCTCGTGCCTGCCTCTAGTTGCTTGGCTGGAGACAAGTTGGACAACGATTTTGTTTGCGGCATATGCATGCACTGTGTGCATCTTGGCGTGTTGTTGTCCAATGGATGATCGGGCCAGGGAGCCACGAGGTGTTTGGTCCGGCGATAAGGTGTGGGAGCTGGCACATGCCGGTCTGGCACTTGTTGGTTTCAGTGTTGAGGTGAGGTGAGGGTGATCTTGTGTGACCTTCTCGTTCCTACTTCCTATCATCCCACACTTGATCTCCCTTGCCACTCCTCCTGAAGTCTACAGCAGCCATGGCATCGTCCCCAGGTCTGACTGTCTCGGAGGAGAAACCTCACCTGCATGGCCATGATGCCGAGAAGACGACCCCCTCGGGTTCCGACACGGATATCGAGCTCAACAATGGTCGCAACAAGAAGTACTCGACTCTACGACACATCAATGCCAGGATCGAAGGGCTCGCTGGCTTTGAGGCGCGCGGCCTTACGCGTGTGCAGGAGGATGAACGACAGCCTGCTTCCTTCATGAGTATGCTGCAAATGCTACTCCTCTGGTTCTCGGCCAACATGACGATCAACAACCTCGCCGTCGCAATCCTCGGACCTATCACGTATGGCTTGGGCTTCGCGGACTCAGCATGGTGTGCGGTCATCGGGGTCTTCCTTGGAGCATTGACGACGAGCTACATGTCTACCTGGGGTGCCGTGAGTGGGAATCGAACGATGGTCGTGACGCGGTACTTCATGGGCTACTACCCTTCCAAGATCACCACGCTGCTCAACATCATCCTCATGGAGGGCTACTGTACCATTGACTGTATCATCGGCGGCCAAGTCCTGTCAGCCGTCAGCGGAGGCACAATGACCATCGCCGTCGGCGTCATCATCGTCGCCATCATCCAATGCATCATCGCTTCCTTCGGCCTCAAACTCTTCCACGTCTACGAACGGTAAACCTCCCCGTAGCACACCCGACATCACTGCTCGGATCATTTCACTGATACGATCACGTCTACAGCTTCGCCTGGCTCCCCCAACTCCTCGTCCTCCTAATCCTCGTCGGCGTCTCCGCCAAAAATTTCAACTCCACCCTCGCTTCCTCCGTCACCGGCTCGACCCTCTCCGCCAACCGCCTCTCCTTCCTCTCCCTCTGCTTCTACGTCCCTAACTCCTGGGGAGCCGCGAGCTCGGATTACTACGTCTACTACCCGTCCAATACGCCCAAATGGAAGACTTTTGGCCTCACCCTCGCGGGTCTGAGTCTGAGTTTCTGGTTCGTGGATTTGGTTGGTATTGGGCTGGGGTGTGGTGTTGCGGCCCTACCGGCTTGGTCAGATGCTTATACTACTTCGTCTGGCGCGCTGATCTCCGAGGGTTTCAGCCCTCTAGGCGGCTTCGGGAAATTCTGCTCTGTCGTTATCGCTTTCGGCGTCATTGCCAATGCGGTCCCGGGTGTCTATTCCGCAGCCATCGGATGCCAGATCATGGGACGCTGGGGCCAGCTCCTCCCGCGTTGGGTGTGGGTCGTGGTGCTGTGCTGTATTCAGCTCGTATGCGGCGTTGCCGGAAGGAATCAGCTGTTCATTATCTTCACCAACTTCCTGGCACTCATGGGTTACTGGCTTAGCGTCATGGTTTGCATAGTGCTAGAAGAACACCTCATCTTCCGTCCGAAGCTTGATTGGACGGCCTGGGCCGATCGTAGCGCGCTGCCTGTTGGTGTTGCGGCGTTGGTGACTTTCTTGCTTGGCTGGATGGGCGCGATCCTGGGCATGTATCAGATCTGGTATGTCGGTCCGCTGGCGGCGTTGGCGGGAGATGCAGATGTGGGTATGTGGGTGGGATGCGCATTCACGCTTGTCAGCATTCCGCCTTTGAGGTGGTTGGAGCTGAAGAAGTTCGGGAGGTAGTGTCAAATTTTTCCATAGATTGCAATCAGTACATACTAGAAGGTCATTCCGAGTGTGCATCGATTCCGTTCGGCGTAGAACGTACCGTGGACATCCTGACTGCCCGTCCAATGAACAGAAGCGAGTGTAGCGAAGAAGGATTGGGAAACTCCCAGTGCCCATCCAAGGAACACAACCCAGTGCAAGGGAAGATCCATGATTGAAGTGCTGCGTACCCTCCACCACCCATCCTACTCTCATATACAAATAAGTAATCTGACAGATCGCTGAACACATGCCCTCTCCCAATTAAACGGCCTGTTCCCTTGAACGAACCGCATTCACGACTACATACGCTGCACGAATGCCTAACTCTCAGGAATCGCTCAGATAAAATCATCATCATGGCGCAATACCCTCCCCCTCATCCATCCTCTCAGTCGGACTCAACACCGCGTCTTGTACGGCCAACCCACTACCCCTCGTAGCCGCAGCATCGAAAGCAGGCTCACTGAATGTCGGCGCGGCTTTCGCGGCATTCTTCTCTGCTGCGCTCAAGAGGAGGGTGGAGGTCGCGGGGTGGTCGCCACTTCCCGATCGCAAGGAGTGATGCGATGTCATCGTTGGCGCTGACATGGCCGTCGGTGCTATCTCCTCCGGGATTGTTTCGGTAGCAGAACCGGGCATTTGGCGTTGGGGAAGGTTCTTCTTCGGGAGTTTCAGGTCGCTGGGGCCGATGAGGGAGTTGCGGCGTAGTTCTTCGAGTTGATGGTCGGGGTCCTGCGAGTCACGACTCTTGTCAGCATGCTATAGCCATCTCTGCAGGATGACTATGGATGATGGGACTCACCCAATCCCCTTGCTCCACCACCCCCTCCGCACCCGGCAACTCTCCCTGCCCATCCCTTTCAATACCCCAAAAAGTCGGTCTTCTCCGTGGCGCAGGTGTGACAGGTAAACTTGGTCGTTCAACTGCCGAAGGGAAGTCGGTCAGAAGTAACGACTCTCTTCGTTCCCGTACCTGCTGTATCAACCGAGTAGGCTCCGGCTCGTTTGAAGGTGAAAGTATGGATTGCTGGCCAGGTATCCCAGCTCCAGGTTTGGCAGGTGGCGATGTGATGGCGGATGTGTCGTCTTGTGAGGGTGAGAGGACTTGGACTTTTCCTCTCGTTTTCTGGAAGCGGGTCAAGGCGCGGACATAATCATCGATGCCATTGACTTCGTCCCAGGCGTTTTTGTTCACGCCGCCAAAGCCAGTCCATGGTGCGTCGTCGACCTTGATCGTTGGTGTTGTTGGCGTGAAGTCGAGGTCCTCATCATCATTCGTCACTGCAAGCTCATCTCCGCCCTTGAAGTCGTCTTCCTCCTCTTCAGGCTCTGCAGGCTTCTCCTCATCACCCCACACTCTCGTTGGAGCTGCGTCGTTTCTCTCCTCCCACGGGAAGATGGCAGGTAGTGGTTTCGATTTTCCTGTGGGGACTTGATACCACATATCCTTCGGCGGCTCCGGGTAAGCAGCCGGTGGCCTAAAGGGCTGCGTGTCGGAGCTGAACTCGTAGACTTGTGATGGGAAATTGGCGGCTTCGGGTTTGCTTTGAGTGGGTGGCGCGCGGCGGGTGGCATCCCACTCGGCATGTGGAGCTGAAAATCTCCGTTGCTCCGATGTTGGTGTAGGATGTACATTGCCTTGATCGATCGCTTCTGCTTTCGGTTGAGGCTCTGTGAAGGGCATTTCTGACGTCGAGGACAGATCCGCCGATTGCACAGGGTATCCGGTAGCATAGTATGCCGGCTCCGTCTCCTTTCGTACCTGATCGCGAACCGCGTCATGCTGGGCAGGCTCTCGTCGCCCGGTGCTGATGTATTCATACGCTGAAACTTTGAAGTGTCGATCATATACTGCCCACCACCGACTTAGTAATTCCTGGAACACACCAGGTGTACCCTTCCCATTACCTCGCTCCCTCTGCCAAGGCTTCTCGCTGCCGATGAAGTGCACCATACTGATATCGCTCTTGTAGTAACGATATGCGGGTTCATACTGGTAATTGGCGGAGGGTGTGCAGTTGTAGGTGAAGCTCAGCCTCTTCCACCGCTTATGCTCATAGTACTGGTTCAGCAGGCCCTGATCTGCGCCATCGAAACTGTCCCCTGCTTTTGCTATCCCTCTCAACGCCCAGTAATCACCCTTACGTGGGGTCAAGGCCATGACGCCCGTGTTGAAGATGTCCGGCCATCCCACATCCGGTGCCGCAGCAAAGTCGTCCGGCAGTGCGAACAGCTCGTCCGGCGCACGCAACGCCACCACGTCCGCATCCACGTAGACGATCTTCCGGAACTGGGTCAGGCGCCAGAGGTTGATCTTGGTAAAGGTGTATAGCAGATCGGGCCGATTCATGAGGTAGAGATTTGCTGGACTCGGGTTGCCGATGCGCTCGATCGGGATGACATAATTGTAGAGGGACTGCAGCTCTGAGATAGTGCTGGGGCGGAGGCTGTCTTGGGTGATCAGGCAGGCGAGCTTGTGGGTGGTGCCGGCGTCGCGGAGGGAGTGGGCGAGGACCGCGGCTCCAGGAAGGTAGGCATCGGTCATGACCAGCTGTGGGCAGTGTGAGTTATTTATCACACCATCACACCATCACACATATGTCTTGCACTCACTGTACAGTACACACCTTCGCCGACCGCCATGGCGTTGTTGTGTAGCCCAATGGCTTCTGCCGTGTCGACTTCACGATTGTGTTGGGTAGTGGGCGCTTTCTTTTAACGATACATCGTGTCTCGCACTCCAATCTCTCAACACTTTCTGCTTTGACGCAAAATGGGATTGTTCACGTTGCAGTTCAACAGTCTTATGTACTCCCATATATACTACCCAGCAGTGAAGACGACTCCGCACCTCTGTCACATGGCGATAACAATGGCGCTTAATCCATAGCTTCGCTTGCTAGACTGCAGAGAGCTTCACGCACAGACGCTGCACGGTGACGCGAAATATATCAAAACCCCACTGCTCCATCGTCCACTTCTCCACTCCTTCACCTCACCGCACGTGCTCATGTCAGCCACCTGCAATATGACCGGAGATGTCTGACAGCTTGCGCGCAAACGCGAGCTTAGCATTGTTGACGACAACCCTGAGAATAAGTACGTATATTATCAACATGACCCAGCCTTGAGAAGGTGTTCCAAGCTTGGTCCGCCCGGACACTCTGACTTATTTTAGCTTCATCACGACTCACATGGTTTCGACAGCAGCGCCGGCGCCGCTATAAAGCAGACAGCATACTAAAGCATGATCTCATGGCCGACGGATGCAAAGGACGTGCCGTCCATGTCTGCCCCCCATGGCCAGCATTTTTTGGAATCCGGCTTATTGTCGGGAACGATGTACACAGGGCACACATGACTGTTGCACACAATTGTTGCGGCAATCTACGCTTGGCATATGCTTGGTCGACAGTGCACTCTGTAAGGCCATAACATTGAATCGATCACTTTTGCGTACGAGCCTTGTTCTTCTCGGCATCATCTTTCATCCCTGTCGTGCTATCGTTAGCCAACACTTCAGAAACTATCACAATGCTTCACTTACCCTGCTGCACCCACGCCCTGGACTGAGCAGCATGCTTCTCCATCTTCTCCTTGTCAGCAAGCAGCTCCTTCATCTTATACGGATCTGGCACATTCGCTCCCTTCTGCACCGCGGGTCTCCCCCACATCCTGTCCTCCCATGCCTTCAAGTGCGGGTAATGCTCGACCTCTACACCAGCCCATGGGCCCGCGGAGATCCAGCCCCAGTGGGCAATGTCAGCGATGGTGCATTTGTTGCCAACGATGTAGTCGGTTTTGGCGTCTGCTAGATGTTTGTCCAGGACGCCGTAGAGACGCCGGGTCTCGTTTTGGTACCTGTTCACGCCGTATTCGATGTGCTCTGGTGCATAGCGGGCTAAGAAAGTGTTAGTATGAACAGCATGGATGTCTCCTGCAATGCATCAGCCTCTCGCGCTTACTGAAGTGATTTGCTTGGCCTTGCATTGGTCCTACGCCAGCATTCATGAAGAAGAGCCAATTCGTCATCTAACATCGGATGTGAGCAGTCGCAAAAGCAAAAGTCCGGGAGTCTGTCAAGCTGACCTCGATATGCTCACGGCTTCCTGGAGGAAATGAAATCTTGTGGTCTTTGTCGTAGCGATCCACAAGATACTGCATGATGGAGCCGGATTCGAAAAGACTGTTAAGGTATGAGCAATTGATCTCCGTTGCTGAGGACACAAGACGAACATACCGGATGGTCTTACCATCAGTGAATTTGTCTGTCAATGCCGGGATACGTCCGTTGGGGTTGATGTCGAGAAACCATTGTTCCTGCGATGTTGAGTCAGTTGATAGATCCTGATACCATTTACAAGCCAGCATCGGGATAGTGCATGCCTTCTGAGTGTTCTTTGAGATGTCGATCTTCGTGAACTCATATGGCAGACTGTTGTTCACTTAGTGGTGTAGGATTGGAAGTCGTGTTTTGGTAGACTGACCCAAGCTCCTCAAGAGCGATCGAGATTCTGTCAAGCAGCATTAGATCCGCATCGGACTGAGGGGGTAAAGGTGTGGTGAGACACGTACTTCACGCCGTTGGGCGTCTGGGTAGTATAGAGGTGAACGTCGGAGCCCGACATATTGTATCACTGCTGAAAAACGGGCACTTTTCTATCAACGATCGAATTGAAGGAAACAGATCTTAGGGACGATGGAAGAACAGTGTATTGTAGAAGATTGTCACTTCTTACTTCTCACTTGCTTTGAAATACCGCCCCGCTTCAAAAGGTGCACGTCAGAAATGATTTCATCTCAAATCTCCGCTCTCCATCACCTTGCATGTCTTCGACGAGTGTATTGCCATCATCTTGACCTCGAATGGTTCCCTTCCAGTACACAACGACGATCCGTGCCATCTCGCTCGTTCACAACGAACACATCCTGACAGCAGGAGGCCCACACTCGCCTCATGAGCACAGACGTTGTCAACCATCTCATCCTGGTCGGCAGATCGACGCTTGTTTTCGAAGCGAAATGCCTTGTCGGATCACAACTTTGTAACTGACAACGATATATCCCCTTTGAAGTGCAAGACGCTGCCATAACTTCGAGCTCACAGCTCCCAATGATAGGACTGCCGTGGAACCTGTCCCGTTGCGTCTCCGGGCTTTCATAGCCATGGGAAGAGATGAGCATTTATATCTCCAGTCGCCACGCGCATGCCGGCCTAAGGACGACCGCTATAACGAGCCGTGTATAATTGTTCCAGTCGAGCACTAGTAGCTAGCGCTTTACCCTTGCAAGTACAAATGCTCCAGAGTATAACGACTCAATTTCTCCTTGGCCTTTCCCACCAAACAGCTGGTTGACATTGTTGACTACCATCCTTGGCCCATCATGACTTGTCGCCAAGTCATTGCGCTCTGGTCGCTGTTAGCTACAGCTTCCCTGTCACAATTCGTCCCAGCACCAACTGACCTCAAAACAACATCAGGAAACAATTACACGGTCCGCTACAAGCAAGTACCGGATGGCATCTGCGAGACCACGCCAGGTGTCAAGTCGTGAGTACCTTTTCTTGCTGCTCATAGGCCAGCCAGCACTGATACAGGTCCGAAAGCTACTCTGGCTACGTGGACGTTGATGTGAACCAACACCTATTCTTTTGGTTCTTCGAAGCCCGCAACGTGGATCCCCAAAACGCTCCTGTGACACTCTGGCTCAACGGCGGGCCGGGAGATCCCTCGCTTGTTGGCCTCTTCTCTGACAATGGCCCGTGTTGGATCGACTATGACCAGAATGTCCAGTACAACAAATACTCCTGGAACAACGTCAGCAGTATACTCTACATCGACCAGCCCACCCAGGTCGGCTTGTCTTACTCCGTACCAGTCAATAGCTACATGGACCCTGATACTGGAGACATTGTAACTGTGCCGAACAGTAGCTGCCCGGATTATGCTCCTGACGGCTCATGCGGGACCTTCTCGAACGGCAACGTTAGCTTGACTGCCAACTCGACTCCCAACGCTGCACCCAGTGTGTGGAAAGCTTTGCAAGGGCTCATGGGTGCTTTCCCGCAATATGCTCGTAATGGTGTCCACCTTTCCACGGAAAGCTATGGTAGGCTCATGGAAGGTCTTTGTGTCAAAGGTCTGTATGCTGACGATGAATGTAGGAGGCCACTACGGACCAATCTTCGCCGAGTACATTGAACAACAGAACGCCGCCGGCCATGGCCAAAAGATCAACCTCCAGTCGCTCTCCGTCGGCAACGGATGGTACGATCCGCGTATACAGTACCCAGCCTACTATAACTACACCGTCTCGCCGGGAAATACATACGATTTCCAGCCTTACAATGACACAGTGTCTGCTCAAGTCTACAACGCCTTTTACGGGAAAGGCAACTGCCTGGATCAACTCAACGACTGTAATGCACGAGGTATAGACGATGTCTGCAGCGCAGCCGATAACTTCTGCTATAACGTGGAAGCCATCTACGATACTGTGACGGGGCGAGACGAATATGATATCCGCGAGCTGTCGCCGGATCCTTTTCCCTACACGAATTTCGTGGCGTATCTCAATACTGAGAAGGTGCAGAAGGCCATAGGTGCCTACACGAACTTTACTTACGCCGTCACGAACCTTGGTGCTGGTACGACGGCTACTGCTTTTGGGACGACGGGTGATGATGCCCGTGAGCTGGGCATTGTTGCTGCGAACCAGAAGCTGCTGAAGCAAGGTGTTTCTATTCTTCAATACGCTGGTAAGGGAGTCATGAGTATGTGCAGCTGCTTGGATATGATCGCTGACGTTGTTGAAAATCAGGTGATGCGGATTACAACTGCAACTGGCTAGGCGGCGAAGCTGTCGCTGCTGAGATCAGCGCTCCTGGCTGGAAGAACGCCGGATATCAGAACCTTACCACATCCGACGGGACCGTACATGGTGTCGTCAAACAAGCCGGCAACTTCTCCTTCGTGCGGGTCTACGATGCCGGACACTCTGTTCCTTTCTATAAACCTGCCGTAGCACTGGATATGTTCAGCCGCATGTTGGCTAATACTGATATTGCGACTGGGAAGCAGAAAGTCACGGCTCGGTATTTGAGTCATGGGCCGGCGAAGAGCACTTATCATAATGGTAATGCGACTATTCAGGTGGATGTGGTGGATCCTAGCTGTACCTACGATACGAAGACCAATGTACCGGACTGTCCGGGCAATGGGACTGCATCCAGTCGTCGACGGGCATGAGGTGGCGGGAGAGATCGGTGGGTTTCAGGCTGTATATACATGTGTCTATATCTTCACCATTTATATAAGATCTCACAAAATCTGCTAGGGTGATCATGATCGAAGCATCTGTTACCAACTTTTACATCTTCTTCTTCCCAGCCTCCTTGGCTTTCTTCTCGCGCTTGCTGAGCTCAGCTTCGATCCCGATTCCGCCGAACACAAGGCCCACGCCGAGCCATTGCATTCCAGTCAATGCATGACCGAACCATACGACTGAAATTATCATGGTGAAGATCTTCCGCGTTACTGTGATGGTCACTAGAAGTAGGGAGCCGAAGATGGAAAGGGTCCGGACTGTGATTGTCAGTAAGCGTATTGTCATGTTGCTTCAACGGGCAAGGAGGAAGAGCAGGGAGACAGAGTGCGGACGTACAGATGAACACCTGGCCCATGGCGCCACAGAAGGCGAAACCTAGGATATCCCATCCTACAGCCGGGTGACGTTGGATGAACGCCATTGCATCCGCCAACTCCCCGGTCGAACTTCCCAGATCCATGCCGACATAATGACCTATCCCCGTCGCGGCTAGGTATGGTGAGAGTAGGAGATAGGTGATTGTAATACTCGTCGACATGATGTTAAGTGCGCACATCATCTGCTGTCCAGTATACGGTCGAAATCGGGCATAGATGTCATCTTGTGTCGTGTTCGTTAACCCATCGAAGAGAAGGTTGATACCCAGAAGCATAAGCCCGTAGAGTGAGTTCCCGTCCGCGCCCTTCTTCTTCTTGCCACCCGTCGATTGGTGCAGGGTGAATATCGCCACGCCGGAGGTCACCAGCGCCACCACGGCGTACTTGTAGAAAGGGTACCGTTTCCCGTACAGTGTGACGTGGAGAAACATTACGGGCAAGAGTTTGCAGGATTTGGCCAGAATGAAGGTTATGTAGTCCACGTGTTGGAGGCTGGCATAGCCGAAGGGGGACGATAGCGCGCTGCAGCCAGCTACAAGGAGTAAAGGCCAGACGATCTGCCTACTTGGGTAGATTGGGAGGTCGCCGGACTTCTTGCGTGAGATAAGGACGTAGATGTAGCCTAGAGTGGCGGCGAAGGCGGATTGGACGGTGTTCATCACGACTGGGTACTTGAAGATTTCTTTCTGGCCTGCGAGGGGAGCGTAATTTGTGGTTGTTATTCGCTCTTGGAGAACACCCCATGTTAGGCTGGATTCTCGATTAGAATGTCATCCTTGTGATGTGGCTAATAGCGGTCGTCTTACAAGGAGGCGTAGATACCTCCAACACATATAAGAAGATTTACTGTGTTGGACGTTTGCTTGGCTTCTGATTTCGTGGCGAGTGATGCATCGTGCTTTCCAGCTTGCGTACTTCCTCTTACTCTATCCTCGAGTATGCCATTGGCGTGTTTGGCAGCGGAGCCATTGGGTTGTCGATGGCGGGCGTCGCCGTTGAGTTGTGCCATTGTCGATATCTCGGGGTGTTGTCCACAATACGAAACTTGGCAGGGATCACGAGCGACTGAGCAATGGCTAGGATTGTATGCGTCAGTCTCCTGTACCGATGGAAGAAGATATATGGTAAGTTGTTCATTATCGAAGTCGATTCAGGAGACGCCGGCGAATAGATCTGCCGAAGATGCGCTAGCGGGTGGAGGTGGCCGCTGCAATGTTTACGGCTGTCAACAATTGCGTCAGAGAAATCTCGAGCTTTCTGCAGCACAAACCATCGTAATTGGCATTGGTCAACATAAGGTCTTGACACCAAGACCACGCTAAACAGTGTCACCTTCTCTTCACACATTGCCGCCACCATGGCAAGAAGATCGTCGGCCCGCCTTCGCAGTCGCAACTCGACCACGCCCAAGCGAGTCTCACTCTCGCACGATGCGCCGGCCGCCCGCACACCACGCACACTTCCCGCCAGACTGGCATCACTAAATGAGGAAGAAGACGATGAGATGCCAGGCGCTTTCCCGCGCTCTGTCTCGCCCGCTGTAGGCACCCCCACCCGTCCAGCCAAGCGCGTCAACACTGGCACAGCCGAAGCCACACCAAAGACTGCGATGCCTATCAAGCCCAGCGACCAGGAGATGCATCCACAGAAGCACCATCAGACAGTCGCCAAGCCACTTGAAGATGCTCGCCACTTTGGTTTCCAGAGTATGGGTGCTCACACCGAGCCAGCGAGGGAGAAGGCAAGTGGCATCGCCCAACCCCAAGCCACACCAAGTCGCGCCCACAACAATCCTCCCAATCCAGTCAATGATGTCAAAAGTCCGAGTTTTCAGTTCACTTTCCGTCGCGAGCACAGTCTGGAGTTGAGCCCGGACGCCAAGCGTCTGATGCTGGAGAAGCGGGAAGAAGCGGTACGCATTCGAGAGCAGATGACGGCGAAGGGCGAAGGTACGCAGGAGTTGGTGGAGGCTTCGAGAAAGCTAGCTACGCCGAAAGGGAAGAAGGGAAGGTTTAGCGGGGCGCATCAAGAGGCGTTTGGGAAGATGGCGAGTATTGCTGGGCATGCTTCGGCTTTTAGGGCAAAAGGCACACCGAAGGTTGAGAGGCCAGGTATAGCAAGTGAGAGTACCAGAACGCTCAAGCGTAGCCCATCGAAGGCACAGCTGGACGACACTCATTCCACAGCCAAGAAGACACTCACGCGCAGCCCCTCGAAGCCAATGCTCATCCAGCATGGAGGCGGTCTACCACGCCCCACCTCAAGTTATACCTTACGCCAAAATAACGAGTCATCCTCGCCAGCCAAGCGCATGAAGCGTAGCGAGGTGGAGGATGTGTCTGCTACTCGACCTTACTCGAGTGACGACAATTCCACTAGTCAGCCCAGCACGCCACAACAACACAAGACACTGCGTATGCATCCCAGCAACCCGAACCTGGCGTCCCTCACGGCGGCTACTCAGGCGTCGCTCGCACGTGGTGCGAGTGTCAAGACCAACAAGACTAGCATGATCCCAGGACCTAACTTGATGCGCTCTCCTTCGAAGCCCGCACTTGTCGAGAAGCCAGCCATCGATAAGGCGAACACCCCGCTGCTTGCTCGTTCTCCGTCGAAGGCGAACCTCTTCACTTCGATTAGAAGTGAGGAAGTCGAGTCGGCTATCTCGACAAGTCCTTTGCTCTCCCGCTCGCCCCTAAAGGTCAGCGTATTCAAGAAGGTGGTGGCGGACAGTAGGGAGCCAACATCGAATGGCCAGCCAGTGAAAGCTGCGCACCCCCTACTCGCTCGGTCACCGCTCAAGATGTCTGTCGCCAAGAACACGGACACTTCTGTAGCCGAGCCAGCTCAGGAGATCAAGGTCCCACTTCTGGCACGCTCGCCATCAAAGATCGCCTTGCCCTCAAACCCCACCACAACCCAAGTCACCGCGCCGAGCACCACAGGCAAAGCTTCAGGCTTACTCTCCCGCTTCAACCTTCTCCGCGCATCACCCATGAAATCCATTCTCCGCTCTCCACAACGCCTCTACTCCAATGATCCGGCAAAGGTGGCTTCGGGAACACATTTCGCTACTCCACCGCCAAAGAATGGCACATTGTTCTTCGGCACCAACAAGATCGCTCCTCAGCCGGCTGTCCCTACCACGGCACCAGTTGGCTCGAAGCGAGTCGACTTCACTTCTTCCACAAAGGCACGCTACGAGGTCAAGGAGGCCAGCAGTACGCCTTCTTCTGGCCCTACACCACAACCCACGAAGATCGAGGCTGGAGATGCCCATGCTAAGGATATGGAAATCGACTACCCTGCTCTTCCGTCCCCATCAGCTGCACCATCTCCCGTCATGGCTTCGCCCTCGCCACAGAAAAGGAGACAGACTGTTGCTCCTGGTGACTTCACCTTCCGCGCTGGTGGCCACTCAATAACTTTTGGAACATCGCCTAATGCTAAGGATTTGGTGAAGAGGCCGAGCATCCGCCACGTCTCTGCTGAGCCGGCTGCAATTGTGCCGCAGAGATCTAGTATGGCTGGGGCAGTACCTGCAGCTGCGCCTATGGTACAGGGCAGCAAGAAACGCAAATTCGAATATGAGAACGAGGAGATCTCTGCAGGCGAGGACAAGGAGAATACCTTAAGCAATGACCCCCTCACCCACCAAGACAACAAGGACGACGAGGACTTCGAGGATCGTCCAGCCAAGCGCACGAAGATGGCGTCATCTGAGGGCCCAGCACTCGCAGCTGCGGTAGCGAAGACTAGGGAGAGCTCGGTCTCACCTACTAAGCGCATGCCCACGCTCGGAGTCAAGCCAAAGGGTGTAAAAACGGCTGTTGGTGGTAAGAAGAGGAGGGAGACGAAGAGTGGGAATGGGAACGGTAGCATGATCTCCCAGGCTAGGTTGGCTGCTCTTGCTATGCCCAAGAAAAGGGGTTGACGAGTGTAACTTGAGAGACGGCTGCTTGGGTTTGGGAGCAGTGGTATGAGTTGTGCCGAGAAAGTGGTATGTCGGATTTGGAAAGCCGCTCGGTTTGAATTGTGTTTCTAGTTATAAAGTATATTTAGCAATGGCGCTGGTTGGCGAGACCATGGGAAAGTTATGGGGTCTTTTATGCTGCGCTGGATCGGGTTTCGTACAGTATATGCATATTCACATGCCTTTTCCAGAAACATATATGCAGTTGTATCACTACCCAGTACAAACGGCAACAGAAGACTCTACGGAATCTGCAACGACTATTCTTGGTTGCTGTCCCGATATCTGCCTTGGACTTTTACGCCAAGGCTTACCAAGCTGAACCACCGCTGCAAAAGGTTTCGCGCTAATGCAAGTATGAGCCATCGTCGCTCATCCGCTGTCGACACCACCTCATAAAGATCTCACTTTCTCACCTCTAAGCACCCTTCCTCTTTTCATCACGCTCGCACAAGGCGAACACAGCGCCTTCCAAGAACTACTGCCTTACTACCGGCCTTCTGAGGGAGGCCGTTGATTTCCACTGCAACAATGCCTACTACCGGAACCTCAGCAGGAGCGTGCCGCCAACGGGTTATGTTTGCCCTCTGCGGTCAGCGAACTACTGTTGGACGACGATTGGTGGGTCGGCGAGTTTGATCAGTTTTTGGTAGATCCAGAGAACGACTTGGCTGGAGATTGCTGCGATTTTGCGATGGAGTCTGGGCTTGTATCTTCTTCTACTTCTTCGGGATTGGACCTGGAGGATGGATTTCATGATGCTGGCACGAGATGTGCGACGACTATCGATTTAATGAACGATACGGGATCATTGCCTACTGGAGATGGCTATGATCATGGGTCAGTCCTGTTCCCGAGTATCGGTACTACGGATCTTCTCTCGCAGGGCTATCCACGTCCACAAGACAGCGACATGTGCCTCGAGAAGATGTCGGTCAAGGTGTCGTCGAGCTTGCGATCGTCGTCCTCGACCTCGCCTACAGTCCACTCTGGTGCGAGGGTGACACCAGCTTCTTCATCTGTTCCCTCGCGCAAGCGCACGAGCTCTCCGGACTCGGTCGGCGAAGCCGGCAGCCAGAATGTCAAGCGTCAACGCAATACAGAAGCTGCGAGGAGGTATCGACAGAAGAAGGTCGATCGGGTGTCTGAACTTGAAGAAGCGCTTGCTGAGATGACGAGGGAGCGAGATGAGCTTCGATTGCGGCTTGCGAAGTCGGACGGTGAGGTTAGTGTTCTGCGTGGTATGGTTGGGAAGGGATGATGGTGTTCATATCTCATTGTGGATTACTATGGACGAATATCTGGACATTCATGGTTTCTGTTAGCTACTATCATCTGGTGATATGGGTGGTATAGTTGTAAATGTGGGTTTGGCACGTCTGTCGGACGATGTCGTATAATAGCATTGGAGTCGTGTTCGGCGACCATCTCATATCGGCAAAATAGGTTTTCTTCATACATGCTTGGGCTTTGATCATGGATATGTTGGACTCACATTTCATTCGTTGTAGTAGCACTTCTCGACAAGTTTTGGGAGTCAATGTCATGAGTACAGGGGAAGATGAGGGGTGTACGTGGCCCACAAGCTCTCTATATGTGCCTTGAGGCGTGGTTTGGGTACCTTGATCCACACTGAGACAGATACTGTACAATATGGCTCATACTGAGCAAGGTTAGATCGACTCGTCTACGTTCTCACCTCTTTGGGGTAGATGCGCTTGTACCATCCTTGATCGGGAAATGGATGGCGCTGTGCAGTGTCTTGTCTACATTACTCCGTCAACGACAAGACGGTCTCCAAGGGTCATGTAAGAACATAAAGCGGTGCAACCCAAGACACCACATCTGAATCTTCGTTCGACTACTGCATCTGATCTCATCTAGATAGATTAACTTCTACGAGTGATACGTAACGCTGAAGATCTGCAACCCTCCTGTGAAAGAAGCGATAGTCTGCAAGAGCTGCTGAAGAAGCTGCCCATTGCTTCTGGCCATGGTATACCCCTTCCCATTTCCCAGATCAGTAATGGTGAATTGCTCAGCACTGCTACTTCGCTTTCCAACGTCAGACCAGAGCCAATGTACTGCCCGTTGAGCGCACTGCTGATGGTGAACACTTTGCTATCGCCATCACCTTGTTGGTGTAGTATCCAGCGCTGACGAATGTCGTTGTGCTGAGATGTTGCCTTTGTGATAGAGACGAAGCTGTTGACATTCGACAACGCCCAACCGCCGAACTCGAAAGTCAGGTAGCGGCCTTCAGTCAAGGCTCCACGGACTGGCTTAAAACCTTCTTCAGTCAAGGCTGACATGTTGGCATTCGCATTGTCTGGGCCGTACGGAACTGGTGGTTGGCTGTTTGGGTAGGTGGATTGGCATTTCGCCGCTCCGATGTAATTGCCACTCAGTGCTCCGATGAGGCCATCTGTGGGTTCAGGTTGGCTCAGGTCTCGCAGAGGAGCGGGAGCTTGAGTAACGTTCGGAAGAGAGTAGTCGGGATTGTCAAAGTCGAAGGCATTGACAAGATTCGACATGTGCTCACGACGCCATGGTGGTAGCTCCTTGCTTTGGATGTTGTTGTACCCGAGTGCCTCAAGCCATTGCTCTACGAACATGATCTGCGAGCCGTGATCGGCATGTTCGGTGAATACATGACCACCTCGGGTCCAAGGCGAGACCACGAAGAACGGTATGCGGAAACCTGGACCGACTGGCGTCTCGCCTACCAAGCCATATGGATCGTCAATCCTGGAGAATGTCAGCATCGTTACAGCTTCATCTTACATTTAGGAGATCGCGAGCTCACCACTCGCCCGCTGTGCCAGCCGAAGCATGAAAGGGTGTGACATGATCGCCGTAACCGCCGACTTCGTCGTAGCTGATCATCAGCACAGTGTCCTTGTAAGACGTGCCAGTGGTCACGGCGTCGACGACCTGGTTTATCAACCAACCACCATCGCTTGGTAGATACGGTGCATGCTCAGACAGCTCAGCGGGACCAACGATATAGCTGATCATTGGCAGAGTACCTGCCTTCGCATCGGCATAGAATTTGTCAAGTCCAGGATAAGAGTTGCCGTGCTTGGTCAGCGGGTTTGATGTATCGTTGTCCACTGCCTGGTACTGTTGGAAGTAGGCGAGCATATTGTCTTCGAAGTTGTCCGCATCTTGGTAGACCTGCCAAGAGACATTGGCTGCCTGCCAGTACTCGGGGACGGTCTTCCAGGTGAAGGGATAGCAGTTGAGGTGTGGCTTCTCGCAGCCAGGAGTAGCAGAGTTGTCCAGGATCATGCCCCCATTCCCATCAAGGTTATTGGGTGTACCTGGGTTGTTGACAGTACCACTCTTTTGTCAATGATCAGTGAAAGCTTTCCGGAAGGCCATGGATTGTATAAATACTTGCCATCCACGCTATCCGATTGGGATCGGTCGCAGCCAGTACTGCTTCTTGATACATGTCGCCTGTGAGGGCGAAGTTGTCAGCGTCACCCTCTCCTCACCTGGTGTCAATTTAAGAGTTGGCCTACCGACAGTCCAGCCCTCAGCAACGTCCCAATGTACGGGAATATCTCTGCGCTTGAAGTAGCCGATACTCCATCTTTGATATGCGTTAGTCTACGATGACTCGAAGATCCTAGGCGTTTATCGTACGGGGTGTTTTTGGCCGCCCTATAAGCAGTTTTAGTGACCACACGTTACGAACCATGTTGACCACGACCCACCACTGGTTCGTCAACCCACCATTGTATGCCTCATGCATCTACACCGGACATCAGTATGAATAATTCGCAACATGATTACTGGAAGGCGTACAGCTTGCCATGAATTGGAACCTGCGCCCATCTGGAACCCTTGTTCAGCATCCGTCAGTCATCCACATGCGGGCTCATAGCATCGGGTTGCTTACGCATCCAGTGGCATCCGGCCAAGTCCCGCCTAAGTAATTCAGATACCAGGGCTGAAGTGTATTGGTTGCGTTGCTCATGGCCGGAGTCACCAGTCTATCAAGAATCAGCCGTAGATCGGGACAACTCTTCTGTTCGGTTGCACTGACTGCTCGAACGTCGTCTTGCCATCCGGGTTGACCTGCACGTTTGGGTCCGCAAAGCCTCGTACACCAGCCTACGTGCAACACAGTTAGCATCCTGTATTTGATTAGAGAAGTGGAGGGCGGCTTGCCATTGTCCCGAAGTAGTGATCGAAAGCCCGATTCTCCTGCATGAAGAGTACGACATGTTTGACATCCTTCAAAGAGCCAGCCGAAACGGCAGCGATGAAGAGCTGAAAGCAGACACTCGACAGCATCGTGGTGGTATAGGAAGACGCAAAGAGACTGTGAATCCGCGCACATGGGCCACAGTATGTACTTTGCTGCTAATTTCCAAGCTGTACATGTTGATGCCGGTCATCCGTTAGCATGATTGCCAAACATCCCACGTGCTAGCCAACTCGTTGCCCTCATGGTTGGAGGAGTCTCTGCTCGCAGTAGTAATGGAGGCAGGGACGTCCATTTGCCGAGTAGAACAGGTGCAATGTACTCTCCACCTCATGTACCTGCATAATGTCTTCTACCCTGCAAATGAAAGAGGTGGAGGAAGACCAGTCTGGTGAAGTTCTTGGGACACGTGCGAAGCTTTGGAGGGCTCGGATTTCGCGCCGAATCACATTTGAATCCTCAAGATCTGCAAACTCTCGCAAATTGTTGGCGTTACATTGCAGGCGAGACTCAATCACTTTGCACCAAGAGGGAACATTTTAGCTGAGAGTCAAGCATGCGTCCTGACTTGGTAGCGCTCCGGACACAAGGTAGGCTTGACATGTGCTTCTCTCATTAGATAACAGACGATCGTCGTACTGCTCCTTGACGTCTCACTGCTTCACGATGCAGAAAACCTCGGGCTAGGTCTGGTGGCTTGCTGTTGGCGGCATGCTGGAGATCAGAATGGACAGACACTCTGTCCACCGACGACTGGCGTTGCTACTGGGCTTCGTTCTCGTAATGACAGCCATACTTGGCTGGTACACCGTCGCTCGCGCAAGATCTGGGGTTGAAAACTTGCCTGTCGACAAGACCAAAGCAGTTGAGAAAGGAGCGGATCGAAGTAAAGAGGATTTGTTAATCATGCTCCGTCCGGACGATCACATTCACCGTCCGGCTCGTGTAGTCCAGCTGGGTTGGGAGATTACCAAGGGCATGCGCCGACCCGACGGGGTACTGAAGACTGTCTACCTTATCAATGGCCTTTTCCCTGGTCCCACCATCGAAGCACGCTCTGGTGATACGGTGATCATTACCGTGCGAAACGAAATTGATGGTGGAGAAGGACTCTCCCTGCACTGGCATGGTCTGCGGATCGCCAACGCGATGGACGGTGTCGATGGTGTAACGCAACAGCCGATAGAACCTGGAGATGCCTTCACATATCAGCTAGACATTCCGCAAGATCAGTCTGGCACTTTTTGGTACCATTCTCATGCCGAGACGCAACGTGCGGATGGACTTTATGGTGCATTTGTTATTCATGCGCCTGTCAAGACGCGGGAGGCCGGTATTGCCGGTAGTTCCTCGACCTACGACACAGACGACGTTCTGATGGTCGGAGACTGGTACCATCGCTCCTCAATGGATGTGCTGGACTACTATCGTGATTGGAAAAACTTCAAGATCGAACCTGTTCCAGATTCACTATTGCTGAACGGACGAGGTAGTTTCGAGTGCACTCGGGCTGTTCCTGCGTGGCCAGTGGAATGCCAAAAGGCCATCTTGCCTGAGCTCAGGTTCTCAGGACAGCGTACTCGTCTGCGCATCATCAACACCGGAGCATCTACGGGCTTCTCAATAGCATTCGCTGGTCATAGTGCGTCACTACTTACTGTAGACGGCGGCAATCTTGTCGCCCATTCGGCACAAGGCTCTGGTTTCGGCATACTGTATCCCGGAGAGCGAGTAGACCTGATCGTACAGAGGATGGAGAGCGAGGAAAGTCATATTACGATTGCTCTGGACCGTGAGACCATGCGCTTTCCCAATCTTGCCCTGTTAGCCACCCAGCAGTTTCCGATTGCCACTGAATCGAGTTCTGTTGCACGACTAGGCCATGAGAATAAGACCGCTTCCATCGTCGACCTGTCAAGAGTGTCTGGCGTGGAGACTGCGATACCGAACAAGGCAAGTGCGACTGTACTGCTATACACCACGATCAGCTATCTAGCGGAATTCTCGAATAGGCCGAAAGGTTTCATTAACCGGACATCCTGGGACACGGCGGATCTTTCAGCAACGCTTCTCGAAATGCAAGAAACCTCCTGGCCACTGGAAACTGCAAAGTCGGTACAACATATAGCCTCTAATGGAATGTGGGTCGACGTCGTTCTGAACAATATGGATGACAAAGGCCACCCTTTCCACCTCCATGGCCACGACTTCTATGTCCTGAGTAGGCACTATCCATCTCGTCGAGGTGTGTACGAGTCCTATAATCCGTTCGATTCCACCTACGACCAGCCGGGCGAAGGCCCGAACGTTCTCAATCCTGTCAAAAGAGATACGATCCATGTCCCCAGCAGGGGCTACGTTATCCTGAGATTCAAGGCCGACAACGCCGGATTGTGGATGTTCCATTGCCATGTCTTGTGGCATCAAGCTGTTGGCATGGCCATGGCTTTTAAGATTCCACCGGCAGGATGCTGAGTGTACGAGGTGTTGTTTTTCCCATGATGCCTTCCTGGTTGAAGATGATTCTCGCACTGCGTCCCTATTCATCATGCAATTGCGATCTTGAAGACTTGCGGTCTCAATGATTCTGGACAGTGCTGTTGCACAGAATTTTCGAGCTTCGGGACGTGACAGAAGTGATCTCACGCTGATGGCCAGCCATCGCCTCTCGGTGGTGAGAAAATTAGCGCAAGCAGAAGGTCTGCACATATTCAGGGACAAACGACCGAAGTCTGCTCGGCTGGATTGCATCTACTTGCTGAAAACGAACGATTGTGCTGGACTGCGAACCACATTCGTGCGACGCAGTCTCCTGGTTGGTAGAAGGAGCATTCCATCTGAGGGATGGTTAAGGCTCGGTCGGGGTTCTGTCAATGCTGTGGAGCTTAATTTGTGTCCCATGATGCGAGCAGCTTCGCAACCCGTCGGTGGCATTTTTCACGTGCCATGTCCTCTGGTGTGCCACTGGTGCCGTCCCATGCCGCTTCGACATCCACTGCTGCACCCTTCTCCAGCAGTAGTCGTACTGCGGCAATGTGGCCTCGATTCGCCGCCATGTGTAATGTAGTAGCACCTTGCTCCGTCTGGGCGTTTATGTCTGCACCATAAGATAGTACCAGATCCAGGACCTCTGTATGGCCTTTGTGGGCTGCCCAGTGCGCACTCGTCAGCCCTTGCGCCTGCGCCAAGCTGACGTTGGCACCGCCGCGCAACATTACTTTGACTGAAGGAACTGAGCCTGATGCTGCGGCATATTGAAGCGCGGTTTGGCCATCAGAGTCCAAGCTATCCACCTGGGCTCCTCGTTCAAGTAAAAGCTCGCACATGGCACTTTGCCCGGTCACAGCTGCCTGATGCAAGAGGAATGCTCCGGATGTCGAACGGAGGCTGACCCGCGCGCCGTGCTTGAGGAGAAGTCTTGCAGCGTCTATGTGGTATGCACTGACAGCGCACCATAATGGACTGTAGCCATCGCGACCACTAAGCCAGTCGACGTCGGCACCATGTGCTAGCAGAGCAGAGAGAGCTTCGCAGCTATTGGACCAGGCTGCGAGGTGTACAGGACTGTTATCGTGGTGGTTAGTGAGATCACGAAGGGGGAAATCTTCAGTCATGGAGACTCACGTATCGCCTTTTGCATCTTCGACAGTCATTGATGCAGAGTAGCGAAGGAGGACAGCTATACAGGCCGTGGAATTGAGATGTGCTGCCTGGTGCAAAGCTGTGCGTTGCAGCTCACCAACTGGCTCATCAGGCGTGGCGTCTTGCTCCAGAAGATCACTGACCAGCTCGAGCTCCTCGTTCGTGACCGCGTTGTAAAGTGCGTCGGTGTCGAAGACCTGCTCCTCGGCTCTGTCTTGGTTTTCGGGAGGAGTCGGTTCTGTTGGAGCCTTCACATCGGACTTCTCCACTCTAGCGAGAATGGATGGATCAGATGGTGGGCTGTATTCTGGCGGCGGCTCGATCCAGGCTCCGGTGTCTGCCATAGGTGTAAGACCAGTTGTAGGCATAGCAAAAGATGGCATCAGATCGTGGTCACGAGACGTGCCAGCTTTGACTTCCATCTCGCACGGAGGCGTAGGTGGCCATGCGGAAATGTGAGCATTGTTGACTAGTCGTTCAAGTGTATTTCGCTGCTCCTCTATTTGCTTGGCCACTGCCGAGCCGGCGCTCTCGTCCAGGTGGGATAGTCTGAGGCTGGTGCGAAGATATGCAAGTGTATCGGATATGGGTTCTGTAGAAGAGCTAAAAGCAGCCTGAGGATTCAAAGATGCTCCCGTCCACGATGATTGTCGTAATCTGTATAGAGCTGCCATCAGCATGGCAAGCTCGGCGAGCAACAGAGAATGTTCATCCTGGGAAGACCGCAGCTGTTGTGATAATTGCGAACATTGATCTATCAGGCCTTCCACGGCATTGCCATCTGGCCTAGTGTCGTTGGTAGTTACAGAGACTGCAGCTAGCTTAGATGCAATTGCCGCACGCGTGTCCTCGTCAGCATACAGACTGTCGACGGCCATCCGTCGTCGTGGGTCGGGTCGTTTCGATGAGCTGGCATGAGCGACCTTGTGCTTCGGTGTTGCTGCTTGCGATGCATTCTGATTTCTCCAGATTGACCCCACTGCCACCAGCGAGAATGCCACACAGGCTACACCAAAATAAGTGGTCGGATTGAGGAATGTGGCCTTGTCCATGTTTGCCTCTGTCAATTACGGCCTCATTGAGCGGTGGCGAAAGCGAGACTCAACCAGCTGCGAGTATCATGGCTTTGGCCAAGAGGACTTTCATCAACGCGTACGACCGCGCCTATGTTATGTGTGTGTTTATTTTCGTTGCTAGGCGAGATGACACTTTGCTGCCGGGCGCCACACCCGTCTTCTCGGCGTACGATGTTGCGGAACTCCGAACTTCACCACTGTTTCTCCTCGAGCGATTTCAACTCCGTGGACTAGTTCTATCGGTTGGACACTGTACAGTCGGTACGATCGCCAGTCCACAACTACTACGCATCCTTGCCCTGCTACATGTTCTCGAAGAGAAGACCTGCGGGTTCGCTGCTCTCATTCCGCTACCAATTCCTCGCACAACGCTCTGTAAGCATCGACGAACACTTGTGTCAGAAACTCGAATGTAACGTTCATAATGAACCACTCTACAAAATGCTTGCGATCGTCGGTTGACGCCTCCGCAGCCTCGACACTGCTGATGTCTCCGGAAGCCTTCTCCTGTTGGGCTCGAATCATCTGGTCTAGGCTCTGCTTCGGACGAAGTCGTTCGAAGACTCGGACACGAATCTTCTTCTCGACTGCATCACGAGCCTTGGCTAGCTCTTCCGCAGTGAACCCATTGAATACAGTGATGACTTGGCAACATGTCGGCTTGCCACTCATGAAGCTAATGATAGGCTCCTGGCCATCAGTCTTATAAGATGCAGTCGCAGCTTCAATACCAGCCGCAACATCCTGCATCTTCTGCCATCTCCTCGCAAACAAGCCCATGTTCTCGTTGAAGCCTCGCTCGCAATCTATAATCTGATAGCCAAGAGAGAATGCGTTGCCGCCCGCTCGACGCTGCCAGATCTTGGCTTCGTCCATAATCACCAGATCGTTACTGGCCAGCATTGCACCTGTAGCTCCGCCTAATGCTTTGTAGAAGCTCACATAAATTGAGTCGAACAAAGCACCAATCTCAGCAAATGACTTGCCTGCAGTCGCTCGGTAATATGGCTCGACCTCCCACAATCGAGCGCCATCCATATGGAACGCCACCCCAGCCTTTCGACATGCTTCGGATAGCTGCTCAAGTTCCGAGAAGGTATATGTCTGGCACCCGAGCACTCGATTGGGTACCTCGATGAGCACTGCAGCCGGTCGCTCGTGCTCCGGTCGGTCAAGCACCTCAGTGATCTCCTTTACGGTCGGCAGTGCTGTGGGATCGCTTCCAAGTAGTTGTCGCTGCAGCCCATATAGCTCCGAGTATGCGCTTAGCTCACAATCTTCAAGGTGAGACGAGACATGCCATGCCGCTTTCTGTCTACTACGAGCGTTGCAATGCCCTTTCAATGCAGCCAGTTGAGCCTGTACACCAGTGACAAAGAACAAGCCATGCTGCTTTCCAAGCATAGTGGCGATGTGCTGCTCAAAATGCTGCTTGTGCGCGCCACCACCATATCTGTCTAGATCGACTTCAGTCGGCAAGCACAGCATCTGCTTCCTTTCTTCGAAGCCTTCAGCTCCTAGTTTCTCCCTCAAGTATGCTGTTGGATCGCTTGCGTAGTGTGCTGTGCGAGCTATCGTGTCAGCGGCACTACGCTCCTCTTGGAACATGCAAAGCTGGGTAATAACATTATTTGTTGGCTCCATTGTCTTGTCTAAAATCTCGCAACTCGCAGTGACAGCCGTTTCGACAGTGTTTGACATTGTGATCGGTCTTCCTTCCCATGTGTCACTTCTTAGGCAGAGAGTTGGACACTTCTTGTGGTAAGTGCAGTATAGTAGCTCGACTCTCGTCCTGTCCTCAGATACATATCTATGCTTTTGGTGAATCAGATGTGCGAATGCAAACTCAACAGTAGTAAGCAGCTGCCTGTTTGGACTAGTAGATATGTGCTTTGCTCCGCCCGCCTTTAGATACCTACGCTAATACTCATCCTATGGCGTGTTGACTCATCTGCGAATCCGAATTATCCCGCGGGCTGTGAAATCGGATGTTACCAATGCAGACGCTAAGCCAAATGCAAGAACCCAGTAGCTTTATCGAGAGTAAAGAGAGGAGGCCGGCGAGGGTGGTTGCTGTGAGCGATAGGCATAGCAAGTAAAGCAGTCTCCACTGCCCTAGCAATACAAGGTCATTCAGTTCGCACGCTAGGTGGCTTCAAGGATCACATCTGGGCTGATCGACCACGATGATGCCCGATTGTGAAGTATGGAATGTGAACGAGTTTTGCTCCCCGAACGAATCCTGTGACCATCCAAGAAAGCAGTATGATACTCATGAAACCTTCACCGGCAGTAGCAGAAAAGATGCAATCATCAGACAGCAATTGGAGACTTGGAGCTGTGCCATTCTAGAAGATCAGGGCAACGCGAAGGACTTCAAGAGTACTACCGAGCACATGGCGCCATTCTTCCAAGCCAGGATCGACGTCTTGCCAATCGCCATATCACGAGAACAACACATTGAAGCATTGAGAGCGCACTTCAAGCGTCTGCCAAACTTTGGAATCGAGATCATCAATGTATCCACAGACCTTCATACCTCGAGCGGCGTGGCTGACGTCTTCTTATGCTCCCGCATGACAGGCCTGGAGTATGAGTTTGAGCGGGAAGCAGTCGCTATACTGCGCTGGCAGAGGCAACGCGGACTCTGGACTTGTGTCAATTATGTCACCATGCGTGGGTCCGCCGGCTTTGCGACCGTTTGATAACCTTTCCTGGATGATTGGAGATCGGAGTAGATGCTGGAAAAGAAGTAGGAAGGCAGGTGCTGACGAACAAGAACGTGATGATGTGGTCTACTGTTGGATGTCCACGATGGGGTCGGCACGACTGTAATCCATGGTGAGCCCGTCTATACATCCCAGTCTGGACCTGGCTACGCTTGGGGATAGGACGCAGCTGCTCAAACTGGCAATTGTGGTGGAGGCAGAGGTTGCACAGCCGAGCGAAGCGAAATGATCAAGACTCCTCAACGGACAAGAACATGCGAACAGAAGAACTGAAGCAGCAACTCGAGTCCTCAGCTGCCTAGTCATCAAAGCCCATGGTGATGCACGGGACTTCGACACGCATGCTAAATCGCAACACTTGTCGCCCTGCTTCCACGGCAGACACGATGGTCTCCCTAATACCTTGTCTCGGGAGCAGCATTTGCGGTCTGTAGAACATGCGAAGCGATATCAAAAACGTGTCTAGGAATCTCCAGGTCCCGAGAAACGTCGCTGACGTCTCTTTGTCGTCCCAGCTGGCTGGTCTACCGCATGAAAGTGTTGATGGGGCTGTTGCGGTCATAAAGTGGCAGAGACAGCTGAGCAATATAATTGTATCAGAGTTACGACGTTACGAGGGACCTCTAGCTTCACTATCCGAGAGCATGCCACTGATATTGTGGAGAAGAGGTACGGAAGTCGAGCTTGATCCAAGAAATCAATGCTGGGGTATCTGAGCTCTGTGAACTCCTCTGCGCTGCTACTAGTGACTACGATTATCGCTTCTCTCCTACCTTGGCCAAACCCTCCGTCACCTCAATCCGTCCAGCAATGATCTCCCTAAACTTGTGCCGGATCTCGAATGGAGCAACGTGGCCAAGACCCTCGTGCTTACTGAAGATGACACCGCGCTCTGTTCCTCCCAGGCCCGCTAGCATCATCTCAGCGTGCACGAAGTCGATCATATGGTCGTCTGTGCCGTGGAGCACGAGGATGCGCTCGCGGCCGACAGCGTTGGCAAGTTCGTTCAGTTGCTCATCGCTTTTGTGGTGAAAGCCTGCAGCGTAGAGCTGGCAGAGGAAACCTTTGGGTTGAAAGACGCCTGGAGTTGTGTTAGTATCACTTCAGGGAGTCATCAGAATATATGTCGTGTCACTTACCCGGCGCAAGGCGCTTGCTTAGCTCGCCTGCCGCGAACCGATCACCATTTGTTGGGAAAGGTTGCACTACGGACTCTGTCTCGTCTGGTTTCTTGAGCCATGCGGCACTGTAGCAGTCGGCCTTCACTTTACTGATCTGTGCGTCGAGAGCTTTTGGCCACATGAGGTTGATCCGATTCCGCATGTTCTCCATGTATGGGAGTGTCCGCACGATTCGGGGTGCTGTGGATATGAAGTTGAGACTGCAGATGTGCTGAGGAATTTGGAGGGCCTGACAGCGTTAGCAGAAAGTAAGAATGCTTCATATGAGACTGCGTACCAGTTCTTGAGCAATCATGCCGCCCATGCTTATGCCTATGACATGTATACTTCGCTCGTCAGTCCAGCCGACGTGTTGTAGTAGCTCTACGGCATCTGCAGCCATCTCGGAGGTCGTGTAGCGAAGAAGTGGCTTGTCGCTGTCACCGATCCCACGGTTGTCGAAAATGAGGCATGTGTACTTGTCGCCTTCAGTATGTCCGAAGTCTTTCGTCTGCCGCTGCCATGTCTTCATGTAGCCGCCTAGACCCATGATGAACTTAGTAGTGTCAGCCAGATGACTTTGTTTCCATTAGGATAGCTACATACCACGATCTTCCTTGGCCCTCTACCGTGAAGCTCATAAGAAAGCTTGAAAGGACCGCCTCTGCCATCAGCCACATCGATTCGCTCCTTCTTCTCCGCTTTGAGATCCCAATTCACATGTGGATACTCGGGATAAGCTTGAACTTCGTCGGCACTCAGCTGCTTTCCTATCTCATTGCTGATACGACGATGGTGTTCCTGGCTGAGATCTGGTAGGTAGCCGTTTAGCTGAGCCGAGAACTTTGATAGATGTTCTCTTGTCAAGTCTGGTACATAGCTGCCGACCTGAGTGGAGAATTTCTGGAGATGACCACGAACGCCCTCCATGGCCACAATGTCGCCTCCGGCGCTGGACGTGCAAAAGAGCTTGTATTTCCAGCAAAGAGGGAAGATCGTAGAACTTGAGCACGCGGTATCTGATCAGCCTTACAGAATGATTGTTGTCGTGTAACAGTGCTTGATATGCTCAATGCGTAATCACTGTTAGTTGATAAGATACTCTGTTCAGTCTCCGGGGCTGTATGACTATATCAGCGAGATGGCGGTCAGGTAAGGAATATAATTGTGGAGGTGTTGGAATAAAAGGCTAGAAAGCAAACATTACGACGTTGCAAGTCGGCTGCCTCGTTGGGCCGTCGTCTGATCTCGCCTCGTGTGGCCCAGGCGTAATGAGGCTTGACTCTAGACCCACTTCGCCGGCTACCGAACTCGACATCGCTTTCAGTCTTCCTTGCTTCCTCTTGTCATCACACCAAGACAATGTCTAAACACAAGCATGAAGGATGCCGCCCGAAGAAGGATGCGGAGTGCACTTCTGACGACACTAGTATACATCCCCAGTACAAGTGGACGATCCCTCCGGGTTGACCAAGCAGCCCGACGTACATAGAGAGTAGGTTCAGGACGTCGGATCTGTTAGGACCTGGCCGACACTGGTCACACAATGTCTTTCAACCCACTCCCTTGCCAGTTCTCGCTGGCATTACAATATAGTCCGTATAGACCCCTCTCTCGGTAGTATGGGAAATCTCGCTCTTCGGCACAACCTTCACGATTTCCTCAGCATGGCCTGCTTCAACCCTACCATCGTCTTTGCCCTGCTCCAGCTCTTACCTCGCATCGACGCCAGGTTACATCGAGTCATTCGACAGTCTGGGTCGCAGGATATTCCAACGTACTTGCAGCAAGTGAACGCCGCCCGCTTCGACATCGCCATCACACAAGCCGGGAACGAGAGTGCTGTCTGTAGGCATCTTGATCAAGACACCACATACGATGACCAACCATATGACGCTGCACTGGCAGAGCAATTGCTGTTCGTTGTTCTGGTCCCTTGAAAAGTCCAATGTGCTGATATCCCCTTAGCTATGAGACTGCTAGCGGAATCATTATCTTTCCCGACCTGAAAGGAGCTGCTGTCAATCTCACTATTGCTTACGAGGCGCTCCAGAGTGCGCGTCAAGGAGCAACGACGTCGTCCGACTGCGCCGACCTCGATGTTGGTTCGCTTGAAGCCGCGGGTCTCAATGGTACTGCCGTGCAGAGTATCGTTTGCAGCGCAATCCGCACGACGAGCACTCCGGAGTTATCCACCCTATCTTTCACCAGCATATCGACTGGTTCGACCACCGGCGGGAGCACATCGCCACTCAGCAGTGCTACAACCACGTCTATCAGCCTCACCACCTCTGCTATGTCAAGCTCCATCACATCGGCAACGATGTCTAGCGTTATCACGAGCACATCCAGTCTCACTACTTCTTCAGCGACTAGTACAAGTGACACAGCCTTGCTATCTTCTACGTCGAGGAGCGCTCTGATCATTGGGACAGGTTCTTCTACGTCTGATGAGAACCCGGGTACCCTGCCTATTACAACATCTAAAACCACGATCACACCTGCCTCATCGTCCGCGTCGTCTCTTTTGACAACTAGCATACCTTCAGACACGAAGTCAAGCCTCGGAAGTAGTGCAACGTCCAGTCTCTCGGCCAACTCGACACTCTCGCTCAGCAACAACACGACCACCGCCGCCCTCGGCCCTTCCGTTATCGTTGGCTCCCCCGTCTCTGTCAACATCACGAGATCTGCGTCCTTGCTCTCCGCATCAATGACCACGCCTTCCGACGCTATCATCTACGCAGGCACTATCACACTACTCAACACCGTGTGGATCTTCGTCGATCTGGCAAATCCTACGCTGGGTACTACGAGCACTGAGTTCGGTTCTGCTGGTCTTCCTTCGGTAGCTACGGGGACTGGAGTATGCGCGCGTGGCGGAGGTGAGAGGTTGTAGATCATGGGTAGTGGCGCAGAAGGATGTGTGAGGCCTCTGGAACATCAGTAGCATAGACGTTCTCGGATAGTGGATAGTATAACTTCAACACAGTAGCATACTTACAATTTACAACCGAAGCAGACCGCTTACCGTGCTAATATCTGCGATGCTTGGAAGATGTGCGTTATATTTCGGCAGCATGTACATCCGAATAAGCGAGTGATGGTCTCTATGCTCGCTGTGATATAATACTCGAGCTCCATCCCACTGGACGGAAGGTCGTTTCAAGCTACCACAGCACTACAGAATAAGACGTGCGCCATGCCAGATGAGGGAGGGGAGAGTGAAACGAGTGCAGCGGACGTCCTACTTCTCAAGACATATCTGGAGGGTCTGTAAGCGCATCCGGATGTACTCGGGCTAATCGGGAAGGGCAGTTCAGATCTGTATAGACGGCTGGAGATGCTTTGTTAGCTAGTGAAGGACATTATGAGTATGAACCGAGGGGCGGACCGAGTGTCAATCCGATCGAGGAAAAAGTGAGTGCACGCTGAGGGAGAGGATGGGATGGCATCGGCGTTCGGCAACGGGACCGGAAGATTGCCAAGACTCCGCGATATGGTTCTCGTTCTCGCGTCATAGCGTTTGCGACAAGATCCGGACCTCTGACTCTGCCTGCGATGATATCTACGAGTGGTTATTGCACTGCAAGCATAGTGTTTTGGAAACAACTTGAGTGACCGGTATTGGAAGAAGGGTGCTGCTGGAGTCGGTCTATCAGAGATTGGTCAGCAGATTGCATAGGATAGGACTGCGCATCAAGACATTAGTTGGTCGAAACGGGCACCAGCTTCCCAATGCGAAGGTGAACAAGACAGTGAGGTGGAAGTCCCTGATACTGGACCGCGATTGACCGATCCCGCTGGATCGCACCTTCTTGCCCTGACGCGAGAGCACCACCGCGCCTTCCACAAACAATCACAATCGCAACAATGAATCCCTCGCGACAACCTCCAGAGTCCACGAGCCGCGGCGGACCTCCCAACGTCAGCGGATCGGCAACGAATATGCACGCGGAGCTCATGGGCGCCGGCTTCGCATATGCGCCTCCCCCAACCAACGGGCCCAAATTTGCCGAGATGCCGGCGCAAGGCTCGCATTGGTTTCCCGGTGGAGATGCCGACTACGGCTTTGATGACGAGAACGGGGAGGGCGGCGATGCTGCGGGAGATGGCGACGAAGCCGAGGGTAGAGATGCCAAGAGGCGGCGGATAGCCCGAGCCTGCGACATGTGCCGCAAGAAGAAGATCAAGTGCGATGGCAAGATGCCGAAATGCTCGCACTGTGAGAACTACAAGACCGAGTGCATCTTCACGCAGGTGGAGAAGAAGCGAGCCCCGCCGAAAGGGGCCAAGTATATCGAGGGACTGGAGAATAGGCTGGGTCGGATGGAGAACTTGCTGCGGTTGAGCGGACTGCTAGCGGAGGATGACGGTGGCAGGACTGATCTGGGTACGCTGGAGAAGCGATTGGCGGAGCGGCAGGGCAGTACGAGTCAGGATAGTAGTCCTGCGGTGGCGAGTGGGAGTCCTTTGGCACCGGCCACGGCGGGAGCGGCACCACCACAGCGACAAGCTGATCTCAGTCGTGCTTCGGCTAATGGAACGCCACGCTCAAACAACCGCACGCCTGCCTCAGCACATACCGCACCACCTCCACCACCTCCGAAAACAACATCGCCGGCGTCCGCCACAGCAGCTGCGCCACCACCACCATCCGCGACAAAAACTATCCCGGACAACCCGTTCAAGCAGCCAGAAAAGACCGTCGACATGCTAGCCGACCAAATGTGTAGCCTCATCACAAACAACTGCGGCGAGACACGCTACATTGGCTCCTCATCCGGCTTCTCCATCTTCTCCCCAAAAGGCATCCAATGGGTCAATGAGAAGACTGGCGATAACAGTTTTCAATCTATGATCGCCACCGCCACAAAAGACGAAGTGCAAACTGGAGGTGGGTGGGAACACTGGAAGCCGGAAGTCTTTAACGATTTGTTCGAGCGAAAGATCTTCAAACCACTTCCGCCCAGACGAGAGGCGGAGGCGTTGTTGAAAGATTACTTTGAGCACTTCAACCAGATGTTCCCGCTTTTCCACGAACCGACCTTCATGCATTTGGTGGACAAACACTACTCTCTGGAACCTTACGAAGGATCTGGATGGTGGGCTTCCCTCAACGTCGCTCTCGCAATAGCCCACCGCCTCCGCGTCATGTCCAATGTTGTCGGGCAAGAAGAAGACGATCATGCTTGGGGCTACCTCAAGAACGCCATGGCTGTTATGACGGAGCTGACAATGCGGAATACCGACCTCCTATCCGTACAAGCACTTCTGGGAATGGCATTGTTCTTGCAAGGCACTCCGAATCCACAGCCCACTTTCTTCTTGGTCGCAGCGGCGATACGGTTGGCACACAGCATTGGCCTCCATAAGCGAGGTAGCGGCTTCAATCTCAACGAAGTAGAAAACGAACAACGCAAACGCGTCTTCTGGATTGCCTATCTGCTGGACAAGGACCTGTGTCTGAGGAGCGGAAGGCCACCGAGTCAGGACGACGATGACATGAATGTCGAGTTACCGTCTGAGGACCCACCGGATAATGTCGGCACAGTTCCCCTTACCAAAACCGATGGTGGCGGAGAAGACCGCAAAACGATGAACCTCTTTCGCTTGATGTGCACCTTCGCCCAGATCCAGTCCCGTGTCTACAAACACCTCTACAGCGTCAAAGCCTCTCGCCAGTCCGACGGCGAACTCCTAAACACCATCGGCCTTCTGGACTCTGAGCTCGAGAACTGGAAGGAAAGCATCCCGGTAGACTTTCGGCCCGAACATGCTATCAATGCCGCCCACACTCCACTGATATTACACGTCGTCTGCTTGCATTTCGCTTACTACAATTGTCTAACCACCATCCATCGGATGAGCGTGCATCATGGGTACTGGACGAGCCGATTGAGTGATTATGCAATTCAAGGACTGAATGCCCGGCCCTTAAATCCAAGGGTCTTCATGTCCGCGGCGTTGTGTGTGAATGCGGCGAGAACGAGTATCGGGTTGATCCGGTACATTCCTCAGGGCGATTATGCTTGTGTTTGGTAAGTCGTACAACTTCTATCACGATAGTCCGAAAGCGCAAAGCCTTGCTGACATCTCGACAGGCTCATTCTCTACTATCCCGTCTCAGCACTTGTCACGCTCTTCGCAAACATCCTCCAAAACCCTCAAGATGCTCGGGCCCGCAGCGACCTCAAACTCATGTCCTCCGTCGTCTCCTTCCTCACAATGCTGGAACGGGATGTCAACGAAGCGAATGGGAACGTAAGACGCATGCTTAGTGTGTGTGCGGAATTCGAACGTATTGCTCGTGTTGTCCTGGACAAGGCGGAGCGGGATCTTCGTAGCGGAAGAGGCAAACGCAAGATGGGTGCTGCTGTCGGCGCGTCGACTCCAGGAGGCTCACAGACTAACGGCGTGTCTGGTGGAGCTGAGCAGAGTGGTGGAGCGGAAAGAAGGATGCCGACCGAGCGAGAAAAGGCTCGGATACTGCGCGATCGAGGCGAGCAAGAGAAGGTTGTTGATGAGGGGTTGTCACAAGGTTTAACGTTGGAACAGATGCAAGTCGAGACGCAGGCGGGGTATAGACGGCCGATACAGACGCCCAGTCTCCGGGCGAGTGTAGCTGGATCTGCGGGAGCCAGTCCAGCGAGCTGGGGTGGAAGTCAGCCTGGTGGTATCGGGGCGGAGTACAGGAGTCCGAGGTCCGCTACTGATTCATATGGCCCTCAGCAGCAGCAGCAGCATTCACAACAGCAAGGCGGTGCAGGTGCTGGCTTGCCGAGCATGATGGGTAATGGATCGCGACAATGGGATGGCGGACCCCTGCCTCCTTTCCTCATGAACATGAGCAATGGAGATCAGCTGAATTACGGCGGCGGCCCACCGCGCTCGCCTTTACCTGGCCCAGCTAACTTCTCCCAACCCCAAGGCCAGTTGACAGACGGTTACGGTAATCCTTCGGTTACTGGTTTGACACCGCCAGGCAATAACGGTGGTGGTGTAGGCTTGACGGACCCATTGCTGGGGGATATGGGCGCAATGACTTCCGGGCCCTTCGACATACCGAATGGCAACGGGATGGGCGGCGGAGCTGGTGGTGGTGGTGGTGGTGGTGGCATGCCTGGTTCATTTCAGCAGCCTTTTGTGCCGCAGGACTTGTGGCAGATGCCAATGACCCTTGAGTGGGATTGGGCTGAGGGGTTGGGGCTGGGGAGTTTCACTCCAGGACCGATGTTCGATAATGGTGGATACATGGGGCCGGGGATGGGTGGGGAGGAGGATGGTAATGGGAGGCGACAGTAGCGGATGTTCATGGCGGATGATGTACATGTGGGTTTAGTGTGTGATGACGATATGTGTGATGATAATCCTTCCTGTTTCGACGGAAGAGCGATGTGTGAATAGATTCACGTTACTTTCACACTGCCCTCGCCGATTCCATGTGTAGCACTGATGCTTTTGCTCTGGCTCCGAAGTACGAGCTTCCGCCGTCGTAACATTTGCTCCGCGCGGATGAGATCCTGATGCGTTCCCGCGTATCTACCTCCCGGATGAATGAGTCCAGATCACCCTTCCCAAGTTAAGCAATGTCATAGGCTGTGGAACCGACAGTCATCATTTTCACTTCACGATGATCGGTCCAGCCCCTGTATGACTTTCGCAGCAGCTAAACTCAAGCACATATCTGGTCATTCACAACGACAAATATATCGAGTTTCCATTCATCTATGTGAAACTACGAGGATATCAACCTGGCCGTTGTGATTGACACTCGCTGCGGGAAGAACTATGGCAAAGGCGGACGAGGCCCGGCGGAGCTGAAAGACTTCATTGAGCAGAAGATCATTGATAAATATGCTGGGCGAAATGCCCGGAATCGTCCTCAATGTCAACGCCAGCCTTAAGATATGACTTCATGATGGTTTGTACACACTGCCATTTCGACCACATTGGCGGAATCGAAGTCTTTGCCAGCAGTGGAGCCACTATCATGGCGTCAGGTCATGACAAGGACTTCATCAACTCAGCCAACCTAGCAGCAAACTCTCTCTGTGAGACTTTCGGGATGCGGACACCGAAGTACAACGTAACTCATCACCTCACCAACGGTGAGCACATCACCTGGCAGGGCCACGGTCTTGGCCTGCAGGCTATACACACACCTGGTCATACTCCCACCTCCCTAGCAATCTACGACAGTCGCGGACGCTGGCTATTCACCGGAGATACGTAGGACAAACGTCTAGCTCGAATGTGGGCGAGGAGCAAGATGTACATGTTGTCTTCCCATCTCAAGGGAATTGGAAGAATTGGAAAGCAAGTGTCGATAGACTACATGCATTTGTGAGTGGAGTGAAGGCTGATGATAAAGCTAGAGTGCGAGTGGGTTGAGGACACACTTGTTCAGACGCTCCGGCTGCTGAGATTTTAGACAGCGTGAAAGCATTCTCTTCAAGGGTAGAGGCAGGTGAGGTACCCGTTGTAGCACGTCTACGCGGTGATCAATTTGCGCCTGGTGGATCACTTGGAGACGAGATGTTTGTGTTCTGGCAAGACGAAGGGCAGACTACTGAGTTTGGCCTTGTCGCGCCGGAACGGTTTGAGAAGGAGTTCCGCAAGGGTCATTGGAGGCATACTCGGCTTGTTTGTTGACTAACGGACTGATCCTCAAGGTTGTAACGCTGTCGCCAACGCACCATGTCTCTTAGTTCGCCCAGTACGCTGTCATCGATCTGGTTTTACTGTGAGAGCAGAATATGCATCTAAGTACATAATCACTTCTCCGCATGCAGGCTGAACGACTAGAGCTAACCACGTTAGACCCTGCTTTCAACCAATATCCGGCCACCATCAGTGTCGCACGGAGGGTCGCCCGCATATCCAGCTCGATGGCATCAAGCCGTCGATCTTTCGATCTCGTTCATGAGAGTGAGGATTTGCCAAGATTGCGGTATGACTTCCAGGCTTCTCGCCGAGGGCCCACGTCTCAACGACCGGCCATGACTATGCTCAGACACTTCACCTCTTAATTTGTTTGATCATGGTCGCCACGGACGACAAGCTGGCAGGTGTCGCAGAGACGATAAGAGCACACGGACAAGATGATGTCGATGCTCGAAAGTTGCAGGATCTGGGCTACAAGCAGCAGCTCCACGTACAAATCTCAGACGATCACCTTCTCATTATGCTGATTTCGACAGCTTATATTCGGCTTCGTGTCGAGCCTTGCTCTGTGCACAAATGTGATTGCGACCTGGGAGGTGAGATGTCCACAAAACACTGATCCATACAACAGACCTTGCTCACAAACTCTGGACAGGCTTTCACTGCTGTTTTCGTCACAGTATTGGCTAATGGCGGGCCTGTAGCTCTAGTCTATGGCTTCGTTTTCTGCTTCATCGGCACTCTTGCGACTTGTGCGTCGCTGGCAGAAAATGCCTCCATTTACCAATCCACACCCCGGCTGAATCCTGATCAAGAGCTAAGAAGTATCCAGCTCACCAAATTCCGCTACACAGTACCGATGGGCGGCAGAGCCGGCGCCGAATAAGTATTTCCGAATCGTCTCCCACATCGCTGGCTGGAGGACGTTCTGGGGTCGGCAACTGACAACAGCTTCGCCTGCATTCCTTGCTGCGACGATTGTTCAAGCACTGGCAATTCTCAGCTATCCCGAAACCTATATACCACAGCGATGGCATGGCACTCTAATCTATCTCCTGATCACATGGGTAGGGTTTGCGGTCAAAGTCTTCGCTGCGAAGTGGCTGCTCCGGTTTGAGACATTTCTGTAAGTATTGGGCATCAACTTGGCTAGACCTGCCCAATGACTTTTGCTCGTACAGTCTGGGATGGCACATAGCAGGCTTCTTCGCGCGGTCCTAATACCGCTCGTCTACCTATCATGACCACAAAATTCAGCGGAATTTGTCTTCACCTCCGCCGTGGACGCAGAAGTCTGGCCAAGCTACATTATAGCTTTCTGTATCGGCCTCACCACGAGCACCTTCCCATTCGTAGGCTACGACGCTGCAAATTATATTAGCGAAGAACTCCGCGAGCCCCGAGTTACCATACCGCGAGCCATGATTGGGACCATACTCATCAATGGCCTCCTTGGCTTTGGCATGATCATCGCCTTGTTGTTCACGATGGGTGATCCCACCGAGCTTCTGGCCTCGCCTGTCTCAGCAGCTGGCTATCCATTCATTTAGATCTATCACAATACTACAAAGTCGCTACCTGGGACGAATGCGATGACAGCTGTAGGCCTTGTCATTGTCATCATGGCGAACTTCGGACTTCAAGCAGGCTGCTCTCGTACGGCCCGGGCCTTCGCCAGCGACCGTGGATTGCCAGCTTCGAGATTTTTTGACAAAGTCAGCCCTCGTTCGCAGGTACCTCTTCGTGCTATCATGCTGTCGGTCATCAACCAGTCACTTCTTGGGTTCATAAACATTGGGTCGACTGCAACATTCAATGCATTCGTCAACTCTGCCGCGGTTACCTTGTATATCACATATGTATGTCCTCGTCGGCTTGGCTCATGTCGACCATGCTGATTATTTGCAGATCACGCCTGTCATCCTCGGTGTCCTGAAGCGTATGCGTGGCGAACAGATTCCGCACGGTCCCTTCGCACTCGGCAGGGGTCGCAACATCATCAATGCTGTTGCAATAGTCTATACACTCTTCACGAGCTTCTTCCCCTTCTAGCCAGCGACCGTGAGTCCTACAGCAGTCACGCTGAATTGGTCGATCGTGCTTGTAGGAGGTACGTTTGTTCTGTCGATACTTTGGTGGTTCATCGACGGCCAGCGGTCGTTCGTGGGACCTGATATTGATCGTCCGTTGGGCCAGAACGCAGTGGACGAGTAGTGGTGAATTGACTGTAAACGAGACGCAAGAGCTGTCATCAAATGAAGCTGAACATCTGGCAGAAGCAGTCCGTCGACCACTGCGAGGCGGTTTCAGCCCTTGATCAGATCGCCGTTTGTGTAGCATGCTCGGGATAGCGAATGACGACGGCGCCGAGTACTAATCTGAACCCGTCCACGTAGTCATGGTCGGAAAGAGGAAAGGTCTTGAAGATCTTGGCGTCAGGGACGTTACAGTGTCATTGAATCTTCACTCTGTATAACGTGCTAAATGGTGGCAAGGTGATCGAGAGTCACCAAATACTGTGCTAGCCAAATCTGCTGCTCGCACTCTTCCCCAAAGGCACTTCACAAGCACTGAGAGTAGTACTGGTTCGATGCCACGCACGTCGATCCACTTGCGCACACCGTCGGACCTGCAGGCATTCATCAGCTCAATCCCATCTTCTCGAGCAGAACTGTATAGCTCACCAGAATACCCCTGTCCGCCACATTGCCCGTACTTCGCCACTGTCGCCGCCGTGCTTGTGACAGCGGCTGCACTTGTTTTCGTCGAGGTCACTATTGTGGCCCTCGCTGTGCTTGTTGGCTCCTTGGTCGTGATCGGAGAGGTTATCGATGAAGTGGCTGCACCCCCAAGCCACCCTCTTGCAGCAGCGGCGTTCAGACCGCCGAGCCAGAGGGTGGCCATCTTATTGTAGCCTTCGGCGCTGGGATGAAGGTAGTCGCCAAGCTCGCTAGTGGTGAAGTTTGGGGGTGACATGTCTACTACGGCGACTTTGTGGCCGGCGTTTGCACGGGTGGCGACGAGACCTGATGGCTTGTCAGCGTAGAAACTAAGAGGCGCCGATCTGGACTGTACCGGGTATCTGAGCATTCAAGTTGGAGATGGCTGTGTTTGTTCCTGAATTTGTCGATGGGATGATTTTCGCCACGAGAATGGTAGCATCAGGCCACTGCTTGATCAATTGATCTACCAGGCTCCCCAACCTCTGATATGCAGTCGCAGCTAGACTGGGGTTATTACAATCGTTCGTTCCGGCATGCAGTAGGACGATTCCCGGATCCAAGCTTGTGATCTGGGCGGCAGCACCTGCTATCTGCGAGATCACCCACCCGGAATGACCCTCGTTGTTGTTGTTCGTCATGGTGCCGCTTTTCACGGAGCCAACGAAGGTCACGCTTGCGCCGGCGTTCTTGATGTCGGTCTGGAGGTATTGGCGGTAGCCGTTGCCGTCGCTGCTGAGGTAGCCATACTTGTTCTTGTCAGTCCTTTGCACAATTCGCGTTTCGAGGAATGACTTGCGGTAATGGAGTCTCCCAGTGGCAGGATACGTAGACTTTTCCCTGTGATATCTGCGGCTGTGGCGAGGGCAAGAGTGCATGCCAGCGAGACGAATGTTTTGATACCGATCATCTTGGGCAGTAGAGACAAATCGATCGTTGTTGGTCGTTGGCGTGGAGGTCGCTGGAGATGTTGTGCATGGTGGACGATCCACTACACATGTATCTATGAACGGAGTACCACGCAGTCATGCCAAGTACCTGGTTGTTGGCCACGAGGCACCATGGCCGTCCGGTAATGTTCCGTGTAGAGAGCAGCATGACAAGTGGTGATTAGCCTCTGCTTTGTTTCGGAAGAATAATGGTACTAATCTTGTCCCAGCCGGCTTGGCTTGTTTCGTGTAGATTATAGAGCCCGGCAATGCTTCAGGTGTAACACCATGAACTTGATAGGCTATAGTACCAGGAATATACATAGTCAGCACGAGGCACCAGTGTCCATCTGGTATAGTCCACAGCAAGAATGTCTCGTGGAAACTACTCAGCCCCTCCCAAGACTCTCCGTGCATGTTAGTACACTCTAAACGTCCCACGCTCCTTCGGCTTGATAGTACCAGGAATCCTCTATGCCAGTCCACTCAGATTTATCTTGCTCACACCAAGTTCGCCGTGCAGCCGCAAGAGGGGGTACTCATCGTCCGAACATGGTTTGCATCTGGAGATACGTAGCATCCAGGACTCCAACCGTGTGAGCAAGAACCATCGCAGTGCTATCAGTCACACACATCAACTCGTGCGGTCAATGGCCATTCGCTTGGGTCAGGTTCAGCCTAAGCAGGTTGCCCATAGATCCTGCTTGGCTTTGCACCCTCATTGACGTGCGCCTGTTGTCGGATTTAACGGTCATACATGATGAGGTCGAAGGATGGAGCGCGATAGTCCTGAACAGCTTCCCTCGTGCGAACCGAGCGGCCGTACAGGATGACTGACTCAAACGCGCGAGTGGCGACATCTGCTCTCCCACGCGGGTTGCGCTTCTACAATGTATCGACGACGATCATGATCCGCTTGATCCATGGAAGCCTGTACTTGAGGTATGGCACGAGACTCGGCGAGGCTCACAGCCCGCGTGGCTTCCAGCTACCCGCGTCCCCACGAAGCTTAGAACATCACGCCACCATAAATCGCTTCGGACCTCACGGTCTCACGTTGCCAGACTGTCACGCTGACCGGCATTCCGGGACTCTACGAGCTGCATAGTTCCTCCTGGAACACCCTCGCCAACACAGCATTTGGAGTCTCGCAGCCAGATCGAGTATGCGACAACATGTCCTCACAAAGGTTGAGTCGGCATAACCTACAACCAGCAGTCAGCAGCCAGCCACATTCTCGCCAAGGCGTATAAGCGAAGACATACAGCTCGAACCTGCATATGGAGGCCTAGACACGCAGTGCATGCCCTCATCTGGAACACAGGCCTCACAATCTTGCTCTGCACACTCTACTCGATTGTCCTCGTCAAACACAACCATAGGCCGTCATGCTCCCAATCACGCAGAGTGACTTGCCGTGCCGTGGCTCCTCGTGCATCAAGCTTACATGGTGTGCAGGAGCTTGTGCGCTGAGCCTGTACTCAAGCCCAGGAGACGTATAAGGTCGGCGTTCGTCCAACGTAGGGAGAGATCATGCGAGATTCGCCTAACAGGAAACATGTCTCGTTTGGGTGGCACGTCGAGAACGACAAGCTATGATGAGGTCACGCAATACAAGATCGTCAATTCTGTAGAGCCTGCGACGCGGGCAAGATCTAAGTCCAGGGAACGAGCCGATGGGTCTGATGAGTACTACAAGAGTCAAGTCACACGCTCTCGTAGCAAGTCGACAGGAAGGCCGTACGAAGATACCAACAACTGCGTTCCTTGTAATCTTGTAGCACCTTCGAGCACACTACGCAAGCGACTCATTGTGTGTTGCGATGGGAGTAAGCTGCACTAGAGGTGCAATTGTACACACAGAGCTCTTCCGCTGATATTTCTACGAGCCTTTTGCGGCGCTGACCAAGGCAAGGTGAACAATCCTACCAATATTTCCAGACTCAGCCGCGCTATTGCCAATGTCGGGCTCGATGTTAAGGGCATCCCAATTGTGCAAATTGTGTATTATCAGTCTGGAGTGGGCAGTGGCAAGCTTACTGCGGTGAACAAAGCTACGCAAGGTCAGTCGCAGGTGCTGTGCTGACTCTGGAGCATCCTTTGATCATGGCGTAGGCGCTTTCGGCGACGGACTGAACGAGAAGGTGTGCGAGGCGTATACCTTCTTAGTGAACAACTACGGTCCAGGTGACGAGATATTCATCTTTGGGTTTTCGAGAGGTTCGTCAACTTCTTAAAATCAGGACCAAGTAATTCCGCTGATATCCAAGCAGGCGCCTACACCGCTCGCTCACTTGCCAGCTTTGTCTGTCAGATTGGCCTGCTCAGTCCCGGCATGATGGATTACTTCAACGACATCTTCACGGCCTATAAGCTTCGCGATAGGCGAGCTGGCGAGACCGGCTTCCGAGATATGGAATGGTCGCGCCACTATGTGCGCCCAGGTGAGCTTGGCTTCGAAACTCGGCAACGGGAGCGTGTTACTCGATACGACTGGATCCGTCGATGGGCTCATCTGCACGCAAAAGTCAAGGTCGTTGGCGTCTTCGATACTGTGGGTAGTATAGGTATGAGTGGATGGGTCCCGCAACCTGGTGATGATGTTGATTGGCATGCGACGAAGCTTCACCCGAGTAAGATTGTTGCCTGCGGCTATTCGTGAAGATCTCTGACAGAGCTACAGAGATCGAATGTGCTTTTCATTCACTTGCTCTAGACGAGCATCGTGGTAGTTTCCCACCTACAATATTCTTCTTGGACCAGGCTTGCAAAGACGCCGGTGTGAAGCTGCGGCAATGCTGGTTCCCAGGCTTTCATAGCTGCATCGGTGGCGAGAGCGACCCAAAGTACGATGTCAATAGCGTGGACGAGGTTACCTTTGCCTGGATGATCGATCAGTTGACACGATACAACCTTCTTCAGATCAATGAGCGTGCCCTTCATTATCCCATCTTGGACCGTTTGAGCATGGATCTCGAGCCCAATGGCCATCACCCAACCCCACCCCGCAACGCGCAAGAAGTGCACGGGCGCCGTATAGACTGGTCGGACGGTCAATTGATTGAGACGGATACATTATTCTGGCAGGTAGCGTCACAAGTTGCCACCCAGCGCTGGGACTACACACGCAAGCCCGGCCAGTACGAGGCTTACGACGATGGTACAAGGCAGCAAGTAGACTACTCGGCCTTCCGCGAGGAAATCCACCCGAGCGTCTGGCACCGCACACAGACTCGGAACTATGAGCCACGTTGCCTTCCGCTTGATCGCTGGAAGCGTCATCGTGTCGGTGACGGTGCGGGATACGAGTGGGTCAAAGCTAGCCGTAGTGGACTGATACAAGTCCGGATCCCGGAGTACAAGATCCCGCATATCCCGACCTACGATAGTGGCATGGCGCACTGGACTGGATGTCTTGAGCAGCGTATCGTTCCTGGGGAAGTTTTGCGTAAGTTGGATTACGCGAACGGGATCGTGCGTTCTAGTCCACGCCCAGAGTCAACGCGTATCGACAGTGGCTACTCCCGTGACGGACACGACGGCAGATACCTTTCGCCTATGTCTCCAAGGTCCGAGCCTAGTTATGGCACAAAGTCGGCAGACGATGCGTATTCAGAGCGGGATACGGTCACGGTACGCACAAGGTCTCCTCGGCCACCATCGTCCGCGGCGGATTACTCTAACACCCGTATCGAGTTTGGAGAGCGCTCGTGACGACCTTGAGTGCTTCTAAGGGCAGGTAATGCTTTGGCATCAACTACGAAAGGCGACTATGTTTGATATGCTGCTCATTGTACGTAGAGGATCGGTGATAGCCTCCCCCACTTCTCTCGTGTCCTCCCAAGCTGATCATTATACGACACTCTGATATTCGATACGACACCCGCGAGCTGGCTGCAAAAAGGTCAATTCTCAGCCTTGGGTGGTGCATACTTGTGGCGCCACTTCTTGCCCATAGTCTGTGTCAACGCGGGGCCAGCTATGAAGGCCAATTTAAGAAGCAGAGCTTGAATCCCGAAGGATGTCGCCGGTCCGTCTGCTGCTATTCACTTTAGCTGGAAGAAAACCACGCAAAATCCAGCTGTGGTTCTGCTGCACTGTCAGCCGGATAGATTCGTAACGTGATGATATTTATTAGGGTATCGAAGAGGAAGAGACCTACCGCCACATGTTGATGATCGCAGCTACTAACGCTGCATGATTGGGGAATGAATCCAAGCAATACGCCGAGACAGCTGTTGTAGCGGATACCATAGCAAAGACGAGAAAGCCCCATCCAACGCAAAGTAAGATCCAATGTAAGCCATGCTGCAAGGTCTGCCCTATATGTACGAGTCCGGCGAACAATAGTCGCATCAGTTAACCAACCACATGGTTGAGGGGGGTTACTAGTTGACTAGTTGAGGTTTTGGTAGCGCTATAGTTAACTAATTAAGGTAATCGCTATAGTTGCGCAACTATAGTTAACTAGTTGCTATAGTTAAGGTAGTATAGTAGTATAATTAGCTAAGGCGCGTTCGTTTACGCGATTACGACAACGGAATATCGTTAAATTAAGAAGAGTTGTTTGTACTAACCTTACGCTTGTTTCTATTACGCGCAGGAGCTATAATAAGATAGTCTTAAGGTAGTTATAATAGAAGTAATTATTAAAGGGGTATAAAGAAGCGCAAAACTAATACGCGAACGCGGGACAGCGGAGCAGTTCCGCTATATTCTTAGTATAGATCTAAGAGGGCTAAGAGATGCGCTAGCTTCGTTAGGAAATACGCTAGCCGCGTTAGGAAGGAGCTTTATATAAATTATAAAGTAAGACTACCCTTAACTACATTAACTAGTTAGCTAAAGGTTAAGGGGGGTAACTAGTTAACTAGTTAAGGTTTAAAGAGCGGTATAGTTAACTAGTTAAGGTATTAGGGTAGCTCAACTAGTCAACCATAAACATGGTTAGTTGACTGATGCGACCATTGCCGGCGAAGCCGACAAGAGTCGGCATATATGTGCCCCAAAGTCGTACTTCGGAAACCCAGAAGCCATTATGTGTTCGAATGTACCAATTGGCAACGAAGTCATTGAAGTAGTGGCCCCAGACCTCGCCGACCTGCACCGCTCGTTAGCCCAGAAGTGGTATCATTCGCGAAACTTACGAAGGCTCCTATCATTGGTGCTAAGTAGCTCAGGGCGAATTCGGTCGGAGTGAGCAGATAGGGCGGTGGAGTGAGCAGATAGGGCGGTGGTAACACCAGAAGCGACCACGTCGACACAATGCCAATTACCCAGCAGACCAGGAACAGCACATACACGAACGTGAGAAAGAATATGTGCGGCTTCACTTGAATCATAAAAAGATCCTTCAGCACCGTGAGCATGGCCGGTCGTGTCTGACCCTAGCTCCGGCAATGCCAGAGAGAAGTCCGATACGACCACTGCTCAACGAAGCCTTCGACTCCTGATCGTTACTGCGTCGATCGTAGAGCGTCTCATCACTGATAAGAATGATAATTATCGTCGATAGTCCGTCGAGGCCGGCTAAGATGCCGTAGTCAGCACGCCAACTGATGGCCTGGATCAACCAGGCAGATAAAAAGGGCCTAGGAACGGTCCGCCAAGAAAGCAGAAGACCCAGAGGTTGACACGGCGAGTGCGCTCGTGGAAAAAGAACCTATCGATCTGATCAGCGAGCGTATGCTCGGCTACGGCTGGTCGTTGCTGCATACAGGTCATGGATCTCGCTCAAGCCAATAACTTGAGGTGCAGTGCCGCAGAAGCCTTGCAAAGCTCTGAATGCCGTGAAAGCCGCATAATTAGGAGCCAAAGCAGCTCCCATCACCCAGATGGCGGAGAGTAACTGGGACCAGAACAGGACTGGGAGGCGTCCGTATCGCTGGATAAGCGGCATTGCAAACAGCCCTCCAGGGCCTTGCAGGAAGAGCGCACCACTGATAGAATTCGCCATAGCTGGCACGCTCAAACTGAAGCTCATGGCTTGCTGAACGAACACAGCAGAACCGTAGGTCATGCCAAAATCGGTCAGTAGTGATGCCAGGAGGAGTGATAGCAGGACGAGATGCTTCTTGCCCCAAGTCCAATTAAGCGGATCTGGTGTTGTGGTTAGGTCAGGGCGGGTTGTTACGGGACTATAAAACGAGCTTAGCTGGGCCATGGACCTGTGCGATTGTCAGATGGCTGCGGGATCAGTACTGTCTTCCCATCTTTGGCAAGCTTCAGTCCCGCTGCGCCAGCGACATTGAGGACTTGGAGGTCACCCCACGCTTGGTCCTGGCCATTTTCTACGGACTGATGACTCATGATTGTGTCGCTCTTCTCTGGTATAGGCGTAGTGCTTGAGGACATGACTGGCGTGACCTGGTGTTGAGGAGAGGCAGGGACAGAACGCTCGCGAGAAAGAGGTAATGTGGATGAAAGTGGGTGATCGCGCCTAATGTAGGCTACATCGTGGCTGCATTGCGCAATACATACACGGCAGCAGCTCGCAGGGTTCTGCTGCAAGGACGAGGCTTGGATGCTCTAGCTGGCATCTGTCTCTCGAGCTATGCAGACACTATGTAGACGATATCGAAGCTTGTTCAACACACGCCCGTCAGGACGTTCGTCCACCAGCGATCGCGGTAATCTAGTCGGGATCGGATCTTCAGGAGCAAGGACTGCAACAGTGTCCACACGGATATGCTGCAAGTGTGCAGGGAGAGCTTCTGCCGTAGCGCGAAGGCGGAGCTTGACTCGATAGGCTCATTCGGCGCGGCGACTGGCTAAGCAAGCCTCGTTCCTGGCGCTTGTGGCTGAACTTAGTGCTTCGGATGTGGTCCGCTGCACGAGCAATGTATATGCCGTCTCGCTCACTTTGCTCCCACTTCAGGCAAAGCTCTCTTACCAGCGTGAGGGATGGCCGTGTCGATGTTGAATTGCACAAAAGCCATTGTCTATATGGACGAGGACGGGCGATCAGGGATCCATGGCGGGCACTGTGCCGTACGAATTCAGGCGAATGCTCGCACTTACGCGAAGACATGTCTTTTTGGCAGTCTTGGGTCATCATTCCATGGCCTTTCTCTCGCTAACGAAGACAACCTTGCTCGATAGCAACCCTACAATCGCCTCCATTACGAGCCTGGCCTCGTTGACATCACGTTGAATGAATACCGCCGACCATGGTAAGGCCTGTATCGCCCTTGGCTGGGCACTACGGATCGTCTCGACGTTCGTCCTTGCCGGTCGATTCTATGCCCGTGCCCGCCGACTGGGTCGGACTACTGTGGACGATTGGTTGATGCTGTGGGCCTGGGTACATCACGAAATCTTGTATGAGTGTCCATACGAGAGGGTGACCTAATCACATCATCAGATATCTGAGTTGGTTCATATAAGCACGATCACCATCACCTGGCGATATGGCTTGGGCATAGTGAGGCGGATGCTCGCAAGGACGAAAGTCAGCTTATCGGCAAGGCTCTCACTAGGATTTTGGCTAGGCTTCAGACACTTGGTATTGCTCTCGTAACATCGCACACTACTGTCTGACCGGAAGTACGGTTCCTACTTGCTCAAATCGACCCGCTTATTCATAACGGTGATCTCAGTCATGTCAGTCTGCGAACTGTTGCAGCCCAACGTATTTTTGTAACAAGAAGTGGAACGTGGACACCATACATGTTGCTATGAATAGATGTGCTCGACTCGCTTGTTTAGTGGAACAAGGCTGGAATGTATTGATAGCGTATGTACATGTGTTCAGAGCATCATCGCTCAGCCATAATCGCAGAGCAGTATATGCCGAAGGGCGAGGTTTGCAATCTCCGCGAACCTTAGACAATGACCTTGTGGGGGGCCTCCTTCTCCTCCGAAGTGCCGAAGATATCAACCGGCCATCGTGGCTGATCTACGGCATGAGTCAGTAGGTGACACGTCTCTTGTTGGCACGATGTACATACTAGCAATGTACGGGATATTGTAGCGTCGTGGCTTGTCACCGATCTTGTCGATGGTCTTGATGTCCGCATCCGAGAGTTCGACTTCTTGGAAGTTATCCTTGATGCGAGATGGTGTCACGGATTTCGGTATCACGCTGTGATCACCTACCTGAGACCATGCGAGGCTACATGAACATGTAAGTAAAAAACTAGGTTTTGTGGGTGTCTTTATCGTTGCCTTACATCACCTGCGCTGGTGTGCCGTTCAGACGATCCGCAATCTCCTTGACCTGAGGATAGGTGATGATGAGTGGCTCGTTGAACATGTTGTTGCCGAAGCCAGAGTATGCGGTGATGTGGATGTTCTTATCTTTGCAGTACTTCACCAGCTCGGGCCAAGGAAGCAATGGGTGGCGCTCCACCTGGTTTACCGAGGGCGTGCTGCTTGAGCCTTTTATAATCGCATCCAGGTACTCAGGTTTGAAGTTCGAGACACCGACTGCGCGAGCTTTGGACTTGTCGAGCTTGGTCATGGCTTTCCATGTGTCCACGATGGAGACGTCGTCATTCATCTTCACATCGCCATCGTCACGAAGAGGGAAGAGAGTGTGGTGGGGATCTTTGGAGGAGTCGTCAAAAGCCACTGGAAAGTGCATCAGATAGAGATCCAGGTACTCCAGCTCCAGTTCTCCAAGGCAGTCATCGAGTGCTGCCGCCACATGTTCTGGACGGTGCTGGGTGTTCCAGAGCTTCGATGTGATGAATATGTCCTCGCGCTTCAGTCCCGGTACGTCTTTGAACGCCTTCTTGATACCTTCAGCCACTTCCTTCTGATTTCCGTAGACTTTGGCGAGATCGAGGTGGCGATAGCCGGCTTTGAGGGCCTCGTAGACGGCGGCGCCGACTTGGCCTGGCTCACTTTGCCATGTGCCGAAGCCGAGGAGAGGGATTTGAGCGCCCGTGTTGAGCTTCGCTGTTCGTCCGAGAGACATGATTGTGATTTGTGTCGTGGTGGAGAGGAAAGAATTTGGCTATAGAGTTGTGCGTTGGAATAATGTATGTCGTGACGTTCTAGTGACATTGAAGAAGGTTCACGGGTATGTGGAGGCGACTGGGGAGATGGAGACAATTCTTCCGCGTCGTAATAATGAGCCAAGGGTTGGTACAGTACATACTCTCATATACTGAACCTGAACGTCGGATCATCATCTCCCATATTGGCCTGGCTAGACTTAGCAAGGACCAACCTATCATCTCTGGCCCCCGCATCTCTATTCTTGTTCTCCCGCATGAGCCCGAGGGCAAAGACTGTGCTCATTACGCCGCACAGGACAAGCATAGCGAGACCGACTCCATAACCAACGAAGTACCTCGGCGCATCAGTCCGCACGAAGACATTGCTCGCCATGATCCCGCCAATGTTTCCAACAGCGACTTGTATCGCTAATCCAATGGCTCTCTTGTAATGGCCTCCAAGGTTACTAGCCAGCCAACCGATGGCCACAGGTTGAACAATGTAGCATCCAGTCGTCACGAAAAAGACCGCCATGTATCTCACTTGCGGGTTCAGGCCGAGTTGTGCGTGGTGAGGCTTCGCTAGAGGCCCTTGAGCTAGTAAGATGATGTAACCGATGGAAGCAAAGAGAACCCCGAACATGACGAAGCCGTATCGATGCTGCAGTTTATCCGTCAAGATCGATGTCCCAAACGTCACTACGGCGGCGACCATCCAAACCGGAATGCTATGGATCTGACTCTGGATACCCGAGTACCCGATGCTCGAGATGATTGTTGGTATGAACAACGCGGTCGCGTACCCGCTGACGGTGATGCCGATGTAGATGAGACTGCCGCACCAGATCTTCCAATCCAAGAGAATCCGGCGCCACGCCGCTTTATCGAGATGATTCATCGTCGAACTGCCGCCCACGTCCGCTGCGTTGCGGAGGGCGAGATACTGCTTCTCTCTTTTTGAGAGGAATTTGGCCTGCTCGGGCCAGTCGGCGAGGAAGAAGTATACTGGGATGGAGGCGGCGACGGAGAGGAGACCTTCGATGATCAAGACCCAGCGCCAGCCGGCAAGATCCGATAGACCTTGCATGTGTACGAGAGCGTACGCGAGAAGGCCGGAGAAGGCACCGGCTACTAGGCCCGCACACCAGAAGAGCGACAGGCGTCTTTGGAGCTCGTGACGCCTGTAGTACATGGACATCAAGTACGCGCAACCGGGAACGAACCCGGCCTCGAACACTCCGATGAAGAAACGGCAAGCGATCAACCCGCTGTTGCTGTGAACGAAGCCTTGGCACATGCACGCCACGCCCCAGAGAAACGTCGTGGTGCATATCCAGAGTGATGGTGGTAGCTTCCTAAGCATCAAATTGCTAGGTGCCTCTAGAAGGATGTACGGGACGAAGAAGACCTGGAGGGCCACGTTAAAGGCGTTCCCGACCAGATGGAGGTCTTTGACAATGCCGAGGACGGCGACGTTGCCGAGGTTGATGCGGTCCATGAAGCCCAACATGAAGAGGATCCAGAGCGGGACCATGAGGTGCAGATCGATCTTTCGCATCATACGTTTCTCGAGTTGTTGATCGAAGGGCTCTTCGATCGCGGCGCTCTCATGTGTGGGAGATGACGACTTCGCCTCGACGGACGGCTCACAAACGGTCTTCTCCATGCTGGCCATGTGCTTCAGGAGCTCGATAAAAGATCAGGTAAAACGCAAGACAGGTTAGCAGTCGAAACGGACCGATGAATTTGGGGAGGTAACCTGTGTGTAGGTTGCGAAACAAGAGCATACAACGTGAAGACCGAGTGGAAGGGTGAAAGGTACGCAGTTGAATGGTGCTATCACAGGTCTGCAAGGATTAAGTAAGCTATGGGGTTGGGGCATTCCCCAGGATTGGACGGAGCCACCCTGCTAAAGACAGCTTCGGCCATGGATAGGCAGGCCGGGCAAATCACAGCGTTTGGCTCATAATTCCCCTGTGGTTAATGCACTTGTGGATTGCACGGACAAGTCGTCCTTTACCCAAAATACCAACAACAGCCGTGTGGTGGGATTCGCCGAACCATTTCGCTTATGCAAGCAATCAATGCAAGCAGGGATATATAGCACTCCTCCCAAATGGCTCGTATACCCAATCGGGCTGCTTTGAGCCTCAAAGCAATGTCGACGACGATAGCTGTGGAAATGCGGCAGCGGCACAGCACATGTACTGTGGTCATTTTCCCGGACGACGAGCATGCTGTCATCATAACAACTAGTTCTTTATTGAGGTCGTACCGCTGTGTAACGCGAGTTCATGAAACGCCAGAAACACCAGAATCTGTCCACAGCACAACATGCCCATATTCAGCGACTACGGCGACATACCCGACATCTCCTCCCGCCTGTCCATCCCATCGCTGGCCTTCGCTGTAATCACTCCGCTCATCGTCCTCGCCCGCTGCGTCACCCGCTCGACGTACTCGAAGCAACTTGGCCCCGACGACTGGAGCATCATCGCCTAGCTCATCCTCGCTGAAGTCATCTGCCTTCAAATGATCATCTGCTGCGAATGGGGCTTCGGCAAGCACACCTGGCAACTTCCCCATTCGGTGGTTGGAAAAACCCTCGAGCTCTACTTCTTCGCCCAGATCCTGTACAAGATCAACATTGGCTTGACGAAAGTCTCGATCCTGCTCTTCTATCTCCGGGTCTTCAGCATCTATCGCTGGTTCCGCACGCTTTGTTGGACGGTCTTCAGCTCGATATTCCAATGCAGCCCCATCGACTTTGCGTTCAATAAGAAAGCGAACGGCGGTCACGGCACATGTATCGACCTTACGCCTTTCTGGTTCGCCAATTCTGGGTTCAACATAAGCAGCGATTTAGTCATCATCCTAACCAATATGAGGCCTAGGAGGCAACTGAACATCAATAGGATCCTCCCCAAATCCGGTAAGGCGCGAAGCTACACGGTCTAGATTTTAGTAGGATCCTATTTAGTAGGATCCGCACTTCTAGAACT